AGTTAAATTTAAAAATTAATTTATTTATATTTTTTTAAATTTATAATTAAATTTTATTAATTATTTTATTTATTTTATTATTACTTATTTTTTTAATAGCTATATTTTTTAAATAAAAATTATAATACTTTATAGCTTTATTAATAGTAAGTTTTTTAAATTTAATAAGTTTTTTTAATATATATATTAATAAAAGTATTAAAATAAATTTAAAAGTATTATTTTTTAGTTTATTAATAATTTAATTTATTTATTATATATTAAATTTTATTTAATATTTAATATTTTACTTTTTAAAATATTTAATATATTATTTTTTAAAAAAAAGTATTATATTTTATAAATTTAATTATAGCTTATTATTAAATATATTTAAATTTATATACTTTTAGTATTTTTTTAGTTTATAATATAATTTTAAAAATATATATTAGTTAAATTATAAATATAAATTATTTATAAATTATTTTAAAAAGCTATTAAAAAGTATATTAATTTTTATTATTAATATAATTAAATTAAATTTATAATAAAAAAAAAGGTTTATTAAAAATAATATAATATACTAAATAATATATATAAAAAAAGTAATTAAAAATTTATTAAATAAATTTTTTACTTTATAAATTTTTAATACTTTTAATTAAGAGGAAAAATAAATTAATAAGTTAAGCTTATAACTATAAAGTATTATAAATTATATAATAAGTAATAAAGTATTAATAAAAGTGTTATTATTTTAGCTAAGTTTGCTTTAGTAAAGGGCGAGTTTTTAAAGTGTAATTTATAAGTGCTTTAGTGAATGCGCACTTCCCTGTAGTAGCTTCCGGCAGCTTGCATGTACGCCAAATTTGCAACAGACTTCTCTTCCAACCTTGTGAACACAAAATTTCCTGAGATTTGACCTACACTTTTGATATCACACTCATTGACAAACAAGCATTCAAGCCTGAGCCGACATCATAACATGGCATCTGGGCCTCCCAACCCAGAAACGGCACCCACAGCCCCTGAACCTGCCGATCCAGATACGCCACCCACGCCGTGGGCGGCGAGGTTCGGAATCTCGGAACGATATCCATTTAGAGCCAGTCATTCATCTGGATTGCATTCTCGGTACTGCTTTCTGCTTTTCTGGGCTGGCCTGGTCATTGACTTGAGAAACACAGGTTTCCAGAGATCGATATAGACAACTACGGAGCTCTTACTGCCGACGAAACCCCGTTACCAGAGCCTGGCGATGAGGAGATTGACCTCCTGTTCCAGGAGGAATATCATCAGAGAGCACAAATCGGGGGGTTTCATACTTGTATGTTTGCACCACAAGTACTCGAGCGTTGAAACAAGCGTTGTTCCACACATGGTGCCGGGCTGGGGCCTGATTCATCGACTCGGATTATATTTCGGCCAACTAATGTCTTGCAGCTGAGGCCGCTGTCTTCAATTCAGATGCCTCTCTCAGAGATTGCGATTTTTCAATCGACGAAGATAACTGGGAGCCCGCGTTCTGCAAGGTGAAGTCCCCGTCCCAACTGCCTATATTCAGATCTTCCGTGACATCAGCCATGTCTGGCTTCATGATCATAGGCTAAAGACACTCAATAATTAACCTTTGCATGATATTGCAGGAAAGATGGTATAATCTCAATGAGCCCATCCTGCAAGGGTTTGCTGGGCAGTCGCTCTATCCCGAGCTTTCAGACGGAGCGACCTTCAATGTCGATAATCCGGTTTTGTGGAATGTGCTGAGACCCTGCCTCGAGCTAGCCAATCGCCTATTCAAGGCATCAGCTCGCCATCCCTTGTATGTGCTCATGTAATGGGTGTTGTGGAAATGAGATATATTTGAGCTGACAAGCAGCGTGTAGGTACTCTGCTCTTCTGTCTATCAACAGAGAAACAAATCGTTGGTTCGGGCAAACGCCTTACAATATCAGTGGCAATCCGATGTTGGCTAGAGATCCAGCCAACTTTGATCCCGATGGTGTACTGCGCACGTTCAAGAATTATGCTGCAAAAATAATTATTTCCTTCATTCCTCCAAGCGCTACGGGGAGGACTGCCAAAGTGGTATGTTGGACCTTGCGCTTTCACCGCGAACATGTTAGAATGCGACGATAACTTCCCTCCAACATGTCATTATTCAAAGTCCTTGCATGATGACAACAATATCTGCTGACGCTATAGCGAGTAGTTTGGTGTTACAAGGCCAATGACCGACGAGACCGGTAGACACCCTCCGAGCCCGGTGAACACACATTATGTGCTGATATTGATTAATCCTGGTATGATTTGGCCTCTGATAGATAGTACTACTTCCAATGTTCAGAAAGCACTGTCTAGGTTGAATTTCACGAAAACTGTAAGTACCTTTCTCATCCTTCGGTGCTGTCTTGCGGAAGAGTCTGCTAAACCTGAGCTAGTTAGTGCATGAAATGTCAGTAAGTTCAAGTCTAATCAAATTCTTGTGCCTAAGAAACGGGGCTTGTCTTGTGCGCAAGGTTAAGAGACGACAAGGATAGTGTCGCCGATTGTTGTGGAGTACGCGACCTCGGGAAGCGTAGGGAAATTCGCTGGGAGTCCCATACGTCAACTCGGAATAAGGCATTCCGTCATCGAACTGCCAGCTAACATATTTTTATAGCATGCTATGTGGATGGTGCACAACAGATTTGTATTGTCTGCCACTGGACCACGCTTGGGACAGGAACCTGTAAGCAGCGGCCAATATGTGCCATGGTATCTTTGCTCATACCAGGATTAGTTCTATGAACTTGCAGGCGTACCTCAATGGGTCAACGAGATTGGCTTTGCTTGGGAAACAGCAATATTCGGGGGGAGGGTCTTCGGTGACCCTCCCCCATCAATGCCACTCACCCGTCAGCGATGGAACCAAAGGCTTTTGCTCTTCTCATTCGAAGAGTTCCCCAACTACGCAATTTTGAAGACCACTAGCGGGGTTAATGAACGGTTGCATCGGGATCAAAGGTGGCGTCAATTCATTATCCCCCTCTCCGTAAGTAGTGGTTATTTCAGCGCAGCATTTTGGGATTCCGTCTACTCCAAGTACGGGCTGGAGGCTTTGCGACTGCCGCAGATTGTACGGCGAATAAGGTCGTGGACACAACCGAGTGGATACATACGATGTGAAATGCAACACGTAAGACCCGAGTTTCATCAAGAACTTGTTCAGCTTCGTAGTACGTTCGCTGCTCGCAAGAGGTTATGGCAGACTTTGCGGCCATGGTAAGGCTTCCTTGATTAACCCTCTCTTCATCGGCGTCTTCCAGATGCGCTCTATCCACCACGTTCTGGCAGCCGTCGAACAATGATGATATAGTAATCTGATGATTGAGATTATGAAGGTATACACCAAATGAAAAGCTTTGGTATTATACCGTGCACAGTCGGTCTTTACTCCGGAGCGGTATACTGGAGTTTAGAGCTGCGCACGTACAACGCGACGAGCTCGAAGCTGAGAAGCTCCTCAGAAACTTCACATGTATCAGAAACGATGCCTGGTGGGATAAGACGACGTTACTGGAGTTGGATCCCGTGGATTGGTTTGTTGACGCCGTTGCGTTCCTAATGTGGGCCGTTATGCCCAGACGTGATGAAATTGATAGGACCGAAACTTTCAACATCCAGCAGAGCAATTGGGAACCAAGCGCGTCTGCTCGTCAGTTTGCAGACACAAGTGAATCTGGATTGGGGGGTTCGCCCTACGCAATCGACGCCACTGGCCGCTACGCATCCGAGAAGACGACTATAAATAGACGCCATGTCCCAGTGAGAGCGGGCGATAAATTTGGTGATCGAGACACCCTATTGGAAGAGTTGAGAATCAGGGTCACCGAGCGCTTAAAGCAATCTACAGTACCACGTGACATCGAGCAGGCCTTCTTGGTTGCACTCGACCAGGCTGAGGCCGATTCCAAGGTGACGGACCAGTATGAATGGTTGCCCAGTTTCAACCTGGGGATAAGAGGCTGGATCAGGCCGTCAAATCAGAGTCATGTCGGGACGACGCCCTCTGGGCCAGCAACGAATTACAATGGGCCAGCACCACAGCAGTACATGGGTAATGTGCCGCAGGCACCAAACCAAGGAGGTCAACCTCCTTCTAATACCATGCAGGGTCTCAGCCTAGGAGGGGCTTCAGCCCCGGCAGGTCAACCAGATCGTACCAGATATCACACAATAGGCGAGGTTGGAAACCACCAAATTCGCACGGACTTGTGGGCACTCGTCGATGATGGGAGCCAAGGTTTTGACATCTACGATGTTACGGGTGAGTTTTAAGCCTTCCCGAATGCTTGTGACCGCAGCGCACAAACTTGAAGCTTTGCGATTGGTGTTTTTGTTGTCATTAAAATTTGTTGGGCAGATGCTGTTGAAGCGAGAAGAACTGCCAGCTTGGCGAACACATTCAACATCACATCTATCATTCAGAAGACTCTTCTTGGACTCAAAGCCCTACCCGAATTTCAGCGGCAGCTCAGGGAATCACATCAGCCACTTGGAAAATTGATACGGCCGTTCAGGCAGGAGGATATCGCAGAGCGGCACGGGGGGACTGGGCGACCTTTGTGGATTGTCATCGGTAAAGACGTTTTTGATATTACAAGTAAGCCGGGCTCGAAATATTGTGTGAAAAATGTAGTTGCTCTCATTTTCGCTGACGCAAAACTTCAAGACTTCCCTTTCAGAAGCCATACTCAGCGGGAACTACTCAGGTCTCAGCCAGGTAGAAATCCTATGCAGGCGATTATCGCAAACGGAACCATCGACCCGTACCAGTTAATAGAAGATCTTCGACCGCATAGGTGCGCTATATTGGCTGAGCCTAGGCCCGGTGATGGTCCGGACGCTTTCCACGAGAGCATCTACACGACGAAGGAAGTTGCCTGGCATACTTATCGAGAGGTTGGAATGTATACCATAATCAGAGACAAAGTCTACGATCTGACTGGTGAGTCTATTTAATACCCCTCCACCACTGCAATATTTTCTTCGAAGTGCAATAACAAGGACATAGATTTCGTGGAATCTCATCCCGGTGGTACAACACTATTGAAGCAATGGGCTGGCAAAGATTCGACAGCAGAATTTCTCCGGTACCATGGCAATGCCGATCAGTGTCTGACGGACTACGATTTCCTTAGAATCGGCCGTGTGGTACGCGAGAGCCGTATGCCCGCTGCTAATGACCAGGTCGTAATACATGGCCTGGTGTACGACCTAGGGCGTAAGTCGCTCATGGGATACCTCCTCGCCCTTCCTCGATGAAAGTTCCTCAGATACATCTCTCTCAAAGTCGAACTCAAGGGGAATATGAGAAATATTGCTAACAGGATCTTTGCAGCTATCAACAGGATGATGGTATCTGGCTGGCGGGAGATGCGAGAGGCAACTAGATCGCTCGGTGGGACAGACGCGTCCCAGAGAATGAGAGTGGATATTGTGGTTGATCCGTCGGCGGGCCTGAAGAAAGTAGTATCCAAGAGGGAGCTCATCGTTGCCAAGATGATACCTCCTTTACCTGAAATCACTCCTGAAGAGCTGGCTCTTCATGACGGGTCGATTATCAACATTCCGGAAAGGTATGACATCTCCATTCGGGGATGGTCACCTCCGCTTCGGAGACCTGTCTGGGTTGCTTACGGACGAGACGTCTATGATGTTACCAGTAAGTCTTCAGACAACAGACTATAGATGGTGATAAATGTGGCTCACTATGAGAACAGCCCTCAAGATGTACGGGGATCAAGGCCTACAAGACCACATCGAGAGATACAAGGCACAGGTAGTCCCAAATGGACCATTTTCCACGCAGCTTGAACAGGATTTCTCTCACCGAGTAGTTGGCATATTGGTACAAAGCAAGAGGTCGACAGGGGATGTCGTTGACAGTGGCAACGGTGGGCAAGACGAAGGTGGGCCATCAATCAAGCGTAGGGCTATCGGGTCCTAAACACCGATAACTTGCATCGCAATCCAACTCGTGCCGTTCACTTATTGTACATTGGTATTCTCTGGTGGATTTGTATATGGTTTCTATGACTGGGGCAGGAAGGCTCGATCAGTTGAGGCGATGATTCCAAGCAAGTAGTGATAGATTTGTGGATTGGTTTGCTATCACTGTACTACCAATCCAACAAGGAGGTTGTCCCAAAAACGGTTTGAGTCGAGTGAAATAAATTGTAGCACTAAGCTCTTTCATCCCGAGTATAATGACATCCCTTCGAGAGAACAATGCCATTTATCTCTGCGTATATATTTGCTTCTTTCTTGTCAATGAGCGGCAAGAGCAACAGTACGGAAGCATTGTCCTGGACGCTATTACGGCAACAAACACATTAACTAATCGTGCCCAGTAGATCGAATTTAAAAGACGATATAGGCCAGCGCCACAAGTCGCTCAACGCTTGATATCCACCCAAATTGGCAGAACGCTGCGGCTAAACTCACCTCATAAAACTTCATCTTGTCTTCAAAATGGCCAACGGCGACCGCATCCATAGATTCGGCCACGTTTTCGTTGAAGGCCAAGACCAATACCTCTTCGTCAAAAGTCTAGGCTACGGAGCAAGCTCGCAAGCACAGCTTGTCCTACACGTACAATCGGGTGATCTGCTGGTGAGGAAGGTGAAAACCGAGCGTCTCTGCGAAGCGGAGAAGAATATCCCAGATCGCGAGAACGTTCTTTTTTATCTTCAGCAGCAGGCTGCGCAACGGGACGAGCAACCCAATATAGTTCGCCTATTTTCGGCCAACGATGTGTGGGCGGTCCAGGGGCCAGGGACAAGGCTGTGGTCCCGCGTATTCTATCTGAAGTATTACAACGGTGGTAGCGTAGGTGAGTTGTACATGAAGTACGTGCGAGCGAAAAAGGCGATGCCGAGCTCGCTAATCTTGAGATTGCTAACTCATGTCGTCGCCGCGCTCAATTTCATAAGCAGCTGCAATGTTCTACACGCTGATCTCCACGACGAGAATATCTTTTTGGAGGTCTCTCGCAACGAGGCTCCTAACTTTTACATCGCTGACTTTGGAGAAGCCGAGCAAGGTGCACTAACCAATGCTAGCAACAAGTTTCCTGAGGACGTCTTTATGGTCTGCATGAATCTTGAGAATTGGTTAGAAACTGGCCCAGATCTAACAGATGACAGAGATGAGCTTTGGCACTATCTGAACAATGATGTCCACTCAGTTCTTGCCGACCTTGTTGATTCTGCCAGCAATCAACTGCCCGATCTAAGACCTCTGCTTGAGGTTCTTCAAGCTGCACCCCAGGGCTTGCCAGTGCCGCTAGATGCGTGGATCCTGCCCCAAGATGAAGACACGCTTATGCCTCTGTATCACACTACGGAACAAGGCGCGCTTGAAGCTTCCAGAATAGCGGGCCCATGGTACGTGATGGAAGTTGCTTTGGACATACACAACTGTAATGGGCTCCCCAAGCCGATTCGTGTCGGCCTGGAAGCGCATGATCATCCCGGTGATATTTGATACAGAACAGTAGTAGTACTAGCGTCTTAAAGGTAAGAATTATCTCCACTGCTAATTGCGTTGTTAAAATAGAGTGTTCCTCTAGCATACTATAATATACTAGTATTTGCGATTGCCAGCCAAATGACGTGATTTTCTTTGCATCAGATGTATGGTCGCTGGGGGTTACAGCTCCCAGCTTACATTGAGTGATATATCTTTAATAATCAACTTCCTTCTTTACCATTCACATAACTGCACGTTTGCTTCATGACAAGCAGAGTGTAAATTGCGTGACATTGCGAGTTCAGTCTACGTGCTGGTTCCCATTTTCAACAAGGCTTGTGTGCGATACATATCATAGCGCGTCTTTACAGATATGTTTCAGACTGGAAACTTGACTAGCCTCCGAATGCTCGTATATCAAGCGTTCCTTTTGTCCTCCCGTCTGCTCTTGCTTTGCGGATCGAAGTAAGGCTTCTCCCCCAGACTGACTGCCCGAGACCCTTTTCTCTCCCCCAAACCTTCCTCGCCGACGTAATCTGGCGTCGCAGAATGATAGACGCTGCGGTTGTCCCAGATGGCGAGATCATTAACGTCATTCCATCGGTGACGAACCTGCAGGTCATGGTTCTCCACAATCAGGCGGACGAACCAATCCAAGAAGTACTTGGACTCGTCATCAGATAGACCGTGGATGTGCTTGACGTGGTGGCCCACAGCGAACACAGACTTCCAGCCAGTCAGGGGGTTGGTGCGCACGACAGGATGAATGGCCTCGAGGATTTCACCGACGTTCTCAGGGGCGCCGCGCGCCGAGGCGAAAAGCTTGAAGTTGTTCTTCTCGGCTGCTGCGTTGAAGTCTGGCTGAGCATAGTATGCCGTGAGCGTGTCGAGGAAGCTTCTGAGTGTCGGCGAGATGCGGTCATAGAGCTCGTACCCCGAGGCCCAAAGTGTATCTGCAGGGCTCTGTCAGTTGCTTTTATCTTTTTTTGAGGTGGGAAGCTCCAGGAGGGCGAGATGTTATCATACCTCCTCCAGTCTTTGGCAGCTGAGTAAGTCTCAGCAAGGCATAGTCACTAGGGACTTTCTCAAAGGTAATATCCGAGTGCCACAGACTCTTTGCGGATTGCCGGTTATTATTGTTAATCGACTTGTAGCGATCGGAATAGAGCTTTTTGGCCTGCTCAGAAGATATGACGCTGATCTCATCGTCCCTGCCTCCATGCTCCCTCGATGCGTTGTTCACCGGGTGAATATGCAGTTTGGAAGTGGTCGGTTTCCCCGTTAGTTCCCCCAGACGCTGCACAAGTCCCTTTTGGAGATCGTCGGTGATATTGTCCTGCTTGCGGAAGAAGACAACGCCCCGCTGTGAGACTACAGCATCGAGACAGCCTTCAGTCAGTTGTGATGTTCCAGATGCAGCATTGCTCACCAAATTCCTAGACAGGGACACGTATATACCCAAGTTCAGAGAGAATAATACTACGTACTGGTGATTCCAAGGTCTCTGATCAGCTCGTCTGAGTTTGGGGCTCGAAGCCATTCGGCTAGATCAGCGTCAATGAACTCGCGCCCGATGACTGGGGTTACATCGAATGCCTTGAACTGGTCCAGGGCACCGCTGAGCTTTAATGGTTCGCGATGATTAACCTCGAGCTTTGGCAGCACATCAATGTCAGCTGACTGATCATTGTTCTCTCCGTCCCCCTCTTGCTTTGAAGGTGTCAAGGCGGCTTTCACGTTCTCAATCACCGTGGTGGTTGTTTCAGTGGCGGATGGGGACATGTTGAAAATTTCAATGAGCACCAAGGGCTTGGTGGCAGTGGATTATCCTCACAGACTGGATAAAGACCCGCAAGCAACCTCTCATGTGTAAGTCTAGAGTAGTGAAAGTTCAGTCCACGAGCACGAGGGCGCCCCCTAGTATCTATATAGGCCCAAAATTGACTTTCTGTTCCCATTGCTCCGATCTATGGCAGAGACGATGGCGCAATCCACCGGTCCTATTTGTGGTTGCCAGCCACCCACTACCTGGTGACCAAGGCGTGATTTGAGACTACACTGGTTAATGTGCTGCTTTCAGCATGAGAGCAGTTCTTTGAATCAGGCAACGCATATCCCTGTGGTGGAAGTTGGGGGTGGACTTGCGTGCGATGGGATATGGTGTAGATTTGCCTCAATTCAAATTCCGGCAGTATCAGTTGGAGCCAAGATAACATTCAAATCCGTTTTGCCTATCCGACAACATTATCAACGAATGAATTTCATTTCGTTCCCTCCAACCTGCATTTGTCTTGCTCTCTCCACCTTCCCCACGTTTTATGACATGTGAGACTACGGTGATGCCATTTTCGTGCCGATCACGACCGAGACGAAACGTGCTGGGCAAATGCGATCTTCAAAAATAGATTTTTCCGATTGGAAGTCACAATAGCCTTTCACACAGTACAGGACTTGTATTATAATGTATGGCTCGAGGTCTGTGTTCCGGTTGTCGAGCCAAAGATTCTGGGAGCGATAGCCGGCAGGTAGTCGACACATTCGAACCTCACACGAAAGGCCCGCTAGCCGACGAGACTCTTGGCTTGTCAGCGTATGAATGACGAAGCTGAAGTACAGTGCTATCAATTGACAGAGAGCTTGTTCCCCAACGATAAATCTTGTTGAGCGTCTCAAAGCAGCGTAGAAACCAAGAAGGACGGCTTTGAAGTTTGTGGAGCACGTCGGATCACTCTTTAGCATTCAATACCAACCGATGGGCACGAAGTTTGGTTTAGGGCTCAAATGATTCACCAGGTCAGGAGTACGATTATCACACGGGCGATGATGATAAGTGACAACAAAGACCAGAAGGCTTAAAGTTAATGCACCGCACAATACCAATTTGTGTTTCACTATCTGCTAAGAACAACAATAATTTAGAAATTTCAACGTGTGTAACATCAGTCAAACTTGTCTTGGTCGAATGTGTTCCGCAAAGCCAAGTCCAGATCACCTCCCCGCGTTTCCCTCATGTGCCTCTCAAAAGACTGCGTCGACATCTGGACCTTCTCAAACAGAGCTCGATCCAGCACGGGTCCAGCAGGACCTTGCTGGCCGCGGCTCCTCGCCAGCGCCATTTGGTCGGCGTAGTTGTGGTGAGCCAAGCTGCTCGTGATCTGGAACGCATTGCGGATCTGGCGGCCGTTCCAGCAGCCCGACATGCGCGCGTGCTCCTCGTAGTGCTTGCTGGCGAACTCGACAATCTCGGCCTCCTTGATCAGCAAGGCCGGCTCTCCTGTGAGCTGGTGTCTCTGCGACTCGATCTCGCGCAGCTTGGCCACGTTGAGGCGGAAGATGTCGCGCGTCTGCGCCTTGTCTAGAGGCGGGTAGTAGAGCGACATGTGGATACGCGACCTGAAGGCGTCGTCGATGGTGCCCACGCGGTTAGTGGTCAGGAAGAGGATGCCGTTGTAATACTCGAGCACGCGCAAAAAGACCGAGACAAGCGCGTTGCGCTTCATGTCCTGCTTAGACCGCTGCGACAAAAAGACGTCAGCCTCGTCGAGCAGCAACACGCAGTCCCACATGTGCGCCAGGCGGAACACGTTGGTCAGGGACCTTTCGACTTCGGACGGCGAAAGACCCAGGTCGCCGCAGGTGATGACGAACAGGGGCTTCTGGTTCTCCATGGCCACGGCCTCGGCGGTGGCTGTCTTGCCTACACCCGGAACTCCGTGCAAGAGGACAACGAGACCCCGACCTTTGCCCTGGATGAGATCCTGACTGGGACCTTCTGTGGCGATGTCAATGTACTTGCGCTCGATGGTCTTCTTCTCGAAGTGGGAGCCCACGAGGCCACGGACGATGTCCTTGTAGTCCTTCAAGATGCGTAGGTTCTCGAAGACGCCCTGCTCACGACGGATCGGCTTGAGGAAGTTGATGTCGATGGGCACGAAGCGGCGCTCGCGCAGGACGTACGAGAACATGCGCTTGGGGAGAAGGACGAGATCCTCCTCGCAGAGGTCCATCGGCTCCGTAAACTTGACCTGGCGGCTGCTGCGGCCCGAGTTGCGTACGCGCTGGCTCAGGAAGGTGTCCACGGCTAGGTTCTCACGGCGCTGTCGCAGCTCGACGCCATCCGTCATCTGGATGACCTCGGTCTGTGCGAAAGCGAGCTTGGAGCGAGAGCCGTTCAGCCACTGCTGAATCTTCATCTCGTCCTCTTCGAAGTTGCAGGTGATGGGCTTAACGGATTTGGGGCGGTGGAAGGTGGGCCGCCAGTCCGAATTCCGCTGGAACGCTTCGTTCATGTCGACGATCACGTCGCTTTCTACGTACTCGGGGTGGCGCCAGTGCTGGCCATCCTCGTTGCGGAGAACCTCTGCATCGCGATCATTGTAGTCGTACGGGTCGTGGGGCGGGTTGCGGGTGACGGTCCACGCGTTGTAGGCCTGGTGTCGCTCCTTGGGGCTCAGGTATCTCTTGAAGTCGCGGCCCTGCTTCTTGTGGCTCTCGAGGACCTGTTCATGGTTCTCGGCGAAGCGGATGGGGAACACCTCGAGCGAATCGATAGATCGCTCTCCGGGGAAAGCGTCAACGAAGAACTTGTGGCGGACGGCACCAAACTCGGCACCGTCATGATCGATGTAGTAGGCACAGATGGTGAACCTTTCATCTTCTTTCTCTTCGCGGAAATCTTCGAGCCAACCATAGCCTGCCGTCGGATACTTGACTGTGGCACGATTGATTAGTTTTATTTGTCAAATCACCACGGCAGAAAAGTACTAACTGTCTGGTTGAGGGCTTTTGATTCGGTACACTCTCCAAAGCTCGTGGTACCGCCCACTATTGTCGTTGCTCGCGGGCATATAGATCAAGTCTCCGACACGGAACAGCGACCAGAGGTCCTCGTAGCGAACCTTGGTCGCCGACGTACCATTATACTGATTGTATAGAGGCATTACTTCGGTCTCGACGAAGTTCACGTAGCAGCGCATGTCCCGGAGCGCCTGGAACCCGTCCATGATGATCTCCTGATCCTCTGCGTTGGAATCGATCGACTGGAGCGACTTTCGGTCGGAGTCATCGTAGTCTTCGTCGTCGTCATCATTCGCAGAATCGTCGGCCGCCTCATCACGCTGCGCCGCAGCCTTGGGAGGCTCGACGCTGGACTCACCGACGAACTCGATGTCATCAGCAGTCTCGATAGAAGTCTCGGAGTCCTCCTCCTCCAAGCCCTCAACATCGCTCCATTTCTCCTCTAGAGCAGCCAAGACGTCCTTCATCTTTTGCTGGTAGTAGATCAGCGGCTTGAAGGGGCGTACGAACGTCCTGGGAGTGGATCTTCTCTCGGTCTCGCCCAGCAACGAGGTAAGATGGCCCAGGACTGCCTGGGAATTTATGCGGATCCGCATCATGTTGGTTCCTTGGAGTTGACCCTGGTGATGATCAGCTTCCTGTTCACAGCCGCCACGGCGAAATTTCACGGCCACCTGACAATTTGTCCTGAGTGGATGAAAGCGACTGATTACTTACATCATCGGGAGCAGGAAACTTCTTGTCGCTACCGCCCGTCTTGCCCATCATTGGCGGCTCATAGGCGTATACTGGGACATCAACAGTCAGTGAAATCCTCCATCATCAAGAAGGCTAAAACCATACATAAACGTACCTTGGGGCCCATAAAACATCCCATACTTTTGGCGCGTCCTCGCCATCTCCTCCTTACGGCGCGCTGCCTGCTCCTTGCGGATCTGCGCCTGCAGGTTGGGCGCGGCCATAAGGACCTCGATAGCGTAATCACGGTCGCCAACTTCGTGGAAGCGGTTCTTGAAGGCCTCAAAGTTTGAGAACTTGCGCACCTCGGGGATCTTGGGCCGCCATTTGGCATCGGCGCGGCGCCGGTCAGCCGCCAGGTGCTCGCGGCGCTCGGCCTCCTGTTTGGCGGCCTGGAGGGCGGCGTAGTCTGCACCGCTGCGCTTGCCGGTGCCGGCCCCGGCGTAAGCTGTTGACGGCAGCGGTTGGGACAGCTTGCCGCCACGGGTGGTGGGCTTTCTCCTTGCGGCTGCCATTGTGCTGAGTATGACGGGGATGTGCTTCTCTTCGTAGGCGAAGACTATGTAAACCCTGGAGTTTAGCGGCGATGGGGAGATCTATGCAAGTTTGCCGGCTGTGTGATCAGAGGAGCAATGTGGTCTTAATGATGACGAGGACATAAATAATTATATTATCAGTTATACTAGGTATTTAGGTATATATATACACAGGCAATCCCATCATCGTGTTTACTTTCGAGATTCCTCGCATGGGCCTCACACTGCTTTGCCTAATAGGCAACAGCAGCTCAGGCCCACTTTTCGCAGGGGCGCAAGGTCTAAAGAACCCTGCACTTGAGGCTCTAGTTGCGGCACAGCACTATCGCGAGCCAATCCGCGCGAGCCAGCGCAGAGTGAACCCATAAAGATGGGGACTCGTAGGAATGTGCCTTGCCACGCACAGCGGTGTGACTGCAGATGCACAGAGTCAACGCCAACTTGATGAGCCTCCACACAACTCACAACCGTCATCGACTGCCGCAGCAGTGTCGGCATGGCATATCGTTTTGCAGAGACTGTGAAATGTCAAGCAAGTCGATGGTAGCGTTTTCCACATTTCGAAGGTACCCGCGACCCACACATATGTAGCAAAAAGTTGCTAGAAGGAGACCTACGAATGCTACAATAATGGCACTAATAGGCGAAAAACTATGATCTCGCACTTCTCCTTTAGTACCAAGCTTGATGATCAAAGCATTGCACTCTGAACGACTCTTCGGCCCTGAAGGGGCCAACCGCCCTGAACCTCAGCCACCAGCCTTAACTATTGGTCTGATAAGCAGAGTTGATATCAATTGATTGCTGCCTGAGTTTTGGAGGGTGCCGATTGAGAAGAAGCACGAGAAAGTAAAGACACGGTTACCACTTTCATCTAGGGAGTGCTTGGATGTGTTATGTCGAGAGTCATGCGAAGTCCCGCGTGGGAATCTAGGACCTATCATCGGCGTCAAAGTAACGTCGACCCCAAAAACCTGAAGTGGTGGGTTAAGCCAGTCCGAGTGATTTCCTCCATTTCTTCCCTCGTTAAAGTGAGCTGTAGTGCTCCCAGATAATCATCCATTCTGTCAATACTGGTTGTTGTTGTGATTGGCACGACATTCTGGTCCAGGCTCCATCGAAGCAGAATGGTACTGGGTGCAACACCGTGTGAAGCTGCCGCCTTGGCCACAATATCGTCCAAAGGCCCACCTTTTCCAACAGTGATCGGTGCCAACCCCTTAAAGGATGAGACCACGATGCCTTGTTCTCGGAGCCAGGTAATGTAGTCATGGGCCCGCTGGAGGTATGGGTGGTACTCGAGCTGGTTGATTGCTGGTGTGATCGTGGCCGTCTGGAGAATTGTCTCGACGTGGTTTTGCTGCATGTTGGAAATACCGATGGATCTGGCCTTTCCTGAAGCCTTTGCATTTTCGAGGCCCTTCCAGGCGGCTTGCAATTCTTGGGCGGTTGGAATGATGAACGGGTTGTGAAGTAGGTAGCTACATTATTGGTCTGGATGAGCTGCAACTCCACAAAGAGCCAAATGGTGGTGAACTTACAGATCCACATACTCCAGTTGCAAACGCTTCAAGCTCTCATCGATAGCGCCTTCGACGTCAGCCCAACCGTCTTGGACCTTTGTTGTGATGAAGAGCTGCTCTCTGGGTACACCGCTCTCCTTGATCGCCACCCCCAATTCAGGCTCGGTTCCGTAAGAATCAGCGCAGTCAAAGTGAATGAAGCCTTTGCTGACAGCAGACTTCAAGACTTCGACAAGAGTGGGGTCAAACGGGTCCTTCGGGTCATTCTTATACCAGGCAGTGCCGGTGCCAAATCCAATCTGGAGAGGCAAACCATCTCAGTTAGGTGGTTACATGGTATGATTGATCGTGTGGAAGAATGGGTGCGCACCTTTGGAATGTTGTTGCCATCGTTTAGAAGCAGTACTGGTATCGCCATGGTGGTATTTTGCTGGAGTGAGAAGGAGTTGACTCGAAGAGTTACAGGCGACAAGTAAGACGAGCAAGATACTGGCACGTCCAAAAACGGCAGACTCCCAAAAACGGGCTTGAAATCCCTAATCTTGCTCTGGAACATGAGCTGTGACCGATCTAAGCTGCTGGAAGCAGTGTTGAGAAAGCATGCCGAAGGGGCGAGACGACGGAAGTGGGGACACCTGGGCAGGTGCCATATGAACATCAAGCGTGGCTAGGTGCATAGCCCTGTGTACCTGCAACATTGAATCCAACTTGGGCCTGACCTACGAAATGCCATGCCACACCTTCCTATCGAAACCCGCTTTATGAGCATTGCGTTGCCAAATTGTTTGATAGGAGAAGAATAGGGCGCTAGTTCATAGGACACTGTTTGGTCAACGCAAACACCCAATAACGTGGGTGCACCCAGTTTAGCCAACCCTTTGATTTAGCCACCCTCGCTAAGTATTAAAAGTCTACTTGCAAAATGGCTTGTGTTGCTCGGCTGCTTCTTACGTACTTTTCCAGTGGGGTCACTTAATACTGCCAGGCTGCGCCATTCCTTCCACATGTGCACTAGCTTTCTACCACTTGGGCCAAGAAAATGGAAGGATGCGTGAGGGAAAGCGAGGTGGGGAGGGCTTCCTTGCTCCCATATTCGCCTGCGTGCTTGTGGTTTGCAGGCCTGTAGGCTTTTCTGGAACTAAGAGTGCTCAAATGAGCCATGGCTGCTAGCAAGGCTTTTAACAACATTCTTCTGCTGGACAGCAACGCTGCGGAACGCATCCCCTGAAGGAACCACTGAGTAGGGATTTCACGTTGAACGGGGGACTGAAGGCGAGCATGTCCTGAGTCAATGTCTTTATCGAGTCTATAAATTTTTCACTGGACTACGCTCTTTTCACCGCTGTCGATCCTCTAAAGTCACGGTTTCCAGACTCGCAGCCTGACCTGCTGAGGGCGCCGACCTGAAGACAAAAGCCGAAACTTGCTCGTTGGCGCAAAGGCATCGATGCCCGAATTTGTCGAGCAGCGCTTGTTGCTACTCATCACCGGCTCCTCCGTAGAGACTCACAACTATCCGTGCATTTTCAAACACCTCCATTATATGACGAAGAAGCAGAGTTATGAACTGGTCCATTGTTTACATGAAGATTTTCATCCACATCAATCGCCATTCTACAAATTTCTCGAGGCGTGTTCGGATAACAACCGTTGAGGCAATGAATAAGTATCGATATCTAGCGGAGATGCTGTAATGGAACACATCAATATTCGTGACGAGTACATAGAATAACACCCTGGTTCTTGAACACCCTGATGACGGTCCATAATTCTATCAGACTGAGGGATTGTAGTTTTGTGTTGATGATTCTGTTACCTCGATTGCTAGAGAGATAAAGATGAACTTTGTTCCAAGCTTTTGGAGAAATTCCGTGCCTCCAGCAATTTAGAACCCGTCCAGGTTTCCGCGTTTACTGATCTTTCAGTAGTTCCGCCAAATACTGTGACGCTTGTCGTCTAAGCGATTTCGAAGTACGAAGTTTAGATCATAAAACAGCTCTTGGAGTAGGCTCTTGATATGCGATATGTACCATTTGAGAACACATTGGTGTTTTCAAAAGATTGTGCCGTGTGTGAAAAGGTTTGACGTGATATATACAAATAGCAACATTGTATCTTAATACTTGAGCTACGGATCATAGAATAGAGTTGTTTAATATTGATTTGACCACGAATTGGCGCGCTCTGCGGAAGCACATCGTAAGAGGCAAGGTGTAGCAGGACTAAGAAAAAGTAGTGCAATTTCGCATTAGCACCTGGTGCAACAGACGACGGGGTTTGCCGCTCTAAGCTGCATTGGTTGTGAGGGTGTGGGGGACTACGGGCCAGACCTCCCAGAACGCCAAGCTTCTCCGTATCCCATATGTGTGCCTTGAACCCACCACGATGTCTGACAGGGCGCGGGACCTCGAGATTGTCAGACTAATGATAAGCGGGAAATTGCAGTGGTAAATCTACGCAGATGCGGGGTACAGAGCAGGCTTATCATAGTTGTTGTCTTCTTCAAGGAAAACCTCGTAGATCTTCATCCTCAAGGACTACGGGGTTTGAGAGAACAAGCCTTCTTTCCAGGATGCTTCCTCTTGTTCTAGCCGCCTATTATACGGTGCTTGTTGCAGCTTTGCCGACTAACAGTAACACCTCAGCTACTTGCCAGGACCCCCCTGTTCGCAAAGAATGGTAAGCCGAGCACAATCCTCATAGCCCTGATAGTTCCGTCCCATGCTGACCGAACTTGCTTCAGGAGAGCTTTGAGTAAAATCCAGCAAAGATCGTACATCGATGCAGTCCTGTGTCTCCAGGATATAACAGCAACGTCGGGATTTGAGCCTGCGAAGAACCGTTTCGATGATTTTCAAGCAATCCACAGTAATCAGACACCAGCAATTCATTGGGTAGTTCGTAGTCTCCGTTCCGCGCGGTTTTGCACAACCACGAGCATGAGCTCACCAAGAGGCAGGGACATTTCATTTTGTGGCATCGATATTTCGTTGCGACCTACGAGACAGCTCTGAGAGAGGAGTGCGGCTATGAAGGAGGCCAACCGTAAGTCGTTGAGACTGGTGATAGCCTTGTCTTTATCATGGACTAAAATGGCCTTTACAGATACTGGGACTGGTCTCTCGACGCATCGTTGACCAACAACGACAGCACTGCTATCTATGAGACAGCCATCTTTGATCCTACGTACGGATTTGGAGGAAATGGACCCTACGTCAATGCAACTGCGGAGCAGAACCCGCTCAACATCACCGGTCATACTGGAGGCGGCTGTGTCATGACTGGTCCCTTCACTTACCCTGGGTTCAAGATCAACGTCCCATCCACTGGGTGCCTCAAGCGCGACTTCACGCCATGGATCATGAACTTCTTTGCTCAGCAGGCCTTGGTTGATCACGTTCTTGGTCAACCAGACTATACCAGTTTCGCGTTCGCTATTGAGAACGTACCGACATTTGACCAACCCAATATTCATGGAAGTGGCCACTTTGGCGTGGGAGGTGTTTTGGGCACCATTGGAGACGCTTATAACTCACCAGGAGGTAAGACTGATCTTTCCCCCCGTGCAATTTATGTACAGTTCTTTGCAGCACGCTGAATTTGCAATAGACCCTCTATTCTACTTGCATCACGGTAATCTGGATCGAATCTTATGGGAGTGGCAGTCCAAGGACTTGGAAGTTCGACTGAATCAAGTTGGCGGACCCATCACTCCTTTTGATTGTGGGGGCACGAATGTGACTTTGGATTTCGAGGTCAATATAGGGGCTCTTGCTGGCAATGCTTCTCTCCATGATCTTCTCAACCCAGTGGGAAAGACTTTGTGTTATACTTACTAGTGGAGAATGAATAATAGCGTGGAGTATATCAGCAAATCCTGTTAGACAGTATGTTCTCTCAGAAAAAGAGAGCTCATAGTAGTCCCCAGCCTCGTTGAAAAAGGTTGAACACGGATCCCTCAATCATTGCAAAGACGCAATGCTGTCGTCAAGACTGGTGAGACTCAGCTCGACCGTTGTCGGCCATTCTTGGCAGAAAATAGCAATGTCAATCTACTGAGAATCAGCATTCATATTATTAGACTCGAATTGACGACAAAGACGATGATGAACAAATTTCAGCTTGCTCTAGGCAACTTGGGTTCTCCCGCTCCATTCGGGTACGCACGCCATCCCACATCAAGACTCATATGTACCGGAAGCTCTGTCGACTCATAATGTGAAATATAACTGTAGCTCTGTGAGCATATATGATGATCTATGCATAGCCTTTGTTCTGAATTAATCTCACAATGTGGTCAAACTTTTGCCTTTAACCCTAGTTTATATTGATGCTTCCTACTCCTGAGTTTAGCAAGAAATGTATATAGGCCATGTCTAATCATTCGGTGTGAGGACCACCGGATCTGGATCAAGCATAAACTTATCTCGTCCCAAGACTCACAGCCAGTGACACATTGCTCGAGGCGTAGAACGAACTTGGATGAAATCGTAAGACTTGATTGCTCATGCCCGCTTTCAGCACAGTCTACTGATGCTAAACACTGAAGCGATCCACCTAGACCCTTCCAGCAGATCGTCAAAACCGACACTGGGAGACAAGTTGCATCTTTCCGGCCAGATTGCCCTGCCCTGGATTCAGCATCATGACGCTGTCTTAGATTTACATGACGAGCACTCACATTCCCTGAAGCCTACCCCCGCAAAAGCCGCAATTTAGCAGAACTATTGAGCTAACTGACAACTTGAATGCTGCCCGCGTCACACTTCGACAGCTCTCGTTCAGAACCGCTGCAATAACGTGGCCCCTTTGTTTCGCCCGTGCGACTACTGTCACAGCAGAGGGAGTCAGAATCATCATGCCGCATGAGATCATATGATGAAAACTTACTCTGTGTCTTTGAAAAGCAGATCGCCTCCGAAAGCCGACTGCCACGTAAATCCGATCAACCCCACCCAGGACCAAGCATTCGATGGCTTGTCACTGGAATTGTCCGGCGAGAATGGTAGAAGTCCCTTTGGAGGTAGAATTTTCGATGATGTCAACGACGGCTGAGAAGCCATGGGCTCTTGACGACCGAGATTTTCAAGCTGAACTGAAGGGAAAATTGGGCATTCGCTGGATGCAAACAGGACGACAACGCTGATGTGATGATTGATGGACCTGCCCCCTGGGCTATGACTGAGAATTGTGTACGGCCACTGATTGCAATGGGCTGAAGCTTATGGACGACTGAAGAATATGGACGACTGGATGTGGGCGACAGAGGATGTGAACGACTGAGGATGTGGACTGGGACTGAGGAGAAGACCTAGAACCCGAAGCAAGAAGCTGCTGCTGGCGAGAAAGCCGTTTTGTTTGTTGGTGATTAATGATTATTGATTGTTGATTGATGATTGATCCTGATTTGTTCCCCTTGGGGTTAAGCCGGTCCGCCACGTCAAGGCTCGAGATATGGCAGGGTTTGTATTTCTTTTCTTTTCTTTTCTCTTTTCGGTTCCTTGTTTTTTCGGCGGGGTTCTAGGTCATCCTCCTCCCCCTCCCCCTACGTCTCCTCCCCCTCAAGTTCTACTCCTCCTCCACCTCCTCGTCGTCGTCCTCCCCCTTCTCCTCCCCCTTCTCCTCCTCCTCCCCCTCCTCGTCTTCCGAGCTCGATATCCCGCCCACGGCGGGCAACGCCCCGGCGGTCCACTAGAGACAGGTTAGTCTAGAGCACTGGATATCAAAAGACTAGAACCAGACCAGTCAAAGTTGGTTTGGCTGGTGAATCCAAGAAGAAAACAATTCGCGGAATGGTGGGGCAGTTCATCACTTACGGCAGCGGACCAACAGAGGCACAAGGGCCCCCGCCCAAATCCCTGCTGCGGCCAACGAGCCCAGGGCAATGCCCGCCTTGACCAGACTCTCTGGCGACAACATTGTGAGGGTTTGAGGGTGAGTGGTGAAATCTTGTACTAGTTGATCGATGTTCTGAATTGCTAAAAGAGGAGCAAGGAGCGCCATCAGCAGTGGTATGATAATGACGCGAAAAGAATAAAGCAAAAGAGAAGAAAGGAGAAAATCTCCGCAGCGTCAGATGAGAGAGTTTGTTGACTCCAGGAGAGAAGAAGAGAGAAGGGAATCTCAGCAGTGCCCAGATGAGGGGAATTGTTGACTCCGGGTCATGCGCACCGTCTTTTTTCATGGCAGGTGCGTCCTGCAACTCAGGCCTAATCATCATCACAATCTCAGGAGAGGAAGGTGCACGTTACGGTCATAAGGGCTTTCTTCGATTGGGCCTCGTGCAGCGATATTGACCAACTTCCACGTAATCCGGCCATCATCTTGCTGCACATTCAATTCCCGTCACTATCAATACGAACCTGCCTCTTTATTTGCGGCATGTCATGGTCGGTAGACTTTGGCCATAACGGTAAGGGAAGGTGCGCTGTTCCTGATTCCGGGCCTCTGTCGAACTCTCCCTCCTTATCAGCAATAATACTCTGTGGCTGTTGATCCCGTCTGGATTGGAATTCCATCAAGACCTGGCAATACGTAGACGCGTAAGAGTGTTTGTATGTGGCCTATGTCTTTTGATTATTCAAATATAAAGCAAAGGATTGTATATTTAGACTACGTCAGTGATCTATCTAGAGCCTGACTTTGAGCCGACGACGAGCCTCGGCGGCGCGTCGGCTGCAGGGCCATTGAAGAAAACAAACTTAAGTTCAGCACTTGAGGTGTACCCTTTGTGGACACAACAATGAATGAGCAGGGCAAGGAGGGGAAATCCGGGGGGGAGGAGGAGGTTATGGAAGAAGGTAATTGCTTAAGGGTGATCAATTTCAAGATGTTCTCTGCTGAAAAGGTTTCCCTTAAGGGATAGCTTCCTACAGGATAACCTCCTGTGGGATAGCCTTCTATGGGATAATCTCCTGTGGGATGAATCGGGTTGGGATAATCTTCTAGAGATGGAGGTAATCAAGCCAAAGGAACTCCTCTATTATTTCGAGCGCAAGGCTTTCTCAGACGACCAGCCAGACAAGCTCGCGCCCTTTCCTAGCAACTGCTCGGCGGCGACCAGTTTCTCTTCATGGCCACGTACTACACGGTCTTCCCAGTCCTGGCAAGAGAGGTCGAGTGCGGCGCCGCTGCGCTCGAGGTGGTCGAGAGCCTCTTTGAGTCTCCAAGACGCTCCATCAGGCGCCACAGGTCAAAGATAAGGAGTTTTCGGGAGGCCCAACGCCGCATAGAACGATACAATATTCATCGTACAGAGAATGGGCTTGTACAACGAAAGTATTGTGGACCAAGCAACAGATTGAAAACCAACTTTGAACGAGTCTTTCCAAATACGAAGAACAATCTAATCCCAATTTTTCGATTCATGAGAAAAACACGTGCTGATTTCAGGCCGTTATCTTGGAAAAAGGCAGTCAGGAAGAGAGACAGCAGTAAGTCCACTGTATGATCTGATGACCAGTCATCACTACACCATATCACCAAATGCTGACAATCCTTCGTCTCGGTGTAGGCAGACTTTGTACTTTAGTCCTCGACGTCTTCCTGCTGCCGTAAATCGCGTTCCTGAATCGCGGCTGCTGATCTCCGGAACATCATCCTCGACTTCCTTGGATGAGTGCTGGTTTTAATTCATGAGCGATATTTCATCATTGCGACACCTGCAGCGTCACATTGAATGAGGGGAGGGTGGCATTTTAGTTGACAGGTGGTCTTTTGTAGACGTTTGTTTGGTGATTTCCCAGCGAAAGGCTAAATTGCCGCAGCTACAGAATTGGGTGTGAGAGATCTTGTGACCACCAAGGATTGTGAGGAGTTCCTCTTGAGAGTACAGGTCTTTCGACCGTATCCTACTAATAGCACGGTACTAATGCTTTATTTTGTACAATGGCGCTTCCTTCTATAGTGCCTGGTATTTCACCGACAATCCCAGAGCAATACTTGTCAATGCCTCCCGTTGTTGCTGGTCCTCACCCCAAGCCATGGGACTCATGCTAGATGTGATGTTTGGCGCAGTGCTGCAGTTCCGGATGCCACTACGAAATATAGCACTGGCTCAATGCTGTGCAGTCGAGAACTTCCTGGCTGGCCGCAGGTATGTGAAAGACATCAGGGCCGTCCATTTTGTTTCACCATAAAACACCCTCTGATGCAACCTTCAAGATAGTGACCAACTACCAACGTCTATCATGCCTGTCACCGTTGAATCCTTCCAAAAATCAATCCTGCCGCGACCTCGCTGCCTGCTTCCTCCGCACCACATAGAACAGAGTGCCAAGAACCCACACCACAACAAGCACGATGGCAGGCACAGGCGCAAAGACGGCGCCCCGCACGAGCACGAAGCCGCTGACCAAGGTGAAGATGACAGGGATGACCAGCAGCGGCTTGTACGGCCTCTTGAGGCCCGGCTCGCGGAAGCGCAGGATGACGGCGCCGAGCACGGTCAGGAAGAAGAAGGTATACTCGCCCAGGCCGTTGAACGTGAGCAGCGAGCGGAAGTCGCCGAGGAAGATGAAGAGGGCGGAGAGTATGGTGTTCAGGATGATAGCGTTCAGCGGCGCGTCGGACTTTGGTGCGTCGGCGTCGCTGTCTTCCTCTCCCTGGGACGGATTCCTGCCTACGCGGCCGAGCGTGGCGAAAAACTCCGGCAGCCAGTCTGCATTCGCTGCTGCCACAGCCATGCGGCCAGCGACGAAGGAGTTGCCTAGTAAGGAGCCGGCCACGACGAGGCAGATGAGGATTGCTGCTACGATGCCGAAACCCCGTCCGAGGAGGCGAGTGATGGCTGTCTACAATGGCTGTATGTTAGCATCATACCTAGATCTACCTTCTCTGTCAGGAACAAAAATGGGTACGTACCACGGCAACGCTGTCTGTTGTCGACACTACATCCCACGGCAGCAGGATGTAGTACGCAGCATTGGTCGCAAGGAAGCAGGCGATGATGGTGGGAATGGCGGTGTTGATCGCGAGAGGCAGCTGCTTGACCGGGTTGGACAGCTCCGCGGAGACGTAGATGCCCTTCTCCCAGCCAGAGTAGGCCCAGAGGGCGCCGTAGAGCGCGGCGGAGAAGTGGCCGAGAAGCTCCCACGTGCTAACATCGGGCCAGTGGGTGACGCTGCCATCCGGGGACACGGTATCTCGGTCGGCAAACCAGTTCCTCTTGATCCAGTCGCCGCCTCCCACCTTGCTGTCGGGGTGGGCCAGCTGGATGATGAGGACGACGAGGCCGGCGAGCACGACAGCAAAGATGCTGACGAATTTGGTGGTGACGAAGAAGTTGTTCAGCCGAGTGCTGGCCTTGGTGCTGATCGAATTAGCCAGGTTCATGACTACCATGATGAGGACGGATAGCAGCTTGTGCAGGACGCTGGCTGCCTGGTCTGTCACGCCGGCAGCAGAGAAGATGCTCTCCACGAAGACGATGCTCAGGATGGCCAGGGTGGCAGGCATGATGGCGACGACCCATGTCCAAGCGGCGATATGGCCAAAAATATCACCGTAGATATATTTCAGGTAAGGCTGCACACCACCCTCGCCCGGGATGGCCGTCCCCAGCTCGGCCATGGTGCTCGCGCCCGTCCAGGCCAGGACGCCGCCGACCAGCCACACGACCAGCGCGATCCCGGGCGAGGGCACATTTGTGTCGATCGAGCCAGGCGACGTGAAGATGCCGCTGCCGATGACGATGCTGATGATGATGGCAAACGCATCCAGCGCGCCGAGGTTCCTAGCGAAGCCCCTTCCCTGCTCCTCCCTCGGCACAGCGCCGGCAGCGGATTGCGCAGCGGCTACAGGCTCCTCAGTCCCGTACGTGCCATCTTGACCCCATGCATCGGCCAACAGGGGCCTATCTGCTCCGTCGTCTGTGGCTGCGGGAGGCATCGTGTCGGTTTTGGTGTGCAGGCTCTTTTGTCGGAGCCGGTGAGCGGCGGAAGAGTCATAAGAGGTGGTGGCATGAGCTAGATGACGCGAGGGTTTATTTACGCCCGAGCATCGCCGCAGTGACTAGGGTCAAAACGTCGATCCACTCAGACTTTAGGCTGTAACCCCACCGACCTCTGATTTCCATATGAATGTCTCCAGCTACTGTTTATTTCCGTAAGGTATTTATACACTTCTTCAGAAAACCCGTGCCAATGATTTCGCATTTCTTAACACTGTCTCAGCTGGTGTTGCTACCTTAGGGACTCTACCCGTGGCTTTTAAGCAGAGCAAAAAGAGATACTGTCTCGCCTGCCTCATCCAAACCACTTCAAACGAGGGGGACAGGACACGCACGTGAAGCCGAAGGATCTGATGGTTTTTCCAAGCGAATATTTCCTTTCATTCTCTACTCATATGTGATTGTGTCTGCCAGATGTCGGCCAATGTTGTGGTGCTGAGATAATCCAATGCAACCGACCTCACCCTTTGCCCCGTCCTTATACGCCGTATCCGAAGTACAGATTTGTTGCTCTGCAATGCATTCCCAAAGAATTTCCACCTCATCCATGGCTAATACATGTAGTGAGCGTCATATGCCTTTTTTTTTTCGTTCAAAGGTTGAGCCCCTAGCACGCTGAGATGCGACAACTGCGTGCCCAGTGTCTGAGAGACTATAGCTCAACCTCACCCTTCGTCTCCTTCTCGCCTTCCTCCTCCTCACCCTCAACATACCCAGCCAATCTCTCCTTCAGCTCCTCCACACTGATCTCACCGTCGACCGACTCCCCCGAATCTTTGCCGTGCTTGTGAGGAGGAATGAGGACGTTGGCAGGCACATGGATGACTCCATTCTTGGCAATGCCGTCCTGTACAGCGATAGGGATATATCCATTGATCTTGAGCCGAATGAAGCCCGCCCACCTGGCAACATCTATAGCCAGCCTCTTGTCCCCAAGGAGGGTGGGCAGGTCGAGGTGGTAGTGGCCGCGGCCGACATCGTCCTGGGTCTTGCTACCGTCGTCCTCGCCAGACGAGTAGTACGCGTCGCTGTACACTGTCTCATTGGCCACGATGTGGTACTTGAGGATAGCCTTAAGGTACTTGAGCCCTGTCTCGGTGTTGAACAGGAACGCGTTGGCGCCCGGGCCAAGCTTCTGAAACGCCCTGTTGTCCGGGGCGAAAACGGTGGAGCCGTTCAGGACCTGGTCATGGATGAAAGAAGTGAAGTCCGTCTTGTCGAACGCCAGCAGTAGCGTGGAGAACTTTCCGGGGAAGAGCGACAGCTCACGGCCAACGAACGGCGGCGGCACCAGGAGGCTCTTGACGGCGTGAATCACACCGTTCTTGGCTCCCTGTGGTGATGCACGTGTCAGTCTTACTCCCTTATGTGTCAGTGTCTAGAACTTAGAGACTTACAATGTCGACTGCTACGACCTTGCTGTAGAAGTTAACCCTCACACCGGACAGCAGGCCGACGCTCGTTCGGAGGCGTTGGGGCTTGTTCCCGAGTAGAGGCTCGTCCAGAGCAGTGGGCAGCGTGTGTGTCACTAGCACACGGCCAGCGGGGTACAGGCCAAGTCCGATGTGGTATTTAAGCACAGACTCGACAAACTCCTTGCTGGGCTTCTTGTCCTTGGGAATATGCTTGAAGGCACTATCAACGGGAACGAAGAGAGTGTAGTTGGCCGAAGTGCTGTTGAGCAGCTGTACAATGTCGTCGTACTCATCAACAAGCTTGGCAAATTCAGTCGTATACTTGCTCTGACTGATGAGCTGGTAGATGGTAAGGTTTGACTTCTTATGCGGGCCACGGTGGGGCTTGTCCGAGGCGTCGAGCTCCTCGACAGCATAGCTAGCCTCCTCCCCGAAGATGGACTCGAACTCGGTCTCGAGCTTGCCCTTGACAACGTGGATGGTCTCCTCTACCCCAGACGACAATGAATCCACGACATCGTGAACCGAGGAAGAAATGGAGTCGGCCGAGGGGAACCAATCCTGCCACGAGCTGTCATCATGGTGCGGCGCCTGTCCATGCACGGGAAGTTGGGAGAATGTCTCGATGTCGGGGACGACGAAGGCACTGGCGGCCGCTGCCAGCGGAAGAATGGTGAAGGATCTCATTTTGGGAGCTCAATAAGTCGAGCGGGATGGGTTGAGAGGAGGAGATGGAGGTTGGCGAGGAATGAGGAGAGAAAGTTAATACTCAAGTCCCGGGTGAAACAAAGCATTAGTTCCTAAGTGGCACTTGCGCGCGATGTCTTGATGATCTGACGTGACGTCAAAACGCAGCCGTTGGATCCGGAGGCTTCTTCCTGCAGTTCTTACACTTGAGCTGTCTGTCGGACATCCAGCATTCAAATCTGACATGCAAAAGCCGCATTTAAACCCAACGGAAGCACGACTTCTCGGTCTGTTTTGACGTCTAGCCTATAGGCACCAATGCGATGATGATTGCATTGACTTTAGGTACCCGGTAGTCGTCATCAGTTTCAGCCGTGATGCCATGCGATTGGAGCTCGATCCAGGCGAGCTGAGCTGGGCGGCAGCTCGAGCTCCAGCTTCGGGTCGATCAACCCTCCGAGCCCGACTGTCCGTTCCCCATCTTCGGGACCGGACCGGCTGCCTACAAACCACAAACTCATACCTCTCTGTGGAGCCTTTTCCTTTATCCGCCAGCTTCAATACCCGACTATAACTCTACGGCTGTTCCTCGTTCAGTCTGGCTGCTCTTCAAGACCTGTTGAGTTTCTGTGACGGATGAACTTTTCGGCAATTGAACACCCCCCCGGCCCAAAAAAAAGGGGTTGGTCTTCTTTTGGCGGGCTTGTAAGCAAAGGCTTGCAAGGCACCAGAATATAGAGGCAATAAATGTATTATAACGAATAGATATAATCTTCCGGTAAATATCATTATCAGTTGGCCTCATCGCCACCATGAAAGAAAGATTGATCCACCATAATTGACAGCTCCAAGTACGTGTCAAGTAATGAATCCAGCTGTCGCCCCTTCCCCTTCCAGGGTATTCAGCAAGGAATTGAATGCGCATTCTTATGCCTTTTATTCGCTGTTTGCAACCGCAATTGAGTGGGTATTCTGATCCGCCGTGCTGCTCTGCCCATGGTGTGGGTGGACGAGAGACGATGCCGAGGCCATGGGGATCTCATCGCGAAAGACAACATTGGATATCGTGGAGACTTTTCGCAATTCTCCATCTCGCGACATTTAGAGTTGCCCACTAACCGAACACACGAGGTTGCCCTTCTCGATCCTTCGGAAACAACTAGGGAGCGAGACCTCAAAGCTGGCGGAGGCCACCACAACATCTCTGCCATACCTGTCTTACCTCTTTCCGGTTCCCGGCCTCTCTTCTTTAATTTTTCCTCCCCCTTCTTTTTCTGTTCCCGTGTTTTCACTTCTTCTCCCACTGTCTTCCTCACAAAGCTCTGATGACTATCTTTGCTCAAGCCAATGTTATACCTTTTAGGTCGTTCCATTCTCCTGAGGCGATCGCATCCACTCCCATTACATCTCCTCCCATTCCATCACATTTCGCTCAGTTCTCCTTTATTTTTTATGTATGTTCACACAACGGTACTCGCATGCACCAGTCTCGCCCTTCACCATGGCAAAATTTGTGCAAGACTTTGCGGAAGTCAAGGTGGAGACGTGTGTAGTTCGCTTTGCCATATTAGGCCTGTACCAAGTCATGTTCTCCACCACTGTGTCAACTATATAGGAATTCTTTTGTCCTGCTTAGTCATAGATGGTTCGATGGTGTAGTTGGTCATCACGTTTGCCTAACACGCAAAAGGTCGCCAGTTCAAGCCTGGCTCGAATCATTTTTTGTTGTTTTGCTCTCTGCTTTGGTTCTTGGTTGGCTCAAGGAGGCTTCGACGTTTTGGTGCCAAGATGAGGTCATTAATTAGTCCACACAGCCACCTGCAGAGCTTGCTTTGGAAAGTCAGGGATATTAGGTAGGCTGAAGGTGCAAAGGGCACGTCTTGTCCGTGGTGTTGGGATACATCGACGCGAGTGAAACTCATAGAGTTGCCACTCTCCTCTCCCGCGAACAGTGATTTACGGCGTCAGTCCATGGTACAGTTTCCCCAATTGCAGAAATTGATGGCAATAGTTTCGTAACCCGGGGCTTTGTTCAAGTGTCTTGGGGCGACGGTTGACATGGCTTTGGGTCTAAATAGTCATATGATTCGCTTTCTCCTGAGTCCTTCTATATTCCTAGGGTGAGAGATACCTCTTTCGTGCTTCATTTTCGGCTCTATCGCGTCAATAAGAGAGTTGAACGTCGTAGCAGCAGAAGCCATGTTTATATGGTCCTTCTCTTGCCGATAGCCTTCGTTGCTGATGCCATTAAAGACCAAGGGGTCGCAAAAGCAAACCGCGAAAGACATGCCATTAAAGAGACAAATTCTCTATTTGGTTTCACGTATTGCGAAGTAATTATTTGAAAGTGCCTTGTATTGGGTCTATGGTATCCGCCGGACATTCTCCCAGTACATTGCTTCCTGAAGTGCAAATCTAGCCAAAGTGAGCATACTCCAAATACAGTAGCATACCGCGTCCCAAACCGCGCAGCGAAAATGAGCCACGCTCTGGTCAACATCAAAGTCTCCAGTCAGATGTTAACTTACAATCAGTACCCCTCTTTCCTGTTCACCTTGTTGGTAAGCTCCTTGCCCTGGCTTAACCGCTGTAGATTCAACTTCACAATTGCCCACACCCGTTCGAAATAACTTTCCGAGGCAGCGCTTATATGAGGCGTGATCACAACATTCTTCGTACTCCACAAAGGATGGCCTTCAGGAAGCGGTTCAGGATCCGTAACGTCCAGCGCCGCACCGCGGATGAGCTCCTTATCGAGAGCCTCGATCAAGTCCTCTGTGTTGACAATAGGGCCACGGGCAATGTTGGAAACAAAAGTCTTTCTTTCCGAAAGCACTTCAAACTCGGGTGTGGAGATCAGACCGGTCGTCTTCTCTGTCAATGGCATCGAGACGACGAGCAGGTCCAAACCGGAGCCGAGGAATTCGTGCAGTTGTTCCTTTGTCTCGCCAAAGAACCATTTTGACGGGAATATACCTTCTGGGTCTCCGAGGCCTGATGGGGCGTATGTATCGTCCTTCTTTGATTCCGGGGTCTTTCGCTCGTGCAGAGTGTATGCGTAGACATCCATTCCAAGAGCTGTGGCCACACGTGCTGTTTGCCTTCCAATAGCTCCGTAGCCCAAGATTCCCCTGTGATATTGTCAGCGGCTTGAGTCCTTTCGTGGTCTGGAGATTCACTTACACCCTCTTCTTCACAGCATCGATTGTCGGCTCCATGCTCCTATCCCACTTGCCCGCTCTTTGTTTGTCAAGGTAGGATGTGACTTTGATGTGGTTAGCCAACCGCTGGATACCTGTATGGCCGCACTTTGGGACTTACGGTGATGTTGAAAGCCCAGAAACGTGGCAATGATCCATTCCGATATTTGCGGCCTATACCCGCCAACTGTCAGCTAGCTCTATAATGAGCAACAACACCCGAAGGAGGTATGAGCTCACCCATGAACGCCGTTTGCGGTGCAGAAAGCTATGTCGGTGTCTTTGTACAGCGGATCCGACACTACCAGGTTTGCGCCAGCCGATGAGAGCTGGACGTACTCAAGGTTTGGCACATCATCCTTGTCAGGCAGACCCTCCCTGTTGTAGCCTGTCACGAGAATTGTCACATCCTTCCACTCCTCCTTCGTGACGTCTTTGACACTACCGATTTGGACTTCCAATCCTGTGTAGCGATCCTTCAGCTCATCTACCTCCTCTTTCGATGGCTTGAATGATGGCAGAGCAACAAGGAGCTTGTGGCCCTTGAGGGTTTTGTTTGGGGGCTTCTCGCCGAACCGAATGAGGGTCATTGTGGGTAGCGTCTCAGAACTCCGGGTAGAAATTGGAGAAACTTGAAGGCCAAGAGTGAAATGCTGGCCAACACAAATATCTTACTTGGAATCGTCAGATTTTAAGCGTGGGTCTAAACGGATTCCGAAAAGAACAGCTTTCCCCGGCAACGTTGGTGAGCGGCAGCAGTCGATATCGACTGCGGGGCTCGGAAGTCGTCAACTCTAACGGCCATGACGCCAGAGCGTTTAGTAATACCAACGGAGATAAGGACGAGCGTTTCAGTGACAGCTCCGTTTTGGGAATGACCACTACCACTCTTCGGCCTTCCCTAAACGGCTGCTCAGCCTATTCATTCCCAAACGATCACTTTCGTGTGCATGCATTTATTATACAGCCAAGGTACCAAGATTTAATACAAAGTACGAAAAAATGCACACATCAACAGTCGATTGTAATAGTTAAGCCGGTCATTCTAGCTCCAAGGCCGCTCCTGGGGACCTGTCTTCAAGCCGTAAATTATAAGAGCCTTTCCCGATATGCCAACCCGAGCAAGTCATTTATTCTCCATACTTGACATGCACGTCTATATGATACAGCCATGTGTACCAAATTGCATGCTATACTGTTGCAGTGCAAACTATAGGAGCAGTAACTGCGATCTCATTTGTTTACATCGATGCGTTCAGAAGGCCAAGTTTTGTTCCAATAACCAAGATAATCAGTAATTCATCTATCAAGAAAATTGAGAGGCCAACCATGAGTATCTGCCTTGGACTAATTAATCTTGCTGAGAGCCCTCTTGCGAGCCAATTTGCATCCATTTTGCCTGCAAGAACCACTCAGATAGTCCAAGACAACAGCTAATATGTCGTAAAGCCACCAAGGTTGAACCCAAGGGGGTTCATCCACGGCGACTTCTGTGTAGAATATACAAAGAAAGCAATGAAACCAAGTCTTTTCCGCAACCTCAGCGTTGTTCTAGATTCCAGCGTCATAAGTAGAGCCAACAGGGCCGAAGCGGATGTTGGACCAAACAACTTGTCTATGATAGCAATAGTGTGAGTAAACCGTGTTCCCTTTATTCTTATGAGCAAGAGTCGCATCACTTACGCGTTAGGGAACTGAGACTCCGTCTCAGCCGGAACTCCAGAAGTCTGTGGGCAGTCGCCACGAGCTGCACCAGGCTGGCCTTCCTTCTCTGGCGGGTAGGTGGAGTCGAGCCACAGCATATTGGCGTAGTGCTGTGTTGTCATACAGTCAGCAAAATATTTCTCGTGGATCGCAATGTTTTGAGGGCAGAAGGAGTGGGGGTGGCTTACGTCGTTCCAGATGGACATGACCAGAACCATGGGGATGTTCAGGGCCTCATTGAGCTTCGAGAAGCCGCCGACTTCCTCAAAGCGGTTGAACTCGTCGAAGACGGTGTGCTGGTTGGAGCAGTACTCGGGTGTGATGTCGGCACTGTCAGAGATGCCCTGGACGAAACATATTAGAACGAGATGACGAGATTTAGCTCATAGCATCTTCATTTGGCCTACCTCGTATGTTGGCGCTGGAATCTCAATGGTCTTGCCGTCCTGGATGAAGAACTGGCTCATCTTGTCGGTCTCGAAGCGAGTGACAACACTATCAACAAACTGTCAATTTAATTCCCTTATTTGTGAGTTAAGAATGCTTATACTCCTGAATGGCACGTACGTGAACTTCTTGGTAGTGTCGACAACCTTGCCTGCGCCGTAGAAGTCGGTGTTGCCCATGCGGTATGGGTTGTAGTCGCAGCCATTGGCATCGCAGAGGCCAGCAAAGCGATCTTCCGAATAGGTTCCTCCACACTCTGTCGTCTCACAAACGTGGTACTCGTTGTTCTCGCATGGATGAGGAGTCAGGGCAAAGGAGTGGGAATTGGATTCCCTGTTGACCATCAGTTAGGTTTACTAATCCCTTGAAATCCCTGAGTTACTGCACTCACCAGACGTCAATCTCGGCACAGCATGCACCGAAAGGACCAACTCCAGAGTTAGGGTCACTGGTTGATGCTTGCCACCCTTCGATGTTTGCCTATGAACCTGTTAGCACCTCGGCTACCTGGAGTAAATTGACAAGTACTTACACGACCTCCGACGAACTTGAGGTCACGCGCACATTGAGAGTCGCAGTATCCAGTCCCATACTTGGCACCAGCAGAGTTGCTCGGGTACGAAGCGACACCCCCGTCCTCCTCCATGGCGACAAAGTACAGCGCTGAGTTCAGGCCACACTCAACAGTGGACAAGTCGACGTCAAAGGCAAACTCGTTGCCCAACAGGGTGAACATCTGGTACTTGTCGGCGCCGTTCATCAGGTAGAATCGCGAGCCGACGTTCTTTCCATATTCATGCTCAGTGACGAACTTGAGCGTGAGGGCGTCGCCACTGGTCGAAGCGCCATACGTTGTGCCGTAGTCCGCACCCTCGTAGGCGCATTCCTCGGCGCAGCCGTCAGCGGTCGAACAGGCACCTGTCCATTCATTTCCCTCGTAGCAACCCTCGCTTCCATCGACGGTGTGTAGCCATCGCCAGTTGGCGTCGATCACCACCTCGGCGTTGGTATTGGTGCATGAGCCAGACGCGCAGTTTTGCCACGTGAATTGGGGATGAGTCTCGGGCTCTAGAGTGCCTGCCTGCTGAGCTTCGACTCCAGCTACGAGGAGAGTGAGGATAGTGGTCTTTGAAATCATAATGAATGTCTGTCAAATATTCTAATGCCGGTGAATTGTGTGTGGCAGGCTGTTAGCTCATTGAATGCAGCGTCATGGCGACGGTCATGTTTATATAGGTTTCAGTGGTGGTCCTGTGAATCCGTTCGCGACAATCACGGAGGCAACTGAAATGCTGAATCAGTTTGACCGGACAATTCCATCTGAGAGCCAAGAGTGCTCATTTTGATGAGATCTCCTGCATGTAAAGTGCCAACGCGGAGGGACGGGTTCTCAACCGTCGCCAAGTACGCGCGTTTGGTGCTCACGTCCATGTCCACTGTTTCCCAAACAGAGAAGGATCATCGCCGAAGGGAAAAGCAAAACATCTCTCAGGGGCTGTCCTACCCCGGATTCAGCTACCGGATTGCAACCACGGAGGGAGTGCTCGCGGTCTCGGCAGCCTCGGCGTACTCGGCGTACTTGGCGGCCGAAGCTTGTTTGAATATGAGAATATCCGGTCATGCGATCGGGCTCAGGACTCCCAAGCAAAGACCAACAAGTGGAGCACAACACGGTAAAACGCTCCGGGTGGTCCATTAATGGCGATAACAACTGACGACTGATTCACGATCTTCCTCCTGGCCGCTGTTCAAGGATCGGCAATCGGGTGATTGCCTCTAATTTCAGTACTACCGGCTTCCGCTAAGCGTCCCGGATCAGAATGCAACTCTTCTTCGCGTGAGTGGATGTCATGCCAACACTGCATATGTGGATGTTGTGGACCCAGAACCAGCTGTAACGCAACGTCTGTGTAAGCGCCTGGGGTCTGAGAACTGTGCTGGTTGCATTTTTGATCAAGGAATAGTCCACCAATGTCATACTGGCTTGTCACAGCCGAGAATTATGGCTTGGTAGTCCAGGCAGTCTCGCGTACTATCATAATATGACAGCCAGCACTCTTGTTGCATACACCTGAGCATCCACGGATCTTTGCCCGAGCTTCCGCATTCACAGGAAGCTCAGTGTACATGGATCTGCGTGCCAACTGAATTGACATCCAACCAGCCCGATGCCATCTCAAGATTCACAATTTCATCTTCCGTGGCGCCGACGTCTTCGTGGTCAACCCGCAGACCACTCAAATAGCCGCAGGGCTACACGCCATCAAGTGTCCATGCCGAGCAATCAATGCACTCTTCAAGCATAGCAATGATAAGACTCACGAGGCTTTGCCAGCCTGATATAGACTTGACGTCCCCTCGCAGTTTAGCGAAATTGGGAGGCATTCTCCTCTCGTCATATCAATCGCCTCTGGTCAATTAGATAGTCCAATATCCTCAGTCTTCACAGCCAATCAGTTGCTGTACCTACCTTGGCAGACTTTAGCAGTTGCAGCTGCCATCGATGTAGTGGCGTTGCGGGGTTAGAACAATGTTGAGGAGCCTCACTCAGCCCTATGTTATTTACAAGTAGGCAGTAGAGTGCATCTCTAGCAATAGTGGTCAGGCAGGGATGACTCTGTGAAAGTTGAAAGCTAGGGAAATCCCCGCACTAAGAACGGCTCACATGTGTCGTTTCTCCAACCAGCCTCGGCGAGGAATTGAGCATGAAGCCAGACCCCGACGGATAGTCGCGAGGAATAACCTTTGTTAGGTAGTCGTTGCGAGGAACGAGGTTGAAGCAGCACTTGAGCAGTAATAGTGTCTGCAGTCTCAAAAACCCGTAATAATAACCTCGTTCTGGGCGCCACATATTTTTTGCCGTCTCGCGAAAAGCTCTTTGAAGTTGATTCTGGGCCCAACAGCAGGTAGAAAGATGTCTTCCACTAGCACCACCACAAAGTCCCATAATGGCGACAATAGGTCAAAGGACCCAGCACTTGTCCCAGTGACTTATTATCCCCTGCGCACACAGCAACAACATGCCCAAATGAAACAGCGCATGGCCGGCAAACCCTATGCGCACTTTTTCCACGATTCGCCGCTCTACATCCGGCGTGAAGCGCTGGATGCCATCCCTCGGCCCATCAGCAACCCAGAGAAGAACGTCCTACCTCTATCACAGATTCGCAAGCTGCTAGAGCCGGGAGACCATTCCGTCGAGAATGGTTGGTATGTCTACCCTGACGGGACAGGCTACGTGACCTCCAAGACGCAGTTCCCAGGGTGCACGGGCGAAATGATCGACTGGTGGTTCTGGTGGCACAGCGTCGAAGGGGAAAGATACGCACTATGGTATCCGTACAACCACTGCGACGCCAATTCCACGTATTCGAGGTGGACCACGAGTCAATTCACGCCTACAGCCAAAAGAGACTCGAGTACAGGCAAGACTTTACCTATCCTTGAGAGGGAGGATGTATCTCACCGACACAAGTGGCTCGGCTCGACGCACACTGTGAGTGAGTTCATTGGCCCGCTGCACATGAAGCTCCGGATAGAGTTCAAGGAGCCGAGTTACTTTGGTCTGGGAACGTGGGAGGAGCTGCAGAAGGCGGGATACGAGGCGGCCGTCTGTGGGCTCCTGTGGGACAAGTCACTCCCGTTGAAGGTTGGTGACATGATCCACCTGTGGAGGAAGACCGAAGACGGGCTGGAACTCAGGAGCCGATATTACCTTGCTCATCAGGTGTACGTGGACATCTTCGGGCTCAAGGTCTTCGTCGATTGGATCGGTGGCCTTCTGGGCATCAAGCAGGCTGCAGCGGGTGAGAAGGTTGCCTATGAGCAACTTTTACATGACCAGACCGAGTTCACGAATCTGGCGAGCTTTCTCCCTGAGATATTTCGGGAGTTTGGAGAGCAGAAAAAGCAGGGCATACCCACGGTAGCATCAAAATCACCGAGGGCTCGGATATGAAAACCACTTCAGTGGAGCATTAATTACTGATAGGTCTATGCTTTCAGCACCCGATAATTACATTTGTGTACAAAATGAATCTCTACAAGAAATTCACTGCATCAGCATTAGAAAACCTACACCGAAACTCCTGGGGGAGTTCTGGTGCGTCGTTAGCAGAAAGAAAATACGACGTCGTAAGTTTGAATCCTCCTCTACACACACTCGGAAAGTTCCGCTACCATCGCCCTGGACGGTCAGAGGGTGTCAAAAGCGTACAGAATCACTTTGCATATAGAAACCAGTGGACTGGGAACTAATCTCATTATAATTTCTCATACGACCCAAAGTTGCCATCAAACCACAATGCAACCAGAAAGAGGGCAAAACACTCACAGAACACCATCCAGCACGAAACCAAAAACTGCCGAAATCCAATACCTCATCATAACAGCAAGAAACACAGACGAGCAAGGAGACAGAGAGAAGGAGGGTCTTTGAATTATGTCTTTGAGGGGGTTGTTGAAAGAGCAGATACTACAAAATGAACAAGAACACACACACACACAAGAAAGCAGCAGGAGCCCCACACAACCAAGAAACTTTCTAAATGGAGGAGAACGCACGCACGCGCACACATACATGTACCTTGGCTTTTTGAGGGCCCGCTGTTCTTTGAGAGAAAATATGTTCTTGCTGTCCATCCATCTTTCAACCCCCCGCTGTGCCTTTTGCATGCAAATGTACCATCCGTCCGTCCATCCATCAGTCCCCAATGCGCTCACTGCCTTTTAACTTGATCCAAAGTTGAGAGACCCCAGAGACTCCTGTGCTCTTCTATCATTGCTGCCATGTCCGTTCCGGTGCAAATTCCCATTAAACATCTAGCTTGCCAGACAGGTCCAGTCCGCTGTGGTCTAGAGAATAACCAACAACCCCCCCAGGCTTCCAGGCTGGCTGCGACAAAAGGCCACAGACTTGCTCATGGAAAGAGGGAAAGCGAAGGGGGGAAACCATAAATGGGGATATATTCCTACACTGTGGAACCGCCGATGGCCCTTTCCATGTACTGTTCCCAGGGTGATAACTCCCGAGTTGCAATAATGACCCAGAGGGAAAGGAATCCAGCCAAACATGTGATCATGGATGTTCTTCTAGATGAAGAAACGTGTTGTTCTCGAAGGAAGCTTGCAGCCTCTTTGCCTCTGCCGCCAGTAGATCAAAACCAGAATCACACCCTGACTGACTGGCTGACAGACAGACAGATGTACACACCCCCGCGCACACGCCGGCACACCCTCCTCTCTTTGATTTCCGTAGTGCTGAAACTTGTCAAACCGCAATTCCTTGAACCAGATCCAGAACACCACGAAAGATTTGAAATTCCACTTCGAGACAAACCAAACAAAACGTAAGATTCCAACACAGGCGCCCCACACGGCCTAATGACTGCTGCAGAAGGGATGGTGTGCTTCATCGGCCCGAGAAATCGGAAGATTCTGGCAGGACCTTCTTGTCCTTCCTCGCCTTGATGGCGACTTCTGCCATGAGGTGCATATGGTCGGACGGGAAGTGGTACGTGGGGAAACCGGGCACCCGCTTGAGATATTCCATGTCAGGGGGTCCCAGCAGGGACACCACCTCTAGCGAGTTGCTCGAATACCAGATGTAGTCGATGACCCCTTCGAAAGTGGGGACGTAATTCGTAAAGGGCATTTGGTCCGCAGAGTGCATCAGCTGAGAGTAAGAGGACCGCAGGTTGAACGGATGCTCAATGCCGTCCCGGGTAAAGTTGCCATATTGCCGTTCACCGAAATCCGGGTGGTTGGGCTCAACCCGTCCCTTCGACAGGAGCTCATAAACGGAGCTGTCGTAGGTGGAGTTGTAATCGCCACAAACGAAGAGCGGGATATCTGTGTTGTTTCGGTACTCTTGAGACGGCGCCGGTTCGGGCATAGCCTCACGTTCCTCCCCCTCTTGAGCGAGCTGGATGAACTTCTTGTCTCGACAAGCCGGCCACCGTGCATACTTCTCGGCATGCTTGGTGACGCTGTCTATCAAGATGGCCGTCTGAATTAACTTGACATCGGCCAGCTCGGGCTCCCATGCGAGATGGGCGTTCGCCACAATCATCCGTGACCCTGTCTGTCGGCTCTCGAAGAAACAGATCATTCCTATGTTGTCCTTGGGCATGACACGGTTGAAGATGTCATGCTGAGTCTTCATGTCGGGCCGGTTGATGGCGATGTTCTGGAAATCGATCATCTGCTTGTCCAGAAGTATGTACTTCTTCGCCTTGTAGAAGACAGCGCATCCGTCAACCGCATTGGCCTCCTTGCCGCCCATGATCTTGGCTTTCGATCGCGAGAACTGAACGCCTTTGTAGCCGTCGGCAGCTAGTTCTGGGCTGAAGACCTCATTCATCGCGTCCACCGATACCTCCTGCAGACACACAACGTCGGCGTCCCGCTCGCGTATTTCCTGGAGTATGGCGTCTTTCCGGTATTCCCAGGACAAGGCCCCAGTCGGTGTGTACCCGTACATGGTCGTCGTCGAATACTTTTCGCAGAGGATATTCCATGTCAGGACTTTGATGCGTTCCAAAGTCGGGGGGCTGTCTGGGTTGAAAACGATGATGGGTCTAGGATTCGGGGGAAGAGGCACTGTTTACTAAAGTTAGCGAGAGACCAATCGGAATTTCGGATGTTATGACTGACCAGGTGCTTGTTCACGGAGAAGGCTGATGAGGCTCTTTGTGCCCTTCTCCATGATCTCCTGCTTCAGGTCATTCTCCAGCGGGTTGCCTTCGATGCCCAGCATCTCCAAGTTGAATAGATGGCCTAGTTCGTACGGCAGCGACCGAATCTGATTGTCAAACAGGTACAGCTGCTTAAGCGAGGTACACATGCCGATCTCGGGCGGAATTTCGTGGATCTGGTTGTGCGACAAGTCGAGCAGTGTGAGACACCTAAGTTGGCCAAACTCCTCGGGAATCCGCGTCAGATTATTCGAGGCAAGGTACAATTCTTTGAGAAAGCTGTAATTGAAACACGGCGTCGCTAGGTTGCGCAGTCCCTGGCCACTCATGTCGAGATTGAACCAATCCTGCCGTTCGTCCGTTTTCTCGACCATGTGAGGGCGCCTGACTCCAGCATCGTCGTCACCTTCGACTTGATTTGTGGTTGATGTTGCGGTGACAGAAGGACCGATGCCCCTATTTTCTGCGGCCTTGAGGCGAGCAAAGTAGTGCCCTTGATGCTGGTCGACTACGGCACCGTGTGCTCTCTGCGAATCCTTATGCGCCCTCAGTTGCGCTGCCCATTCATCGTTGATTTGTTGTGCTTGACCACCTCTTGTTGTACCAGGGTGACCATTTGGGACGTTGTTGTTCGTGTATGGGCTGGCGTTCGGCATCACGCCGCTTGAGTAGCCGGAAGCGTGACCCATGGACCCAGCATGGCCAGAGTGGTCAGGTTGTATCCCCTGGTGGTGCGAGGCATGGCCATACTGGTGTGAGGGGTTGGAGGGGTGGCTGTAGAGCATGGGCATGCCGCGCGATGAGGCGGAAGGCCCGCCATTAAGGCGGGAGTTGGGCCCCGGTTGGTGGCCCGAGTTGTACATGCCTTGGGCGGAGCGGGCTTGAGAGCCGAGGTCTGGAGACTTGGAGGCGGGACGCGAGCTTGGAGAGACGTGGCTGAGGAGCGTGTTCAGGAGGGTTTGGTTCGCGAGCGGGTTTTTCGGTGTGGGCTGTACGTAGATGAGGTTGCCAAGGTGCTGCTGGAGGTACTGATAACCATCTGCCATTTAGCTACCATGGGTGACGGCCGAGGGAGAGACCAGGCACGGGCAAGGAAGTTCGGCGAGGCGGGTGCTGAAGGTAGCACTGCTGAGCATGCGATGTATCGGTTTCGAGGGAGCAACGTCGGAATCGGTGTCGGCGCATGGGAGATTCGACGTGATGGGGCTTCGGCATAGAGAAGCTCGCAGGCGAGAGGAGCAGCGAAGCTGGCTGTCGATCTTGTCCTCGAGGTCAAGACCCCATTCACCGGCGTGAGATCGAGTGTTGTCTCCGAGTGGGATGGGATTCGGCCGAGGGAGCCAGCGTGTTTGTCACAGCTGACTCGTTGTCATCGAGGGAAGCAGCTCAGCAGGGGAGGCAGTTGGGCAGTGCAAACGGCGCAAAAGGCTGGTGCAAATGGATGTTGTTTTTTGTATGTATTCTGCTTGATGGAACGGGTCGTCGAATCACACACTAGGAGAGTGGAGGATTGTCAGCTTCGGCCACGTCCAGGTCAACTTCTGGCTAGGAGTCCTGATGTATGGAGGGCCACTCCGGTGGAGGACAGTAGGTGGGCTGGCTGGGGCTGTTTGTTTGGGTTGGATGGAGGGGAATCAGTCAGTCCCTGGGAGCTGCAGCACCAGCACTGGATGGCTGCTGGTGACTGGCCCAGGAGGTGGGAATCACCACTCACCCCGATAATGAATGTTTGCCGCGGCCGACAATGTTGTATGAGATGGTCAATGGATACTTTGGATCGTGATAGATATAAGCTTCTTCTGGTTTTGCCTCGCTCTGCCGATGTCTCAACATCACCCGTTGGCCTAGACCACTTCACCCAGCCCGCCTCCTGCCTGCCACCCCAAGCGCAGAGTCAGCAGGGGGCCCGAGCTCCAAATCCTGCCACGTGACATTTACGTAATCCTGGTCGAGCCACCTCAGGGGGGAGGAAGCTGGAGCAGACTTGGCTGCAATTGAGTATGCACAGTACGGTTTCCATTGCCTTCTGCTTCGAATAGGGGCTGTGATGTCCACTCACCTCTGACGTCCAATGTTGCTCCACATTGGGCTGCTGCTATTGTTGCTGCTCTGCTGTTGATGTTGTCATCAGCACCCCAGATACCAGCAATTGACCCACCAAAGCAAGCACTCCGGCGAGTAAGAAGCACGTGCTTGTGCTCAGACTTGCTGTCGGCAAAGCTCCATGACCTGTCACGACTCACGTGGAATGTGAACTACATGTTTGAGAAACATCAGACTACATGATCTTTTCAACTGGCCAGCAGCTGAAACCCGGTTGCGAACACGGGCTAAATGTACTGGCAATTAGGGAGAACAGCCTTTCATGTGTGGCTGTAATGCCTCAACTCCTTTCAGCAGTCCCTGTGCAATGAGCAGATGGGATGCTTGGGCATGAAGTGCAGGTACATTAGCATGCGTGCAAGTAGAAGAGATGAAGAATGTCTCTTTCACGGTAGTCGACCTCACAAAATTGCAGATAGTGGACTTAACAGAACTCCGAGCATATATGATGTTCTCTTTTGACAAGCTCAGATGCCGAGGTAAGTACAAGCCACAAGTACACAAGATTCTTAATGAATTATACACCGCTTTGGTGATTACGACGTTTTCTTCCGGCTTGCTTCACTCGAAAGAACAAAACACCAATGCAGGCTCAATAGTATTCCATGCTCAGTCCATAGTGGACATGGTTGTTGCTCTGACCTGAAATCACCGATGCGCTTTCTGCGCCCTCTCCGCTCTCAAATACCTAGGTATGCTAGCCTGCTGGCCAGTTGCTGTACATAGTACCTAAGCATAAATGAAGATGCCAGTTTTCCCAAAATCGCATATAGTGGTGATCGTCAAACCACTTGATCTCAACATCAGAATTATTAAAACTGCTGCCAAAGGACACCCCTGGACTTTGTTATTGGTCAGGTGCATGCAGCCAGACTGATCGGTGTTGTCCATGTATTTACATGAAACACACATGCCATGCCTCGATATTAAGAATTCTGATAAGACCATTGGTTGCTAGTCAATTGCAGAGAGTTGTGAGACATCTCGAAGATAGAATTCGTGTTCAAACGAGGTTGGTTGATGATAATAAGGCTGAATAATTCAAATTCATTAGGCAAACACTTCAACCCACCATTTTTCCCGTTTCAAATTTGAGAAGTGACATGAGCAGCCATCAATGGCTGGCTAGAATTTCCAGCTGGGCGTGGAAAACGACAGTCACTTCGTCTTCTCAATCGTATCTAGTTCCACCACAACGGTTGACTGACGCCAAAGTAAGATCGGGCAACTTCCCCACTCATCATTCCTTGGTAGGTTTATACCGGGCGGAAACAGTTCAAAGCACTCGCCGTACAATTCATGCTGAAAATTCCTGAACGAGCTTGTTTACTGTCGTGGACATCGCGAAGTATGCAACTGGTTTTACTTCAGCCTATCGAGGACAATACGTTTTGAAACGCATTGACGACCAGATTGTCCGCGTCTTTAGGCTTAATGGAGCCGCATGTCGGATGAGTGTTTTGCCACAACGGCAATGGAAGAGGCTCGAGTGCAGCAAGATGTCCTTTGGTTGCTGTCGTGGCTGGAGGCCTTTCGCCATTCGATATCTTCGCGTCCACTCATGCATAAGAGACCAATGTTCTCACCCGTACCCATCTATGGTGCCAGTGGAGCATCTGTAATTCTTTTGGGCGACGGAGCATCAGTCTGGCTTGTGGGGTAAGCTCACACTCTTCAGGAGGAAATGTGGGCTGCAGTGCAGGAGCTAGCTGTGCTTGTCTCAGGCGCTGCTTTTGCGTCGAGGAAATCCTGCGATCATCCTTTGGTTTTCACATTTGGAATCCGGCAAGACGGATCGAGGAGTGGCACAGTAATCACAGCTGGGGTGTCATCAATTGATCCCAATGTCAATCTCCGGTGCATCAGCCTAGGTTGGTAATTGAGTCATCATGGGTTGGAAAGAGTGACCACAACCTAATTAAGAGATGGTGATAACCGAAAAAAGCCATTTTTAGTACAAGGACAAAACACTTTATTCCGTGCTTCATTTCGGAAGGAGAAGATGTCATTGAAGATCTCTTAATATCCTTCTAAGGTACTGGGGCACTCGCACAGCGGCACTTCGTCGGTTTCTTCATTGACCCATCCTCATCATTCTGCCATCAATACCGTCGAGGTCCCAAGGGGGGAAATGTGCTGTCGTTCGATGGGAGTCTCACGATACTCGGCGCGTACAGCAGTAGTGCTGATACTGGTTTTCGAGAACGGCCCGATACGAGTTCTGCGTAAGCCAATGGCCGGCCATGGCGGCTACCTGGCGGCAGCAAGACCAGTCGCTTCTTCGTATTTGCCAGTTATCTCCAGCTCCTTTCATTCAAGCCAAGTCGTGAAGGCCATTGGCAGACGGCGGTCCAGAAGACAGATAATACCATCAATCGCATGAATAGCCTTCAGCCGACGTAGCCACGGTTAGCAAGAGCTTTTTAGAGAAATTGAGCTTCGCATCCCGGCATGTCTGTCCCAAAGACGAGTATACCAACTCTTGGGTAATGTAGCCAATGGATCAAGACTGCAAATTTAACATTTGCTGCCGAGGAGCCGCATCACGGTTTCGTCACGCGCCGAGGCAGGCTGTATTTTCGGAGTCTATCGTCATAGCCTGATCTCACGCCCCAGCCGGTCCGTAAATGCCAAAGTCTTTGCTGTGCCATTTGCGAGCATAAACCCTACCTGTACGGGGTCGGCTCCCTTTCCCGGCTCGCTTTCGCTTAGTGCCCTGACAGCTACCCACGCTTATGAGTAGCCCGCCTCGACAAACGCAGCTGAATCCGCCGTCGTGGGCTGGGAGAATAACCAACCGACACCACGTCGCCGGGGACAAGTTCCACCCCATGGGGATATTGCCGCAAAGTCCCTCCTTTGCAAGTAGCCCAGCGTTAGAAATATCCCGCAGGCCCAGGACAATCAAACCCCCATGGCAGACACTGCCGAGCCTCTCCGAGAGCCGGCCGACCCCAGAGGAAGGGGACGGGACCAGCCTGGGTAGCAAGACTAGGGCATACCACGGAGATCCTCCGTAGATCAATGGAACTCCATCGAAAATCACAACGGTCCATTGGAATCCGTCCGGCCGGGTGGACTGTCAGTCGGAGGACCCCTGCGCTAGCCCAGACCACAGCTGCTACAAATTGATCCTAGAAGGGGGGCCAAAGGCATGACTGGAGGATGCGATGTCCCCGATGCCTCCGTGGAGGGATTTTGTGCTGTCAGGTATGGGAGGTCAATTCCTCGGAATGCTGTCCAACAACATGACGCGCCTGGGCAGACACATGCATTGTAATGGTATTGTAAGCAGGTAGTCAGTCGAGCCCTAGGGCTACTAGAGGCCTTGCGGGCTGCAAGAGGGCTCTAAGAATAACGGCGTGCAGACGCTGGGTCGGACGCATGCGACGATAATCTAAAGGCGGGGAGGATCGAGGATCGAGGATCGCGCGCGCAAGACACAGGCACCTGCGCTGCGCTGCACTGCGCTGCGCACTGCACACTGACTGCACAGCACAGACCGGTGTGCCAACCATTCTTTGCCATACCTTGGTACAGATAGATAATGCCAGAGAGGCGGGACACTATTGAGACCCAATCACGGCGGCGAGGCTTGCGTAGAGCTCTCCTGTCGACCCGGACAGAGCAAGCGGCCGGACCGTCGAGCCAAAGACCAACAAATATCTAGGTATTTCCCCGAAAGGGGCTAAGCGTATATAGGCTGGAGGGGGCCCGTCAATTACGGAGCGGGGCATTCCTTTCTTTTTGGACTTGGTTCTGGATTTGGTTCTGGATCTGGCTCTGGCACCGGCCTCTTTTTGTTTTTTCATGTGGCTTGATGTGGCAGCTGCTGCAGGGGCCGGATGGGAAGAAGCAGAAAGGGCTTCCCCTGGCTCCACCATGCAACGGGCTGCCGTCGAATTTCAAGGTTGGCAGCAGGTTGGCAGGTTGGCATCATTGGCAGGAGGCGGCACATACTGTCGTCAGCAAGTACGTAACTGCAGCAGCAGAGCAGCAGGACTGGCGTGAAGTACGAGCCGACAAGTGCCTAGCTGTGCCCTAGCTGTGTGTGTCGAAGGGAGGGTGTCACAACATGGGGGCCAAGGACGAGAAGGGGAGGGCTAGAGCATAGCTGGGTAGTAGATGGAGATGACTGGTGAGACGACGCCTTGGGGCAGCCACAACAGATTGGCCGCCTCGGATATATAGAAGACAGGCAGGATGCGCATGTGCTTACCATCCAGGCGGGTCTTGAGAGGACCTTTTGTTTTCCTCCTCGGTTGCTGGAAACAGCTGCCTGTCAGTTGAATATTTCTGATTGGTATTTGTCTTGTCGAGGCGCTCGTCATCTTGCCCATATCTTCGTCTGGCCACTCCACACCAAATAACTTACCTGACTGACTTGCACAGTATTTCCTCGATCAACTGATTCAGCTCTACCATCGCCCTCACGCCCCTTGATCTTAGCACTGCAACATAATAACGTTAAAACATTATACTCTATCCACTTGATGTCATGTACGATTCAAGCAGATAGACCGAGATTGCCGTCGAGATACCCCGCAGTGCGTTGCGGCGCCTTGAGAGCCATTGATCTCGGCCGCTTGAACCTTGCTACCCTAGGACTGGAACTGGAACGGTGATATGGGCTGCAGAGCATGAGCTTGAAGGTGTGAAAGAGGATTGTGTTTCGGGCGACAACACAACACAGCGCACCGACGGTGTAACCAAACCAGCAGCCATCGAACCAAAACCAACAGGCCGACTTGGATGGGAATTAGGGACGTACGGTCATGGATCCGAAAGCTACAGCTACAGCCCTGAACCTGAACGGATACACAGATCAGCAACAAGCCTCCACAACCAAATTTAATCGGTTGCAATTGCATCATCGCTATCACCATCGCCATCACCATCATCATCATCATCACTGCCACTGCCATTGTCATCTATGCACCAGCCTTTCCACAGGCGAGGAGTGAAAAGCACCGCACGGTTCATCACGTGGTCACCAGATCATCGAATATCGTGAGGCCTGGGCGACAGGTTATCCGATCCGAAGCGAGCAAGGGCAAGAGATTGCCGACGACCTTAGCAGAGGAAAAAAATCCGCCTAGCCTGACAGTGGCAGGCTGCAAGGGACGACACCCGATTGATCACCGCAGTGACACCACTCAAGACTGTAAGGGTCCCCACCCGGGGAGGCAATCCGGAGTCCAATTTTGGGACCTGACGGACTGCAGACTGGGACAGGGCACCGAAGCCTTCCGGACGGCGGACAGGGAGGGAAAACAGCCGAGGGGGCTGCATAAATCCTCACCACCTTTCACTTGCATTGCTGACAAGCAGACTGCCCCTGCGCCTGCAACTGCTGTGGCAGAGCTCGAGACCTGAAGAAGAGACGAGCCATTGACCGATAGATATACTGCACACAGAAGAGTCAGGGCACAAGAACAGACACAGACTCAGACACAGACACAAACACAGGCTCAGACTCGGCTGCAGGCTTTCTCGAGGAATCGGATCAAAGGCCAATCGACTCCACTGAGTGCTATCACGGCTCGGTCACACAACAAGATCACAAGCACGTGGGATGATCCTCGTCAACTCTGGCCCTCGACCGAAGAGACTCCTTCTCGACCCACGGGCCTCGTCGGGGCGGGCGGGCGATCAAACCTCAGCCCAATCAGACGGCCAAGGAGGGCAGAGAAATCTCCAGCAAGACCTTGACGGTGGGGACTATTGACCGGCCTATTTCTCTGATTTGATATCTGGAGGTGTGGAGCACCACATTGTGGTTGCTGGCAGGCTGGTCAGTGGTACCATACTGTACGGGTAATAAGTCTAAGAGAGCCTGGCTGCCTGTGCCTGGGAGGGAGGGAGTAGCGAGTAGTGCACGGCGAGGGAGGGGGGTCTGCTGTGAGCGATACCACCCACCAGGGCGGGATCTGATCCTAAGCAGAAAGAAGCTTAAGCTGGTTCCCAAGGTTTGAGGTTCGAGATGGAATACGCTTGGGGCATAGCAGCCAGCAAGACGCCGTTTCCGGCCGAGTTTGCAGCGGCGGCGAGGTCAAAGCCAAAGGGCGACGTCTCCTCGTCGCTGCCGCAGCCGCCGCCGCCGCCGTCAAAGACGACGACCTCGACCTCAGCCTCCGTCTCTGCCTCTGCCTCTGCCTCTGCCTCTGCCTCTTCGACCAAGGCCCCGCGAGCTGCTCCTCCCAGCCCGCCCCTGCCGTCGTCGTCCAGGTCGAGCTCCACCCGGCCGAATCGCCTGCGGATTCCTGGCCACTCCAGACCAAGCAGCTCCTCCAGCCCCAGATCCGGATCCAGGGATCAGGGCTGCGCAGACTCAGAGGCATTGATGAGTCCGGACTCGCTCTCGCCCTCGACAGGCCTCCTCGCACACGAGCTCCTCTCGCGCGTCTCGTCACATCCTTCTACCCCGTCTGCCCCGTCTGCACTGACACACGACGACCGACGCCGCCCCGCCAGTGCAACTCTCAGTAGCCATCTCCATCGCAGTCGCAGCCGAAGTGGTCGCAGTGGCCGCAGCAGTAGCACCACTGGCACTGCAACCAACACCACCAATACCACTCCCAGGGCCCAGCAGCAGAGACCCTCATCTACCTCGGCGGCTGTTGGCTCCGCCAGGGCCACCAACTCGGCCGCCACCTCCTCGTCCCTGACCTTCCACGACAAGCAGCTGCCCGCCCTCCCGAACGAGGCGTCCACGTCGTCCTCGTCTTCGTCTCCACGGCGAGCAGAGGCCTGGGACGCCATTGACGAATATGGTGACCGTGTCTCCACGTCCTCGGGGCCTCTGTTGAGCCGTGCTTCCACCAACAACAACACCCTGTCATACACAGACGGAGGATCCCATCGGGACCGGGACTGGCAGGGGGACCACAACAACGCTGCCGCCTCGGCTACGGCTCCTCTCCTGTCAGCAATAACGTCAGGCCCTCCTTCAACGCAGCATCGCAGACCCCCCTCCTTGAAGCCCAGCAGCTCCACCGCGGTGTGTGACAATTCCAAGAAATCTAGGAGCCCCCTTTCCTTCTCCCGGAGCCGCGCACAACACCAACACCAATCCCACCACAACCAATCCCACCTCCACCACCACCAACCCAACAACCCCGACAGCGGTGCCAGCCACAGATTGGTGCAAAATCACGAGCTGAGCAGCCGCAAGCCACTGAGCACAGCCTGGGCCAATGCGGCATCTCCCTCGCCCTCGCCCTCGACCTCGACCTCGACCGACCCCCCTGCCCGCAAGCGTGACCGGAGACAGTCCAATCATGCCACCATGGTCGGGACAGAGAGCATCATCTCCTCCTCTCGCACCGAAAGCGTGGCCGAGTCCATCGGCGGCCGCACCATAATGTCCAGCGAGCCGCCCTACAGAGAAGGAGACGGCTCGTCGACCAAGTCGCTGTTCCGCCCCAGCAGGCCCTATGTCACCAAGAGCAATGGCCGCACCTACCTCGCCGACCCGACCCTGGCCTACCCCCTGCCCGTCGACCTCCACGAGATGCACCGCCAGTCCCTCCGCACGCTGCTCCTCTTCCAGCTCTTCGGCGGCCCGCTGTGCTCGCCCTTCTTCAACAACAAGCCGCCCACGCGCGTGCTCGACGTCGGCTGCTCCTACGGCTTCTGGAGCATGATGTGCCACTCGTACTACTCGCGCAAGGGCTTCCCCAACGTCCAGTTCACCGGCCTGGACATCGCGGCGCTGGGCGGCATCGCGGGCACGCCGCACGCCACGGGCCACGGCCCCAAGGACCGGCTGTCGCCGGGCCCGGCCTCGACGTCGGCGTCGGCGTCCCACTGGGCGGAGCAGCCACCAGACAAGAACATGCGGTGGAACTTTGTGCAGCACGACCTGCGGCAGCTGCCGCTGCCCTTCGCCGAGGGCGAGTTCGACGTCATCATGTGCAAGGACATGTCCATGGCCGTGCACACGGACCACTTCCCGCTCATCATCGACGACTTCATGCGCATCCTCAAGCCCGGCGGCGCCCTCGAGATCTGGGAGTGCGACCACCCCATCCGCATGCTGCGGCCCCACGTGCCCGACACGCCCGCCACGGGGCCCGGCGCGGCGCCACCGCCGACGCCGAACCCGGACGACTCCTCAGCCGAAGATGGCGGCGCGGCAGACAAGCCCGCCGCCGAGGACGCCGCCAGCACGCCCAGCACGCCCGCAACAGCGACCGCGACCTCCAGCAAGAAGGCCGACTACGAGAAGGAGGTGGCGGAGCTCGGGGCGTACGTGATCAACAACAACACGCCGCTGTCGGGCCCGCAGAACAACTACCTGATCGAGTACAACGGGTGGGTGAACAAGTACATGGACGCGCACCGGCTGCTGGCGTTCCCGTGCGCCAACGTCGGCGCCCTGATGGTGCAGGAGCCGCTGCTGACCAACCAGGGCTCGAAACGGCTGGCCGTGCCGCTGTCCGAGGTGCGCTGGGAGCGCGAGGGCGTCGGCGGCGTCGTCACCAAGGACGGCAAGAGCTACATCGACACCACCAAGGCCATCGGCAAGGCGGCGGCCGCCGGCGGCGGCGTCGGCGGGAAGCGCGGGTCGAGCGCCGGCGTCGGCGACGGGGAGGACGGGGCGGGCAGCAAGAAGGGCAAGGCGCTCAGCGCGGGCCAGCTCGCGCTGCGGCAGGCCGCGCTGCAGACGGTGGTGCAGTTCATCGAGGGCCTGGAGCCGGCGCTGCGCGATGTCAGCGGCAAGAAGCCCGACGAGTGGGACACGTGGATGGGCAAGCTCATGAAGGAGCTCATCGAGCGCGACGGCACCAGCTGCGGCGAGTGCCTCGAGGTCGGCGCCTGGTGGGCCCGAAAGGTGCAGGACCCTTGATGGGGCTTGCGGTATTTTATAATTGGGCGAATCTTGTCTCCTTTTTACCTTGTATACTCTCTTCTCTTTATTGTTCAGGAGGGGGAAATGAAGGGAGCAAGAATGCCCATGACTTGTGGGAGGCCTTTCTGATTCTTCTTGGCGGGTGTGGTGTATTTGCTTTTTCCCGACCACTATTATTGGGAGGTAAACACATGCGCGCGAGCTCGTCTATCTACTACATATCCATCCACCTTACATATCCAGCCCTCACGACCCGCGCCTTGACGCCTCTCCGGGTCAGAGTTCACCACGATACCCGTTGTCCACGCCCTTCGAGCCTCGGTCAGGCCGCGTCATATCGTTTCCTCAGCGTTCGATAGCGTTTGAGGTAGTACCTATATATCACAGAACGAGTAACGGCAGCTGTCAGCGCATCTTTTCATGTCTACTATCACCATACTCTACACTTATTTTCAACACATAGAAAGCAGGAGGGAAGGAAGGAACGCAAAAGGGAAAGGGGAAAGTTTGAATATGTGACAGATTTGAGATCTGGCTTCAGGTCTAGCTCGGCCGCTTGACCATGTCATACGGGTGGCTTTTTCGTGCTTGCATGCGTTGCATAGGGTCGAGCAGGACGGCGATCTCGTGCTTATTATACCGTTGAGGGCGTGGACGAGCTAGCATGCTACGAACGGGGCATTATGACCCAGAGCACACATGAATGCATGCTTGTATGTACGTATAGAAATGTGTTCATATGTGTACGTCGTTCGTGTTCTCCACCCGGGGACTGTGCACCATGCACGATTGTGATTGCCGATCCAGATGGAAAGAGATCCAGATCTTGCATTTCAGCCTGGTCTCGTGCATGCATGCTTGTGTTGCATTGCGCGTGCGTCGTGGGCGGGTCGACAGGCTGTAGCCCACGAGCGCTTAAGGTCGATCTGCACTCGAGCCGCCGGGTGTCACGAACCCCCTTCTGCAGGGGCAATTCGGAGATGGCTCTTGCCCTGGCACTTGCCGCAGAGGCAATTCTTCCTGAGGTGCATATGTGTTTGTAATATCGACGGTTATGGGGACGGAAAGGTGGGAAGAGGTCGTGCGATTCGAAGGGTGCGCGGAGGATGTGTAGAGGCAGGCAGACTCACAGCGTCTCGATCTCTGCAGGGACAATGTCAGCCAGCTGTTTGCCGCCACCAGAGCTTCTTTGAAACACGACGCATCCTCACCTTTCCTTACAAAGTCCGCCCTATTGATGCCGTCCTTGATCTTCTCCTCGTCGCGCAGGCCGGCGTTAGCCATGAAGGCCTTGTGCAGGCGCGGCCGGAAGAATTGGTAGCCAGCGGGGTATTCGCGGCCGAGGTAGAGGAGCTCTGGATAGCACATGCGAGATTAGGAGGGTGCTATTTCAATGACATTGGGCCTTGCAGCCAAATGGTTCCATGGTGAGAGGCAGAGACCTGAGGAGACAGAAGGCTGGATGCAAGACTGCGGGCGGGGCAGGGAAGAGCAGGGCAGGGATTGAATTATTGTCTGCGTACCTTTGTAGATGGCAATGACTTGCTTCCTCAGCTCTGGGTTGATGGGAGCTGACATTTTGTGTCTCAGTCAGCGCCTGGGGCGAGCATTGTTGGCCTGGCAGCTGGTTTCTTGCTGGACAGGAGTGCCTCGAGTGCGATGCAAGATGATGAATTCGCCCAGCAGAATGCACCCAGTCGCGACATCGTTCGTTGTTCGAGGGAGCGGAGCCGACCTCGGCCATGGCCATGACGTAGGGCTTATCTTATCGGCGAGCAGGGGACTTGGTCCTCCGCACACAAGCACGCCTTATGGCCTTATGGTCAAGACGCTGATCTGACCTTGAGGGGCGACCCTCTCTCGAATTGTCTTGGTATTCCCGTTAGACCGTCTTTTCCTGTGTGCTCAGCGAGGTTGGCTTCCTAACGCAGCTGTCGCAACTCCTTTCAATGTCTTTATAGCACACCAATCTCTGTGACAATGGTACCTCGACCGCGTCTCCCCCCGCTGTCCTCCCTCAACCGAGGTTGGCAGTGTGCAGCTCCAGCTCCAGCTCCACCGCCCAAGCTCGCCCGCCCAATATCAGCGACGTCCACAGCCCCCACCGATACGATACCCGAACCCCCTCCCCAGCGATGGCTCTCCGACCTCCAGTCCCGCCTGGGGAAGTGCATAATGTTCGGCTGCTCGCCGGCGCAGGTCGCCCAAGCAAGCAAGGTGCTACACGCGCTGGCGACGGAGTGGAGGCCGCTGAGCGCCGGCAGCGAGGGCTTCCTGTCGGGCGGGCGGCGCGGGCTCGAGGGCCAGCAGGTCGTCTGGGGCGAGCAGGACAGCTTCCAGCACGTCAACAACACGCGCTACGTCCGCTGGGCCGAGTCGGCCCGCGTCAACTGGATGACCAACTTCGCCAACCACGTCGACCCCGCCCACAGGAGGGAGTGGGCCGAGCTCATGACCCCGCGCTCCGTCGGCCTGATCCTCAAGAGCATCAAGGTTGACTTCAAGTTCCCCATGACCTACCCGGACAAGGTCTCGGTCTACCACAGGCTGCGATACCCGCCGTCCGCGCAGCCCTCGCCCTCGTCGCTTATCCTGGACGCCGTGGTGTTCTCCCACAGGCACCGCCGCGTCTCCGCCAGGGTTGAGGAGGACATTGTTATCTATGACTACAGGGCGGCCAGGAAGACGGAGATGCTGCCCTTCATGCGGGATGTTCTGGAAGATACCTTCGCGCAGCAGGAGGCGGAGAGGGTGCGCGCCAGGACGCGGATATGGGATTTGATAGGGGATGTTGAGAGGCTGGAGAATGAGACGTGGAACCGGCCTGATGCGGTCGAGGATATGGGAGGTGCCGCGAAGACCAAGTGAGGTTTCAACGTGATAATGCGTGGTTGTGGAGTTTTGGTGAGCGTGTCGGCCTACCGAAGCTTGCGCCGCGCAAACTCTGACTCATACTTTGGCTCGATGTATATTGCTTCATGCCTCCGTACATACCGCTGGTGAAACCCGTGGGAAGAAAGCAATCTGGTGTGCCGGATTTAGAGAGAGCCCTCCGTAATTACATGCCTCTTAAGCCTCATGCGGATCCGCTGGCCGCTTGAGGCTGGTGATGGTTTCACAGCAAGCCGCATGATGACGCCTGCAACCATCTCTCGGAGCGTGAGCCGAAGTGTTCTGTTTCAATATCTCACTATCTCCATTGTTTGTCCTCGGCCTGCCGAACATGTCCGCTTACACTCTTCCTCGAAATGCGTATGGGCGGCCGCTGCGCTCTAAAATCCGCGGCATAAGCGTCCGCCCTGGGGTGTAACCGACCCCAAGCTTTCGGGTTCCCTCCTCCGTGGAGCAACGGCCAATAGAGCTTCAGCCGGCCAACGGGTGGTTCCCGCGGTAGCCGCAGGAAACAGCATGCTGAGAGCCTGAAACGTCGCTTGATATTACAGCTCTCCAGAGCATATTAAAAGTAACTCCCGACATAGGTCGGCATCACTGGCTCCGCCGCCTCACTTCAGCCTTTGGGTATTTATTTCTATATGGGTCGATTTACGGGACACCTTGGACCTTGGGGTTGCACAATGAAGAGAGCACCCGGCGTGCCATCATGGCGGAGACGCTGGGATTCTAAAAACGAATCGAGGGTGTGGTTCAAGTCTGCTTGATGTACCATGTGTCACAGCAGCTTGGACGGCGTGATCGAAGTGTGTCATGAGATTCTCTCTCTTGTGTGCCCGAATCATGACGATTTTGGGAGAATTCCAAGACTGCCTGATGTCAGCGGACGAAGAAAGAGTGATTGCTCGGACTTGATCGTCTTCAATTCACAGAATTGTACTTATGATGGATACCCCGTAAAATCCTACTTCAATGCTGAGCTTAAAAGACGTTGGTTGATACATTCAAGGAATTTGAGGCTATCTTCGAGTTGTTTCTTGACAAGCCCATAAATAAGTCAGTTTGCGGATACGGTCTGAGAAAGGATCCGAAACCTCGTATGTGTTACCTATAGCGTTGTATGGTTCGAGTTGCTCGCTGTGTAGGATGTACTTTCGTATTTCGTGCCGCATCCTACTAGATGATGCCAGCTAAGCTGCCGCGAGTGTGATCCTCTCAACTTGGGCACGATCAAAGCCTCTTCTGCGTCATCCTTGTCAGCTCTACCCGCCAATTCGTGCTTACCAAAGAAATAGTATAATATACCCTATACTCATCTTATCAGAATCTAGGTGGCAATTGCAGCAGCGGTGTCCACTTTCTATGATTTCGAACAGTGGAAAACGAGAAGTCGGGTCACTCGTCGCCGGGCTTTGATATTGACCGCTCTTACAAGATACAAATATTTCCTTCTTTGCTGTCGAATGATCGCTGACTTCCGAGTTGGCGACGGCAAGGTCCGTGAGCCTTACTAAGTACTCCGGTCATATTGTACATGAATGAAATGCCGATGCTGCAGAACATCCAGTGATCTGACACGCAACCGTCAACTGGCAGACACGTGTGGGGATCACGGGCGCACGTGGATATTTCAAATAGCGGGCGCCACGCTCTCGTCCTTTGGAGTGGATAAAAGTGTGTCGAATTGCGCGTGTGCGCGCCCAATTCTAAATTCTCACAAATACGGGCTCACCGGGACTCCGTCGGCTGTTTTTCGCTTTGTCAGTCATCAAGGCTGATTCACCGCTCGTAAGTAAGCACGCAGCAAAAACAGACGAGCAGGTTTTCCAAGGTTGCTTTGCTTGCCGCCGGGCTAACCACCTAGGTACATAGAGTACTTAGTAGCCCCCACCAACCCAAAACGGACCGGCCTTTTGAAGGCCTGCCGTGCATTATCAAATCCCATCGAGCCACATGCATCAAGCCACCCCCAGAGACTTTCAACACGATGCAGGAGCGCTGGGCAGCCGATTTACGACAACTACGTCATCGAGGATGAACTCTTTAGCGGATTACTTATCACGAACTCGTTCGTACCTAGGTGGGCTAGGTACGTGAGATTCAAGAGAGCCGTGACTACATGCTTGGGCGCGCGGAAGGCTGTGCCTTTGATTTGAGTTACTCATGCTAGGGATGTAACTCGAAGATGAGACGGCCTCGCTTCCGTACTAGAAATGACAGTCATCCCCCCGTAATACTCACTCGGCCGCATCACGGCGTTTGAGAGCACTATTTCGGTCCACAGAAACTCGCGTTTCCCGAACTCAAATCCGTTCCAGCCCTCGTAAGCGGGCATCGTCGTTGCTGGTTGACACCAGAGGGTACTCTTGGAAGCTTCTGCGCCTTTCCAGGTAGATGGTGAGATGGGATTATAATACTCAAAGTAGTAATGTGATGACTGTTTACATAGACTTCGTATATATGTGAAAGTCTTCATAAGTAAACGCCTCTGAGCGCAGACTAGTGTTCCATGACAAGTCATTTGCACCTTCAGCCCTACGCCCTACGAAGATCAATTCCAAACACAATTCCTAACGTGGCGCTTTGACTCACACAGCATAATGCCATCGACTAAGTACGGCAGTGGCTCTGGGGGTGGCGATGACCCCTTCAAGAACAGCACCTCGGGCTCCATGTCGAAGAAGCTAAAAGAGCCCAAGAAGAAGAGGGGTGACTCAAAAAAGAAGGAAGAAGAACAGTCATCAGTGAGTTGACCTGAGGGACACCCACTCCCATCATATACTATGGGTGGGTGACACCGGATACTAAGAATTGTACCAGAGACGTCGAACGCAGAACCGAGAGTCCCAAAGAGCGTACAGAGAGCGCCGGGAACGCCGACTCACCGAACTCGAGCTCCAGGTCCAGGAGGCTGAGGTGCTCAACCAGACCCTCACAACGGCATACCAGGAATTGAAGGCCGAGATCGACAGGCTGCAGGCCGAGAAGGCGCAGGAGGCGTACTACGCCAGCATGGCCGCGCAGGCCGGACCTTCTTACGATGCTTCTTACGCGGGCTCGTCTTCGGGTGCTACCGGCTACGAGCAGCAAGGAGACCCGAACTTGTGGGCGTATGACAGTAACTGGGTTCCTGAAGAGTGGGACGACGGGGGAAATGGGAACCAACAGTACTGAGTGGGTGATTAGTGCCATCGTCGTTAGGATACAAAAGTTTAGGTAATTGGATGTGGTGCAATGAGTGTATGATTAGACTAGATTTATAGAAATGATACCAGAAGAAACAAGGAAGGTATTCTGTTTTACATACAAATCGTTCCCGAACACAAATTGTTAATCTTCTTTACTTACGCTTGCTGCATCACTGAGATGCTCACCCACATGATTTTCGAATTGGCCAACTGCTCCTGCAAACGATGGACCACATCCTCGGAGAGAGCAGTCATTGCCATGATAAATGAAAGGCATCAGCACCCTAATGGACATGTTTCACGAAATCAGGAGCTCGAAACGCCATCCAACCATAAAGGTCCTCTACGTCACGAAGATGAATAGAAACCCAATTCCACCAATATAATGAAGTCGTGACAGAGGTTTGACTAGTTCAAGAAGCTCGTTCGAGTTGCATTTGACGCCCTTACGCTACCATAAACCGCCAGGTCTGTTCTACTTGACCCCCCGTAAAGAGTGATGGATGTGCAAGGTCTTCACAGCTAAAGACCTTTTCCCGAAGCATGTTTCTATATCAGAATTTGCCTGCGTTCAACTCTAGTCAGTAAATACTAGTTATTTCGTGATTAGATTCGTACATAAATGCTTGAACCCGGCGGGATGGACTGTACGACGCGCACTATTCAAACATGCTACATGGCTTCCTTTTTATTCTTCGTCTTCTTCAGGCAGGAATTGCGGAGTTCCCGTGAGAAACTGCGTGATCATGAGTGCTCACCGCCGGTCTTTAGTCAGGGGCGCCTATTTCCAGAACATCCAGGCCCGCATTTATGTGAAGGATTCACGATACCCACTCCGAGGAATCTGGGGTTCTTTAAGGAATTGCTCCATTGTCCGGCTTTTAACAACGGAATGATTCTTAAATCTCGACAGAGAACTACAATTGATTCTGGCTGGTACACATGGTCGGTCGTGGTTTTCCTATTTCGCTCAATTGTGGAACGTCGCGGACCTAGATGCCAATGTGGATAATTGTGGAATGCCACAAAGTAGGGGATCCGCTGGGCAGTGTTGATGCACATGGTGCATCGCCAAGTTCATGATCAACTGAAGTCATGAAACTAGTTTGCAGGTGTCCTATCCAACAGCGATACTTCAATTTGCCCTGATACAAGTGCAGTTGTGGCCTGTTGTCTAATTTTGGCCCTTATAGTTGTCATAGCGGGTGCTACGCCAAACACTGGCAGGATCGGCTCACCAAACCTCTGATGCAAGATCCTAGCCCGGCAGGATTCCAGGCTGAAAGAATGGCAGCTAAATGGTCTGCTAGAATGAGCACTCAATCTTTCCCGGCATTTTAGACGTCCGGGGAGCTGCCGAGTGAAAGATCTTCGCGAGGCGCGGGACGAAGGATCCAGACTGGGGGCTTATACAACAGGGGTTTTAGGCAGAGCAATTTCCACAGGTGTCATTCGAGCCAGTGTTGTACAAAGTGGATTTCAGCTGACAGCGATCCTTCAAGCCAATTCAAACATTAGTTGAGGCTTGTTCGAACTTTTCTCCTTTCAAGCTCTCGCCCTTCCTTAACTACACATACGACTAATCATCAAAATTCTTGAGTATCTAGAACTCGAAGATGGAAAATACGAGGCCAGAGGCACAGCAGAAGCCTTTCTCCGAGGTCGATATCACACCCACACCAGAAATCACATTACCACGCCAACAATCGGATATTTCATCTGACGTGTATCCGGCTCCATTGCAGACAAGTTTGTCATCAGATAGGCTTTCACGGTCACAAACAGGGAGCCCACCGCTGAGCAACCCTGAGACTGAGACACGCCCACTACAGCCATCGGCCGTGTCTTCAACGCGTCACGAGCGGATGCCCTCAGTAAACTCTCTACCACCAAAGGAAGGACAGTTCGGGGTTGTATCAAGTAGCGGACAGCTGGTGTGCGAGTTCAGGCCAACGCCTAACACAGACGAAGCTCCACAACCACCATCGAAGGAACAATTTGCCGAAACCTCGTCATCATTTTCAGAACAGAAATCACCAGAAGAATCAGTATCACCTCCACCACAGGGAGGCAGTCGGCCGCACGCCGCATCTCTGAGTAGTGCACCGGAGGGTCCGACAATCAGCACGTTGGAGCTTGCGGTCGACTATAGCAATTACCCAGAGGTATATCTCCCGAACGAAGAGGAACGACCAAATTTGCCGCCGCGGAGTCCAATCCCACGAAAATCACTCCCGATGGACGACTCCACGCCTGCGCCGGCGTATTCGACCCCGGCGGACTATCAAAGGATTGGATATACCGGGACGCTCGACATGTCGAGCGCGGTGGCCACGGTGACGCCTCTCCACATGCTGGGGGACCAGTCAGACATGATCGATTGTCCGTTCTGTATGAAGCGAGTCGAGACGTCGGTCAAGAAGAAGGCGTCCAGCATGACACAGTGAGTATCCCTTTTTACTCCTCAAACAGCTTTGTTGAAGGTATGATGGCATTGGAATGAAATGGAGGCTAATTCTTGAACTAGCACCTGGGGCACTGTCCTATTCTTCACCACTCTCTTCGGCGTGGTGGCGCCATACTGCTGCGACTGGTATGTCAATGTCGAGCATTATTGCAAGAACTGCAAGCGGAAGGTTGCGCAGAAGAAGTTCAACAGCGACGAGATGGAAGCGCTTGGGACGCGACCTGAACACAGACAGGTATCGTACTTCGAACCAGCGGAGAAGCCGACGAAGAAGTTTCGGTCATAGGCCAAAGAAAGGAAGACGGAATTGAAGAGCGAACACTGAGAAAGACAGTCCAGTAATTAGTACTGTAAGACTTCTGAAGTTCGATTTCGCTACAAAATTACTTTTAAAAGCTAGATCATGTACATTCTACAAACGTCATACATTTTAATCGCCGCCGTGTTCGAAGTCCAGCCATCCGAATTGTACGTCCTCACTCAGGAGGTTCCGCATTTCGGCTTCGAACAACTCGTTTGATAATGCCTCTGCATCGCCACTAGAGACCTGAGCAGTCTCATTTGCACCCCAGAAAGACGCGGCAGTAACGTCATCGCCCCCCTTTGCCCCATTCTGCATTGACGCCGTGAGCCTTGGGTCGATAATAGATTCCTCCAATACAGCCGTAGGGCTGGCCTCCTTAAACATTTCTCGCGACTGCGATGGTTTACTATTTGACCGTGCCGAGTAGGCAGACCGCACCGATGTGCCACACGACGTGGGTGGTGAGTCACCCGAGGCACTCCCGCTCTGACTACTCCCAGAGGTGGCAGACAGCGGGCTCGCGATCTGCTGCAAGCCCTGCTGCCACCTGGTACTCGTGGGCCACGCCTGGTGCAGGTCTCCCAGGACCTGCAGGCAGCGCAGGGAGATACCCTCTGCCTCGGGGGCCACTCGCGGGCACAATTGTGGGTAGCGCCATAGGTAAGAGGCGAGCGACCCGCAGATGTAGACACAGAAGACGAGAATGGCGGGGAAGCCCTCGCCGCGGGTGCGCAGTGCGGCAAAGGCGTCGATCTGCTCGTGGAGCTCGACGACGCCCGCGAACAGCTCGTCCGCCATGGCGCGCCAGAAGCCATCGGGCGCGCCCCTCGTTTTGGGCGAGGCGGTGATGTCGTTGTTGTGATCGGCATTGTTGGCGCTCAGCAGGATCTCGTCCAGATAGATGCGCCGCTCCACGATGTTGCTCACGCGCAGCACCATCACCACCGCTAGATACGCGAGGTGCAGCTGCTCTGACCGCCACCCGCGCAGGTTCCACGCCGACCACCGGTGCCGTTCCGGCATCTCCGCCTCGAACCGTCGCAGCTCCTCTGTCAGTACCTGGTACTCGCTGCCTGTCTCCCACGGCTCCGTCCCGTGCGTCTTGAGATCGGACCGGCAGGCGCGCCGGGCCACCTGACCCCAGAGGTTGTGGGACTGGATCAGGGTGGCGAAGAGGCAGCGGTTGGGTGACTTCGCCGAGTCTGGGTGCAGTTGTGCTGGGAGTGTCCCCGGCAGGACGGACCTTGGCGTCGGATTTACTCCAAAAGCAAAGTCGTGCTCGTCGCAGGGGAGACGGGCGGTAATGTCCTCCAGGGGGAAAGGCGCGGGTGAGCTGTATCCTGCGTGGAGATTCTCCTGGCTGTGGATCATCCAGAAGGTCCTCCGGGCTGATTCGGCGCGGATGACCTGTTCTGCCGCGGCGTCGGGTGGCAGGAGATATGACTCCTCGCGGTGGAGCTTGAGCATTGAGGCCATCCTGACGGCGACGCCCATGTTGACGGAGCTGCGGTCCTTGTCGCCGTTGCCCCACTCGGCGATGGCCAGGAGGAAGAAGGCCTGGGTCCGCTCAAGTGATGGCTCGTACATCTCTGTAGGCACCATCATCCGCGCCAGCCTGAGAAAGTTTTCGGTTGCCCGCTCTGAGCTGCCATACCTCTGAACCAAGCTTGGTGTGAATCTGGCTGAGATGCAGAGTATGCAGCTCAGCAGGAAGGGGCTGATTGAGCTGGCATTCCGGCTGATGGCCTCGATGAAGATTGCTTTGGGGAGGAAACCAAGCTGGAAGTAGGATGTGACAAATGACCGGCAGCCAGCCACGATGTCTTCATGAGAGGGGAAACAGGGGCTGGATGATGGGCTCACAGACGACCCTTGGCGCCGGCGGCTCATGCTTGCGTAGGGGGTAGGATTGGATAGACGTGTGGTGCTGTTCAGAGAGGATGTGTGATGGTGACTGCTGGGGCCAAATGAGGCTGAGACCGGTGAGAAGATGGGGGCGTCGACAGGAATTGAGGCTGCCCCTGGAAGTGGCTGAACAGCAGGAGCTGACAGGTTGAGGGCTGGCGTCCCTCGTGATGTGGATGAGGACGATACACTCAACCTATGGGCAGGTTGCCTCCGTCGGAAGTCTCTGTCAACGTCCTTCTCGCCTCTCCTAGGAAAGGAGCACTCTGAGGCGGTTTGAGGTCCGGCAGAACGGCATGCTTCGCAGGGTGGGTTACTTTCCGGGCCGTGGAGACACTTGGTCCGTAGCCTTCGGCACCGGCGACAGGCAACTGTTCCGCGGCGTCGGGGCGGCGGTGGAGGCGTCTTGTGGTCGTCTGCGCTCTTAGGAGTAGCGACAGGTGACTGGTGAGAGGGAGAGGGAGAGGGAGATGGGATAGGATTTGCGACGCGTATGCTGCCGCACAGCTCTGGGGACGACTCTCGCTCTCCCTTCATGACTGATGACTGACGGAGGGAGAGGCTGGGTTGGCTGAATGACTCGGTGCTCAAAGTATCACGGAAGTGAGGACAGGACTGAGAGAGAGAGTTTAATTCTACCAGCAGAGGGCAACAGAGGGCAAGGCCGGGTCACAGGCGCAACGCAACACAGCAACACGACACGGCTGACGGCCCATAGAAGACTTTGGAGAGGGGATCGTGATGAATGGGACAGAGATCAGACCAATTCCCAACCTACCTGAGAGTGGGCACATCTTGGGGATAAGAGTGACTCGAGCCACTCGACTCGCCCGCCTTTCGCAACAGGTCGGCATGGCACCGGACCGGAAGTGGAAGTTCGGGGTGACTGGGTGATAGGCGGTCGCGCAGAGTCGCGATAATGGGGACCGTATTTTGCGGGGCCCATCCGGGAAGGTTCATGCGGTCCAGCGACTTGAAGGAAGACCATCCCCACTGATTGCCCCCCTCATATCGGGATCTGCAGCATGGGGGACCAGCACGAGCTTATCTGATAGTGGGAAAATTGCTCACGTAACCCCCTTCATGGCGCCAATGATTCGCCCGACGCCACTGATACAGTGATACGCTCGTGTACCCCGGAGGGCGCCGGAGATAGGTGACTGGAAATAATGACACTGGCCGTGCGTCTCAGCAGGGTGTCTGCCAGTAACAGAGAGAGGGGGCAGTGGCCTGCACGACGAGGGGGACCACTAATACTGATCCAGGCCGTGAAACTGCTTGGGGACCAGAACCGATATAATATCAGCATCCTGTCGTGACCTCCTCCGTAATCGCTGTTGACACCATCTAGACCCTGAATGACACTGATTGGGACACCCCGCTCACACGTTACCCCAGACTCCACCCGATATGGGCTACTTACGTACAATAATATTCCCAATCCTGCCCATGACGTTCACTGTTTTCCATGCTGACCAACGCAACGGCCAACCCCAATAATGCGGCACGATATAGCAGAGGCTAATGTCGGCTCTCGCTGCATTGTTCTGAGTTATGACTCGGCGAGTGTGCACCCTTCGACTCGGATAAACTCCGGTGGGGGATAACTTCGCACTAGGTTATCTCCCGTACCTTTTTAGGATGAGAAATAAAGCGCTATAGGTCACTACTTCCAGGGGCACAATTAAAACATGGTCAAATTGCTGCAGTCGGTATGGTTGTACAGTATTAGTTACATATCTACTAAGAGGCGGTGTTCGCCGAAAGAAACCAGCTGGGGGTATTTTTCTTTGGGGGGGGGGGGGATCATCACTCCGTCTTGGCCTTCTTCGCCTCTCCGGCCGGCGTGCCCTCATCGTTACCCTCGTCCTCGTCCTCCTCTTCCTTAGCCTTCCGCTTCTTCGCCTGGGCCCAAGGCGGGGTGAACGCCCTGTCATTCTTCAACTTCTCGTCCAGCTTGGCCCACTGATCGGCCGTGCCCATGTCCTTGGTCACGCGCCGGAACGTCAGCGCGAACCGCATCGGACTCGTGCAGTCCACGGCGTGCTCCATGTACCTCTGCGTGTTGGCGCCCCACATAATGACAATGTCGCCGTGCTCAACCGCGAAGGAGAGGAGGGTTCGCTTGGCGTAGGTCCTCTTGTTCCTCGGATCGGCCATGTACGCGTCCATGTGCTCCTGGAGCTGCGCCCTCCACTCGTCCTCGCTGATCTCCCCGCGTTCGGACTTGGCCCTCAGCTCGTTCCTGAACCCTTCCTCCGTGCAGCCGGCGGGGATGGGGTCGACTTGTCCGTCTCCCGGCTTCATCCAGCCGGTGCCCTTCTTCGACCGGCCGTAGTCAAACTGGGGCTTGATGCAGAACTTGAAGGTCGCCCGACCGCCCAGTGTCCACGTGCCGATGATGGAGCCTAGGCCCGTCTCTCCGTCGTCGTGGTAGCTCATGCCCATCTTTCTCGACAGGTAGGCCGCGATGTACATCTCGTTAAAGTCGCATTCTTCATTGTCATTGCCGAAGTACTCCTTCATGTACCCGTTGCAAGCTTGCACGGCCTCAATGACAACCGCAGGCGCCTTGTCGAATGGTATGTCGCCGAGAGCAAAGGGCAGATTGTACCGCTCACCAAAGTTCTCGACAAAGTGGTTCGTGAGTGCCGTAGCTCCTTGAGCTTTGACAGACCGTCGAGCAAGGCCGAGAGTGCCGGAGCCTGCGTCTTCCTGGACCTTCTTGAAGAGCTTGTCTGCTGTGGTCATTGCGGAACTGCTTGGCTTGGGCCTGAAGATGGTGGCGCGACAGCCACCTCCGAAGTCGAGCTCGTGAGCAATGTGCGAATCAAGGTCTTTCTCGCCTTGATATCCGGGCAGTGTATTCAGGGGCTTGGCGGCGGATATCTTTCTCTGCTGCCGCTCAGCTTCCAGTAACTGCGGTGTCACCATTGGTGGCGGGGCGTGGTAGCTGAAGGGCTTGATTTCACCCGCCGAATTTCTGCAATCTGTATTGCGGCAGAACCATCCGTGATACAGAAATCTAGAGTTCGCCAAACCGCATTGAGGGCAAGAGAAGCCATTCACCAAAGCCTCGTTTCTTGCTGCGACGTTATCCGCTGTGACGGGCGATGCTTGAGCATCAGGGTAGTTCTTCGCAAGGAACTGCTCAAAGGACGGGTAAAGGTTTGGGTAGAACGTCTCCAATGGCTCCGGCTTCAATGCGTCGTCAAATCTATCGTATCGTTCTCTCAGGAAGTCATCGTTGTAGACGATGTTGCTCAGCTCGGTGTCGGTGAGGAGCTTGCCATCCACGGTGAACCACTCTCCACAGTCTCGGTTCAGACACACAAAATGTGACTTGAAGATTCTCACCGAACTCTCCTCACATGCCTTGCAGACTTCTTTCGTGGCCTTGGTCTCGAAGTCCCGCTCTTTCGGGCTTGGGTATGGCAGCTCTTTGTGGGCGGCGTTTGACCACCAGCTTGCCTTGGAGATGTCGATCTTCTCCATCCTAACCATCCAGCACGTCTTCACACTGCCATCCTGTGCTCGCACCGGCTGGGGCCACATATGGGTGGTCAGGAACCATCCGAGAACAACGCAGTCGAGGCCCTCGGGAATGGGGCACGGAAAGGTTTTCAGGCCGTTGGCGTCCTCCTTACAAGCCTCTTTGGCTACCGCGACACCGATCGGGACACGCTTCTCGAAGCTGTGCTTCATCTCCTTCTTTCGGTCATCTGTAATCCTTTGCATATTATCGGGACCGTTGATACTGGTAACCATCACTTCGGAGTCAAGGTATTGCCCGACAGACCTGCAGCCAGCGATGTATATGCCCGTGCAGTATTTCTTCTCGGCTCCATTTTCGTCCCGGCTATTCCTAGGGTCTCCGGCGTTTGTGCTCCAAAAGCCAGTCTGCATGCCATGAAACCAAACAGTTGCGCTGACGAAATCCAGTCTTCGTTGCGCGAAATACTGCGGTTTGTCCAGAGCCATCCATCCTTCCATTTCCTTCCGGATCATAGTATCTGCGTAAGGAAGCCGAGCAGCCGAGTGCTGCTCAGTGCTGCCATCAGATGAGGCATTCTCCTCCATGTTCTTTGGGGAGCCTGTTGCGGAACCTAGACTGGTTGCGTCCATTTGAATCGGCCTTGATGTGATCTTCAGGATGGATTGGAGTAGTCGAAGAAGAAGATTGCGGTGTCGTAGCTGGCATACAGAGGATCTATCCTCACACACGAGGTCTCCGATTTGGCGGAGGAGAATAACGGTGTACGAGGGAAAACGGTAGATGATGGGCGATGGTGGAAGGAAGGAGACGCGACGAAAAACAATGGCAGATCAAGGACACGAGATTATAGGACACGAGATTATCGGTGCTGGCATATCGCGTAAGCCTGCAGATGAGAAGAAACACAGATTGACAAGTTCAAAGCCGCACTTTGGTTTATGGCAACTTGAGTGAGTTTGTCTTTTTTGTTCGCTCGCAGGCTTCGCCAGCTTTGCAGGCTTTGCAGTCGCGAACCAAACGGCGTTGCGCCTCCGAGTGAATTCATGAGCCTCAAGGGAATGCTTTCAGATTACGTAAGCCAAAACAGCATGAACACATGGAATCAGACGGAAGGTAAATGATAAAGATTCTCCAGATCAGATGGTGCTGCTCGAGGTATGCCAAATCGTGGAGCTGTGCAGCTTTTTGATCCATCCATCTGTGTTTGAAGGTTTATTGATGGCGCTGGTGATGCTTCTGTGTAGACATATCTCTGATTCTAATATGAACTATCATTGTACCAATATGAAATAACGGATATCAGCTAGCTAGCAACCCACAGATGCGTGGTGCCAATATAAACCATGACCTGCCCCTCGATCACAAGAGCACATTCAGCTGTAACACAGATTGTGACTTTTCTTAACAATTTTCAATAAAACAGTACTTTACTCAATAATATCTAAAATGTGAGTTCCTGAACAAGGCAAACAGGTTCTTGGCGCCTCAAAGACTATCATCAAAAAACCCCAGCTCATCCCCAATTGCAAAGCTATGTGCGTGATCGCGATACACCAACACACCAGACAGAAAATTGCAAGCCTATAACAAGACTGAGTATCTCGAGCACAGTATGCTCAGCATGGCCTGAGATATACTGGATAACTAATGCTTTGATTCTGCTGCCATTTGTCTCTGCATTCATCCTTATTGTGAATTTGGGGGGAAGCCATGGCTATGTGTGTGGTGTCCTGTATCATCCGCCTTTAGTCCTAAAGAGGATACCCTTTTGAATTCCAGGAGACAGCCGACTATGATGTACTAGAACGGATTTTCAGATTCACAGGATATTAATAACCAGATTAAGGATCTGATAGAGGGGCGAGAATATACTTTAAACACACACACATTTCAACTCGTCCCCTTTGTGCAGAGCGATTTGTCGAGTCTGTTCAATTCATCTGCCTCCTAGGATATCAGACTAAACAGTCTTCCTCGCCATGGGCTTAAAGGGATCCGATGACTCTATCTATAGACAAGTCACAAGAGTATTTGAATTAAATTGCTGCTATAATGATTGTTTCCCAGTGATGTGCAGCTATTACTATGAGAAATTACAGAAGCCACATGTCGGCGAGGACAGATATACACTCGTGTAAAGATCGACTCGACTTTACTTGAATCCAATATATGGAGGCTGTTTGATGGTCCGGACTTGTCCATCAGTAATGGATGCAGTGGTCAATGGTTGAAGGTGTCTGGTGTTTTCTGCCAAATGATATCAAAATACTTGTTAATTTCGGTGTGAGGCTAAGCAGCTAAATTGAATGAATCATAAAATTCTCGACGTGGGTGCATAATCAAGAAAGTAATTATTTGGAATAGACACAAGCCTCTTCATGTGTATCTGATATCATGGTCTCTTCATGCGACAATCGCTGATTTCAGTCTATTTCGATCTGCTTGTATTGTCATTCCCTCATCCACATGAAGAACATCAACTCACAGTCGATCACAGAACTATTCGCGTCGCAGATCTAGTGGGACGGGCTTTTTTTTTCTTTTTCTTTTTCTTTTTCTTTATTTAAAAAAAAGGGGGATGGGGAGATAGATTTGGCATCAAATGCTATTCCAAAGACATAATACATTGAGCTCGTCTTATGAAACACCCTATCTCATGAAGATCTGGGAGCAGATATGAACATGAAATTATCTTTAATTCCTACAACGCGCCATATTAACAATTTGGGCAGTGCCACAGGCAAGGAAATCATATACTCAGGCAAGTACACACGGATCATGGATTAGCAAGGGCAAGCTAGTTGGCATCTCGGCAACTCTCTTTTCCTGAGAAGTGTGAAAGTCGCCATGAGCTAGGTTCTTTACTCCGCTTCTAATCAGTGGCGAAATGCTTCCACCAGCAAGGGCATTGATTGGGAGCAGGACGACAGAAAGTCGCTACCTCAAAGAATGTAACCATTTCTAGGCATGGTAGTCTTGGATGTGATGACCACAATTTAATCCCCTCCTGCGACCCTTTGAGCATTTCTGAAAGACTGTATTGGACTGATAGGCTCTAAAAACATTAGTAATGTGCTTGCGTGTATAAGAATGCAAGTCTTGTCTTCAGTAACAACTACCCATAACTTGAAGCTTGTAATCTTCTCTCTAACGCCGTTAGCTTTAAATGTAGTGCAAATGTCCAATACTTAAGAGATAATTTTCTGACCAGAAATTGCAGTTTGATGTTTCGAAATGTAGGAAAGACAGCACTGGTATATTCAACTGTTCACATATTACGCGGATCACGGAACAGTCGACCAGCAATCACAGTGAGGTCCCCAAGAGTCAGCGAGTGTCTGCCTACGAAAATCAATCTCTCATTGCGATGAAATAATCTCTATCGTGCGGTCTGAATCTGAGTGCAAAGTGGTCATACACACATGTGCAGACGAGATATCCCAGAATGTGAAAATCAAGAAGGGATAGAACTTAATTTCAGCTGCTATTGACTGCGGGGAATACGTGCTTAATCACAAAAGCTACCCTTTTTCCCACACAAACACTAAGGAAGTCAGATGACTAGACTGATATTCATAGTTTATAGTTTGTTGAACTCTACTGTACAAAGCTTCCCACAGAACTGCTAGACGACGTAACTCAGCCCTTAGAAAGGCTGGCGACTGCCGAAGTTAGGAGACATTCTATACAAACTGAACTTGAGTCTGTATATGAGTCCTTTGCACCTTACAAGAGGGTGTAGTAGTCAGGAGGATGTGGTTCTAAGCCTAGGCTCGGAAGTAGAGTTTTGTACTTCATTCACGAAATTATATCAATACAAAGCAACGATTCAGAAGTCTTCCTAATACTGAAGGAGAATTCATGATGGGATCCACTAAATTTCGTATCCAACGGTACAGTTCGAATAGCTTTTATCGTCTTGGACACCAGTGGCGCTCGACTGCTAGCCCTTCACCAGACCTATTGAATCCGGTAGGCTGCATGCTGGCCCCCAATTCGGGTCAATATTTGTCCGTTTTAGCTGACAACGACGCTGATTGAGACACAAGGTCTCGGGTGATACACGTTCTTGGCGCACCGGTCATATCACTTGCTTATGCGAAAGTTTTCAGCTGGGCTGGGCTGGGCAGGCCCCGTTGACATTTTTGATTCTTGCGCCGCAAACAATGCAATCCCTGGCAGAATCGACTCGCTAGTCCCATGACGACAACTAAGTGATTCATGAATCTGTCCACATGAACCTATTAATATCACCAAGAGGCATACCCCATACAAAGCCTTATCATGTCTGAACCCGGAGGATCATACGAAACAAGCTTTCGAACTTCATCAGATGTTGATGTCGTATCTCGACGAGGACGCCTGAGGGAAACAAGCTTCTTGTCCTTTTTGGCGGTGGCACAATCCTTAAAGATCGATATTCTACCCCTGACATGGGACGCAGGAAGGAATGACATCGGTTCCGGCGCAACAGCCCGCGTAATGGAAGCGCTTATCAATATCCATACCAGATTCGCCTTTAAGCGCGCGAACAAACAAAAATTGGAATCCGAGATATTCCGCTCCTTCACTAACGAGATAGCTGTCCTGTCTCATAGTTTCATCCGAGAGCATCCAAATATCGCACAGCTGCAGGGAATATGCTGGGAGATATCTGCGACCGACGACAAACCGTGGCCGGTGCTGGTCTTCGAGAAGACCTCGCTAGGGGACCTGTATTCCTTTGCGAAGCTACCTGCTAGCAGATCGATGAATTTCTCGCAGCGTCTGAAGCTATGTGTTGACATTGGAACCGCCATCATGGCTATGCATTCCGTTCGTAAGTTCTGTTGCCAGGGCAGTGCAATCGATTGGCCACTGATGTATAACCTCAAGAGATTGTGCACGGAGACCTGAAGCCGGAAAATGTCCTCGTTTTCCCCGATGATCATGGTTTCACCGCAATGGTAACAGACTTCGGCTACTCGACCAGATACGCGCACGAGGGAGATACGATCAAACTTCCTATATCACATCCTTGGAATGGACCCGAGGTGGACCGGTTGAATCGTGAGTGGACGCCCTCAGAGGCGAAGAAAGCCGACCTGTTCTCCTTCGGAATGTTGTGCCTCTGGGTATTGTTTCCGGCTCAGTTGTCACAATGGACCATTCCTGGTGACTCCAGTATCGATTTGGAACCTTTGATAGAAATGACGCCAGATTTGGCAAGGAGCGCTCTCGCGAGACTAAAAGCCAACCACCAACTTCAGAACTTTGCTCAGCATACCTTAGAGTCTGTGGAAGAAGTCAACCATGAGGATTTAGGCGCGCTGAATACGTTCTTGTCATCGTGCTTGAGCACTGACCCATCAAAGCGACTGGTGTCGATTCGTGAGACTTGGCGGCAGCTCGGACCAGAGAGGTAAGAAAGAGGAATCTCTGTACGTGACTAGCATCTAATTAACATGATCACAGGTTGAGAATAGTCAACAGTCTGGATGTTGAGGAGGACTGGCAAGTCCCCGAAGGTTATTTCAAGGCAAGTCCTTCATTCCTTTCAGAAATATTACTGCTTACATCAATCGCAGATCGATAGGTCTTTGATCCAGCTTTACACGAGCGACTACAGAGTCCGTCGTTATATCACACAGCGCCTTGTTGAAGCCTGCGACCGCAATAGTTCTTACAGCCTACAGGTAGCGTTTTGCTATCTGACTGGATTTGGTGTGCCTAGAGATCTCCAGAAAGTCAAGGAAACTCTTCATACGCATCATCACACCATGCTAGAGCTCTACCAAATCATGGTAGAGGACATACAGCGCAGCGAACCGGAACGTCCATCAATGTTGGCTAAGCTAATAGAGTCCAACAACGTTCCTAACAGCCACTTTGTCCATATTTACCTTACACACAACCGAATGGTGGAAGCGGAGAGATCGCTTCGGCGGGAAGTCGATGATCTTTTAGACTTCTACGGAGACACACATCCCATGTTCACAACCCCAGCCGCTGCCCTTGTCTCGTTGTATACATTTCAGTGTCGGTGGAAGGAGGCGGGTGATGTTCTGCTGAAGGTCCTGGCCCAGCAGCGAGCCGAGCACGGCGAAGATGGCCCGTCCACCCTGATAAATAAGGCGAACATGGCTTTCCTGTATGGTGAGCAAGGACGTTGGGCCGAGGCTGAGACTCTGCAACGAGAGATGCTCGAGGTACACAGAAGAGATTTTAGCCATGACGACTCCGTTACGCTCAACAACCTTGCGAATCTCGCTATGATCTGCAAGCAACAAGGCAAATGGGTCGAGGCTGAAGGTTATTACATCGAGTCAATTCACAAGGGAAGGAGCAGGTTTGGCCCTGAGTATCATCAGGTCCTGACCTGGACGCACAACCTTGCCGTTCTATACCAGGTGCAGGGTAGATGGAAGGAAGCCATGGATACCATGGAGGATGTGATAGAGGCGAAGAGGCGAACTCTTGGCGAAGAACATCCAGACACTGTGGCGATCATGGGAAACCTGGCTTCACTCTATTGTGACCAAGAGCTGACATCTGAGGCTGCAACACTGCAACAGCAGGTGCTGGCGATCAGCAAGAGGATATTGGGAGATGCTCATCCCGAAACCGTCACGCGAAAGGGCAATTTGGCAGTGATACTTGCCAAGCTTGACCAATACGAGCAAGCTGGTATTTTGCAATCCGAAGTGCTCGAAGTAAGAAAGCGGGATTTGGGACTGAAGAACCCTCTCACGTTGTCCAGCATGGGTAACTTAGCAGATGTCTACCGAGGCAAAGGACAATTTCAAGAGGCCGAAAATCTGCAGAGAGAGGCGCTGGAGCTAGCTAAAGATATCTTCGATGACCAGCACCCGTCATACCTCTACAGCCAGGCCCAGCTGGCGGCCATTGTGTTGGATTCGGGACGACTGGACGAGGCAGAGGGACTGACGCGCGACGTTATGCAGGCGAGAAAAGACGTCCTGGGGCTCGAGCATCCCGAGACACTATCCACCATGTGTAACCTCACGTGGATATGGATGGAACAAGGTCGGTACCGATCCGCGTTAGAGCAGATGAAAGAGATCCACAAAGTGCGGGTACGATTGCACGGACCAGAGCATAAACTCACAAAGAACTGTTTGTTCGCGATGGACATGATCAGGACGAAGCAAGGAGAGGAAGAGAGAGATCAAGGGCGGCGTTTGGAGTCGGCTAGCGATACGACTGGACTAGACACCGGGCGATAGCCAACTGACCGAAGTGAATGTGGATGACTAACTAAAATGTATTTACATTGGTGTGTAAAATAATCGGTGAGCCAGCCAGTAATACTTAAATGGAGGACACCATCGTATTGATCCATAATTTGGGCAAGTGTCCAACCTACCCAGTATTTATGAGCCCTTACACTAATAAACAAAAAGTTGCTCGTATCGAAACCCATGCAATAGTACAGCCTCCTCTGGAAGGTTCCCGCGCCGCTTATCCGTAGAATGGCTGTTGACTCACTTGAGCAGGGTATCGTAGTCGACGCACTCGAGCTTGGACCCTTCGCCAGGCCCAGTCTCCGTCTTGCCCTCGAGCGTCGTATCGTAGAGCACATGATGCCCCGGTGTAGATAGTTGAAGCAATGCGCCGTGTGGTGGTCCACCTTACCGGTCGGGTTGACGCTCACGTACCCCTCTTCCAGGTGCTCGGCGAGGCACAACATTCAGTGCAGCTGCTGGATGGCCGACATTATGTAGCCATGGCCTTCGTTCTCGCGGTAGAGGGTGGCCGTGTAGGGATCCGGCAGGTCGAAGCGATCCACATCCTCGATCAACACGTAGCCTCGGATACTTGTATGATTAGATTAGTTCATGCCGCACAGGAGCTTCCTCCAAAACGGACAGCAGTGAAACAATACGTCTAAACATTCCTCTGACAGCATTTACTGATAACAACATTTGACCATCGCGCAAGACCGCTGGCCTGTATGTTCGCCCGTGATGATGTACCGAATCTCAGCACGCGCGTAAGGATTAGCGTCTCCATCCGACTCTCTGTCCTGTTATCATGACGCACGCGGACGCTCTTTAGATGGCCAGACCGGCACGATCTGCTTTGTTTAAGATGAAAGGAATTCTTATAACTCTAAACATTGTAATAGTACTAGTAGCACTGACTGATGGTCCTCAGATTAATCACTGCATGAGTGCACAATATGTACTTTGCATATTTGAATGATCTGCCTTATTTCTAGTCTGCAGATATTCTAAGTTGTCAATTTCGATTATGTTACAGTTCTCGATTTGCAGTTGGAAGACGGTCTCAGCTCTGGTATCGATGAAGAGGAGTGACCCCTATTTTTGCCGCCGCATCTCACCACCAGCTGGCACCAGCTGGCACCAGCTGGTCTCGAAGCCGACCTCGGCCGGCTCCTGCACTACCGATGGCGGATACTGTCGGAATCTGACTAGATTCGAATCCGCTCAACGTCAGACCTTACCGTCAGTTATACAAACAACACCCGATAGAGACAAGTGCTTCTCAAAATCACATACACTTTCGCATTAGCGTGCATCCTTGCATTTCTCTACACAGCGACTTTTGGAAAAGAAATTCCACGAAAGAGCGCCTATTCTCAGTCGCCACACCGCATCTACCAACCCCTGGCTGGATCTTACCAGAGCATCACGGTCAGGTGTTGGGACGGCCTCGTTATGAAAGAGGACGAGAATCCCGGTCTCGTTTACGAAGCCGAGGACGGCCCGGACCTGCTACACTGCTCACAACTTCCGCTCGTGCTGATTCACGATGGCGGCGGCACATGCTTCTCTTGTATGCAGCTCCCACCCCTTGCAAAATCCGGTTTTGTCTACTACTTGAGCAACCGGCCTGGATATGTTTGTCTCAGGAACTACTAATGACCAAGCTGAATAGACTACTGCCTGAATCCTATCGGCCGTCTCGTCTACGAGATCCACAATCCACACTTTTATTCAGGCAAGCCATGGCCGGGTGGCATCCCTGAAATGGCCAGGCACTACGTCGAGCTCATGCGCAACGTAGTGCCGCATGGCCGGATCCTCCTAGGAGGGTGGTCGCTCGGCGGGCTGCTCTCGATCGAGATGGCACGCGTGCTGGCAGACGACCCCATGTTCACAGTCATCGGCATTGTCATGGTGGATAGCATCTGCCCGAGCGCCTACGCGACAAAGACAGGGGTCGCCAAGGCTGCCATTGTGCCATTCAAGCACCAGTTTGGGCCCAACACGAAACAGGAGACGATCGAGGGTGTCGAGAGGTGTTTTGTCGAGGCGAGGAAGTCAGTTGAGACGTGGCGCATGCCTCGGTGGGACGATTCGGATAAGGAGGACAACGACACGGTTGAAAATGACACGAATGGTGCAGACTCGCTGCGTGCTCACAGATCATCGTCGAGCATCAAGTGCCCGCCAACGATCCTGCTCCGCGCGAGAGAAGCTGTGCCAACAGAACCAGACCAGGTGAGCTTCGTTGACGTGACGCGGAACAGTAGAAGCCTTGGCTGGGAAGAATATCAGAAGGACTTTCTGGAGGAAATTGTTAACATCCCCGGCCATCATTTCTCCGTTTTCGCTTGGGAGCATATCGACCATGTCTCAGAGAAATTGATGGAAGCATGCGACAATCTTGAGAAGATGGCGACGAGAACAGCCTCGTAAGTAACCCAGATAGCTAAAAATTAGGTCAGAGGTTAGGGGCGATTTAGACGGCGAGCTAATAGAATTGGTACTGTTGTTACCCTTGCATAAATCCTTTCCCAGCTGCAGAGAGCCGCGACGCGGTTGAAGATTTTCATTAGTAAGCGGGTATCTGCTGTTGAGGGGTCCTTTCGATATCAGCCCGATCCTTCGACGTGCAGCCAATCCGCTACTCCCAGCCTATGTTGTGACACCCAGCAGAAGGTTGAGATTAAATCATCGGAACATTCCTACATCTCGCCATGTCTGACCCACCATGTTCATCACTTTACCGGGCTCTCCGTCCCGCTATCGATGGGATTCGCCTGCTCACATCCTTTGAAATCGATGCTGAGGACCGTGTAGCAGGTCGTCTTATCACCGTGCCCCTTCGCGACTGTCCTCCCTACACTGCACTGTCTTATTTTTGGGCAAAGTGACCAACTCTGTGTCCATCCGAGTCGATGGCCCGGATTCCAGGCCACCGCAAGTCTGGCTCTTGCACTGCGCTGCATCCCCTGGCATTGGAAGACCGAACACCCCTCGCGTGCATTAGGAGAGCTTCGAGTCTGGGCGGACGCCCTCTGTATCAATCAGCATGACCTGGCGGAAAGGGCCCAGCAGGTGCAGCTCATGGACCGCATCTATTCCGATGCAGAGCTAGTCATGTGCTGGATGCCAGACGGGACCAGGCGGCCCCTTGACCCTCGGCCATTTAGTGATGACATACAGGATGACTTGCTGAGCACCGCGTTTCGAACCCTTGAGCTTATCAACAGGGAGCTTCGCTTGGTGGAGGAAGAAGCTGAGGGTACATTGTGGGACATAGAGCTCGATAATGAGAGGCTCTAAGTTCACTGGCTTGTAAAGTGTCCCGAGTTAAACGAGACCATTCCTGACAATGTTTGGCCGTCTTGGAGAAACAGAAATTGGGAGGCAGTCCGCCACTTCCTTGGTCTGCAGTATTGGTAGCGCGTATGGATCTTCCAGGAGGCTGTCCTGGCTCAGGAGGCTGTTGCAATCGACCGCGTGTTCTGCTGGTTTGATCTCCTGGAGTTGTGCGATCTTTCACCCCCTAGCTTCATCTCCCCCGGCGTTTGGCAATCTTGAATATCAGGCAGTGGCCTGTCTCGGGTCACGCTCACTGGACACCTCGACACATGGAAGTGACGACGTATGGAACTCCCTACACTATCCTGGCGTATTTTCTACAAAGCTGGCTCGCTAGCTGCGACTGACCCGAAGGACCACGTGTATGGTCTGCTCGATGTAACTGACATCGACATCCGAGTCAATTATTCCGAACAGACAACTGTTGCTAAGGTATTTCATGACGTGACAGCAGCCTGGCTGCAAGACTAAGTGTCTCAAAAGAAGGACACAGCAGCCGAAGTCGCAGTGTCTGGGATGAAGGCGCTGTGGGTCCTCGGCCTTGCCGGACTGAGGCCTGATTGTAACCACAATAGCTGCCAGCACTTCTCGTCTTCGGCGCCTAAGTTCCCGCACTCTCATCACAACAGGTCCGACTACGTGTTCTTTACCAAGGTAAATGCCGACGATGGCGTGTTCTCGGACGGTCAATGTCTGAAAATGAGCTATATCCAGGGCCCTTCGCTTTTCGTGACTGAACTTGTTATTGATTCTGTCCGCGAGACATATCCACATGTCGTAAAGTCCAGCGACATCTTCGAGTTGATATCAGACCTATTCTAGACAAGTGTATCCGAACTTTCGGAGCTTAGACCTAGAAGACGCCTGCTGCGGGTTATGATTGAGCTTCTCTGTTGGAGCGATCTGCTGAATTCTATACTCAACGCTTGGCTGCATGTATTCGACCCTAGCCCCTTCGAGTATCTGGATGATTGTTCACTGTTTCGCACTTTACGCGGGTATTTTGGTCTCGCATCTAAGAAAGTCATAGTCCGTGAGGATACCATGTGCGCCCGGAAAGGGTACGATAGTGTCACGTGTTTGAGGGAGAGCGGAGAACACTTCCTCCATGTAGCAGATACGAAGATTCAGGGTATGATGGAGGGACAGACTTCAAAACTTCCGGAAGAGGGACTGGCAGAAGTGCAACAGTTCGAGCTGGGGTAATCCACGCTGTTTAATCTAGCTATATACGTTAAGTATAGGTATCAACAGACCGGTCTTCTAGATGTTCACGATACCTGCTATCATAGGCGCACTCAAATGAGTACATAATTACAATAGTACATGCCCGTTGCCCCCGTCTCGTGGTGACAAGCTTACGTCCTAGGATGACTAAGAAAGCGGCGGTTCGCTTTGGACGGGTTAACGCCGACGTTAGGCAGTCCCAGCCCATGCTCCGCCTTGTGTGACCTGAAGCACCAGCATGGGTGCCTGAGGCTTGATCTGAAGCACCTTGAAATGTGCTCCCTATCTTGTTTGCGCCCTTCACATCCTGCTTACCCTGCTTGGGTTCTCATGTCGTTTGTTCAAGTCTTCTCTTTATATTCCTAGTCGTGGCCACCCGTCATGGATCCCGATGACTGGTTACAGAGCCCCCAACCGCCCACGGGTTCGAAGCGACCCAGTCCCTCTCCGTCTACTGGGGAAGACAGGGAAACCAAGAAACAACGCACACAGCACTGTGACAACGAAGATGCAAATCGCGAACTCCCGAGTCGTGAGATGCCGTATCGCCCGGTCGACTTCGGGGAAGACGGCGAGGTCTACAGCAACGAATCCAGGGCTGCTTTCAGCGTCAACGTTGCTTATAGAGACCAATTTGCTATTTCTCTTGCCGATAATGATGGAGGCGTCAGCAGCTTCAACAACGATATTGCATGTGGCTACCCGAATACAGAACACGAAAACGAGTCCTTGTGGGACGTCTCAACGCAGAAAGCGTTTCAAGGCCATGAGGGCCATGAGGGCCATGTTGGCACCATTGCTAGCAGTGAGATTGGTTACTCAACCGACTCGGCGACCTTGGTGCAGCCCAGCAAACGCACTGGTGCCAAAGATTACCTCTTCAAAATCGAAGAGCCCAATAGTACCGGTTTGGCATCTTCTTACAACGATGTCAACAATGCGCCATTGCAGGGTTCGGCCATGCAAATCCAGGACGAATCTTGCGATATTTGCTGTGACTACGATACTTGTTTCGGTGTCGTAAGTCAGGTCTTTCCAAACCTACATTGGCGTCTCTGACTAGTCTTAATCCCACAGCTGATGGCAACTCCCACATCTTCTTTCACCCCGGAAGATGGAACTCATACTGTACCTGTCAAACTCAAGGCATTCGGAGACATCTTCATGCTTCAGACTCAGACGTCTTGTGCACACGCTGGCATCCTCAGTGACTCCAGACTCGTCAATGCACTCACTGTCTTCCCTCTCAGAATTGACGCCACGCTCCTTATATCGGAAGTCGAGAAAATCAAGGGACTAACTCAGTCAAAGTCGAGAAAACACACAACTGAGAAGTCAGCGCCAGAATACAGCCTCCGCATTGTCATACACGGTCTTCGATGTGACAAAGAGGCCATCAGCAATACCCTTTCGAACGCTAATTTATTCCTACAGCACCCGTATGCAAGTGAAGTTCTACCCGATGTCGAGTATAATAACCCCCATTACCTGCTCCGGCCCGGCGCAGAAATGCCGAAAGTCGAGGACCTGCACTTAGAGTTCGAGGACGACGTCTCCGTGCAAACTGGGTTGGAAGAAGAGTCAGAAAATGATCATCTTCTACGTCTGTTGGAAACAGCCGAAGCCGATGGTGGAGAGCTGACAGTTGTAGACACGTCACCAAGTCCGCGACTTCGGTCAGCACTATTGAGGTGACACAGGCCCTTCTAATGGTTTGCAGAACTTGGCTGACATGTATGGATTACTCTCCGAACAGCCATCAGGTTGCAGCTCTCGCCTTTATGCTGGAGAAGGAGCGTGGCTACGTTGACCTGCCAATGTTCCCGCCTCTTTGGCGATCGGAATATTTCAAAGACAGTCACACCTTGCGGTAATTTATGCGGTGCAGAAGCTTGGCATTATGACTTTAATTTACTGACCGTAGGTAATAGTTACCGTCACACAGTAACAGGTTCCTTTGAGCCAAGGCCTCACCCGGCCATGGGAGGGATACTTGCGGACGTTGGTCACTCCTGTAACCACACACATCCGAGGTACTGACTAATGTATCAAGGATACGGGCCTTGGAAAGACACTGAGCGTGTTGGCGCTCATATGCTCATCTTTGGATCTTCACACTACGATGACCGATAAAACCGAGAATCGAAGCCACTGGGGGACGCTTATCGTCGCGCCGAAATCCAGTCAGGTCAACCACTGCTAATTTAAAGCTATCAAATGCTAATGCTCCAAAAAGCCATACATGGCTGGCAGGCACAGATATCACAGTATGCAGCTATGACTATTATCTGGACTCGTCATCATTTCTGACGAGTTGACGTGTAGACATATCCACGAGGGCAAAGTGAGGGTGGCAATCTACCACGGTCCCGGGAGAGGAAGTCTCGTCAGTGACTTCTTAAACACAGACATTGTTGTCACTACTTATGAAACGGTTCGATCTGAGTTCACAGCCTCAAATGGAACACGACCTCTTCATTCTTGGCAATGGCTGCGAATCGTCTTGGATGAAGGCAAGCAAAGTCAAGTCCACTCGGTTCTCTTGATTGTTGATTAACGTTTCAGCAGCTCACCACATTCGAAACCGTTCAAAACAAGCCTTTCGATCTGTTTGCGGTCTGAAAGCACGATATCGATGGTGCTTGACTGGAACGCCAGTCTGCAATTCCCTTGACGACTACGGCGCCTTGCTCAGTTTCGTGGGGATATATCCATTCCGGGAAAAGTCTAAATTCTCATCTTGGATTGTGAAACCCGTGAAACAGAAAGACTTTTTTGGCGTTCAAAGTTTTCAGACCCTCGTTCGAGCGACATGTCTTCGAAGGACAAAGCAAAAAGCCTTGTCCTCTGGAAAGCTAACACTCCCTCCGCGTTCTGAGAGGACACAAATTGTTCGTCTACATCCTGATGATCAAGCCTTGTATGACCGTGTCACGAAAGCAACCCGAGAAAAGGCTTTGAAATTGGACAAGCACCCACAAAAGGGCTCATCGACGAAAGACAAGGAGAATAATATTCTAGTCCTTCTCAACTTCCTGCGGCGTATCTGCAACCACGAACAGCTTTTGCCTGCATCGTTTAAAAATATGATCGAGGAAGGCTCTTCTTCAAACATTGATCCTCAACTACAGCAAATCTACCGCAGGGAGTGTTCCGCCTGCGGAGGGGAAATTAACAGCAGCAGCTCCATCAAAGCGACTCTAAACTCTGTATGTGCCAACTGTGCAACTTCAGACGAAGGGGTCTCAACTACACACCTGAAAGTTGAGCAAGTTCACAAAGGAGCCGGGTCAGGTTTACAATCAGTCAGTCTGGGAAGATCTAGGTCAAACAAAATTATCCACCGGCCTTCGGCCAAGATCCTTGCGCTGCTGGAAAACCTGCAGCGTGAAAAGACCACCAGCATCTCTAGTTACAAGCAAAGGAAAAGGTATTTGGAACTCGCCTATTGATTGATAGAACGTAAGGCTCTTGGCTGACCTGTTGTAGTGTGGTGTTCAGTTACTGGATCGGGATGCTTGGACTGATCGAGCACGCACTTGATATGGCGGGTATAGCCTTCCAGCGAATTGATGGACAGACCAGTCTTGAGGGACGGCGGAAAGCTTTGCTCGATTTCAATGGACGCCTTGACTGTACAGTAATGCTGGCAAGTATCGGTAGTGCCGCAGGAGGGTACAGGCTCCTACCTGTTACAATCTATCGCAGGATCTCTAACTCAAGGTGCCTTGATACAGGATAGACCTCACAGCCGCCAGTCTCGTGCATCTGATCGAACCCCACTGGAACCCCGTTGTGGAAGCGCAGGCGATTGACCTTGTTCACCGCATAGGGCAGACACAGGAGGTCACAGTCATCCGATATATCGTGCCCAATTCTATCGAAACAGTAAATGGCTTGTTGGCTCACTGTACGAACTTGAATTTCAAATCGCTAATTTCACTCGCTTAGTATGTCCAAGCAGTGCAACAAGAAAAGTTGCAAATCATCAATCAGGCGATCAATACAAGCAATATAACGGAAATGAACTTGAATATAAGTCAGGTACCAGTAGGTTGACAGTGATGACCCTTTCTAAATTGTGTCCGCACTGACTTCATTTTAGGCGTCGGAGAAATGTTCCGAATGGGTGGCTGCCATGGGCAGCCATGACCACCTTTCATGAGCTCAGGGAAGCCAACTGGCACATTTGGTTCCAGCCTGCGGGTGGGTGTCCAAGCAAAGGTTTATGGGTGGGCACTATGCCTCTAGAAGCATAATCCTTCCTTACTAGAGCTCCAGATTCCGTTTCGCTGGATCAAACCTTTAGTAAGTGAAGTATGGGGGGATGTGACGGCACAGCTATATAAGACTGTACTGTATTCCAGAAGATGTTTTGGAATTTTGACCTTTTGAATAAGGAAACAGCCCTAGCTATAGTGCAGCGGTCAAAGCGCTGTCTCAGGTAGGGCAGTATTTTCTTACTCTGGGGGTTTTTTTTTGGAAGAATTTGTACTGAGTGAGCCGAATGAAAGAGCTGGGTGGGCCACTTATGGCTATTGGCTGAATAATTGGTCAAGTACACAAAGAACCCTCGGAATATGAGAAATAGACACGTGATAATTATGCACATATGGGGCCACCCCGTAGATCTCCAATCCCGAGTCCGGACAGCTGATATGAAAAGTCAATACAGTTCCTCGCTCATTTGGGTCACCAGCGCCTTGGCGACCTCTCTGTTTCGCCGGATTTGCTTAGTTTCTTCGACAAGTGCGTCCCAACTCTTCCCAAGCCATCGCTTAATGCGCAAGGGGCCGACCTCGTCCCGTATCTTCCTGCCTTTGCTCCCTTCCTGTTCATTGTCTTCCGTATCCGCTTCCGGGTCAGCGCCGCTGAGGAGGAGCAACCTCATCATCTCAGCGCCCTCAGCAGTGTCGTGTCGTGCGGCTATTTGCAAGGCTGTTTCTTCCGACGGCCTCCTTCGAAAATTGATATCCGCGCCTTGTTCCAGCAAATATCTTGCCAGTGTGACCGAACAGGTGGTCCTAGCTACCATCCTCAGCATTCTGGCAGCGATAACATCCGGCTGAGTCAATCGAGGCAAGAATTCGTGGTGACTCCAAATATAGATCAATTGTTTTTCTGCACCAGGTTGAATTGCAGATTGCTTGATCGCGATTTGGGACTCAAGTAAGACCTCGACATGGCGGGTCATGCTGTGGGATGCTGTGGGTGTATTTGAATGGACCCGATGCCACCCGCACCACCTCTCCGTTCCCTCAAGCCACTCACTCGAAATTACTTGGCACATAATTTTGAGTGCCATCGAGGAATACTCGCGGGCATTTGAGTATAGCTGATCGTCGAGTGGTGACGTAGCGGATAGCAAGTATTCCAATGTTCTCAAATTCTGTCCCTTGATCGACTCTATGATGAGCTCGGCGTTATCTGCAAGCATGCGATCGGCAAGGTTAGGGAGAGCCGGCGTTTCTAATACCTCCAGCATACCAGGTGAAGCTGCGGAAGCTGCGAGCCTTCTGAGTCCGTTTCGTACCCCAGACTCAAGGGGGCTTGAAGAGGTTGACAGAACCATTCTTACGTCATTTACTCGATCCTCTCGTATCAGGTAGGAAAGGCATGGTTCAAGAACGTCCATGGGGATATCCCGGGCATCGAAGACCAGTGATTGTGGGTCAGTCCGATGACCTTCCTGCAGATGTTTCTGTCGCATCGTCTCGGAGACGAATCCTGTTAATCCGAACACACAATCGTCAACATCACATTTTAGAGGCAGATCATGCGAAAGCTCATGTCTGTCTCTAGAACTGCGCTTTTCGAAGCCGTGCCGCCAGAACACACACCCCGGAAATTTGCACTTGAATGGCCTTGTCCCATAGTAAAACATAATATTAGCACATCTCTCATGGCATTCGGGGCTCCCATCCGGGAGCAAGCCACGCGGCACATTGCAGTGCACCTCCTCAAAGGCCTGCCGAATTCGCTGAGACAATTCCGATGTTGAGAGAGGATCGCGTTCATGATTGTGAGGACCTAAGCAACATTTCGCGTGAGATAGGGAAACGATTGCCTGGATATTATTCCTCCAAGGCTTTTTCAGCGCATGGCCTGGAGTCATACCTTGTACTGACTTGCCGGTGAAAAAAAAGGACGAAGTACGAAAGCGTGAGACTTCGCAGAGCAGTTGATGCAACAAAGGTCGAGCCCCTTTTAATTTCTCGAAAGTGACTTGGCTCTCGCTAGCTTCGTGGCTGTCGACCTCTCGCTCAGCCTCACTCGAGACGTCGGTAACGCTTTGAGAGCTGCGCCTTTTCCTCAACTGCCAGAGCATTTGGAGTGATTCAACAAAATTTGGTGGTGGATCCATCCGAACGGCTGAGCTGAGGTACTGACAAGACAGCTCGAACCACATTTGTGTTGAAAAAGCGTGGAAACTGTATTGCCCACTGAAGACCTTGTCAGAAACTTCTTTGGAAGTCAAATCGAGATCATGATGGCGCTGGCAGAGATAGTCGATACACCGTCTTGCCAGATCCATGGTAGCCTGGGTCGTGTTGATCAATTGCAAGTGCGGTCCGAGGTGAGCACTGGAGATGTAACTGCAAAACTGTCAGATTATCTCAACGACATATAGCACAAATCACTTACTCTTTTGCTGTGAAATGAACAAAGCGTATGTAACCACCAACAGTCTCGACAATTGGACCAAGAACCTTCACTACGTCTAGCTTCGTCACTGCATTGAAGACCTGATCCCGGTTGCAGGGCTGCAAAACCAGTGCCTGTCCAGCCTCCTCGACGGTAAGTGGAGTTGGACTACAAGCTATCCATCCCAAGAGTCTCCAGGCCTTCTCTGCGACGCGCTTGTCCTTGCCATTGCTCAAGCGTGTGATGATACGAAGGTAACTGCATGATAGCCTGTTAGGTGCTTTCCATCCCATACGTTCAAGTGGGGCTCTCACGCTGCATCAAGGCCTTTGGGAAGGACGACCAGCTCATTCTTGATTTCCGACAATTCGTGCATGTCTTCGACCATATCCATCGTGAGCCGAGCGTAGAGGAACATGCCTTCGGCGCGTCTCGCTAGTGGGCCCAAGAGCTTTCGTATCTCGATCTGTCTCGGTTTGGGAACCTTTAACTTGTCGAAAAGATGCTGACTTCGTTGACTGACATAGGCCGATATGCTTTCTTCGTTGTATTTCTGAATGTGAACGTGGACTGCTGCGTGCTCCAGAATGCTCTTCAGATCCGCTTCCTCGAGGCTACTGAGAACGATTCTCAGGCCCTCGCATACCTCGGCCACGCTAAGAAGCTCTCTGGCCAATCTGCATCGCTCCGTACCACTGATTTTATCGATACCGTCAACGACGAGGTAGACTGTTCCAGCATGGCGGATTAGGGATTCCAGAAGGTCTGTCGCAACGGCTAGATTACTCTTTAGATCCCGGCTCGTCGATTCGCAGACAAAAGCAACGCGCTCATCATCTCTCTCAGCTAGCTGAAAGATAAAGCAATGCATTATTGAAAGCGCTGAAATGTTCTCGTTCTGGTATGTCAGAAACGCAAATCCTACGGAATTGGGCTGGATCCCTTTGAGATGGTCGACAAGTATGCAAGAGAGGACTGTTTTGCCTGTGTAGATCGTGCATTAGCTTACCCTGACTGGAAGCCCATTACTTCAGACTTTGATAGAAGTAATGCGGAAAGTAATGTAAACGGGTTCGTCGGCTTACCTGCCCCTGGAATCCCTCTTAACCACAAAACCCGGGATCGCGCTTGCGAGCCATCAAGCCATCTGGTGTAAATATCGTTTTTAAACAGCCAATCACCGCTTCCCAGGCTGCAAACACTTCGAAGATGATACAGAGTCTCATCAAAGCTGCATGGATTGAGGGCTGTCTTGATACAGTGGAATTCTTGCTCTCGAGTTTTCTTTGTCTGTATTCTGAACACCTCGAGGGCATCCTTGCGGAACTCGTGCTCCTGCTGAATGTGCTCCAGACGGAAATCGATCCTCATCAACCGACTGAGGCGCTCTATATGGCTTGTAACTCTCAAGACCAAGGCTAAGTGTCTCGGCCATGAGCGATCGAAGATATGCATCCATCCTGCGTTCATCGTCAGCAGCTTGTACTCGTGCATTGAGTCCTGACATCTGAGAAAAGTGGGTACCTGGGTGACTGAAAGGCTGCAATGCCGCGAGATAGAAGTCAAAGATATCTTTGAAGAAGAGAAGCAGGATCTCTTTGCTGTCAGAGTTATGGCTGAGAACAGCCCCTAACGACTGGAAATCGGGCAGTGCTTGTCCCACTTCAGCCACGGCATCAATGATCGAGCTGTAGGCTTTGTCATTTTCGCTTGACCACTGCAAAAGAAGTGCCAATGGCCCCCAGAGAAATGTGAGAACATTATTGCTTTCACGAATGGCGTCTTGAACTACCCCAGCATAGCTGCAAAGGCGTTCCAAATAGGGACGCATTTTCGAGAGGTTGCGAAGTTCTTTATCATCCTGAAGTTTGTCCGTAGTATCATATACGTCCTCAATGGATGTTGCCTTGAGGATCTCATCCCAAGGGACAGAGTCTGGCAGTCTATCTTTGAATAACTGTGCTGCCTTCTCGAATTCGTACAGCAGTCCATCCACCGAAGTGGCAGGATTGGCGAGTGGCACTTTTTCCTCGATAGACTGGGACAGGCTCAGAACCTGCTCAAAAATGCCGCTGCCGGAAGCTTTGTCCTTCAATATCTCATTGGCAGATGAGAGAAGATGGGCCGGTAACGCATCCCAGAGCTCTTTGATTTTCCGATCCATCTGGTGTTGAAGGGAACGTAGGGCAGTTGAGTCTACGAGGTCTCGCTTGTCCGGTTCCTCTCTTAGTATATGAAACAGGCTTCTTAAAACTTTGACAGAGCTTTCCAATGACGTAGAATGCAGGCGGAAGACGATTCTCTGGTTCAAGCCCAGGACTTGACCCCAGGTTTCAAAACGCTTCTGCGCGAACTGAAGGCACTTTATGTGATGCTTCAAGTCCTCATTTGTGTCTTCAGCAGTCCTGCCGACTAGGCAAAATATGCGTTCGATAGAGTCAAAGTGCTCCAGGAGACTCAATGTTTGCAGGCGCTCATGCATCTCATCCATGACAGGCCGTTCTGAAGGTTGCACTTGAAGAGCATTCAGGGATAGCTGGAAAAGCCGATGCACCAAATCCGCTTGGGGTTTGTATGACTTCAAATCCTCTATCCAATCCAGTACCTCTTGCTTAATTTCTCCATGAGGCTGATAGAAACCGGCGTCTTTGAAATGGGGAAACCGTCCCTTGGTGAGTCGCTTCTTGCGAAATTCTTCGACCCCCTCAGCTCCTTTGAGCATGTACGTGACGATCTCCAAGATGAGACAGCCGAAGGCCCAGACGTCTATGCTTCGATTAACTGTCTGTGGATTCTCTTCCATGTCTGTACACTCTGGTGAGATATAGTCCCCACTGATTATCTTGTACGGCGTATGCGATAGAGCTGCTGAGTCCTTCAAGCCGCCTAGTCCGAAGTCGGCAAGAATGAAGGTATCCTCGCAGACCAAGACATTAGGCGGCCGGAGATCGTGGTGGTAGCCAATACCCTCAAAATCAACATCGTGCTCACTCTCTTTGAGAAACAGTCGGTGTGTATTGGAGAGTGCTGACGCGAGTCCTGTGAGTGCCGAATAAAAGGTGAAGTCCCATCGAAACTCTCCATGGCGTTCTTTCGCTTTGAGGAAGTTGCCGAGATTCATACCAACATAGGGGAATAGGAAATTCTGCTCTTCTCGGTACGTGTAAGAGCCCCAGAAAGGGATGATGTTCGGATGCTTGAGGCGATTCAGGAGTCGTAGACATTTGTCTTCTCTTTCGAAATTCTCCGTCTGACCCTTCAAGACGAGCCGCTTCCGTACGATTTGCAACTCTTCCGCCTAGGGAGATCCATATCAGTCATGGTTTCCACAGGATATTGAGGTCGCGGCACATAAATTGAAGGCACTTACTCCTTGTTCGATAAATTTGTGCTGGGACGGCGGTATGCAGACCTTGTCTATGACTCCAAAAGCTCCAGTGGCGATTTGATGCTCGCTGATGAAGGGAAGGATGCACTGCTTGTCAATCCGAAGATGAGTCTCACTCATATCTTCCGGGAAGACGTAAGGAAGGAACATCCATTGGAAATCCAATGCGAGGCGGCGGCCGTCCTCAGAGCCCATAATTTCCTCTGCGCGCTCTTCACTAAGCGGGAGTTGCCTGTCGAGGACCCCATGTTTACGGAATTCTGTAATATAGTTCTCAAAGCGATTGTAAGTGAGCATAGCGAACACTCTCTTGCCATCTTTGTGTATCGTGTCCGCCAGATTGATGCGCTCATGCGGACCGCAAGTGAGCTCTCGGATAGCGCCTGTGATAGCGGAGAGATTGAAGATTTCATCAAGTTTGTCAGTAGGTAGAAAGCGTTGGTTTAAGATGGACGTGACGAGGCTGCCCTCAATCTGCCACCGAAGAGCCCCCGTGCGTGTGGGCGTGCGGCCCCCCTTGGATGGCATGGTTTTCGTGAGTAGCAAGAGAAGAGAGAGAACAACTTCAGGTGGAAATTGGGAACCAGATTGGGACTGAAACAATGCAAAAGGAATTCATGTTCTGTGAGTCTGTCGATCATCGAGAAATCTTGTGCTTCAAGGGATCTAGGCAATTTGGCTAATGCGGTGTCACCAGCCGGTCAGACAGGCCTCCGCAGGGCTCTCTGTGGCAGTCAAGCATGACCGATCACGGCCACAAGCCCATGCACCATCTGCAGTCATCATGCACTGCGGCCCAGCACCGCCAAGGCACCCTTCAAGCGAAGAATGCCTTTGTATACTTGCAGCGAAGCCCGACACAATGACGACGCTGCGGGCATATAAGACTCGAAACGCTCGCGGGAGGCAAAGTCCAAGTGTCAATCCTCACATTCCCTGGGTCAAATTTTACACGCCGCCAACAGTGCCTCGTACTAGAGCGAGGCAGTACGAAATGGTCGCTACCTACCTGGAAGCGCGCTATGTGAACCGGACAAAGCTGAATGCCCTGCTGCAGAGCCTCTTTGGGCAGATCTACAACGTGGAGGCAAGTATCTGCTGTGCTGAAGACTAGGTTCTGAGTATCGCTTGCTGATGCGTCCTCCAGATTTTCGGTGGTACAATCTGGTAGCGGCATCCAGCTAGCTTACGGAGGTGAGAAATTTTGTCTCCTTCATATTTTTAGGTTTGTGAGAAGATGTTTCGTTGAATAAGAAGACTTCTGTGTTACGAAACAGATGAATGGTTGAGCTTGAGGGATGTGAATGTTTTACTGAGTTAGTCGGGCGGGGGATGCTGTATGCTGGGCTGGGATTTGGTTGTTGGCGGTCGTCATTCATAAATCTAATCGGCTTGTAAAGTCGGCCTAGTCTAACGCACACGCGTGATCGTTTGTGGAGAGGGGGCCAAGTTGTGTGTGTATTATACCACATTTCTTAATTTATGACCTCTTTTGACTGTAACGGATTAATAAGAGAAGCTAAGTATGTCGAGGTTCGAATCTAAGACGTAGGCACCTACACATCCCAAACAAAACCCATCTAGGCCTTTACATTGAAGGAATCAATGGGTTCTCTGCAAGCTTCCGCGACCGAGGCATCGACTTGAGGAAGACGGACTCGTCAGAAGGTGGGTTTAGATTGCTTATGCCTGGAAGCCGACCAAAATGGCCTTGAATATATGTGGGATGACTTCGAATCCAGAATTCCAGACCTTCTCATTGAGAGTGTAAATGACAGCATGGCCAGCATAGCCATCGCGGGGGTGATCAAGTCCGATGGACAACAAACCCCGAAGAGTTACTCAATGTTTTTCGAAAAGAGTCATCCGATTTCATGCAAGTATGTGGCCACTGGACGTAATTCAGATTGGTTCTTGAGTAATGATTCCTTCACTAGACTTCTTATCTGGTATAATTCATGGAGCAGGATAAATATCGCCATCGACTCCTTCTCTGCATTATGCCAACCTTCTGGAATTACGCTGCATTTCCTCCAGTTCATGATTGAAATGGAAAGTCAATTTTCATCCAAGGACGAAGATTACATGTCATGCTACACTAAATTTTCAGCAGAAGCAGCCTAGTCGGCGGTTCCGGCAGCGAGGTAGGCCCGGGTGGTGATTCGCACCTTCCCCGTCAATGCGGGTTTTCAATCCGATATACTAATAAACTGATATTGTAGCACTAAGCTACAACATTCGATACTTTTCATAGCATGGACGAGACCTGGAGGATCCATGGTCATGCCGACAGTCAGATCTTCACCACAGCTTTTCGCCAGTTTCTGAGCAGTCAGCATGGGTTGTCATTCAGCTCCCCCCCTAAAGCATTTTATGTGAACATGGACTCAGAACGGCACATAATGTCTTTCCATTATTTGATATCTGAGAAGGAATCTTTCAAATTGGAGAGAGTACGCTGACTTCTTCGCGCGGCGGTTTAATATCCTTGTAAGTCTCTACTATATACTTTCATCTGTTCTGAATCTGATGACCGTGCCTTTAGCTGCTTTCTGAAGAATCGAGAGATGGCGATGCCGAATCCGTACCACAAATTCAAGATCAAATTTTCTCACGGGCAGCATCTCCATAATCTCAGGGGCAAACTTCGTCATGTACAAACCATTCTTACTAATACTAGACACACCTTTAAGCTCCTCCGCGAACATGGAAATGCTATATTGTGTTGAAAACGTCACCTCCCAGAAGATCATGCTAGCTTCCGTCGGGAATTGGAAAATCAGTCTCAAGAGGCGGAGGGCTACATCGGCACGGGCCACAAGCTCATACGAGTTTCGGATGAGTCAAAGCCTACGGTAAGCGATAAGAAGCCTCATTCAGATGCTTGGTGTGGTACTCGGCCGCACAAACATTCCGATTCGGTGTCGTGCACTACAAAAATATCCTCACATTCCAGGAGCTGGAGCTACAGCATGACACGAGCCTGAAGCTTACTTCATACCAGACAGCGCTCATTCTTGACATGAGGAAACGATGCGTTGTGAGACGGCGCTATTCGACCGCTGAACTAAGACCACTGGCACTCAAAGGTCAGAACTAGTTGGAGCGCCTGGAGAATGTAGTGCTATCGAGAATATGAAGCTGTGTCGTCACACGTTTCTTTCTATCTGAACAAACATAGTATAAATCATCGGTGACCTCTTATGATTCCATCATTGCAAGCGGATCTATACCCTAAAACATGTAAGCTACACTATTTGGTGGAAATGTACTAGTAAGTATCTAGTGTTTTGAAACAAAGTCCTTGATTTTGCCCCTATGCACTTCTATGTATTTGCTCGTGTATTTATGATGCCCTTAAACTTTTCAGCTGGGGACTTTGTTCTCGTGATTTAAGTAGTCAGCAACATGAGCTGCGCATATTCTGATGTGAACGATCGAATTTGGTGAGATTGAGGCACCATTGCAGTCGCGTCCTGCCAACTTCAAATGGCTCAACTGCATAGTAGATTATCCTTGAGCCGGGGGTGGGATAGGGAAGTCCATAGAATCGGAAAAAATGAGCATAGCCTCGCGGACTGGTGCGCCCTCCCGCCATTTTTCCAAAACCAGTTGAAGATAACAGACCTCTGGATCATCAGGGCCAGAGTGCTGCACAATTTCCTTCAATATCTGACTGAGAACCGCAACGGACTTGGGGCGATTCCCCGACACAAACAATATGTTGACCAGCATTAGCTTTGCATTCAGATCGTCGCGGGTCTGCGGCCCTTGGACCGCCGCCTCGTCATTCAAGATGAGCAGTGCCAATTGTTGGGCTTCACCCCACCGCGCCCCGTGTGCGAGCTCCGTCGCTAGGTTCGCGGCTATACCGTACGTTTTTGGGTCAGCGACTCCAAGAACACGAATACTCTTCTCCAGGGCCACCCTTTCCAGCTCCTCGGCCTTCTGCTTCCTGCCCTTTGACCACAGCGTACCAGCCAGGTTTTCCTCGGCGATGATGGTGGTTGGGTGGTCTGGCCCCATCGACTCGGTGAGCGCATTAAGCAGTAGTATTTCGAGCTCTTCCGCCTCGTCGAATAACCCCTCGTGCCATAAAGCTGTTGCCAGGTTTGACATGGCCTGCTGGGTGATGGGATGCGCGGTGCCCATGGACCCCGAGCTAAGCTTAAATAATCGCCTTCCCAGATTCACCGCGTCTCGATGGTTCTCTTGACCTCGGAGAACGCAACACAAGATGTCCATAGCTGCCAATGTTTTGGGATGTTCTTCCCCAAAGACATTCTTCAGAGTGAGAAGAACTGTCCTTGTCAGCTCGTCCGCATCCTGAAGTCGGTTCCGCTGAATATGAACCCATGCAAGGCGAAGCTGGTATGTGAGAGTGTCCGCGTGTTCAATACCCAGAGAATGTCTCGATCGCTGCACGATATCTCTAAGAAGAGCTTCTGCATCCCTCCAACGCTCCTGACCCTGCGACAGTGTGGCCATGTGAGCCATGGCGACGAATGTGTCGGCATGGTTCTCCCCCACCTGGACCTCCCGTATCTTGATGACATTGGCAGCCAGGCGCTCAGCATCCTTCCAACGTCCACGGAAACGATATACCGTACTTAAAATCATCCTGGAGAGCAGAATCAGTGTGTGGTAGGTGCTCAGGCTGGCGTCCAAGTCTTCCATCTCCTGTTCAAGTTGAGTCTCCGCCTCCTCGAGGATGCCTTGATCTTGCCACTCCCCGGCCAGATCTAGCCAGTCCAAATTTGCGGAGTCCTCTAGCTCTGACAGCAGTTCAGGCTGACGCACTTGGTTGGAAGGACCGCCTGGACCCCTCACAGCGGTTAAGGATGTTGAGCGTCTTTTCCTCGTTTCGACGGTTGCCGAAACCTATATGGTGGCAGACCGCTGCTTGTGCGCCCAAGTTGCCAGTACGCACGTGCTCGTCTATAATCTGCGCTGCAATATGGCGCCGAACCCTGAAATCGGAACGGTAAAAATCGCAAAGCGACCTCCCAAGCTGAAAAGACATCAGAATATCTTCGAAACGGTTCATTGCTCCCTAGACTTGTATTACCTTGAAATCACTGCTCCTGAGTGGCCGCTGCGGCAGCTTGACGTTGAGGCTGGGGGGAGTGTTGGACAAGTTCCTAAAGAGTGTGTGTTGCTTTAGCACATGCAAAGCCTTGATTTCGAAGCATACAATAGCCAATTTTCGCGAACGCCGTTCTCCTGGGAGTTTACGAACCCGTGTTCAACTTCCACGCAATCCCCAGAGCATGAGCTCTGTAGAATCGGTTTACGATCCCCAGGATCCAAGCTCCGTAGACTCGCCTCGCGTTCCCCAGGATCCAAGCTCAGGCTTGTTGCGAAGAAGTCCTTCAAGGCAGTCTGGTAGCGCTCTGACAAGGAAGCCTCCGAGTAAACGAGCAGCTGAGACTGGGTCCTGATTTCACCGCTTTCCTTGAGCATTATGAGACGATCCAGCGCCGTTTCGTTTACGTTCATTGTCCCCGTCGCCACTGCTACTGACGTGTCACGCTTGTCTTGAGCCTCTGGTCTGTCCCTACGAAGCCAAGGGTGGAACATCAGCCAGAACGACACCAATCCAAAAGAGTATATGTCGGTCACTTTGGCCTGGGCTGGATTCCACTCCTTAGCTGACCTGTCGTGTTCTGGAGCGTTCCAAGGAAGCGATATTGGCAGCTTCAATGGATGGCTTTCACTGCCGTAAAGGGTTGAATATCCGAAGTCAGCTACCCGTACGGTATAATGACCCGGGACGTCTTCAAAGACAAGAACATTTTCGGGCTTGATATCTCCATGTATGATATCTGTCCGGGTCTCAGCGTCAGGTTCTATTCTCATTATGTTGAGGCGTTTGCTCTGGCGATGTGTAAAGCTTACTAAGTGCATGCATGTCTTGAATTGCTTGTCCAATCTCGAGTATGAACGTGTACCGTTGAAGAGAGTCAATATTCCTCCCCGCATGCGAATCTAGAAAGTTACTCAAGTCTCCAAAACGTGATTTCTCAAATACAAAGACAGGCCAAGGCTTTCCGTCGAAACCTGAGATGTCCCAGCAGAGTCCTAGCAGTTGAACTATATTCGGGTGAGTTTCTAGATCTGGATTGCCCAGTACAATCAACTCCTGCATTAAAGACCGGAAAATCTGCTGCTCGGGCTTTTCGCACTGGTCTTTGTGCGAAACGCGTTTGAAGGCTAGGCTGGTGGATCTGTTTGCAAGGCTTTGAGTTATACTGGACGTACCACCAGTCCCGATTATGTCGCGGGCGGCGTCCCAGATGACAGGCAGAAACTCTACATTGAGACTTTGCGCTGTTGCGAGAAAAGATAAAATGTTGAATTCGTCTGGTGACGCGTGCAAACCTGTAGCGAAAGCCCCGGTTGTTGATCGCGTAACTGACAACTGCCAACTGACAGTCCAGTCGTAAGTTATGGACATTATGACTGGTCTGACAAGCGCATGCCGGTATTGAGAATGGACACAGTATGGCAGCAGATTGAATAGATTGTGCAAAGGTAGAACCGAGCAGATACTTAAGTCGGGAAATCCAGTAGTGCCCTCTTGAATTGGCGAAGGCCAGCTGAAACTCGACATGTTGGGCACCAACGAAGCATTCAGATTGCGGAAACATGCAGGGAGATGACCACCCATTGGGACTGTCTCACCACACCCTGGATGGTGCTGTGTCACCACCTTTGCCCATTGTACTACCTCCCAATGTCCAAACCCAAAAGGGGAAACAGTTCGGTCGATCACTAATGCTGGCTAGAGGGGCTTGAGAACCAGCCGGTAGAGTCTTGCCTTGCGTGGATGCACACGTGTTGACTCCAGTTTATGGGGTTTCAGAAAGACCGCGAAAGCAATTGAATGCTGCACACGGGAACCAGAGACAAAGACATCCCGATGAAATGAAGACGCCTTGGAAAGAAATTATAATGGGCGTGGAAACGTTTCCATTTTGTGAGGGTCAAACGTGCCCACAGGCTTGGTTTGTACGAGACCCAATTCTTCCCTTGCGGTCCCAAAACCAGTAAGCCAATGCTGTGCAAGTGGCAAGAATGATAGTAATTAAGGCAGCAATCCACGACTCGCTGTGGACTCGAAGCCTTGAGGCACTGCTTTCGTTGCCAGCACCCCCAGTTTCAAACCATACAAGGGTGGTACTGAAGAAAGACTAAAAAGGTCAGCGAATATACTCATAGATTACAATCGGCTTCTCCCCATGGGAGATGGCATTTGGGAGAGGGACTCAAGTCGGCATGAAGAGGCATTCTGAAACATACGAGAACCAAGTTCGCAGGTAAGTAGAGCATTGCAATCAGTGTGGCGATCCTCATCGTTCGAGAGTCTTGATACGTCTTGTCAGATATGGAGGCCATGAATTTCGTCTCCGCCGAGTCTGATTGGGCAATTGTGGCAAGATGCACGCCGTTTTTATGTAAAAGCTCTTGTTGGTAGGACTTGAGGATATCGTCATACTATGACAATGAGTATTTGTTCACTAACAACACCGGGCCCTGATCTGGGATAAACTTGCCATTGATTTTGTGTCGCTTGATATGTTCAAAAGCTTTAAGATTACCCGAGAGTGGTTCCTCAGCTCATTGGCTTGGTTCTCTAGCCTAATTTCAAAGGCCTGCTGCATCGTGGATGGGAGATCACAAAGCGCTGAGATCTTTTTAGCATATGCTCTGATGGCTCTGATGGTGTCCAATGTGTTCGTGAGTATACACTGCGCATGGTAAAGTTTGTGTCTTAGGGTATGAATGTATTGTTTTGATGACAGACTGAACCCGAATTCGCCGTACGGTTTGCAGATGGAAACTTCCAATTCCTGGATTTGAATTCTATTAGAGTCATTTTAGGCATACCCATAGGATGTACCGTTGAAGACCCAGCTCAGGGCACTTACAAGATCCCGCAGCCTGTCCGCGATGTGGTTCAAGTAGTCTCGCCAGGTTTTGAGGCTGATGGATAGGTAGATGAGGTGGATATGAAGTGGGTGCACATGATTCTCGTCCAAGACTGTTGATACTTCTTTGTGAAACTCCTCGGGGGCCTGAACAATGACGCTACTCGCTTTCCTGGTCGATATCGAGACCTTCACATGAATGGCAGATTGTCTGCAGGACCAGGGATCGTCCAGAGCACGCCCGTGACGTTCGAAGTATCGAATGTTGTAACAAATGGCTGTTTCATTTAGACAAGTCAGCTTGATTACCATTGAAAACACCACTTATTAACTACTCTGCTCCGGCACAGACAGCCTAATTCTGGGAATTGCAACTGACAGCTGATGCCTTCTTTAGTGCCTTGAGGCATTGGCGTGGTGCAGTCGCTGTTCATGCAACTTCTGGGTCGCGATGACAGATGCAGCTGACTATAGCAAGCCATAAAATTCTCATCGTGTGATCTTGACTTCTTTGCGAACCCCCGAACGATCTTAAGAAAGCAAGGCATAACCTTATCGAGGTCGCAAATGGCCTGGAACATGTCCGCCGTCACATCTATCCGACTCCATGAATTCAGTCGATGAATCATCCTGGTCTGTCAGCATATCAAAACAGTTAGGATGCGGGTCTGGTCTTTTCTCACTCACATAATCCTGGAGCAGCTTCGTGCATCATCACCCTAAAAACAGCGAAACAAAGACGTGAGCACAAGCAGGTCCTGTGCCCCAGCCGCCGTACAGCGCCGCACTGGCATACTTACAGACAACAGCGTTCGTAACACCTGTGGGTGCGCAACCAGAACGGGTTGTTGTCGTCTCTGTCCAGAAATGTCGGATGGTGTTGTCGAGCGGAAACTGTACAAAACGATCTCCACTTTTGATTGGGCCGGTTCCGTAAGGAATACATTTTCTAGTCGATAGCTCGCTTGGAGCTCGAGGTTTCGAGGCTCTGCCCAGTATAATACGTCACTTGCTGGTGCCAGCTCACTCAACTCGTGATCGTTTTGTTTGAGAGCCGGCGTCATGTTGACAGTGCGTTCAGTCGAATTAGCTCCTTACATGATGAAGTTCAGCGTAGCGATGTTATTCCACTCTTTTAAACTCCTCAAACATCTCGATGAGGATCATGTAATGCGGCAAGATTTCCTCGGCCCCAGCCAGGCTGCCCGTGGCGCAGTTGCTCCTGCGGTCGATGCTGAGGGGCCTGCATCTGTGTCCTCCCTGATTGGGCAGCACTTGCCCAGCCCATGCAGCTCTGCAGTTAATAGTTGCCTGCTGTGAAACCTCGTCCGACATATTGCCCGACATCTCTTATCGTAATTTCCCTCATTTCCATCAAATCTATGGTCTTGACCCGGACTAGCGCTGAGTGGCAATGCATATTTCACGCCCGGCCAGCCGGCATGGCTGCATATGATCCACGGCCACGACCCGTACAGGAATGATGTTGGAATGTAACACAATGTCGTTTGGTGTGCGAAATCTCCATCGCTTTTCCGTGCGGACAACTCAGGCCTCAGAAGGGCTTGGCTGCCGCCTGACCTCCATTCGCTACCGCAATATATAGCTCGGCGTCGCCACCACCAACCATTTCCCAGACTCTCCTAGGGTTCTCAAGTTATTGGCAGGACCCAAGCTGATTTTCAAGCAGTTCTCAACCCTCACACTAAGTGATACTGCCATACGGCATACATATACATCGGACATGGCTGCGACGACAATCCTTGAGGCGCGGTACGTTGACCGAGCCAAGTTGAACAGCTTGCTACAATCTGTCTTTGGAGCCGGCTCTTACAGTGTAACGGTAAGTTCTTCTGCAAGTTCGTGCAAAATTATGCCAATTCCTAACATTTACCAGATGCAGGGTGATACAATAGCGGTCGCAGCAGGAAGGAAGCTGACAGAGGTGAGTTCCCATGAAAGTCTTAAGTAATGGATGCTGATCAGCCACAAAATTGAAGACTGAAATCGAGACTTTCACGGTGAACAAATAGGAGCTGGCCGGGGGGGGGGTGGGAGGCTCAATCCGTCGATTGACACGGTGGCCGGATCTGGATCGTACACAGTTCATACGGGCTATCTGGCACAAGCTAGCTGGCAGATTTGTTTTTGTCTGCCGAGCCCTACCCGCTTTTACAAAGACCTATTAACTACACTCCGATTAAGAGTATTTATATCATGGTTAGGTGCCTACTCAATCACTCTAGACCCGCCTTGCCACCATGCAGCCCCTGCAAACGTCCCTAGACTTAACATTTCCAGCCTCAAATGAGTCCATTTTGACAAGGTTGAACAATCACAATATCGAAACCAAAGGGGGAAAAAAGATTATGTTGATGTGGTCGCTTTACAACCATTTCCTCACAATTTGTTCAGCCTTCAATCCACTTTGCCCCCGGGATCATACAACTCGGCCGTCCTGGGTGTTCAGGGATCAAATGGGCGCCAACGCAAGACATTCCAAGGGCTCAACGACACTTTCAATAAATCGACCCAGGATAGCAGTATCTGCAGCCAGATTTCTTCCTTGTCTTGTCTGTCCACCTCCTGGCACCTTTAAGCTGCCGCTCAGGCACTGCGTCACCACATCTGTGTACACCTTTCCCATCTTCGATCCCAACCTTGTCCTGCAGCGTCTGACGTGCTCCTCTCGAAGTTGACCTGCGTTCATCTTTTGATATTTAGCACCAGAAATCATTCCGGAAAGGGAGCGCCAAAGACCTATCTCTAGGAGGACGATACCTAGGCTGTAGTAGTCAAAGTCGATATTGTATCGGCCACTGCTCGCATACTCGGGGTGTTGGTAGTCACTGGCGGCGTCAAGATCCGGTCCATCAGTTTGCCACAAGCTTCCATCGGGCCTGCTTTTGTGCAAACCGATGAAGTAGGGCTCCTGTAGTTCGCTTGGAAGAGGCAATTCTCGAGGCTCATGCGTGAAAAATAGGATATTGTGGGAGTTGAAATTCTCGTGAAGCCATCCAATTGTGTGAAACTCTTTCAGAAAACGGGCCAAGGACGCAGCCAATTTGAACTTATCGCCAAGCAGTGGCTGGGGTTTGGGTTGACTTTGGCGGCCAGAATCTTGATCAAGGAGGGTGTGAAGCGGTGTGGGTTGTGAATGCATTCCCGGTGGTACCCGATAGACAAAGCCGTACCCGAAATTTGCGTCGCTCTTTTCGAATATCCCCACACAATCCAACGTTCGTAAGCCCTTCGGCCTCTCCACCATTCCGAAGCTCTGTGCTCTGAGGCTCATTAGGAGGGTACGTTGCTCGGGCGTGACCTGAGCCTGGTGCCACTTCATGACATACCACATCCACTCGACCAGAACCGGCGACTTGTCAAATTCGAGCCTCCCGATCCCCCATGATCCTGTGGTACTATCTATCTCGGTAACATCAGATGCGTTGAAAAGCCGAGCATTTGGAGCACCGTCATCGAGGCAGCGAAGGGGATCATTAGAATCTATACCCTGCGGGTCGAGCGTTGTCAGGCGGAGCCGGATTGTTCTCATCATTGCCAATGCTTTGGTAGTATAGAAGGCCGAGAATCTCGCTGACGAGAGCACCTGTTCGAGGTCTTCCAGGTGTTTCGTATCGTCTGTAGCCAGTACAAGATGCTCCCAGTAGTCCCTGGCACGCTTTGCGAGGTCAGGCGGCAGCAGCCGCCAAAGCGCGGAGACGCAATCGTCGATCTCACTCTCGAGGATCGTGTTGTCTGTGGATTCATCCGCCTGATACAATTTGGAGAACATGCTCCTCATAGATTCAACGCCTTCATCGTACATTCTGTCCAGGGATGTCGAGAGGCTCTCAAGTTCCTGCTGCCAGGATCCATCGAGTTTTAAGACATTGCCCCAAGCCACGAATCGTGTTCGAATCAATTCACGAGCGGGCGAAGATTGATCCCGGCAGAAGTTGCAAATTGCATCTTTAGTGGCCCCAAAGTATGCCTGCAGACTCATGAAGGTGAGCTTCTGGCTTATGTTGGAGATCGTTGGTCTTTGGAGCGGATCTCTCGTCAGAGCCTGCAAACACAAGTCCACCAGAGGCGAGATGACGCTACCGCTGGCCCCTCGGTTCGAAAGCGTGCGCAACCACTGGACGACTTGTGTTTTCACACTGCCATCCACCTTGTGGTACAAACTTGTTTCCCATCCGCTCACGCTGGGCTCCAGGCGTTTGTCACTAAACTCGCTGACTCCTGTGCTTCCCAGTTCAATATATGTAGCAATATCAGCGAACAAGCATCCCATAGCCCACACATCGATCGATCGTCCAACTTCTTGTGAATGCAGGTTGTCCATACACTCGGGAGCTAAATAATCTCCGACTGTCTGGAACCAGGTTGTCTGAGATTTAATCCCAGGATCTTTGAAGTTGCCGAGCCCAAAGTCAGCCAGAATGAAATTATATTGATCTACCAATATATTGGCCGGACGAATATCATGGTGGTATCCGATGCCGTCGAAGTCCACGCCGTGCTGATCTTGGTTCAGGTGCAAGTTATGCACGCTAAGCAGCGCGGAACAAAGTCCACGAAGGGCCGAATAGAAGGTGAAGTCGTGTTGGAACATAACGGGTCTTTCTTCTAAAGACAGAAACTTCTTCAGGTCCATCTCCAAGCGAGGGAACAGGAAGTTTTGCTCAATACCATACGAGTAGGAACCGAGAAAAGGGATAATGTTCGGATGTCGAAGTTGATTCAATAACCGCAGGCACATCTGTTCTTGTTGATACGCCTTCTTGCTGATTCTTGTTTTCAGCCTCTTTAAAATAAGCTGGACGGGGCTCGTCTGTTGGGGGAGGGCAGGTCGACAATCAGTGAATCGTGATACAGAGTCATCGAGTTTTCGCAATCCAAATCTCGGAGAACTCACATGATCAGGTACAAAGTCTTGCTGCGTAGGCCAGACACTAATCGTCACAATTTGACCAAAACTCCCCTCGGCAAGGTCATGTGGTCTGCCAACCAAGGGGAGAATCCGATTTTCTTCGATTTCGAGGTGGTGCTCGTGCATCTTGGGCGGAAACCGGAAAGGTAGAAGCCTCCATTGCTCTTCTCGCGCAAGCCTGGCTCCAAAGTCAGGGGCCGCTGTTTTTGCTAGCTCCTCACTGAACGGCAGTCTATCATCCAAGGCTTGATGAGCCCGAAACGATACGATGTGGTCCTCTTTCTCCATCCAAACCAGGATCGCGAAAGTTTTTACTCCTGCACAGAGAATTGCTTCCACGAGATTAATACGCTGGTCTGGACGACAACATAGCTGTTCGACTGCTTTCTGAACGGCGGCAGGGGTAAAAGTTGTGCGCAAGCTGGTCTCTGGAAGGAACCATCTCTTTGAATCTGAGCGGACCATATTGTTTTCCATCTGCTCTCGTAGGACTTGGATGGAAAGCTTGTTGTTGGCTGGAGAACGTTCCATTTTGACTTCAAGCTTAGGAGTAACCGAACTGAGTTGTGAACAGCAACAGCCGTAGCTTTAGCCTTAGGTGCGTGAATAATACGATCACTACAACTTCGCCTCATACTAATATTTTCTTTCAAGGCGCAAGAATAAAATGGCATGTCAAGGCGCCCTGAGGGGCCAGGACAACATTCCGTGACGCATTCGGCTGCCCTGACCGCCAAGGTTGAGGCATGCGCAGCTCAGCTCACCGGTTGAAAACTTGCAGGACATGTGCAACACACCCATAGGGATGATAGGTTGTGGAAGCAGACAAGTCCAAAGGTGGCTGACGCTATCTCGTTATATCCGTAAGCAACCCGCGAGACGTTCTTCTCTATGCCGGTATCATCCGACCAGTTCTCTTGCACACTACTTCATGCTGATCGAGCGGTATTCCTAGAACAAAGTAAAGCGACCTCTGCACTACGAATGACAATATGTTCTCACGAATGCCAAAGTCAACTTCTATCTGCCTATTGTGAAGCACATCTCCTGTTGAAAACACCCAAAACGTTCAGTTATCTTTCAAGTCAACCGCAGAAAGGATGATGTTCGGCCATCCGTCTTTTGGCAGCCCGTACGGCACGTACATACCTAAGCGTACACGTATCGCCTATCGCTTGCGATGTTCACACAACATAGTCATAGGGCCACAGCATTAGACACTTACCCGCACTTCTCTAAATTACAGGCTCAATATAACCTCTATACCAAATATAACGAAGCTATCTGAATCATGCAACATCACAAATCTGATTTCGCTGTATCGTTAGAGGTGTTCTAAGTCCACCACCAGAGCGCACCAAAATAATAGCATTTCTTATACTTGTCCCTGTCTTAGCCATTCTTGTAACTAAAAGTATGGTCTGCACCACTTCTTAGTCACCCTGGTCTCAAAATTTTGACCTCTCCTCGATTTCGCACAAGATTCTTAGCTTCACTGGGGGCTGGCATATGTGATGCAAGTTGATGTGCCACTTAGGGTGTCAGATCTACACTCGGCCTCTTATAGAGGCATTCGATGGCCAGGATTGTTAAATGCGACTGTATCAATTCGTTAAGCATATCGCGTGAAATTGAACGAACTGCGAGTCCTGGGAGCGTCTTTCGTACTGCGGGCGCAAAGGGGCTCGAAGAGAGTAGACAGAAGCTTATGACATCGTTTACTCGGTCCTCTTGTACCAGATGGGAGAGTAATAGCGTGATCTGTTTCATATTGACAAGTGACACGATAGATGGGCTCAAGGGAATAGGACGAAGAGCAGTGCGAGAAGCGGCAAAGGGCAAAGCGTCAAAACTAACCTAGAGCTCCTAAATAATTCATTAGTTGGTTATTCTTACTACATGGCACTCAACCCGCAGGCGAAAGCCATTTTTATTTCGACTTCTTCAGCAGTCACTCTTGGCCGACTTAATAATCAAGACCCAGTCAAAGTCCACACCTCCATGGCTCGGCGGCGTAAAAGTCCTGTTGCCTTCAACCACGAAAGAGCCGATGACCTGCAGCTCGGCCGTACGTGGGTCGAACCACTGCGCCGTCGCGTTGACACCAGCCACCCCCCACAACTCGACGACATTGTCAAGGTCGACGCTGAAGGCGTCCCCCCAACCGCTGTAAACCCAGTAGTGCCCGTCGGTAATCATACCGGCCACAGAGCGGTCGGCCTCGAACGAGAGGACGTCCTCGGTCGCATTGGCGGGGGAGGAGATGATGTCTCGCGCGGGCTCGAGAGCGTTGAACTGCTCGGCGGACAGGCTATCAAATATTTTGACGACGTAACCCGTCTGCTTGGCGCCCGGCCAGTGGATGGCCTCGTGCCAACTGGCGTTGACTGAGAGGCCCAACTGCGGCTCCATGTAGTGCTCGGGGCCGGCGATGAGGGACATTTTCTCATATGATTGTTGGACGGGAAGGGAGCCAAAGGTGATGCCGCAGGCGCCCGAGAGGACGGCCGGGTAGAACCCGTGACGCACGTCTGACGCGTTTCAGAGCGGCTTGCTCCCGTTGAACGAGTTATGGGCGCCTTCGTAATGGTTCTCAAGGTCCATGACTGGGCCGGGGAATTCTTGCCGCATCTGTATAATATTCTCATAGTTTTTGCGGGAGTCCCAAGGGCGCAGCACGGTATAGTTGGCGTCGATGCCGTTGGGGTCAGGCCGCTCGTGACCGGACTGGACGCCATCCATGGAGAGGTTCCCGAAGCTACCATTGATGTACTGCGATACAGATCAGCAGGGTTGCGTGAAGAAAAAGTACAGTGCCAGGAGGAATGAGCGTACATTATGGCCATAGGGGAAAGGTGTGGGCGGATCCACGATCCAAGGACTCGTTGGTTGGAAGGTCACAAAGGCGTTGTAACCCTGCAGCGCCTCCTCCTCTCGGAAGCCCTTCATCATAGCAGCCCAGATAGGCCTCGTGTCCTGAATAGGGTCGAGGTAGGACAACGGATCCGAGTCGGGGTTCTCCCGCCAGGCTGCGCGAGCCTGGGGGACGTTGTCTGCCCAAAAGGCGTTGGTGTCTCCGCCCATCATCTTGGGGATGCCAGCGTAGCGCTTTCCGAGGAAACGCCCGAAGACCTCGGCATTGTCCTCGTTAAACAGCGTGTAGGTAGTGGTTCCGTACCAGCCCGTGTTGACATAGCGGCCCCAGGTCGGCACGAAGCAGATGAGAACGCCGTACTCAGCAGCCCTAGTTACAACCCAGTCTACGAAGGAGAAGTAGCCCTCGTTGGGCTGTGTCACGTCCTCATTGTCGATGGCCAGGTCTCCATAGAAGTTGGGGATGCTGGTGACATTGTACTTGGACAGCAACACGGCCTGGATCACGTTGAAGCCCTTGGCAGCACGGTCCGCAAGGTAGAGGTCGACATCGGTGCGGTTGAGCTTGTGGAAGAGCTCCCAATTGGTGTCAGCGATCCAAAAGAAGGGCTCGTTGGTCTTGGTCCTGTATAAATAACGACCATTGGGCGACGCAGAGATAGCCACATTCGACCAAGGGAGTTCTTTGGGAACGGCCGAGGCGAGTGAGAAAGTCACCAACGCGACAGCGCAGACAAGCAGATCGAAAAGGCGCGCCATGTCGATCGCGTCTCTGAATCTTGGGATACGATTGCCAACCCGGTCAGCATCCCTTGGACGTCCATTCTGAGTCCCGTTACATTTATATATGCTACATACCGGCCGTGCGTCGGATATCAACGCGGACCACACGGTGGAGTTGTGCCAGAGATCAATACCCTCTCTGGCATGACTACAAAATATTACGATTTGTATTGATTTCCACATTTTCTCAGCACTTGATTGCCGGGAAGGGAGGGTTGCACCTTTCAGTCGGGCTGTAATATTGATCATCGCTCTTTACTTCTCCAGTCTCTGCGCGTGACCGCGGAGGTGGTGGAGCTATCTCAATCGGGCCGGACCTTTCCCCCCTCTTACTACCCCATTCTCCGGGTCACGCCACGGGGACTCAGTGGGGACTTCATGCAGACGCTCGGCTATTTTTTGTGCTGGCTCACGTCTAAGTTGCATTTTAAGAAGAGAACATGACCTTCGCATGCAGAAAACCTTGAAAGCGGGGCACCACAAGGGAAACCCCATATTCGTTTCTATACCAATGGCTATTTGCTTTGCTGGCCGTTTCTCGGCTGGCAGACTCGGTCTTCTCATATATACCTCTGAGCATGCCAGAGTGATGAGCAGAAGGATGCTGAGACATCCACAGTAGCTTCAGCAGATGGATGGTTTCCTAAGAATGCGCACCACCTAGCGTGAGAGAATCCTCTCCACTTGTAAAAGAGCAAGAGAGGGGGACCCCGGTTCATACTGCGCGTATGCGCGTAAGGTCGCATGAAGTCGGATGGCGCTCTTATTTTTCTTTTTATTTCTTGAAGACTACGGGGGGAACGGCGGTAGTTATCTTGGATATCTGCTTGACTTGCAGAGTGCGTTCCTGATGGAGGTGCTAAGCTTGCAAACTTTCAGGTCAGTCAAAGACCACTGCCAGACGGCGATAGATGCGCAAAGTAATACGAAGGAGTTCCAACCGAAAGGGACAGGCCATGTGAACTTGCTAAAGTGGCTCAAGAGGCCTAGATGATAACTACTGACTCGGAGTTCGACTTGGATCAAACGAAGGTACGCATGGGTAATCTTGTCCAAATACTCAGATCAACTGACGATGACAGTCCTCCCATATTGATAGCTCGGTCTCCGGGGCAGACACGGCACACGATTGTAACGATATGGAAGGCAAGACTGTAATGCCGCTGAAAGGTAAAACTGCACAGCACACTTGAAAGCAGAACATGCTCTTGTCCACTTGACCAAAGTAGAAAACTATTAGAATGAGGATCTACCTTTCTGCCTTCCTGGGCCTGGGCAAGCCTCTCCGGCCCTCCTATTAGTGCGGCCGGTATTTGAACTCCTCAGAGCAGTAGACGTTGAGATAAGGAGCAGCAGCTTAAAGGGACGAAACGGATTTTAGGCGGTTACATAATGGCGCTATGAGACTTCGAAATAACATAATTTCCCTTGAAAAAGTTAGCACTTGAGCTCATAGCGACGAGGGCCATAGAAAGGTCTCGCTCGATCTTTGCCTGGAGGACCGCGAAGCCAAGAATATTTGCTAATACAATTTGGAAAGCTATATTTTGAGTTCAGAAGGCTGTCGTTGAATTTTTGACCAACAAGGGTCGGGGACGAAGAGCATCTTCACTTGTAGGCCACTACACTGCTGTCCATTTTTGTCCGTTTACCCTGATTTCTTCTTGACTTGAGTCGATTCTAATTGGTAAGAACTAGTGACATCTCCAAGTGCAATATTTACAGCTGCATCGCAATGAATCATTGTAGTGTCGAAAACTGGCACTGGCAAGTTATCTTGATTGAGAAGCATGCCAACCTCGGTGCACCCAAGAATGATGCAGTCAGCCCCCCTTGAGATAAGTCGACTGGCAATGCAGACATAAGCATCCTCGCTTTCTTTCGTAACAAGTCCACGGCACAATTCTTCGTAAATGATGCGGTGCGTTTCGGCTCGGTCGGAGCTGTCCGGGATGATTGGAGATAGACCAGCTGCGACAAGCCGGTCGACGTAAAACGTTTGCTCCATCGTGAAAGCCGTGGCCATCAGCCCCGGTGAATTGAGGCCACGGGCTCGAATGCGGGCGGCGGTAGCATCCGCGATATGTATCATGGGCACCGAGACGCCCTTCATCATCTGATCGGCAACTTTGTGCATCGTGTTTGTCGCCAGAATGATGAGGTCGGCCCCACCCTTTTCAAGTGCCTTCGCTTCGATGTTGAGAATGCTCCCAGCTTCGTCCCATTCCCCACGTGTCTGCAAGGCTTGTATACGCGAAAAGTTCAGCGACCGGATGAGAAGTTCGGGGGAATGGAGGCCCCCAAGTCTGTCCCTGATCAAACTGCAAAGTTGTCGATAGTAGACTTGAGTCGATTCCGCGGACATGCCGCCCAAAATGCCAATCGTCTTCATTTTGTTCACCTTCAGGCAGATGCTTGGATAACTTGTTTTGGTGACTCTGCAATAGATTCGACGACAGGTGTGACTTGTAAGACTAGCGAAGTAGGCTGTCTACATCGTGCCCTTCATCCCACGTGACGTAAGCTGACTGCAAAATGTATTCCTTCAATAATCATCAGTCAAAGCCATTCTTGTTATCCATCGCAGGACTCCAGCAGTGTGCCTGTGAAATTCATTTAGGGCAGATCTCATCACTGAGATAAAAACTATTTCGATTGTTTCCCCTCGCTGTCGACATGAACCATTCTGCTGTGGTCATTTTGGACCAACCAAGGTTTCACGAGTGCATCGTGGATGACGATGAACGCAGTAAAGCTTGAAGCACTCTGCGTCGTCCTCTTCTCAAGGAACTGGAAAGTCCCACCGTTCTGCTCATGCAGATCCATACTCTGGGCATATGTCAAATATAATTCAAAATAGAAATATACAATTTATAAATAAAGGATTATCTCCTGGTTCCGACTTACGTGAACACGGCGTTGTGGAGTATAAAACTAGGTGCTACAGTCATGTCACAAATCACTTCAATCCAATAATTGCGCCAGCATTGTAGCAAACATTCTTTTTGTTCTTCATTTCTGAGCTAAGTATAGATTTGCAGATATTCAACCACATTCGACCCCAGGCACATATCGTCCATGACAGTATGTGCGAGCACCTCATCCACACATGGCAGTTGTGATGTAGATGCGGGTTCATGGGGAAAAAAGACAGCCGGACCCGTACAGTATACACAAGACTGCTGTCCAGAGCAGCTGTCGTTGAGGGAAAGGATGCGTGACGCTCCCAAAACACCGTGGTACCATATTCAAGTCTGTCCACCCAATGTTGCAATTCGGTCCCGCAAAGATGATACAAACGCTCCGCCCCGTTCCACGGCACGATCAAAAGGTGCCGGCAGGTATATCCGATTTTTCCGTCTCTTTTCGGTCTTGATAAATGTCATGCCTCATGCCTGCCTGCCGAATTCAAAATGAGCCCTTGTATCGGGTAAAAGTAAGTTGAAGAAGCGAACAAATCAAAATAAATAATCGCTAGATGCAAAAACATAAGCCGCCGCGGCTCCGCGGCGACTTGTAAAATGACCGTCCCAAATGCTCAAAATGAGACTACCTCATGAAATCCATCTCCGTCCCCAGGCCATTACTTAGACCTAAGGAACTCATGGTGCTGATGTCCGAATTCGCCCTTTGTAGGGCTTGGAAATCCGCTACCGTGCGTATTGTGTGTGGGTTAGGGCCCATGGCGAAACTGGTCGTGCGGGAAGGCCCTTGGCGATTCACAAGGTTATTCGTGTTCATGCCCTGAGACATTGCGTTCATGTATGCAATGCCGTTGCTGAATTGTTGTCCGAAATTGTGGTTCTGATGATCCACATTCATGTTCGGCGCGTGGTCGATTGGAGTGCCCAGGCCATGTTGCATGTCGTGTTGCATGTGCGTGTTGATGTTTTGCATCGACGAAATTGATTGCTGTGGCTGATGCTGGGTGTGGGGAGTTTGTGGTGGGTTATGAGCAGGGGCTTGTCCACTGAGTGAGGATGATGCACCCATCGGGTTCATCATAATCCCTGACATGGAATTATAGGAGTTTTCTGGCAGGCCGTGCGAGTACTCCCCGCCGGGTGACGTGGCTGACGGCGAGCTCATAAACGGAGAGTTCATTTCGTGGTTGGATGATTGGGAACCCCCTTGCGAACTTCCAGAATCAACTGGCGGCTCGTCCATGCGCGGTGTGTACTTCTTCTCGTACTCGTCCATCAACACGGGTGGCTGGGCCATTCCAGCATTACCAAAGCCATCGAAGATGTCCATGTTGCAAGCCTTGGTAGCGACATTGTCCGGCACGTTCTGCAGCATAGGGTTGGCGAGTTTCGGTAATGTCTCGTTGATCTTGCTGATGAGGAGAGGCACAAAGCGGTAATCTCCATTTCTGAGAACTGTAAGAACATTCAACAGGGGGTTGAGCTGTTCACGTGGGCCGGGTGAGAAAGGGTCTCTGGAGGCGGGGTACAAGGCGAGGACGTCCGTTAGAGAGCAAGCGACGTCAAAAAGTTTTGTCAGCTATAAAATAAGTTAGCAAGTAGATAGACGTAAGGATAGTCGGTGAGCATACGAATGAGACGTTCAGGCTCTCCGAGTTTTGCTGAGGCATGGATGAGATGCCGGCCAGCAGATTGGCTGCCATGTTTGCTGAGTATTGCTGGAACATCATGTGGTCTTCGCTGTGGCTGTTGTTGCTGTTTAACTGCCACATCATTGTCTTCAGCCATTGCTGGTTATTCCTGAGATCGTGCAGCTGCGAATCCCCGTAGCTGTGGAATGCGGGGATGATTTCTGCGAGCTGCTTGTGCAGGTTGTTCAGGTAAGCAGCAGGCCAGTTGCTGCGGTTCTTGCTCCACATGCCGAGGAACGCATCATCAAAGGGACGAAACAGATTGGAGAGGTGGATGAAGCTGTTGAGCTGATGAGCCATGTGATCGGTCGGGTCATCGGCAAGCGCCGGTGGGTTAATGGAAGCCTGCAGGGTCACTGGTCTGTTTCGGTGTAACGCGTAGGCTCTGTGGGGTCCATCGAGTTAGCATGAGAGAACAGTGTGAAGTGAGATATCGAGTTACATACCTCTCCGTGACGAAGAAAAGCCAGTACAGACGTCTCCTTCTGGCAGACTCAACATCGTCAAACTGAACGTAAGCCTCCTCCTTGTTCATTCCGATGATCTGGATCATCGTTGAAGCTTCTCTCAGGTGGAACCAGGCCTTCTCGTGCATCTCCAACCCGTAATAGCATGCAAAAAGGAAGTAGCTCGTGCACAGGGTGTTCATTGTGGGGTTATCCGTGTAGTCGAATCCTTTTCGCACACGGATCGTCTCCTCCAGCAGGACGGTGCTGGACACGATGTTTGCACCTGGCATGCTGTCGAGTCCATATGGGTCGCCCGGAATGGTCATACCGGGTTGGATCATCATAAAGGCCGACAGAGCAGCCAACAAGCAGTAAGCGTCGAGGTTCTGGTCCATGTACACGGCCTGTTGCTCGAGTCGCTGGCGGCTGAGAATAGGCATGCTTGGATACATGTTTGCAAAGAAGAATTCGATGCACTCCTTCACAATGTCGCCGGTCAAGAGCCCCGGAGTTGGAGCCAAGGTCGGGACCGCGGCAGGTGCGTTGATGCCATTCATCCGGTTCTGCACCTGTGCAGAGAGGCTGGTTTGTCGCTGCGTCTCACGCAGTTCGCTGATTACTTTGGCTCTTGAGCCCTTGGGACCCTTCTTCTGTGGGATCGCGTGGTAAGTACAGCCGAGCTGAGCCGTGTGGCAGTTACGGCAGGGGTTGACACCGTCGCACTTGACCTTGCGACGGTGACAGGCGTCACAGGCTCGTTTGACGGCGGTCGTCATTGTGCCTGAGGTCATTTTGGCCGTGGAATTTCGACTCTAATTCGGCTGGTTCGCTGAGTCGTGTGTGGTGCGGGTTGAGATGATTTGTTTGCTGGTCAGTGAGCCCAGATTACTGTGGCTCCTGGGGAGGAGTCGGGAGACCTCGTGGCAGGTGGCCGTTGATGAGAATCTCCTCGGCCCCGAAACCTGGGGGCATTCGACGTATCGAAAACGGTCGACGCTGGCTATTCCTCAATCCGAATCAATCCGAAAGTGGCATGGAGTTTGCGTAGCGATGTGGTTGCGCACAGCTGGGGTTCATGCAGGAAGGGGGGATTGTAATCGGGCCGTCGAAGTTTGTGTGAGTGGTTTTGGGAACCCAAATCGAAATCGCGGGGGAGACAATCCGGGGGAGCGGTTCCAACGGGTCCAACGGCTGGTCGGTCGGTTTGGCGGTCGCGTGCGCAGGCTGCAGGCGACAGATTTGTGGATGTCACGGGGGAGTGTATAGTCTGGCTATGAGACAGCGAAAAGAGAAAATCCAGCAGCAAATGTCCCAGGACTCAAGATGAGGTTTTCACGATGACAAGTAGAAATGGAAATGGAAGAGTAGACGCAAGTTTGTTCAGTCAGGCGAGGTGAGGCGAGTCGAGGCGAGACTGGGGGGTTTGAGTAGGAGTGGGGTGGGGGAGGGAGTAAAAGAGACCAGCAGGCCCCAAAATTGAGAGGGAGGAGAGGAGCAAATAGGCAAATAGGCAGAGGCTAGGGCCAGTGAGGGACGAGGAAGGGGCGTCTTGTCTGAAGTGGGCGTGGGCATGGGCGGGAAAATGAGGAGAAAGTGGAAGTGCGGAAGATGGGAAGGGGCTACGGATGGGGGACAACACGCTAATTCCCAGCTGAGCCTAGGCGAGCCCAGCAGGAGCCCAGCACCACCCCAGCAGGAACCGGGATGCGCGCCTTCCCCCAGCACGCCCCAGGTCGGAGCTGCGTGGGCATTGGGCGTGTTCAGATGTATTGTAGCAGCCGGCGCCAGGGGTGGGAAAGGCGACAGGGACCAGGGGGCGGTGGGAAACTGGGAATCGGCACTGGGCAGGAAACTGCAGGACTGGCGCGGACTGGGCAGCTGCCAGGTCCGTCTCGGGTCAAGGCTGCACCAGCACCAGCACCAGCAATCGATCAACTAACTCGATCAACACAGTATGTCCGTCCATCTGTGTGTCTCTTGTCCGTTCTGTGGCGCAGACCAGCATCATCATCAACAATTGAGGACGCCAATCAACTAACCAGACTGCCTGCCTACCTAGCTTGGTACCATTTGCTATTACTCAGTCTATGTACCGGGACTGACTGTTGACTCTGACGGGTTTGATGGCTTGAGTAACGGCTTGGGTGGCTTTGCTCTGCTGGCTGAAGTGATCAGCCCAGGTCAGGTCAGGTCAAGTCGAGGCAAGGCAAGGCGAGCCAAGTCACAAGTCAGTCACGCTCATCACATCTTTACCTCACCGTCATTTCACGATGCTCAATCACTCACTCGGTCGCCATCTTCAATCACACTTGGCCCAGGCGCCCTCACGCCCGCAGACCCAGTCAGGCCCTGACCGAGTCCCGTCGGCACTCGAGCCCAATCGAGGAAAAATAAACTGGGACGAGCTTCAGCTGCCTCTGTTCGGTTTTGGATATTGCTGAACGTATGGAGCGTGCTGAGGAGTGTGTCTGGAGTGTCTGCCTATTGATAGACTGCTTCAGGTCTCCGAGACAGGCAATCATCTTCGAGTGCTGCATTCGATCGCAATCTCTCGTGCCTGTCTCTCATCTTGCATCTGCCACTCGTGGCGGTGGGCTGCGGTGGGCTGCCCTGCCGTAACGTTGTATTCTGGGGTTCGTGCTGTACTTTTAGACTTTTTACCGAGGCGTCTATTCCGCCCTCTCGGATCCCGACTGCACTAACAGGAGCCCGTCTCTTGTACGCGTAATACTGCAGTTCGGCGTATAGTAGTACAGCCGACGTGTTAAGAAAGACATGCCCCAGGTGGGCTGAGCCTGAGCCTGCGCCTGTTATTGGCCTGACCGCTGCAGTGCAGGTCGTGTCTCAGTCCCACGACTCTTGCTGCACAGCACACAGTAAGAATAGCTGCTGAGTTGATGCCCCAAGGCTGTCCGAAGAAAAATGGAGCACAGAACCTACTGACTGATCTCTTGTTAATCATCAGTAGCATCATCATCTCGTGACTGTGTCAATGAAAACCCTCCTCATCAGCGGCGTCGTCACCTTGTCTCTGCAGTGGGATGCGGAATCGGATCCCTGCAAGGAACACGACGAACCGCTGTTTGCCCTGCTCCTGTTCCTGTTCCCACTTGCTCCGGAGCACGAGAGCACCTGATCGTGCCCGTACTTGCTGTATCCATACTTGTGGACTTGTACCTGTGTCTGTGCTCGAGCCTGTGCATGTGCCTTGTGGCCTTGTACGATGAATCCATCGATTGGCCATACCGAGGTTGGTCTAATAGTCAGATCCTACGTACTGTTACGAGTGCCTAGCAGCTTCGAAGCTGAACCTGACCCAATCCGTACATAATAAGCTGCATGCACTAGGTATACGGGGTTTATGTGCCGTGGCGATGACGACCACTGCCCTGCCGCTGTCAATCTTTGGCCCCCCCTGGTAGGGCTGGACAAAGACTATAAAAAAAATTGAAAAAAATCAGTTCAATTGATGCGAAAGCCGGCTGACGACATAGACACGAGACTTGAGACTGAGATGGGCCCTGTGCCTGGATCCCAGGACTGCGGTATCCTTTGTTCTTCAATGCCAGCAGCCGAAGTTTTGCCCCAGAGTCCCGGGAATGAGCCTGTCCGGCCGCCTATAATACGCCCTTACGTATTGATTATTCACCAAACCAAACAGCTCAGCAAATCTGCCCTCGTCTGATCTGATCGGGGCTCGCGGTTCAGACAGCTTCCGTGCCTCGGCCGAGGAAGGCTAGAGGCTTGCATTTCTGGTAATTTTTCAGTCTCAACCTGAATCTCGGGGTTCGCATCAAGAGACCACAGCCACAGCAATGACGGCAACAAGGAGAGCAGACTAGAGACACCCATCCTGTGACCGACTGGCTTGTGAAGAATGGCTTCGGCAACAAGCACTGGCGGCAAAGGCGATTTGAGCTCTGGCAGCAGCAGAAGCAGACTGGCTTACCCCCCCCCCCTCTCCTCACCCACCCTCCAAAAGAGGGCTTTCCCCCAACAAGGCCGCATTAGTGCGACTCCTGATCAACCAGCATCCTGGGATGGCATGCTTCCATTGATTCTTCCAAAACCTTCCACCCAGCACTAGCCTACACTTCTGGTGTGGCCTGTGTGGCTCGCGCAGCTCGCCCGTCCAGTAACAAGCGGCCGGGCTGGGCTCCATTCTGGTCCTAGTCTCCCTACTCATGCAGGCGCCTCTGCAGGTGTTGGCGGTCTCCCCGCTCCATCGAATCACCTGTGCGGCTGCCGGGTGCCAGCTGTCAGTGTCAGTGCGTGCCTACTGTTACCGTGCCATTGTTCGAAACGATGGATGAACGATTGAGTGAATAAACGAAAGGGTAAGGCTCGGTCGGGTCTATGTTATGGTGTATTGTTCAGTGACGGACGGTCATTGCGAGCGGCATCTCGATGACGGCACCCTCCGAAGCCATCGCCGACGACAGACGCAACATCACGACTCGTGCTCCCCGAACCGACGGGTAAAGATTGTCCCCTCCCCAAGTAAACAGGAGCAGACCACGTCACCTGGTGATCACAGACAAAGAGAGGCCTGAGAGGATGCCCAGGCGGGAACGACCACCAGAGGCCCCCATAGCAGTTGCTTGGCCGTCTGTGGGGCATCACAAGGCCTTCTTGGGATGAATTCCAGACCAGCTCGGAGATTTTAAAATAACTGCTATTCCGAATAAACAACAACAGACAGGCATGGCGCGCACTCGGCGACCGTTGAGAGTCAAAACTCCGTCTGATCATCCTGCGACTCGATCCGCTGTACCGTACTGTGTAATAAAGTGCCTGCCTGCTTGTCACCGCCGTGCCTCCGTGCCTCAGTACCAAAGTATGGGCAATAATTGGGGTGGGCCGGAAACGAGCAGCAAGTCGTCGGTCGCCCAAAGAAGCTAAGTGCCCCGGCGGATCCCACGACCACGATTTGCTGGTGCGAGAAACGCATGGGGCTGGGCTTGTGTTGCATCTCAGGTTGATGCGGGTGACTTTTCCTTGCCTGCCTGCTGTATTGAAAGCTGAAGGGGAGATGAAACCCACCAGAGTCGGGGCGGAAACAATGCCCGCTCGTCATGCAATGCCAGTCATAAAAAGATCGAATTGTGTTGCGTGCACTGATACACACACACACACACACACTTGCTTTGCTTTGCTTTGCCTTGCTTTGCTTACGAAGCCAGCACTGCCAAACGGGAACAATAGAAATTCCCCAGGAACGGCCATCCTTTCCCTTTCGAGAATGTCCACGCGGTCGATCACCCTTCCATCAACCCGCCGGTCCCTTTCAACAAAAGAGTCGCGCGTGCGTGCGTGCGCAAGTTTAGTGAACCGTTTGCCAGCCCGCCAGCCCGCCAGCCCGCCAGGCGACGAATCTTCAGCGTCGGATCCGCAGCGGGCACTGCGACATGCGACGTGTGTGCGACTTTGTTCTGTGTGCCGAGCTAGCGAAAGCGGGCTGGCCGTCCCGCTAAAAGCCACAGCAGCAGTGCCGGATCCCACGCTTTTGCGTTGCGTCGCGTCTGGGGGGGGGGGGGGGAGTAACCAAAACCCGCCCACCCGCGCGGCTGAGATCGCAGCTGTCAGAGGCGGGCTGGGTGTTTCACCAGCAGGGTAGGGCATCGCCTTACCGCCCGCTGGGAAAGGGATAGGGCGAGGCTGTTGTGTTTAGCTGGTGCCGTAGAATAGCCACCACCGACCCCTACTCTGTGTTGGACTATATCGCCGCATCTAAGAAGCCCTGGGCTCGGCTGGCAGATCTGCGATGGGTAATTTCCTCCTCTTGCGAGCGGCTCCGGAGCACACGCCACGCAGCTCGGTCCACGTTGTTGATGGACGACTCGAGTCTTGCATGCGCTGCGCCCAGCCGTGCCGCGCCAGCTTGACCGAGAGATCATTGCGTCGGGGGTGCTTCCACTTCCGTGGGCAGCGCATCAGTTGTATGCTTTGCGTAGGGGGCGGGCTTTGTCGCGTGCGTGTGCCAATGTTCGGTGAGCATGCCTTGCCAAGATGCCCTGCGACGCAATGGGCACCTGTCCCCGTTGTGGGCGGGTGTCCGTTCCCGGTGGCGGGTGAAAAAGGTCGGCGTAGTGGGGCCGGCTGTCAGTGCGGACACATGTAGCGTAGGACGTGAATCCGGGGGCACAAAGATCCACTTGCAATGACAGGCACGACAGGTTTCCGGGGGGACTCAGGCTCTCGGACGAGGGACAAGAGACCAGTCTGGTGTACAGATCCTGAAAAGGCCTAGCTGCATGCGCTTCGACATCTCGATGTATGTGGTGTTGACCAGTTGGGCTGGCTGGCTGGGCTTGGAGCATCAAGTTGGATATTGCTGTTGACAGATTCTGTTGACTGTCGCCCATTTGATCCTGAATGTGGTCACTTCGAGCCTTGAATACGGACATCGATTAAATCGAACTAATTGTTAAACGCTGACCTGTCCTATAACCTGCAGCCAGCCACGACGGGCATCCAAGACCAGCAAAACCATGCAGCCAGCCCAGTCCTCGACTTAACGCCAAACACCAGCAATTCAGAATGATAAAACTATAGGCCACATGCTCCTCCCCTTTTCTCACTTCCTGTGTATCTTGGGCAGGTACTTGACCCAAGGCACACAATTATTAGCATCCCCGTGCTTCCCATAATCCTGCGCAGGCACAAATTGGCCCGTCTGCAGGCTGCCCTGCACAAAGTACACATACCACGCCTCATGCAGCTCATCGCGGCGGCGGCCTCCGCACCGCAGGACGACCTTGCCGCCGCTGAACTGCTCGAGGATGCGGCGCACGTCCTCGAGCGGGTAGTGTGTGCGGGCGCTGGGCTCGATGCCGGCGAGCGACAGCGCCGTGTACGTATCGAGCATGCGGAAGAGCCCAGTCGCACGCGTGAAGTAGTCGACGACCTCCTGGCCTGCGTCGTAGTTATCACCGTAGCATTGCGGGTTCAGCGTGTTGATGCACGTCGCGTGCTTGTTATACTCATGCGTCCAGAGGTGCGCGTTGCTGCCCCGGTTCGCTACCCAGTACCGGTCCATGAAGGCCCGCAGCTCCGTCTGCCCGTAGTGTGCTAGCACGTCCGTGATGTTGGTGAAGTGTGGCGCCATGTTGCAGTATGCGTCGTAGGAGCCGTCGCAGAGGTCGGGCCTGTGGGGATGGGTGATGCTGTCAGTCTGGGGGGATCTTCTTTGGTCAAGGGGTTTGCAGTGTGGGTTTAGCTCACCATAACCCGTGCAGGGTCCAGTCTTCCTCTGCTCCTCCAACGTGTACCTCGCGATCCCAGAACTGCGTGAGGAGCATTCGCCCGCCAGGGTATACAAAACAGCACGAGTCGTCGCCCGCGACTGGCGTGTTGTTGTGGCAGCTCGTAGGCCCGTTGATGGGGCAGGAAGGCGCACCACTGAGGGGCTCGTAGTGTGTGACCTCGCCATTGTAGCTGTCACTCGGTGTTGGTACCACTTCGCTGACACTCCCGAGTATTGGATCGATGAGGTTCGAGAAGGGGTTTGAAACGTCTTGGAGGAGGGGGAACTGCGACAGCAGGTTGCCGGCGTAAGCCAGCGCCGAGCGGATGGACGTCGATGGAGACATGACTGTTGTGTTCCGAAAGCGTTCTGATCCTGAGGATTCAGAGTGTAACGCCGGTTCTACATGAGAGGAGATGATGATTCGAGTAGTGGTTGGGTCGAGACTCGAGGAGAAAAGAGCCCGTTTGCAGCAGCTGGCGGTGGCTGTGGGACCGAGTGTCGTCAGGGTCCAGGAGCTGGCTGAGCTTGTGACAGCCTGCTGGGGATCGGCGTGGGGTCTCTCTGACCGCTGATTGGGCTCCTTGGTCTGGGGCAGAGCCCACCCCTGACCTGCCGACTCCCGAGCTTCCTCACTGTACAGTACACATGTACCTAGAAATATGATACCTCTTCTTAATGGCCTGCATGCAACAGCAACAAACACTACAAGTCTGACATAGGGTCAATCCCGATACTCGTCTCCCAAGCTAAGACTAAAACTCCTACCCACGTGTCCTGATTAATGCATCGGTTTCCTCTCTTCAACTCACCCATCACGAGTACTTGATAGCAACATCTCCAATCGTAGCGTGCGTATGGACCCATCACAGTTGATTAAAGCAGAGATGAGGTCAACCAATGGCAAAGAAAGAGTGAAGATGTTGAGAACAACGTTACAGGAGATCCGACGGACCGGTTCGGAAGGCTTGCTTGTTCCACTTGACGGCTCACTGTGCGGTCCACGTCACTACAACTGAACGACGGAACGAGCCAGAAGCAGCAAACAACTTCTCTGAAACCTGCAACGGCTCAAGCCGTAGCCTTTCCCGTCCTTGCAAGTGGAATAGTCCAACCAATTCTTCGGAATGCGGTTTCACAGTTAGGTCTCACGAGCGGTTATACCCTCAGGGCGACCAGCTTCCTGTGTTGATTTTGGGTTTGAGTCTTTCTCAGCTTCCTGGTAACGACAGGCCGGACTGCTACCATGCCTGTGGAGGACCATTTCCCGGAGCCCTTGGTCTTCAATCCAGCATCGGGGATACACAAGCACACAGTGATCCTCCTCCACGGCCGCGGCGGAAGCGCTGACGCGTTCGGTCCTGCGCTACTGAACACAGCCCTCCCCGTCGCAGGCACCGCCATAAGCACACAACAAGATGGCCCCCACGGCCGGAGACGGACACTCGGTGAAGACAACGGGGTTTCCACTGATGCCTCGGCTGCGCCTTCAGTCTGTGATGGAGCCTCTGCCAAATTGTACAACCATATCAGCCCAATAACGCTCGCTCAAGCACTTCCCCATGCTAGATTCGTCTTCCCGACCGCCCCCAAGCAGCGTGCCACTGTCTACAAGCGCAGCATCATTCGCCAGTGGTTTGACGACTGGCACCTGGGCTTTGTCGATGACAAGGTGGATAGCCGCTACGACCTGGGCCTGCAAACCACCGAGCTGGTTAGCACCGTCGAGTATCTGTACCGTCTGATCGCCGAGGAAGCGAGGCTGGTCGGTGACACGCGGAAAGTCATCCTGGGAGGAATTAGTCAGGGTTGTGTAGCAAGTTTGGTGGCGTCGTTGCTTTGGAAGGGAGAGGAAGAATTGGGTGGTGTCGTTGGTATGTGTGGGTGGCTGCCTTACATCAGCCAGATGAGAGCACAGCTCGTGGGTCGAGATGGTCAAGAATCAAGAGATACAACTTGGGGAGAAGACCTAGAAGAGGGTGCGGGCTTTGATCCTTTCGAAAGATCGGCTTCCCCAGATTGTGATATGGATTTACCCGGTGGCATTGACGGCAAAGGCTCTGTGAAGTCAGCCCTTGAGTGGCTGCGAGGCGAGCTCGACATTCTCGAGACACAGTCCGGTTCCTCGGATGTGCTCCGGAGCAGCGTTCCAGCCATTTTGTGTCATGGCCAGGATGATGACAAGGTCGACATCGCGAAAGCGAGTGAAAGCGCCGAGTTTCTCCCGGCCCTCGGTCTCGAGCCACTTCGCTTCAAGGAATATGCGGGCGTTGGGCACGAGTTCTCCTCGGAGATCCTCTCTGATATCGCTGTGTTCATACAAGATGTGCTTGGCGAGCCATCAATTTGAGACGGGAAGATGGGCGTCCCGGCTCTGTTCATGTGCGACCTGTCCGCTCATGAGACTGGTGCCACAACCAAGACACCATGGAATATAAGCATCAAACAAAGACGGTGAATGCTCATGCCGAAAAGCTCCAGGGGGGACTTCGCTCCATGGATCGAACTCTCAGTCGAATTGTGTGGGTTCAGTGTGGAGCCTGGTATGTCTCGTCACATCAAAATGAGCACGAAAGAAGTGTTTGATGCCGTCAGGCAATTCGCGCCTGGATATGCATTACTATGTGACAAAAAACATTATCATATATACCATCATCTCGTCCGTGATCAGTACAGCCCAAAAAGAAAAACGCCAATGCATGCACTCAGTTCATCTCCCCTCTGCCCATCATTAACTTCTTATGTCCCAATTTGAAGTCATCAGCTTCATGGAAGACCGCAGTCAGAGGCGGGGACCTGGACGGCAGTGGCATCAACACGGCCGAGGGCGGCAGCCTGGCCGTTGGTCAGCTCGTCCATGGCGGCCTGGGCGATGTTGAAGCCGGCGGCGGCGTGGTCAATGGCCAGGACGTTGATGGTGCGTCCGCCGTAGCTCAGCTGCCAGCAAGTTCCGCACTGGGACCGGGAGTTAGCTGCTTGTTTGTTTTCTTCACGCCTTTCTCTAGCCGGGAGAGGATGGGGTATAAACTCACGCTCGCAGAGTTCCAGCCGGCGATGGCTTCGGCACCACCGACGTGGGGGAAGCGGGGGATGGCGCCCTGGGTCTGGTAGCCGTAGCGGGTGATGAGGCCGTTGGTGCCGTCGGAGCAGGACACGGCGGTCATGGAGCGGCTGGCGTCATCATAGCCGGTGTCGTAGGAGACTGTGAGATGATGTTAGTATCTATGTATAAGTGTATGCAGAGGGGGGAGTGAAGCGTACCAGTGATGGCGGTGGCAGCAGTGGCCAGGGTGAAGATGCTGAGGATGTTGGCGAACATTTTGAAGGTGTTGGGAGAGTTGTTGGAGTGAGTTGAAGTTGGTTTAAGGTTTGGGAGGTGTGGTCTTGAAGATTAAGATGTATTAAAGAGATGATGGTGGTGATGATGATGATATCTCCCGAACTAGACTCATCAGCAGCGGTGCTCGAACTTTATATATGAGTTCGTCGTCCACACAAGACCCCGAGCTCGACGTCCATCGAGCAAAACCTTGAGCGCAAGCAACGTATGATGTCTCGCTCATCCACCGAATGCCACCGATCGGATCCTCTTGGCGGCCGTCATCGCGAAGCTGCCACCCATCATAACCCGCTTATGTTATGGGGAAGCCCCAGCTACCAGCCCCAACACGGCACACCCATACCGGCAGCCATGGCCCTTGCAGAACGCTCTGCCGTATACCCTGCGGCTGTTGGACTGTCAGCACAAGGCGGGCGAGGTCGCGGTGCTACTGCAGCTCTGTTCCGCAGCACGGCCGTTAGCTCGACCAGAGTACTATACGGGTGGGTTCTCTGACGGTGCCAAAGTTCGTGTTGGGTGCGGGCAAGTGGGACACGATCGACGTTGCGACTCTCGTATCCATCCTTCCGAGGTCCAGGTGACCTTCTGACTTCAGTTTAGGCGGAGAAACAAAGCCGTTGGCAGCGTCCAAATTTAGTAGGCCAGCAGGGCGGCTGGGGTGCTAGCAGACTGCTGTTAGCAGTTAGCATGGCCCGGCAGTCGCCGGCAGATCTGCAACCATATGCCTGTAAACTATAATCTGGGGCCAGCATACCACACCTTAAATCCAGTAAGCTCTTGGCCTTGGCCCTTTTGGGACCCGCTGCGGCTGCTACGATACACTCTTACGATGGGAACAGCTTTCCCCAGATCGTGTCTGGGGCGGTGAAGAGGCTCTGGAGACAAGACACACAGACACCCAGGCTGACCGATATGCTCCTCTCCGCGTTTTCGGATTCTTGCCGTGCTATTCTCGAGCATCCGAGCTTTCGAATGGGGTATACGGGGCGAAATATGCAAAAGAAAGGGTAGGCAGCTCGCCTAGCCGTCCCACAGAAGCAACGCGACCTGCATGAACTGCAACCTCGTGAAAAAAGAAACGGGTCCGCTCCTCACCGTACTCGTGATCATCCCGACGACCGAACCGACAACACCGATGCTTCCTTGCATGACCCTGACATCGACGACGTCGACCACCAGCCGTGCCAAATCTCCATCGACGGGCTTCGTCGCAATGTTCGCATCCGTCGAATGTGGTCTCATACCCTTGACCTGGCCGAGATGTTCCGATGTTCTTGTCTCTAGTGTAGTCTTTCAATAAAACCTCGATGGGAAGTCATCATACCATGGTGACTGTTCCCTTATTTTGGGATATGTTGAGACATAGCATTCTGACTACAGTCTTCAGCGGAGAGCTGTTACCATGTAGCCTCAGCGGCAACAACGGTGCTGATGCTTGCTAAATCTACGCCTATATGAGCATTTGCGGAATTATACTACCCGATCAATAAGTGCGAGCCGATTTATGAACATCCGACCAGAGTCGGGGAAGCAGTTATCTCTGTGCTTATCGCAGAGTCTGCCTACAAGCCTATCCTGCAGGAACGTACCCCCTGAGTTCACAGAGCCGTCATTAATGCTCGGCATACACTACTCGCGGCACAACATCCAACTGTGCATGTCCTTGATACAGCTCTCCGAAACAGGCACGTCAAAGCTCAACAGCTTCTGGACTTCGATATCCAAACTGGCACAACGAAGAGCGTCGGCCATGGCGAGAGCAAGCTCGATACAATGTGCTCACCAATGGAGAAGCAGAAGTCTGGGTGTGAAAACTGAGATGGCTGGGAAGTAGCACAGGCGGTGCTTGCGGTACGGCAATAGCCAAGACAGGGGACAAGTACGAGGAATACGACCGTGTGGGTCCATGCCAGAGAGACCATGGTCGCGTACTCACAGCACCTTAAACGATACGACGTAATCAGACATACCAAATTATAAGACATAGTTCGTCACATGATGGTCAAGAATGGTCATAGGTAAGGGAGGGCAATCGGCAATGATTCTTGTATTCCTGAAAGACTTCGAACTTTCCTATTTTCAAGGCCAGGAAACTTTCAAATCAGCCTGATTTGCTTCGCGACCATTCTTTCAAAATGTTGTTCCAGATCGCTGCCTATAAATGCCCCGTCCAACGCGTATAATCTTTCCAATGCTTCAAAAGCTTTCAGATCGACCTGGGTGAAGGGCTTGTCCAACTCGTGTTTCTCTGCAACACTCAAGTCTTCCATCTTCTTTCCCACATCATTCACATTTTCATCTGGACGAAGAGTTTTATGATCTTTATCGCTCTGCACCTCGGCTATGGGAGCATCTGAATTGGGCTTGTCAGCGTCATCGGAGATCGTGTGAGAATTTCGTGGCCCTTCCATCTCTTTCCCAAGGTCTGAGTCACGAAGAGAATCACTGCCTTCGGGAAGGACACTGGAACTATCCCCCGCGGGTTGCTTGAGCCGGGACTCCTTCTTGATACTCTCCCCGCTCTTGTAACTTGATCCAAGTAGACTCCGCAGTTCATTCCATCGTTCTGTGGATTCTGCACCCTCTTGATCAATCCCACCAACATCTCGAGACTTATACAGAATCGGAAGGCAGTGAAGTCCGTGGCAGGTCACGGTGCCCACCCTCCTAAAGGCCGTCAGGTCATCATTCACAGGTTCCACCAACAGTCCGTTAATAGTTGTCGACGACGTTTCATCGGAGCTGTCCATAGAAACTGGGAGGAAGTACCCGGATACAGACTCCGGCCCCGAATCTCCCACAGACTTTATGTCGAATGAATAGTCAAATGTTCCATTGCGGCTCATCGGGTCAAAAGAACCCAACTCCGTTCCCCCGTCGCCCACAGCAAGCACATGGTTCTTGCCGCCGCCGACGGCCAGCATGTGCCACGGCTTTGCTTCGTGGTCGGGTTTGATCTCGATAGGTCGCAAGTAGCATCTCAGGCTGAGATACGCGTCGCGGAGAGTGGCAGTAGGCTGAGATGGGACCATGGGCTCCGTGACAACTTCCAACACCTCGACGACGGACGTCGAAGTACTGCGCGACGAGAGACTAGAGACCGGCCCGTCGATGGAGAGCCATGACCAAGACGGAGCAATGTACTTATCAGAATTAATACGGTCACTCGCGTCTGCAGATTTCCAGAGCAGGCTCTGGGGAAGCAGTGACCGCCACATCCCGGCCACATACGTATCCTCCGGCAACATCGCTTGGAACTCCTGAGCCAGTCCAGACAGCGCCACAACTTTGTCGCCGACAAAGCTGAGCTTCTTCTCCGAGTACGACTGGCACAGCATGTCCCACGTATCATGGATCTCAGGTACGCTGCCCTTTTGGCCTTGACTCTGGTACTTGGGCCGCTCGCCAAAGATCTTCCGATACGGCGCGCCGTGTGGGAACGTCTCGCAGGCGAAATAAGACCCTTCGGCGCAGCACTCCCACACGACCTCCCTGCTCGTGAAATGCAGCACCCGCCGCGAGAGCTGTCTCTCTTGGAACACCCACGCCCGCTTCGCTAGCGGGGCGTTGGTAATGGCTTCGAACAGTCCTGTCGAGTCGGGCGTGAGCCAGCTGTTCCACTCTTCAGGTTTCGGAAATCCGAGGCGCATCGGCATGACTGAGAGGCCGTCCCGGTTTCGGAAGCAGCCCCAGCGGGCGTCGTTGGAGTCATCGGCTGAGATGTTGAGGAGGGCGCTCTTGTAGACATTGTACATCATGACTGCCTCGCGCTGCCAATCTTCTGTGCTGTTTTGGATGATGCACAGGGAGTCGATCCATAGCCATCGACCTGCGAGTATACTGTCAGTCGCAAATCCTCATCGCATGCGTTACAGATCAAGAAACCCACAATTGTACCACTGAGCAACCTCCACAGCCTCCTTGAACGTTTTTGGGAGCAAGGATGTGTCCAGCCCGATAGTCTGCCTTTCGCCTAGGTTCTCAAGGGTCAAGACAGGTAACGATACGGAGCCCCAGGCACCCCAGCAATGACTGAGTGTCATGTACTGCTTGCTCGAGACAAACTCCTCCGGGCGGTCATGAGGCAGGACGAGCCTGAGCTTTCCAGTCTCGACTGCCCAGGCGACATCCAAGAGACGAGTCGGAAGCCAATCTCCCTGATCCTGATTGCACTGGTCGTGTTTCCCATTCTCATTGGCCTGACAAACCGAAAGCCACTCAACAGCCACGTCCCGAGTGTGCTGCGAGTCGGTGCTGCTCGACCGCTGAACATTACGACCCTCTTCGCCTCCGCTTCTACAACCAACAAAGAGTTCAGTACCATGCTCGGTGCCAGGCCACAGCTGCAGCTTCAGGAAGTTCCAGTAGTTGTTCGTAGCACGCTCGTTGACACCGCCATGCGTCAGCGCGAAGTTGATGCGCGCTAGCGGCTTCTGGTCCGACTGCCAGCACATCTCCATGCGGGACTGAGCGACAGGCCCCATATTCAGCCGCTTAGTCCGCAGGTCCGACATGATGAGCACGCACAGGTGGCACTGGTCCTCCTCGCCCTTCTGCAGCGTGTCGGCGCCGTCGTGGAGCAGGCAGGCCGGGTGAAGGTCCTCGACGGCTTCTTTCCCGCCGGATGCCTCCGTCTTGAGGTAGTAGGACATGTACTGCAGTGCGCCCCGGCAGGTTTCGCAGAGGTGTGTTATTGAGTGCACTGGTGACTGGTGCGCTGGATCGCGCACGTGAGGAGGCGGTTGGACCACGAATAGGTCGGCATCGTTGGTGTCGAGAGCATTGGCAGGTAGGAGGACGAATGTGTGGATTTTTTGGTTTATCTTGAGGATCTCCTCCGTGCTCAGTTTGAACGACATTTTGGGCCTTGAGGCAGCATTCGAAAAACTGTAACAAACAATGATTACCTTCCGTATTGATCGAGCTGAAGAGCGAGGTAAGCATTTGATTTGGCCCTTGTCTTTAGGTCCCACCAATACAGCCAATCACTTCAATGCGGGTCATGGTAGCCTAAAGGATCATCTCCAGATATTTGTGTCATACATAGACTGCCTTTTCACGTACCATTGCTTCACATTTCACCATCATGCTCTACTATCAACGCCCTGTCACCACTACTGTCTAGAAGACAACATTAGAAATGACTCGGGCAGTAATTACAACCGAGCCGGTGGATACATGGGTATCACTTATCACCGGCGTAGGCATACGTTGACAAAATGGACATGCGATGAGGTAATTAGATGTTCTTCCAATTCTCAAAGCAGATAAGTCGGCTTGAGAAAGTTGACAATAATAATCGGCCCATTACAGAGAGTCGAAAGAGTTCTATGCACTATTGAAGGAGGTTAAGACCACCTCGCCACTTGTGATCTCCGATTGAACGCCTGTATGAGCGCTCAAGATGGCTGACCCAGCCAAGTCGTCAAATGTCCATAATCGCAGAGACCTGTCGCTAATGGCCTCATAGAGCGACTCCAATCCACCGTCCAGCCTCCCACTCCTCGACCAAGAATTTCTCTCTCTGAACCATCTTGTCATCAGGAAGGGCCTCGGCAGCGAAATTGATGGCAGCCAAAGCAATGGATACGTCGCCCTCTCCGAGGCGGTGTGCCAGAGCCAAGCGGTAAGAGTATTTGGCCATCTGCTCGTTACTTGGCTTCCAGTCCGTCCCAAGCGTCTTTGCCACGTCTGTGGCTCTGCTGAGACACCCCTGAGCAACTCGTGCGTATAGCTGCAATGTTTCTCGATTGGACGCACTTGCCTGCGTAGCCTTGATGCTTCTGTAGGCTTGATTGCTCAGCAACTGGAAGTACAGTTCGCTGACCTGGTCGGTGAAGTTCTTGCCGCCGACCTCTTTGAGACGTGGCCACGCTTTGTTTCTGTTGGCTAGCAGTATCTCTCGCAGTGCCGCACCCCATCCCGTCATGGCTCCTGTCATATTGTTCTGTCGGAATGCTTGGTTACCCAGCTCCTTCAGGTGAAACAGCTTTTCCAACAGATCGTGAGGGGCCGGGAGGGCAGGATCCTGCTTCACTCCCGCGACCACGGCCTCGGCCAGATCCAATTCTACCCTGCCTTCAATTTTGAATTGATCGAAACCTTGAAGGCGACTTCGATAGGGCTCTAGAAGACGTTCCTGGAAAAACAGAGTGTCAATGATTGCTTCTTTCTTGCATTAAGGGTCGGCGGCCTGCTAGACGACAGAAATTCGCACCTGGTTCTTGCGATTGAGGTAGTCAGGGCTTGAGGTTTTGGCGAAAGGGTTGTGGATGGTAATCTCGTGCTTTGACTCAGCAGCAAAGTGCGGTACAACAACGCCTGCTGCAGCTATGCCTTGGCAAACTAGGTCGAGATCTCGACGTAGGATGATTGCGTCGAATCGAAATTGAGAAGAACCTGGCAAGGCCTCGATGAAATGCGTCATGACTGCGAGGTCCTTGAAACGAGTACAGCGGTCACGCTTGGTGGTGACCAAAGATACCTGACATGGGCCCAAAATTCTCTCAACCATGCTGATGTCACTCGCGCGAATTTTGATGTGGATAAACTGGTTTCCCTTGATCATCACATGTTTCGCCTCTTGATGGATCTGTTTGTTAGCGAGCGAGATGGTGGTCTCGATCTTGTGGTCCATGACAACCATCTTGGGAGGTACGTAAAAGGCGTTTGGTTTGTCACACATGAGTTCCGCTCGTGGCCAGTCGCAAAGAATCTTGTGATAGACTGCATCGCGGACCTCCCTTGGAAGGTCCAGAAGTCGAAATGGCTTGCTGATGTGCATGTTGATTAGCTTAAGGATTTTGCGAGTATGAGGAGTCGTAATTGCTTGGGGATCACAAGAAGGGGAGGAAAGGAACAGAGGCTACGGCCAGACTGAAAAAAGGCCAAATCCTAGCTTGTAGGAAATTTGTGGTGTGTCCGAATGTACATCAGGTGAAAGTTGCAGTGAAAGTTTGTGATGACTGTGGACAGGTTTGTCTGTGTCTGCCTTTCACAGGATTCAATTAAAGTGGGCCAAAGTCTTATTGATTTCAATGTTACCTGTAGCCCAGGCTGGTCAAAGGCTTTGCACCCGTAAAAATTTGTTTGGACAACAGAGCAAACGCGAAGGAGCCTACAGGGTCAGACAAATCTGGACTGATCTTGCGGCTACAACTACTCCATAAATCAAAGACGGGTGAAATTTTAACCCCTCTGATGGTAATCTAAAGAGGAAACGGAAAAGATTTAGGAAATGTTAAGTGACCTTGAGAGGACGATAGGGCCAGCTGATTATGCGGCGTTCGCTTCAATGTAGTTTAACCTCTGCGTTGCCAAAACATATTGCCGACCCCCACACAGCCAATTGATAAAGAGCTGATACGGAAATCGGCAAGGTTGTCTGCCCAAGTCGCTGGATCTACCCAAGGGTCATGTCAATAAGGACATATTTTTGAACACGAAAGAGCCAAGGCTACAGCACAAAAGTCAACAATGTCTCGCCAACTACATACGTAGCCAAACTGCACATGGCAGCGATGCGTGGAGCATGGCTGGCAGTCACTGTGAAGAAAGTGCCAAACAACCATTTTCTCATCCACGGGCTAATCCAAAAACCCTGAAAACCCAAACAACAAACAAAAATAGGCAGGCTTAGATTGTTTTTTTTTTGAGGGTGGCGGGGGAGGTCGTCATGTTGTCCCCGAGACACCAGATGATACCTTATAAAAAGCCCGTATCCGTACCATACTCATAACTATCATTAGCAGGCGGATTACGCGGACTTGACCGTTACCCATGATTACTCATGTAGATGGGCGTAAGTATTGACTGCAGGACGGAGGACTATGGCGTAAACACTGATAGAAGAAGAAGGGGCATGAAGACTCGTTCTCAAGATACAGTGCCAGCTCACTCACGATCATGCGCCAGCTTTCACTACGAGCACATGAATGAGGGGCAAGACACTCCAGTTGAGCAGCGAGACTATGTAAGCAGATGAGATCGAAGCCTGCAGAAGTTCAGAAACCTTGGAATACCCCGTAGTCCGCTGAGCAAATCGATCGAGATGAGGTAGGCAGCAAGGATTCGAGGACATGGTGCATGGAAGATCAGCCGTTTCTCTAGCCGCAAATAGGCATAGCGCAGTCCGATGATGCAGTGCGCATGGTGCAGTATTGCGTAGGCTGAGTGCAGTAGGGCAGGGCCACGCTGGGCCAGACCCCAAGTGTCATGTTCCCCACTTGCATCGGGGCCGAAGCCTTTGACGTCACCCAGCACTCGAGAGATCCTGTTTTTCTGGGGCCTGCTGATGCTGGGATAAATCAACAGCTGCCCTCGACGACTCTTCACCCACGATCCCCTACTTTGAGTTCTCCTATATCCTTCTCAGACTTAACAGACTTGAAATAATCCTCGTTTCTTATAGTAGCAGCCAAGAAATTCAGGGCAAACGTTTTGAAATATTCACAAAGACCAAGAAATAACAACAACACACCCCTGGTCTTTATCAATCCTTATCACTTACACGGCATCCGGAGATCCAAGCTCCCATCCACTAAACCGACCCACAACAATCACCTCCATAATCAGACCCAGAAGCATACAACATGGCGGCACTCGGAGGCCTCGTTAAAAAAACCGGTGGCTTGACAGGAGGAGACGGCGGTCCCCTCGGTGGACTCACCGGAGGCGGCGGGCTCGGCCAGCTGACGGGAGGAGGCGGACCCCTCGGGGCGGTGACAGGGGGCGGCGGTGTGGGCGAGCTGACAGGAGGGCTGACCGGCGGAGGTGGAGGCCAGTCGCACGGCAAGGTGGGCCACGGCTTCAACGGCGAGGCGTCGGACGTGAAGCAGTACAGCGGGGCCAAGAAGCCCAAGGAGCGCAACACCATCGCCAAGCGCAACCTGGCCGACGCCATCGACTGCGAGACGCTGTTGTGGCGCGCCTACTGCGACGAGCCAGACTCGGTCCTCGAGTACATGGCCAAGGACGCCATGGTCATCGACCCCGTCACCCTCGGCACCTCCAGCCCCGTCACCTACGACGGGCTCGAGGAGAAGCTCAAGAAGGTCAAGCCCTGGACCGCCTACAAGATCCACAAGGAGACGCGTGTTGTCAGCCAGATCGGCCTCATGAGCATGTCTACCATGTGCAAGGTCACGCTCTACAGGATGGGTGACAAGAAGAAGGATAACGAGGAGGTCGACGCTGTCACATCGGCCGTCTGGAGGCAGACTGCTGGCGCCGAGTGGGAGTGCTGCAGTATGCTGGTTGGTTATGCCGAGTAATCAGCTTTTAGTGAAAGACGCTGCGGCATTTTGGGACCGGCGATGTGTTAGGACGGGTTTCACCAAAGGGCAAATGGCGTTTTTCGATGGAGGGTCGGTTCATGTACTTGTATGTTACCAAGAAGCGTAGACCACGCATAATGATTCATGAGTTTTCACGCACACACGCTCCAAAAACAGTCCGAACACTCCTGTTTGAATCGCAAGGTCCAGCTATTCGATCCACAACATCTCGCACCGGGACTCGTCCCACGCCGACCCATCCATGACTTCATGAGCGTAGCACTCGCCTACAATTTGCCAGTGGTTGCCAATCGGCCGGAGGATGAATGGTACATCGGATCCTTGCAGCAGGACGAGCTTGTCGTTAACTGCCGTCTCTTTTGGACACAAGGCAAGTTGTCCTGCGTCGGTCCTTGCAAGGCGGCGGTTAACCAGGTTCGAAAATGGGGGAAACAATTCTTCAAGATCCATCGCAGCAGAGCTCCCAAAATGGCCACGAATAAGCAAAGCGTGTATCGCCACGAACAATTTTAATTCCGACCTAAATGTCATCCGTCTGGTCCCTTCAGGCACATGCTTTCCAAATCGCTTCTTAATCTCAGAATCGAATCGGCTGTATCGGACAAGCCTCTGAGCGTTTGCTGACTGATAAACCGGCAGAGTTATGTCGCGCAAGAATTCAAAGGGCCAAAGTGTGTGACACAGTATATACCTGCGGTATTCGGCGGCTGCGGAGTCCGCTGAGACTTCGGTGAGACCTCCAATAGCCCTGACTTCGAAATACCATAAAATTAGTTTGAACATTTGGTCTGGCTGGTTATGTAGAGAAGACATCAATGTTAATGGAGGCTTCCCGCTCCAGACCGAGCTGACAATGTTAAACGTTTGAAGCACATAGCCACGCAATCCAAGCAGTTTCCCACAGAATTCTGGTTTACATTCTGACTCTCCAGTGGCTTGGTACTGGTAATCCGTGTTATAAGGCAGAGAGAGCCGTTCATAAGGACCATTAGGCTGCGGATTCCATACCCAGGACGGTAAATGCCTGGGCTTGTCCGGGGTGGAGCCGTAGCTCATACAAAGCATCCCTAGCTTCGTACTGGCTAATGTTAGTTGCTTGGTGAAATCATAGAACACCTGCTCGGGATCCTTGGAATAGTCAACGTCGATCTTCACGGTCATCAGCTCGTCAGGGACAAGGCCCAGGACCCCATAGAGCTTGTCCCTAGGGTCCGATGCTTGTGCCGCTGCGGCTAAAGCAGCCGCTTCCACCACGTTATATTTACCCGGGGAGTTCCAAATATTATTCAATGCGACGAAGGAGTCGTGTCCTGGTGACCAAAATGACATGTGGCGGAAACCAATAACGAGATCCTGCCATGGGATGTCGAACTTGCCGCACATAACTAATATGCTGTCTGACATGGCGATTTCCTGAATAACCCAAGCGCGCTTGAAATAAGGCCGATTGATAATCGGTGCGACCGCGAACTGTAACAGTCGGTGCCGGATAGGATTCAGTTCCAGCCGCCTCCCTTCTTTCGAGCCATCGAGACTTGAGGTACCGTTGGATGTCTCCCCTGCTTTCGATTGTTGATTCTGGGAGGAATGACTTGAACGGTCCAGTTCCCTACGTGCACAGCGTTTCAGGTGTATAAATGCCATCTGGGTCTCGTGGTCTGCCTCGCCGAGCCACGCGAGCGTTCGGACACCGCCCTCGTAGATTCTAGACATCATGACAACCTGTGCACTCTTCTCCGCATCGTCGGCCTGGTTTATGCAGATCGCGTCGGCCCATAGAGTTCTTGTTCCCCACTCGAGCCTCACTTGCCGGAGTGCGCCATGTAGACTCTCGGTGATGGGGAAGTCACACCCATCAACACGCACTGGAAAAGTCTTCTGCTTTTTCTTCTCTTTGTACCCAAGCCGAGTATCCAGCGAAGGCTCCGCCCAAATTTGGGATATTCGGCTGTAGGATTTCCAGCAGTACGAAATCGGTTCATAGGTGCCCTTTGCCTCGTCGAGTTCGGTAATCTTAAGTCGGCACTCGATGATCCCGCGACCCGGGAGTAGTTCAAGTAGGCGGATTTGTGTGGTCGGCGAGCTCAGACGCTCATATTTATAGGGAGCCATGATTTTTCGTGGCTTGGTTGAATGCGGTCGCTCTCGTTTTATTGGAATAATTCGAGTGTTTACACCATCCATGGAGCTCTTTGAAGGAAGACAAGTACTACGGTACCACACGAGATTTGATCGCTTGTGGACTTGCTCTCACAGGAGAGTTCAGGGTTTTTCTCCTTGAGGGCGGAAGGAACTCTGGCGAACCATACCAGGTCCCATGATTATGGTTACACAGAGAGGGGTAACGAACAAGGCAACTCTTCGACTGGATCATCTCTTTTTACACAATTAGCTTTGTGCGATCGTTTCACACATTTGTAATACCAGTAACATACTTGATGGGAGTTGCTTGTTTCAGTGTTCCCGAGGCTATATTCCCCGAGACCAGCCACCTTCTTCAGCACCAACCCGTGTCAGCCTGCACATAACCTCCTGTGTGACAGATACAATGTCGAATGTGATGGAACGCTGCAACGATCGCTTTGAAAGCCAAGCATGTTGACTCTAAAAGCCTTTGAAAATACGCTGAAAGTACCAATGCCCATTCTAGCTAGGTAACCGTGAACGTGCTCATAGTCAGTTTCCATGCAGGAATTTTAATCGCTGTTGTCCTCGGTGTCCATGTCGAAGCCAAGGGTACCATACTCCATATTCATGTTCAAGTCGTCGCCATTGTGCTAGTTATCGCTCTTCTGCTTCTTGGCGTCCTCTTCTGTCTCTCCTGGCCGTACCGTGGCTCCTCTAGGTCGCTGCCTAATAGGGTATATATTTTCGACAGGGGGCGGAACGCTTGTAGAATGTATTTGTGGGGCGTGTAAAACGATGTCTCTTTCTTTGGGGAGTGTAAAGGAATCACTCCAGAAATACCAGTTTGATCCATCAGCCTGACTCTTTATAAACTTCTGGAATCCCATAGCAAGCCAGAACTGCTGTGACTCGACCACCCCACGTTCTTGTTGCTGGTGGTCCCTGTCAATGACCAGGTTCAAGGTGTATAAGAGTTGAGGTTGGACAGCTGCTAGGAGGTGTCGGTTTGCCCCCCTGGCGCGGAGGTGAACTTGCTCGAGGGCCATCCTCACCATTTCCCATCCGATGCCGTAGCGACGAAAGTCGTGTTGAACCTCAATGTAGTTGAAATAAAGAGCCCAGGTTCTCTTCGGAGGGATAGCGTAGAGTCCCGGGGTGCCTGGCTTTGGTTTGTAAAGCCTTGGCTGACAATATCTGGGAATCTCCCCTGCCATATGGCGGCATCTGGCGTTCAACGCAGGCCGTAATCTCGTCTTTGTAATGCGGTCCATCTTTAAGTTACGCAAAGTGATCCACCGCTGCTCGGACCAGAGTATCAAGTGAGCGAGGTCACTCATGGGATCGCCGCCCGCGTCGTCCATCGCATTGAAGAAGTGGACGTGGTCGCTGATGTAGTGTTCCTCCTTTATCAGGAGAGCTGTGCAAAAGGCCACGCAGCTCTTGTTGAAGACGGCGCTGACGGTGACTTCCTGGAGCCAGGGGCCATCGGTACCTTCGAAGGGCGGAGATGTTATGAGCCGAATGCACAGAACCTCGTCCTCTGGAGGATCCCGAGGCGTGAATGACCGCCAATATGGGGGAATCCGTACGATACCCCGTAGATGCTTTGCGACTTTTGCCATGGAAAAAGCCATGACGCACTTGGGTCAGAAAGGATGCGGGAAAGGCTGTTTATGAAATTGATTCTTAAGTGGCCACTGACAAAAGAATGTCTTTTTGTGGTTTTTATCGTAGGCCTCAATGGTGTGCTGGCCGTCTGTCAGTACTCCGCTTTATGATGTTGTCGGCGGTTGAGAAATGCAAGCAAAGAGAATGAGACGCAGGATCCTGTCGCGGAGCGTATGTAATGCTTGAAGGCAACAGCAGGTGCGAGGTAAGTCTGATTCAATGCTCTTGTCGTCTAGAGAAAGGGCCAACCTGGGAAAGCGGGAGCTCAATTTGTTTACCAACGAGAAGCAGGAAGCCGCTCGCCTTCTTCATGTTCACAACATACCCGCTCTCTACAAGTCGACTTATGTGCTGTACGACCACAAGACCGGTCATTCACCATCGTCATGAATCAGTGGTGGTGTACGGAAGACGGCGAGCATTCCAGCCATGTCTCTTACTGCGCGCAGCATTGACAACTGCAAGCCACTTCCAACGCAAATCTACACCTCACCAGGCTGACACCGCTCAGGTGAAGTTGCTACACATCATTACAAGGCCACAGTCGCAGCTGTGCACGCCGTCAAACCTTGAGATCCTCATCCTGCCTTGATCCTTCACTAGTCGGAAGATGGGGCTGTCGCCGCCGTTAGCGGCAGCCAACCCGAATCCGTCGAAAATTAGTGGCGCGGCCTCTTAACGGCCGACGCCACTCGATCCTCTAGCTTTCACTAAATCCCCGGGTCTTGGACGATCCGTAATGCAACGGCGGCAATGACATGTGGGGGTTGGAAGCCTGCATCTGTGCCTGCACTGCCCATCCCAAAGAGTTTCGCATGTGAAGAGAAAGGAAAGAAAGGAAAGAAAAAAAAAAGGGAAGATAGAAACATTTTCAGGACTCCACGGCTTCCGCGGGGCGGGCAGCTGTCAAAAGAACGTTCTCGTACTCGTAATCGTAGGATCAACAATGCCTCTATAGTCACCCCTCCAGTTCAGCTACCCTTGGACCTGGAATAGTTGTAGCCTCGTTTGTGTGTGTCTTGGACCCGGCTTATATACAATTGTTTCCCTAGTCAACAAATGACTGATGGGCACCTAAAAGGAGCCCAGCATGCTGATGTTACTCTGTTTCCGTTGGCCTTATTACTCTGTGAAGATACTGGGTCGAGTTAGAAAAATCACGGGGTGCTGAACCACAACAGCAACATTCGAGTCCATAAGTATCTGCGAAAGAGCCGGTCTGTCGTAGATGCTTTTTGTTTCGATACGGGTACTCGTCTCCGAGGTACCCCCCAGTCGAGTACCCATGTTGCCTGACAAACTCAAAACAGACTTCACGATTTTGTCGGCGGGCTGGTTTGTTTCTTCCTTTTTTGCCCTTCGTCCATATCTAAATAAAATTGTCAGATTCTGCCGTCAGCTTTCGTGGCGCCAGCAACGGTGGCTAGAGACGAGCCAGCTCTGTTCCTGCTGGCCCTGTCTGTAGGTGTGGGCACGGGTTGGTTTTGAGATTTCGATGGATTGGTTGACATTGCGATTTGAAAAGCGGATGAAAGTAGCTGAAGTAAATTTTACCCAGGAATGTGGTTGACCGGACCACCGACTAACCTTGTTGGGAGGTTTTTGGGAGCCAAGTGAGGGATGACGATCCTAAGGTGGAACTAATTGGGAGACCAGACTGAAGATAACCTCCCGCCTGAACCTAGTGCTGACGATGGCCCCGTTTTGATTCGCCAGCTCCACCAGCCGAACGTGGGGAAGGAGTGCAGGGTGGCATTGACATGGAAGGGTGATACGCGGGCCGAACTGAACTGACGCTGCCTACAGCGAGCTTGCGCCCCTTTCGCGGTTTGAGGTGGCAGCCAACCCGCCAGTCGATTGCATAGCAGACCGCCTGCATCGACCATGCGTCGCTTATAAACAAGCTCGTCCCTCCCCCATCCATCTGGCTGTGGGATGGTTCCCCCAGGTCGACCTTAACGTTATCGCATCACCTCGCCAGCTGCCAGCCGCCAGCCATGGCGATCGAAACGGGATTCACCTCCGCCTTGTCCTACCAGAACTGGCCCGCCAGCATCTACATCCTCCTCCTCTCCGTCCTCGCCCTCTTCATCAAGATACAATGGCAACCGTCTTTCCCCAAGACTGCCCCGAAGCAGATCAAGGAGGGGTACCCGCTCCTCGGCGCCCTGCGACTCTTCACGAAAAGGGCAGACTTCTGCAATGACGCCCTCGCACAGTCCAAGACGGGCAACTTCAGCTTTTACTTCGGCAAGCACAGGCTCGTCGGGGTGTCGGGAATCGAGGGAAGGAAGACGTTCTTTGATTCCAAGGACATGAACATGTCAGAGGGGTGAGTTGCTCTTGTTGCTAGGAAAAAGGGAAAGGAAGCACTAGGTGCCCTGGGATCAACAGAGCTTGGTACTGACCAGGAGGCAACCCTTGCAATAGCTACGCCGTAATGTTCACCGCGTCGCCCCAGGTCGGCAAGCAAAACGAGCCCGGAGCTGCCAGCGAATTCAGCCAGTGGTTCAGCAGGACAATCACGAAGCTGATGAAGAAGGAGAACTTCGTGCGCAACCTCAGGCTGCTCACCACCGACACCGCGACAGCGCTTGACGCCATTGTCAAGCGCAACGGCGGGAACACAGGCATTTTCGACCCGTTCGACGACATCTACAAGATCGTGTACCAGCTCACGATGCGCACCGTCGGCGCGACCGAGATCGCCGAGTCACCGCAGCTGATGAACAGGACGCTGGGCTTGTTCGAGGAGATCGAGGAGAACATGAGCACTACGCGAATCATTTTTCCCTGGTTGCCGACCCTCGGCTACATCAGGCAGACACTGGCGGGTGGCAAGCTCTATGTGGTATTCGACAAGATCGCGAAGGAGAGGAAGAAGACGGGCAAGACGCATGAGGATGCCTTCCAGTTTCTGCTGGACACGGGCGAAGACATGGTGCGGATCTTGACTGTAAGTCCGACATTGGTCTAGTTGACACCTGAGGCTCAATCAATCCGGATACGTGCATCTGGAGTCGCACATCACTGCCGCCCAATGTCTCATCCTACAGCCACCCTCTCACGAAGCCATGCAAGCCACTCAAAGTCGTATTGCTACCCCGTACCCACAAGAATTCCACTGTCCTACCACACTGCCAAGCCAGGCCTATCAGATCCCCAATCCCTTGTCCGCTAACATCATTCCGCAGTTCACCCTGGGCGCCCTCTTCGCCGGCCAGCTCAACTCAGGCATCAACGCCGGCTGGCTCTTCTGCTACCTGGCCACCAACCCAGAATGGTACGGCCGCGTGCAAGCCGAAGTAGACGCCGCGATCAAGAAGCACCGCACATCGCCGTCCCAGACACCAGCCGAGGTTCTCGCGACCCTGTCCCTCGAGGACTGGGAGTCCGAGTTCCCCATGATCGACCTGTCCCTGCGCGAATGCATCCGGTTCCAGCTCGTAGGCACAGCCTTCCGCAAGAACATCTCGGGCCGCGACGTGCCAATCGGCAAGTCAGGCGAGGTGGTGCCGCGCGACGGCTTCGCCATCTACCTGCTCGACGAGATCCACTTCAACCCGGCCGTCTACACCAACCCCAACGAGTGGGACCCGTCCCGCTACCTGCCCGAGCGCGCCGAGGACAAGAAGGAGCCGCTCAGCTACCTCGGCTGGGGCGTCGGGAGGCACCCTTGCCTGGGCATGCGGTTCGCCAAGCTCGAGATGAGCATCATCGGCGCGCTGTTCGTGGCCATGTTTGACTTTGAGCTGTGCGATGAGAAGGGCGTCAAGATGGACCGGGCGCCGTTCACGAGCCGCAACAGGCACTCGGCTGCTAAGCCTGACGAGCCGATGCGGTTGAGGTACAAGGTGCGGCAGCACTGATGTAGACTGCTGAAGATTTGTGGATCGTGTCTTGTGCTCTGATCCGTCCCGAATTTCAATTAGATCCTGACCGTTGTATATGAGCGATACTTCAAATTCGGTCTTCTTTTATAGGTGCTTGGAGTTCACACAGCGTCTCATTGCTCCCATTCGTTTGCCCAGGCATGCCTATTGGGCTGCAGATGTATTTCTTAGGGTATCTAGGTGATTCTATGTACCGGTGAAGACGAAACAGATGCTATGAGTGCTGTGCTGCTCGTTCAGCCAGCCGGGTATCGATCTAGACGCCAGTATAAAGCCAATTTCAAGACCCTCCAGTCCCACTTGAACGCCGTGCTCCTTCGTAACCTGCCAGTTTTAAGGAGAGGAAAATCCAATACAACCAAAATTACCTCCCAATGCGAAAATAGAGTGTCAATCGCTGTCTCCCCTTGACTTCCTCCGCTATAGTCAGCTCATACAAGCTCCCAATCCATGGCATCCACCATGAACTCCCACTGTGCCTCCTCCGCTCCAGTATCAGCCAACACAGACGACGCCAACGAAGCCGCCAGCCCGCGCTCGGCAGCCAGCGCCCGCACGCCGGCGACGTACCGGTCCGCAATAACATAGGCGCCCTCGAGCCCATCGAAGATGTTCTCGAGGATCCGCTCCAGATCATAGTCCTCGAGCGGGCGCGCCATTTGTCCTGCCGCCTGCGAGCCGTTGGCCAGCCTGGCGGCGACGACGGCGTCGGGCTCGTCGGCGTTCTTCCAGCGGTTGCGCAGCTCCTTGGCGCGCGCGAGGGCGTAGCGCGCGTCGCCGCTGCCGAGGACGCCGTGCAGCGGGTTGCGCGGGTCGTCGAGGGCGTCGAGGACGTTGGCGTGGAAGCGGTGGTCGCTCTGGGGGCCCTGCTGTTGCTGCTGCTGGGGACCGGCAGCCCCATTGACGTCCCTACCGCCCGCCCTTGCGCCGGCTAACGCGCCCGTCACCCGGACGCCGAAGACGCCCATCAGGTGCACCAGGGCGCGCTCCAGCAGCATGTAGTACTCGAAGAAGTCCAGCTTGAAGTGGAGCTCCGCCTCGGCGCGGTCTTCGTCGGTGTTGAGGGCGCGGTCGGTCGCGGCGCGGTAGCCCTGCCCCAGGAAGGGGAGCTTCCACCGCATGCGGCGGGCGATCTTCATGAACCGGCTTAGCTCGGACCATGGCGTTGGGATGCGGTTCAGGGCGGAGGCGTCGGCCTCGTAGGGGTTGCCGGTGTAGGTGAAGCCGTTGGAGGGGCTGGGTGTTGTCGTGGGGGCTGTGACTGTCGGTGCGGCGGGGATACGTGGTTCGGCGCTTGTCGTTGTGTGTATGGTGGTCGCCGTCGAGGAGGAGGATAACGAAGGAGCTGATTGCTTAAACCTGTTGGAGGTCCAGTAGTACGGTGGGCGGCCAGTGTTGATGGGCGCCCATCTAGAGCTGGCGAGGCCTTTCTCTCCTGGCCCGACCATGGTCGATGTGTAAAGATAGCAAAGCAGGGCGCCTAAAACGATGTTGCCAATAGTGGTTCACGAATTTATGGAAAGCATGGCCGGAATAGAAGCAAGAATGACAGGCTGGAATCGACGAGGAAGATGAGATGGACGAGGCGAGACACTGGGCGTCCCCAGTGGAAGTGAGGACAATGAAGTCTGGTCTCAAGGAAGAGGCATGACAATGGGATTGTACAGCCTGAGGTGACGCGACGTCAATTCAGGGCCAACATTGAATGGGCCAGGCAGCTGGCAGGTGGGATGCGTGGGGGTGTGTGGAGCTTTGAGACACCACACCCAAGGCAGGGGAAGGGACCCCTGTCCATGCCTTGTGCCTGCTGCTCGCTGCCTCGCCCATTTGGAAATAGCCTCTTTGTTGACCACAGAACTTCATTCTGTTCCAAACCACACAACCGCATTTCAGAATTGACTCATTTCACCGTTCTCGTAATTCCAATCTCGAGCTGACGGATCCATTAGTCAGTCGCATGAACAAGCTATCCTGTCAAAAGATTATGGCATCTTTCTGGCGTGATCACTTGGAAGGATTGACTAGTCAAACCCAGGGCGTATATTCACATCATGTCAAAAACTATGCCTAATTAGGAGAACATACCGCCAAGGGCGTGACTGACAGACAGCCAGGAATCCACTCTTCTTGATGAGGATCGTGTGTTGTGAGAAAAAATCCCAATATAAAAAGACATGACTTCCATGAAGTGTCAAATTTTCCTAGGTCACAATACAGAATAGAGATCCAGAAGACCAAGCACAGAAACCAACATGCCTTCAGCCATAGTTCCACCAGCGCTCCAGCCCGGCGCAACAGTAGCCTTTATTTCTCCCTCAGCTCGTCTCAATGATGTGATTCCCGCCGCCATCTCACGCGCCAGGGACTTGCTCTCGGACAAGGGCTACCAAGTCCGCGAGCTCTTCACTCCAGACACAGGAATCCAATCCTCAATAGCCAACCGTCTCTCAGAACTACGCACAGCCTTCTCAGACCCCTCCATATCAGCAATAATCTGCACCATCGGCGGGCCCTCCTTCAACGAGCTCCTCCCCGCCCTCCTCGCCGACACAGAACTCCAAGCAACCATCCGCGCCAACCCAAAGATCGTAGTCGGCTTCTCCGACATCACAGGCCTGCACTGGTTCCTGCACGCTACAACGGGCCTGCGCACCTTCTACGGGCCCGGCGCCCTCCCGGAGCTATGCGAGCCCAGGGGTGCCAACGGCGAGATCGACGAGGCTTCGCCGCTCGCCTTCTGCGTCCGGCACCTCTTCCGCGCCATCACAGACCCCACGCCCATCGGCGACATCGCCCGCTCGCCTACCTATGCGCCTGACCTGGCCCGCATCTTCCATGATCCGAAGTCCACGGACCTGCCGCGGCTTGTCCCATCCGCAGGGTGGACGTGGCTGCGGCCGGGCAGGGCGCAGGGCCGCCTCTTCGGCGGCTGCCTGACTGTCATGGCGCGTCTGGGAGGCGTCCGTGGTGTGGTACCTGACTGGCGGGGGCGTATAGTCTTCTTGGAGACGGCCATGGGCGACAACGAGGTGTCGGGGAACCCCATCGAGCGGGTGAGGGCTGGTGTGGCTGACCTGGTGGCTCAGGGCGTGTTTGAAGATGCCGCGGGACTGGTGGTTGGACGGCCGTTTGGGTATGATTCCGCTGAGGCGAGGGAGAAGTATGCGAGTGTTATCACAGGGCTATTGTGTGAAGGGCGTTTGGCCGACAACAAGTTTCCTATATTGTTTAATGTGGACTTTGGGCACACTACGCCCATGGTTACCTTGCCGTTTGATGCGTTGGCTGTGCTAGATTCCGAAAAGGATCAGTTCGCTATCTTGGATCCGGCCTTAGACGGTTGAGAAAGGACAATCAAATTTGGACTGCGTCACCATCAACAGTGACGCACACGCATCCACTTGTTACGAAGGGACACTGCCCAGCCAGCCAGCCAGATTTCAATTCAGATTCCATTCGTGAGGGCTGGATGCAGTCATCAAATTTGTAGCATGTGAGAAGCAAATTCCAGCGCATAGTACACTGTCTATCATTATTGGTCGCAAGTTGCTGCCCAATGAATAAGCGCACGCTCCGACCTTGGTTGTGCAGATGCATTCACTTGCATGCCGTAACCACGCCGAGCACCAATAACGAACTCGAGCCTTCGCCACCGTACCTAGCTAGGTATGCACCAAGATTTTGGACAGTCAGATTTTGGACAGTGAGCCTTTGGGAAGTGACACATTGCTGACTTTCTCAAGAACCACTTAGCTTAAAATGTGGTTGATCCTGAGCCTTGCGTCCTTCATTGCTGCTCATATGCGCGTGCAAAAGGTCCAGGTCGAGGAGCACTGTCTGTGCTTCTTGCCGCTTCTTGCAATACTACTATCATTCCAATTTCATTGCCTCTTTACTATCTAATTGTCTCCACTTGTCTTCATTGCAAGGACCCAGCACGATCACAATGTCTTCACCCAAGCGCCCTCGCCATGACGACGATGGGGAGATCTGGCGTCAAAATGCGCCCATCATACGTCAGCTGTATCAAGAAGAGAGGAAGACGCTGAAGGAGGTGAAGGATATAATGGAGAATGAACAAAGATTCCCTAGGACGCCGTAAGTGTTGACTTGCCATTATCACTGCTGCCCTACATGCCCACCTGCCATCAGGAGTCTGGAGGCTCAGGGCATCTCAAGCAACCTTGGCATTTTGAAGCCGATTCCAACACGACTGATCATTCAGACTTTCTATTTGGGAGGTAAAATTGAGAGAACTCGGGATGCAGAAGAAGTTGAGGAGAGGCGATTGGTCATTGGTCTATCAGCATGTCCGCTCTCGTCTCCAACATGAGGGCAAGAAGGAGCTCAGAAAGCCTACCGCTGTTTTAATCAACGACACTAAGAAACCTTGGAACAAAGTTTGGAGAGAGTTCAGGAGGAATTCCGTCCTGGATCAAGGACCTCATCAAGGTTTGTGAGACAAGGGCCTCTCAGAAGCAGGTCTCATCGCCGGCTAAAGCGAGTTGACATAGGCCCTCTCCCTCCACTTCCTCCGGGCGTCGTCATAAGAACACCATCTCCAGAACTCCTTGAAGCCACTGTCCAACGCCGGAAACCAGACTCTTCACAGTCTCGCATGTTGCAATTGTTTCAAACTACTCTCGTCAGCTTCCAGCCACTATTTGGCTTGGATTCACAGTTGCAGAGTGAGACGAGGGATGCCTTCAAATTGTCAGACAGGGTGTACAGACTGTCCCTGCAAGGAATTCCCTTTACTCGATTACTTAAGAAGATTTCAGGCACGTACATGACAACTATTTTAAGCGATGGTCGCGAACTATGTTGATCGATTGTAGACATCAGAAATCAAGCACAGCCACCTACGCAAATGGCCCAAGGGCTCGGGCGGAGTCAATACAACCAAGTCGCTTCAAAATACAGCCCCTCGACCAACCAGATTCCTGCTAGACAATTCGTTCCATCGACGGATCCATTTACTGGCGCTTTTGCTCAAGCTCTGACAGGGTTGGAGTCAATGCATCCTTCCGGCCAAGAATTAGGAGTGGACTTCGACAGTTATCATTACCTGTCAATGATCATTTATCTGCTTTCTAATGGCCACATTCTTGAATATCCGAATCAGCCACTCTTTATGGATCAAGTGAAGGACCTGACGGAAGTTCTGGATATGACTTTCAGGTTGGTATCCAGTGGGGTTCTCTTGGCCCTGCTTCAGAGTCGTCTGCCAAGTATCAAAGCCGTATGGGAAAAGCTGCTATACGCGGCTGGGACACTTAAGAACAAAGAGGCCTTCAGATTTTTGCTCCGCGTTGGCATGGATCATGACTGGCTTGAAGAATATTCCAGAGGACATGAACACCTATACCACGCCGCCCTGAACGACTGTCAAGATCTCATCGACGCTCTGCTGAAGAGAGGCTGTCGCGCAGATTCTTCAATTGGGCGGCACCAAGGAGACACAGCCATCATGGCAGCACTCCAGAACGGCAACCTCGACTGTGCAAACAATTCGATCCATCATTGCGATGTCAATCGCGAAATTCCGTGGGACTTCGGCCCGAGACTTTGTTCAGCTACTTTCGGCATCTTCATCGAAAATTTTGACGGCACTAAACCAATCCATCGCCGTTGTCTGGACGTTTTCCTTGGAAGAGGTGCAGACGTCGACTTAAAGCTCCAAGAAGGGTTCTTGCCCCTCTTACAGTTGGAGGCAGGGATCTCGGCAGACCACTATGGGAGAGGCTGGCAGGGGTGGTACGTCGAAGACCCCTTTGTGAGAAACTGGAGGCCTTCGATACTCGACTTCGTTTTCTACTTCAATAATGAACTGTTCCAGGACTTGGCTGAGCGCAGTAAGAGATCAGAAGAATTCAACAGAGCGGCGGCTCTTAGTGCCCTAAGACAGGGCATTAATTCCCTTCAGGAGTACATGACAAGGGATTGGAATTTTGACGGGTGTTGGAGAGGAGTCATTGGAGATCTGAGCAGTGCGGATGTCTCAGAGTGGAAGAACCGTTGCCTTGAAATACTTCTAGCCGAGCAATTCGTTCTGAGTACTTGCGAAATCGACAGAAATATCTGTTGGGAAACGGTACAGAGATTGATGGAGCTGGGAGTCGACGTGACCCGGTGTTCAAAGGATGAAAAGCTCGCATCTGAGATGCTGTTGGCCACGGCACGACTCATAACATCAGAACAGGGATCTGGTGAGAAGCACGGGTTGCAGATACTGCGATGGCTTTTGGACCGAGGCTTTCGAGTTGAAGCTCTTGCTTTATCAGCTGCTGTTCAAGACCACGGAGTAGCCATCCTGGAGTGTCTGGCCGCCCATTGCTTCGACCTTAGGAAATACGGTGTCATCGCTCTTGCCAAGGCTGCTTCTAAAAACAACTTCAATGCGACAAAGTTGCTGCTAGACGGAGGCGTGGACCTCAATTCCACCTTTGTCCGTGAGCATTGGGGAGAGATCAGCGTTTTCGCGGCAGCCTTTCGAAGTTCGACTTTTGAGATGACGAAGTATATGATACAGCGAGGCGCAAAACCTACAAGTTGGAATTCAAACAGTTGCTCTTCTGATACCTTGTCGCAAATTTTGAGGGCATGCGGTCGTTCACACGAAATTGTCAGCAAGGTTGAATTCATTGTCGAAGAGATGGTTTCGATCAGCGACCCATCATATCCATCGGCACAACTTTTGGAGGCATGCCTCAGCAGGAACTGTGATCATCAGAGAATGAAGTTGTTTGAACTACTTTTTAGAAAAGGAGCAAGACTTGCGCCAGGATCTCCTCTTGCGGCATGGATAGCTGCTGGCGGTGGGCATCAGCTCGTCCAAGAGATGCTTGAAAAAGGCGCTGACTTGAATGCCCACTCTTATTGGCCGTTTCATGGAAGATATATCCCAGCGCACGCATTTACTCGAACTCCGTTGCAAGCTGCAGCCGGAAGAGGCGACTATAACCTGGTGCGCATGCTGTTGGAACGGGGCGCTGATTTGAATCAACAAGCACGTGATCATGATTGCATGACGGCCCTACATTCAATATGTGCTTGGAATCCAGTGGGACCAGAAGAGAGGGTACAGAAAGACAAGATCATAAAGCTGCTTCTCGAACAAGGTGCTGATGTCAATGCTGCAAATATCCAAGGAACGACCGCGCTCATTTCCGCAGCCGCGCTCGGAGATCTATCCACAGCCTTCATCCTCCTGAAGCATGGAGCCAGAGTCAATATGGTATCGAGTCAACAACTGGGAGATCAGACCGCTTTAGATTTGGCCGCTCATCTTGGTCGGCTGGACATGGTTGAGTTCCTTCTCAACGCAAATGCGCAGAGCGCAAGCGCCCGTCCTGGTGGCGAGAAATATGACGGTGCCGTACAAACGGCTAGGCACCGGGGTCACTTTGTGATTGCTGAACTGATCTGCAAGCATGCGGCGGATCGTAAGAGAGAATGGGCTGTTGTACACAACGCGGTAACTGACAAAGCAACATCTCCAGCTTGCGCACAATCATTGCCCACACCTGAAGGCGACTCACGAACGGCCAATCCCGTCCAAACATACGGACGGCTTATACCTAGCGAAGTCCATGAAGGCATCGCAAGTTCGAAGGAAGACAATGCTGTGAGTTACAATTCTGATGACGGCTTGTTTGACAGCACTATTGCGGGAACCAAAAGGAAGAGACAAACCATGAGCGGGCCAGAGACGCCTGGTGTGAGTTGGACGCGTGTCATTGAAGAGGTCGAAGATGAAGAACAACCAGTACATTTCAGGCGCAAAAGCTCCAGCGGGGGGAAGGGCGACCGGACTGCACACCAGCATAATAACACATGGGAAGCCTCGTCAGGACAAGCAGTGGAACTGGATGAATCGAGTGGACAGAATTGGATTGAGGACGAGAAGCACGATTGTGGGCCAAAGGTGTCGAAAGGCTTGGCTGTGGACGTCTTCATGGGATTCTCGGGATCTCAAACTCTGTAATTTATAGTTTGATGTAGGCGGTTTGGTGCTGACATTCATGTCGGACTTCAACATCGAGTCGAGCCTTAAAGCCAATTTATGGTAGCCATTCCTCACTTATATCACCGGAAGAGCCCAATCATGCTGGAAAGGGGTTGTGATGGCAAGAAAGATGCTTGATTTGTTGGCCACTTTACCCTTTGCACCAGGCGTTGTTGATGTCCTCGTGCAAGGAATAGAAGACTGGTTTGCATGTGGTTAAGATTAGCAAACCAAGCGGACATGCTCCCGTCTTTTCAAGGAAGTCTGCTGGTCACAACATTCTGGTTGACATATATAACCACAGCTTTCAGCCTGGGCCCATAATTCAGTACCCGATGGCTTCAGCGCATGGAAAGTTGACCAACCTGGTCTGCTTTCCTTGTTTGATTTAGGACGACAAGACTTGTCGTCTGCAGAAATGGGGCACTTCCCATCCATTGAGACATAAATGTAAGCTGTCAAGTGTAATCAAATTATGGATATCATAGACACTTCCTTATTTGCCTAGATCTTTCCTCGCACAGTCGACAGGTCCTACACACTCGCGAGGCTATTGTGCAGTCAATTCATCTATTCACATGCTGCTGTCTTTACACTGATATTGCTAATCACTGTAAACAGTCGTGAATGCGATTTATTCACCATGGTAACTTCAATGCTGCCACCACACGGCCAGATGCTCGAATATAAGACCGGCTGCCTGTATGCATTTGGCCCATTTCTCCTCTCTTCCCCTTCCACAAAGTCGGGATTGAGCATCTTCTATGCATGACCGTGGTCTACTCTCACTAGACTCAAGACAAGCTTGTATTTAAGTAAAGGTTCTCCAGCTTGACCATACTTACTTCAATTCAATTCCACCACGCTACCGTCACAGCAGCACAAGATGGACCGTCGAGGACCCCACGACAACCCTCGTGCTTTCGGCATGGAGGCACGACGGGCTCATGGCCAAGGAACAACATTTCGAAGCAGTATGTATTTGCTTACCATGCAATTGACAGCTCGACTTTTTCTAATTTGACATCTCTCACACAGCTTTCATCGCTTCCCAGTCTCGAAACACAGACGGCCAAAGGCAGACCCTGATCTCTCAGATTGGCGGCAATCAGCAAGACGCTTCTCGATCGAGGCGATACAGTCAGGACATACCGCATTCCATTCCTAATTGGATTGAGGAGCTGCCAAGGGACTACCCTCAGCCGCCTCCAACGCGAGGTGTTCCACCTCCCAGGTCGGAAAACGTCCAATTTCGTGACAGAGGACCCGTGACGCCAAGCATGTCAATCTCACAGATTGACCGTCAAGCAGCCATGGACTTCCAAAGCAATAGAATTCCCCTTGTCCGTGGGGAGATGTCTCGAGGGGCATCTCGGTTCCTCAGGGAATCAGAGGCACGATTCCATCCTCGAAGAGATGTGCAGGGCCACGGCCACAGACGGGACAGCCTTTATCGGCCCAACGATGCACAGTTGGGTAGTGCGAATCCTCAGATCTCGCCGGTGGTTAACTACATAACCACAAACAACAACCAGCAATACCACGTGGACAACAGCCGCCACCAGAGGATCAATGCTCAGGGCCAGGTCAATACCCAGAACAACCTGCAGCGCACAGTTCATAACAGTCGTCGGGACACCACTCACCAGTCGAGGATGACACAGCGTCTGTCATCTTCAGCCCATCAGCACCACCGACAGAGCCATCGCTACCGCGAGCACCGCGGCTAGGAGACCGGAGCTCCGAGCGAGACGATCCCTCTTCGAGGACCAAAGATGAAGTGCACGCGGGGTCTCTTCATCAGCGGCAGGCATATCACAACCCATCAATACATCCCCGACGACCGCCCTTGTCTGGTGGAAGGTTGCAAGACCAAGCACTGCCTACGGCTTGTCGACGGCGAGAGAATCTATTCCGAGTTCTGTTCCGCCCACTCTTGTCGGCGTTTTTGGCCGGAGTTTTGTGCGTGCCCCACGTACCCTGGGCACAAGTACTGCTCTTGCCATGCGAGGCGCTGAGGGTTCTGAGGTCTGAGGATCAGGATGGAAGGGAAGACTGGAATGTTGTGGTTGGGATGGAAACGGGCTGGGCAATGCCCTATAGATTATTTTGACTTCTTTACTGGTGGGGCTCACACCAGTCTTTAGAGGAACCAGATTGATCGCAATTCATTTATTGCGATAGCTTCATCATCAAGCCCTATTTGGCAGCACACTCTTTAGATACACAGCTTTAAATGCCTTCTCAGTTGCGTCTCTTTCTATTCTCTCAGCTCTTCTAGCTGCCCTTGTCATCCTTGACCCCTCCGACCATTTACTTCTGTCTTCCAAAGCTCGGCAAGATCCGGTGGAGCGTTGCCTAATGAGTAGGGTACCCCCGTCGCCGGGGGACCCTAGATGGGTAGACTCTATTCACTGTGGTGTTTAGCATCAATTCACTTGACCGGGCCAGCTTATTCACTTGAACGGGCTAAACTTATTCACTTGGGAGGCTTCAACGGTGAATTCACTTGGCAGGTCCCTTTCAGTTATATAAACCTTACTATCCCCCGTCCTCGCCTGCTGCGACTCTCCTCTTCCTTCTTCCTTCGACAAAGCGACAACTGATCGAGACCTCCATCGCTTTGCTTGTAAGGTCCTCGATCTATTTCACAACTCTGGCAAAACGAAACAGTCAACACCCTGACTGCCTCTGGCCTTTGGCTAATCTCCCCTCCGTCATCTTCCCCTCTTGTCACCCTTGTTTCGTTACCCAACACTCCCTTCCAAACGAAGCTCTAAAATGCCTTCCCACAATTCGCAAGCAAAGACCAAGCAGCAGCAGCGAGCTGGTACCCAAGGCGCAAAATCCGCTCCCCCAGTCATGCAGTCGGTCCCCCGCAACAGTAAGTCTTTACTCAAGAAACAATTCGAGCTATTCTCCTTGTGATTGCTAAGGATCTTATCAACCACAGCGACTTCAACCGCCAAGATTTCGAGGGCTAGTGACGCAGCGTCGCAGCAGCTGCAGAACGTCTCGCGAGGCCAAGGAAATGATGACCGATCCGAGCCACCGCGACCCAGGGCCGCCAGCCTGGCCACAGCGTCAATATCTCCATCGGAGTCTATCAGCGTCCGGGGCATTTCAAATAGCTCCAGCGGGCAGAGCAGACCCGGAAATTGGTACAACACCCAGGGGTTTCAGAACGGACCCACTGGCTCCTCCGAGCGGGCCTTTGGGGCGGCGAACCGGGTGACAGCGCCTTCCCCAGTTACGACACCGTTTGAGACCGAGAATCGACGTTCAACGCCATCTAGACCAGGTCCACAAAGCAGCACCAGCAGAAAGTCAACCACTTCAAATGTAACTCCATCAGTGACAACTGGGCAACACCCATCATCTTCCTCTGGATCAAATCCGAGAAGCATCGAGCCACTGTCATCTCTTCTGACACCACCTCTGAGTACCAATGAATACCCATCCTCATTGTCTCAGCCAAACCCGCAGAGAATAGTCCGGGGAAGCACGATGCCGTCCACAGCGAATGTGTCTAGCCAGCGATCCTCTGGCGCACCACGAAGCTTCAATCAAAAGACAGCTTCTGAAGCAATGGGAGGGAGTTGGTCGGGCTCGATAGGGCAAGACTATGCCACGCAACAGCCAGCTGGTGGACAGCTTCCTGTGAGCATTGGCATCCCATCAGCCAACCAAGTCCATTTCCATTTCAACCAAGTGGATAACCGAAAGATGACGGTCAACAATAACGCTCCACAGAACGTGGTCACGAACAACAACCAGGTCTACAATGTAGACAAGAGCAACCATCACAATACGCAAGCCCCACAGACCAACACTTACAACAGCCATGTCCACAACGCAGGAAACACTCATGCAAACACCACTCAGCAAGCTACAGCAGTACGGCAGTCCTTGTCCTCAAATACGAACGGGCAACAACGAGAAGTCCGGCAGCCGAGTGAGTCCTTGCCGCTCCGTGACAGGCTGTATACCTGCACGAAGAAGGTGACGGTAAATGAGTGGAGCGATAAGAGGTCTGTCAAACACAAGCATGAACCCAACGACCGTCCCTGTTAGGTACAGGGATGCAGCGGGAAGCACTGTCTTCGTGTGGTGGATGGCAAGCGAGTCTATTCGTTGTTCTGTCCCAACCATAGCTGCCGCTACCTCTGGCCAAACTTCTGTTCTTGCCCAAAATACCCCGACAGAGAGTACTGCAGCTGCCATGAGGGCAGGTAAGGGCTTGGTCTTGAAACCAGTTTGGTGGCCTTGGGGGCTTGTACCTGGCTTCAGTTGTGTACCGTGAAACGGTAGGGCAGGGTAATTTTTTTTGGTAGGAGAGAGGGTTTCTGAGAGATTACTCAGGATTTACGGTAGTCGTTAGTCCTTAATTTGGAAATAAACATAGTTCGCTTGTGAAAAGTCTCGAGGTGAATGCGATATACAATGGGGAGCATCCAGCAATCAATTCACAGCCTTGAGTCCCGAGTTGCTGAAAATATCGTCCTACACTGTGTTGCAGCGGGATCAAATGCATCGGTCTCAAGCCAAGGCTGTGAGCAGTTTCCAAAGATGACAGACCCACGATTTGGTTTGATGCAGTGCCGGACCATAGCACAACTCGCGGCCCTTGGAGGATCCCCTTAATTGATTGCGTGAAGCTTAACGGAACTACGGTGTAAAGACAAACGATGCTCATCAATCGTCATGTAAAATTATTTGGTAGCCGTGTTCCAGCCTTGCTCCGCAGGGAACAATGGCGCCTATTTTCTGAAGCAAGTCACCTACCTTGTAGAGGAATAGTTTGCATCTTTCCCACGCCTGCTGCAAAAGCTGAACGTCATCCAGACCCAGTCACTCTAGCTTTCTCTAAATTGGCTCCACAACGTGATCAATTGAGTATTCAAGTGGTCACGGATGTACGTAACGTCAACTTCTTCTTTCACCACTAGGAGGTGTTCACAATGGGGAGTAGAAATCACGAAGCGACTTGAAAGTCGATAATTATACCCCAGGTACGGCGGCTTCGGCATGGGATGTGATAATCCGCAGGTATACAGCTACTTCATCAAGGAATCAAGCATCATGGACGGACATTTAAGCGATTTGCAATAATTAATTTCTGAAAAAACGTGGAAACACCATCTTGAATTGTGCCCGACGAAGTGATGGAGCTCAACAGCCGGAATATGGACCCAGTGCTGCGTGATAGAGCTTAACAGGCGCTGTGTCTGTGTCCGCCTCACGCATCAGTTGATGATCGAGTCTCTGGGTGTCTAGAGCGTCTTCTAGCGTGCGTGTAGCCCTGGCAATCGTTTCTTCGTTTTCGGAAGTTGGTACTGGCCCCCTCTGGCTTAGGTTCTGGCTCGGTTGTGTGGCTGTGGTAACTTCGGTCCATACATCTCTTTCCATCAACATCGACCAGAACCCCCGCTTTGCACCGGGTCGGCTATCGTCCGCATTACTCTGCCGGTGTTGCACGCCGTCACCTTCTCCGACCAGCGTCTGACGCCTGAATTTCTTGCTTACAAGCTCGTAGACAGGGTGCAACGTCGATATGCAGGCGGCAATCATAATGGTATTCGCCTCAACCACTGTGGGAATGATAGCTGTCGAGACGTGATCTGCCAAATTAGCTGAGCAAGTACGACCGAATTGCGCGTTTCAAAGCATGTGAGCCCTGAAGATCAGGATCTTACAGGTGAAGTCCTTCGTGAATGTCAACACTTCAAGAGTTGTTATCTTATATGCCGCCACTGCGGTAGCGCTGTGATGGAACATTAGCTGATGATTAGTTCATGGATTTGATCCCCAGTTGACCAAGCGTTGAGTTTAGTGAGCCAGGAGAAACTCACCAGATTCCAAGTCCCATCACAACGGATAACATCAACTTCTTTTGGATGTCCCAGCTAAGCCTGCGGAAAACGAAACCTGGATACAATGCGAAGTAGAGATCTAGGGCAGCCGAGAAAGCTAGGGCAACCTGTCAGTGTCTTTGTAGGAATTTGCCCAAGGGTCTCTGAAACGGTCTCGGAATCGCGAACTCACTCGTAGCATAGTAGCAGAACCTGACGTAGATCCAGGAGTCAAGACATTTTTTAGCTGTTATGCTCACATCCCACCCTGCAGATATAGGACGGCAGGGCAGCCAAGCTAGTAGAATAACAACAACAAAGTTCACGACACATAGGATAGCCAAAACCCAAAGAATGGTCTGGTGCAGATCTCCAGGTCGAAACAGTCGAGTCAAAAGGCTCACAACGGTCAGCTTTGGGAGGCCAAGACCCAGCACGGACGGTGCAGTAAGGACATTATGCCAGAAAACGGCCTTGGTCCGTTCAGCGTCAGATAGTGTTGCCCAGTGTAGCCCGACTTCTGTTGTAGTGTACAAGTTGATGACGAATGCCGCTGTCAACCATAGATCGATCTGAGGGCCATACGGTTAGTGGTGACTCGATATGGAGTGAATATCAAGCTATAAAAGATCTGCTGAGTCGTTAATATTACCTAACGCACCTGGTTGATCACGCAGAGCCACTCTTCCAAATAGAGACGTCGGCGCAATAGGAAAACACACCCATATAGCCTGAGGGCGATGAACACCGTTGCGATGAGCGTCATGATCGCAGTCACCACTAAAACAGGTGTTTCGTCTTTTCCTGTCGCGCTGTTGGAGGGCAGGTCGTCCTTTACAGCGGTCATGATAGACTTTTTCTAGAAGAGACATGGCAGAGATCCCTCTTGGTAACTTTTTCTGGAAGCCGGGCATTGGATTTGTTGTGTGATTAACAAAGATGAGAAAGCCTGTTCCTGATTTCCATATTCTTTAAGACTTTTCCCTTCAAAGCCTAAGGTAGGATCACTGACTCAGGTGAGCTTAAAGTAAACTTAAAGACTTGATTCAATTCGTGGTTGGATAGGCTCCTTAGAAGCCCCGCGCCTTTCGATTTTCTGATTGGAAAGACTGACACTAACAGGGATTCCAGCTTCGGCCTGCTCCTGGCTATCAGCTGCCAGCTACTTTGGAAGACACATGGCATTTTGCGAATTTGAAAAGATGCAAACCTCCCATGTGCTTGACTAATTAGAATTCTTTTCTACAGTACACGTCTCAAACATTATTGATCAAGGTGGTAAGAGGTATCTTCGGACCCAATTCTATCTCATGACTGGATTTAGTAAGGATCAGGACGCGAAGGAAAGCTCCAAGCAGACGTCCGCTTCAAAGACAGCTGCTCCGGTCAAGACCGTGGCTCTGTTCGAGATCACTGCACAGGTAGAGAGAGTCGTGGGCAAGAAGTGAAGGGAAATGAAACACCGGAGACTGCGAAGAAAATTCATCTGCGTAACACAAGTAGCGCTAAACGCGGTCGGGAGGGATCGGAAAGTCTATTTCACAGATTACATCAACCCTAAGAACGAAATTTACAAAGCTAGATATAATAGCTACAAACCTGAACGCTGTGGTGTTAATTGATATTCGATGCTAAGAGAACTGAGCTAATAGAAGAGCATAAAGGGTCAGAATATATATATATAGGGTTTTATTTTATTTCAAACTTAATTACCTTTCGACGATATTCTCAAAATCCTTGATTGACTTAACTCTCAGGTAAAAACTTATAAATAATACAGTCAGTTATAAAGATGCCTTTGGTAAAAAAAGCCCACTTGAGTGTTCCGCCCAAAAGATCTTGATTCTAATACCTAAACGTCTCCACGTAGGAGGCAAGACACATCATAATTACGGTGGCTAGTGCAATGCAGCCGATGATGAGAGTCAGCTTCACAAGATACGTCTTCTTCAATATTAAAATCTAATTCTATGGCTCCTCTATAATAACACAATGTTCCCCTTTGTTAGTGCAACAGCACTTCAAATGTGCACCCCAGTACGCTCAAGCGTGAAATCCGGAGCCGTATTCAACCGATCATAGTTGCCATTCGGGTTCGTCGGGTCAACAACCGTCTCCACGTCACTTGCCGGAAAGAACTTGATGCCTGTGTACACACACTGCGTCCCTGCGGCTCCGCAAGAAGCGTCGTTCGGATCCGCCTGCCAGACCTGCAGGTTGTACCCGGGATCCGTCTCGTTGTAAGGGGGGAGGCCGAAGGAAAACGAGTACGTCGAATCGGCGCATTCCGTGAGCGGAGCGTAGCCGATGTCAGGCGTGGTCGAGATTAGGGCTACGCAGTAGGTGGAGGTGGTACCGTCGGTGATATCGAAGCTGTATGTAGTGGTGATGCTGAAGCGGGCGCCGGATGCGAAGAAGTTTGTGATGCTCCAGGACGAGGGGTCGGCTTGGCGGGGGATGGAGGCGGCTGAGGCGCAGGCTAGGAACCCGGGAAGGACAGAGGTCAGACGCATTTTGACGTATTGCTGACTTTGGTGGCCACTTAATAGCTATGGTTTGAAGTAGGGAGTAGTGAAAACAGAGTGCTGATGAGTATATGCGGTCTCAGTTTAAAGAAATGTGCAGGCCATCCCGACTCTTATATCACAGCATCTACTTCCTCTAAACGCAGAGAAGTTGCATTCACCATTTGGTTGTTTAAGTGTCACCTAATACGAGGACACGATAGCTATGTCAGCAGTGAGCACTAGGCAGGTCCGGGCTTCCTACGGCTCGTATTCAGGAATACGATCATCGACCGAGCTTTTATGAGAAGGCAGGTAAGCTGTCAGGTGACTAGACGCACTCGTGACCAAGGAAAGACTACACGACAAACGGTATGAATTCATCGGTGACGAGACTTTCAGCGAACGGGTGAGCATAGCGAGGCGCAGCCACCAACGTTGCACGTAAGCTGAAAGGTACACAAAATCCCGGCTATTCACCCGGATTCCTGTGAGGAATCAAGTCTCACTATAATATTGCTCTTAAGACGCGCAAGCGCTGGTGCGACAGGAGGATTGGCGGATGATTCCAAATCACAATTGCGCCAGCCAATGCCATTCTAAGGAGGGTACCAATCGATATGCAAGTGGGAAACAGAAAGCAATTGCCAAATAATATGTGTAACGAACACGAGAAATCCTACTGCATATAGGATCTATTTAAGACGCTGAGAAGCTATTTTCAAGGCTGCCTGATCACCGTAGTCCGTAGATATTGAGAGAAATGATTCTGGCGCGAAGTTGAACAAATTGTAAGCATCCGAGGTCCGCCGCCTTCCAGCGCATCCCGAGCCCTTAGTCTGTAATCAAGGTCCTGGTTGCATTCGCAATAACATCACAAAAGGAAGTGTGGACAAAACAACATATGGAGGAGTCATGTTGCTCTATTGAGTCGCAGTCAGCAGAAGGGAATGTGACCGTACTTGCATGGCATGTTTCTTAGCTTCTCATCTAGCATCGATGTGGATGAAGTGAATCTAGAGGTTTGGAAGACACCAAATGGCAGCCGAAAGCGGGAGATACTGGACCATCTTCCATGCATAGGTTGGGCTCACACGTGCATCTGTGCAAACACGGCGAACATTGCTGTGAATGAACTCCTGACTTCAATTTTTATGTTTTCATGCGATCAAATTCCAACTTATGCTCTTAATGTTAGTGAAAGACAGCATTTCGTCGAGGCATTCCTCCCTGCCCATACCAGATTCCTTGAGCCCTCCAAACGGCACGTTTAAGAAGTGCTTCGAAACATCGTTGACCCAGACATAACCCGCCTCGACTCGGCGTGTAGCTCTTTGGGCCGTAAGTATATCGTTCGTGAAGATGGACGCAGTCAGGCCGTAGGAAGTCGAGTTGGCGATTTTGAAGACGTCGTCTTCGTCCCTCCAGCGAAAGACGGACATGACAGGTCCAAAGATCTCCTCGCGAGCGATGCGCATGCTAGGCAACACATCAGCAAAGATGGTCGGCTCCACGAAGAACCCCTTCGCCAGGCGTGCATCCTTGAAAGAAGTGGGTGCCCCGCCTCCACAGACGAGCCTCGCTCCCTCGGCCTTGCCGGACTCGATATACCCCAGCACACGATCCTGCGCCCCCTTGCTGATCATAGACCCCATGGTGGTTTTGATATCGGTGGGATCTCCCGGCTGGCATTTCTCCTGGACCAGCTCGACGACCCGCGGGAGGACTTTGTCGTGGAGGCTCTCGTGCAGGAAAACACGGGACATGGAGCCGCAGCTCTGCCCGGCCCAGGTGAAATTCATACCGCGCATCATGGCCTGAGCGAGCTTCTCGACGTCGGCATCTGGGTAGGCGATGAGGCAGTTCTTCCCTCCGAGCTCGAGAAGGGTCGGCTTGAGGTGGTTCGCGGCGTCTCGCTGGATGGCTTTGCCGGTGGGTACGCTGCCGATGAGCGTCACCTTTTTCACGAGCGGGTGTGCCGCCAGTGCCCTGCCGCACTCGGCGCCCCCCGGCAGGATGTTGATGACGCCGGGCGGGAAGACGTCGGCCAGTAGCTCAGCCATCCTGAGCACCGCGAGGGGCGCCTGGTCGGGAGGTTTAATGACGACCGTGTTCCCCGCAGCCAGCGGCGCTCCCATCTTGGCACCTGCAAACATGAGCGGGTGGTTGGACGCGACGATGCGCCCCACGACCCCGAGGGGCTCGCGCAAGGTGTAATGCAGGAACTCGTCCGGGCGGAAAGTCCCCGGGAGCGTCTCGCCGCGCACCATGGGCGCAAGCCCCGCGAAGTACTCGAGGCTGCTACCGGCGGTGTGTGCATCCATGATCATCTCGGCCACGGGGTTGCCCGTGTTGTACGCGTCCACGAGCGCCAGCTCCTCGGCGTGTTGGTGCAGGACCGCGGCCGCGCGGCGCATGTAGGTTGCTCTGACCTGTACTGTTGTGTTTCTCCAGGAGAGAAAGGCGTTGTGGGCTGCCTGAACCGCGGTTTCGACGTCGTCGACCTTTGCCTGAGCTATTGTTGTGATGGCCTCTCCGGTGCCGGGGCTGATGGTCTCTAGGCGGGAGCCATCCTTAGGCTTGTGCCACTGCCCGTCGTAGAAGAGGTCAAAGTGAGTGGGAAGTGCTTCCCTCAGAGGTGGTAGTTCTGGCGCCATGGCTGCAGAGGTTGCTAACTTTGCAGACGTGCTAGGCTTGGGCCCAAAGTGCCGTCGTCCCTCAGCACTGCTGCGACTTATAAGTGAAAAGGACGTTACAATATTCGACTACTCCGCAGTGACTTCAGAGGCATCTGAGGCACCTGACGACCACTCACATCGCCGCCCAAAGAGCTAGACGAATATGATTTTGGAGATCTACCTATGACAGTTCGACAAGTCTTGCTGAGAGGGAAAATCAGCAAGAGGGGAACATCGCAATGGAATGCTGATGGCTCAGGGAGAGGTGTTGACGTCTGTTACGACAATTCTGACCGATATCCCCGCAGGTGTACCCTCCATGGCATCCGAACCTATGGGATGTAGTTCCGAGTTGTACTACCCAACTGGATTGTCCACTTGCTAGCTCGACTTGCTCACAACGGCATTTCCGAGTACCCAAGAATGAGACCTTCAGTCGGGGCAGTCAACGTGCGACAAGCTTTGTATATGTCCAGGCCCCTAGGCACCAAATATGGGTTACAAGGCATGTGTAAAAGTTGTTTCAGGGTAGCAATTATTAAAGCACACTAAGTTTCTGCTTTCAGGTTAGCAAGAAAGACCGCGGTCTACGTTATTGGGGCTGAGGTAGAATTAATGATCCACGATCATTTTCGCGAAGGTACGATCTCGGCTGTAATAGCTCATTGCATTGATGAGAAATTCTCAGCAGCCACATGTTCAGGGCGTGTCGTACAGGTTCTAGAACTGCTGACGTAGCCTATTGGGCAACCCATCTCGTCCCGACTTATCCCCCTTATCCAGATATCCACAGATCCTTCCCTCCGGATCCCACTTCTTCCGAATAGCCATGAGCCTCTTCCCCGCCTCATCCGACCAGTACTTCGTCTCCCTCATCTGAATGTCGTGATCTCCAAGGTACGTACCCACCGCATAAGGCGTCAGGGTAGCCATATACTTCTTTACCCAAGCCTCATTCACCGCATCGTCCTTGCTGTCCGGATAGATGGCATACAACGCGATATAATAGTCGGTAGTGATACTCAAGGCCATGTCGCCGGAGGGACGACTTTTCCTGCTTAGGGGGTTCATGGGCTCCCAAAAGGCCACGCCACAGTCGGGAATGTCCATGAAGGCCTCCTTGCAAACGCTGACCATGTCGATGTCCTGGCCGAGCCAGACCGTGTCGGCTATGTAACGGTGGTTCTCGGCCCAGACGGCCTTTTCTGCTTCTTCGTACTCTTGCTGGAAGGTCGTGTCGCCACAGTCTTCGCTGAAGACCGCACCTGCGGGGTGTGTGTCGATCAGAGGGGACAATTTGGAGCGCGCGTCCTCTTCTGAGTCTGCCCAGACGGTACTTTGTACGAATAGGATGCGACTGTCCTGACCTCGTGGGATGACCGAGGTGGCGGCTATCTCGATATCCTTACTAATACTTGGGATCACCTGAAGGCGTATGATCAGATGATGTCGTCTGGCAAGTATAAGAAAGAATGCTCACGCTGACCATCCACCTCATGACCTCTTCATAGTGGCTTATGGGATAAACATATACATTCCTTTTGTATACTTTGGGTGCCGGTCGAGTCTTGAAGTAGAACCTCAAAACGACTCCAGGGAAACCTTAACACAATGTAAACAGCAAGCTCTTGCCTGGAAGCCTATTGAGGGCAGACTCACCTGGACCACAGCCACGAGCAGCCCAAAACAGGTCAGAGTTCTCAAGTTCGTCGCAGTGTTGGATCTCTCCGTTCGTAGTAGCAACATCGAGACCGATTAGGTACTCGCACATATACCCGTAGGACTATTATAATTGTCCAAACAAGTCAGTCAGCGCCTGCCACACGATCAAAGCGAAATATTCCAATAGACATCGAGGCCTCTCACCCTGCTATTATGGCCCATTCCCCCTTGAAGCATGAAGCCTCCCAACCCCACCCCAGCACAGTGCCCCGTCGGAATGAACCTCCCTCTCTCCGTCATGAAGGCTGTCATCTCCGAGCTCGTCACGCTCGTCGTCGTCTTGACGATTCTGGTCGCCTCGTCGTACTCGACATGCTTGTAGTCCACCAGATCAATCAGCACCGCGTCCTGGCGGATGCTCCAGAACGCCCAACTATGACCACCCGAGCGAATAGCCACTCGGACGCCAAGCTTGGCTGCAAGCCTGATGCTGTCGACGACGTGATTGTCTGTCCTGGGCCGCACTACGGCGGTGGGGTAGCGGTCTGGGAGTTTGGTGCTGAAGACTCTTGTGCGTGCCGCTTCGTAGGCGGCCTTGTCGCCATGGTCTCTCCAGAATATAGGGAGGTCGTGGCTGTAGTCGGTCATAACTATCATGGTAAGATTAACGCGTGTGTAAATGGTTGTCGCATAGTCAGGTGGATGTGCTATATGATACCATTTAATGCTTTTGATCACATTTGCAAATGTCAGACTCGTATTTGAATCGATACACCTAAGTACTGTTTCCCCCGTTCCCGGCCACGCATATCAGTAACGGTTTTGCGCATTTATCAAGTCCGCAAATCACAAATGATTCCGCATGCGCGGCTGCGAGACGGCGACGGTCGGCATATCCGACACTTGTGCTTAGGAGCTGTTCCGAGCGTGCAGCACCACTGCCTGTCTTGAATAGCTTCTGAGGAAATAATGGTCCCCTCGGAGCTGTTCCGAAGAGGCCTCAGTCTGCTAAATAGCTGTCTGTAGACTCAGGAACATCCCGCATTCCACGAATTCGGATCGAGCTTCAACAGAGATGGCCACGAAGACTTTGCATGTGGTCTTTACTTTCCAATGCCGAGCTCACCCTGGCAAGTCCGGCTTCCGAACTCACTTAGTCGGGCCAAGGATAATATCGATGGTGGGCTACCAGGCTTTTGTTCCCAATGGCGGGTGTATCTTTTTCTATTATATTCAGGATTCTACCTGCTGCGCTATGAATGGCAGCTCCAACGTCAGAGCAATGCTTTTCAATCTTCCGTAGGCCCAGTTCCTTTGGCCATGATACACATCTCCAGTTGATATTAAATCCGACCCTCTACTTTCCTCAACTTTCAAGCGACGATGTCTGATGTACCTCGTCAGACCTCAGACTGCGTCTCCGAGCGTTCTTCGCTGATACCCAGGGCACCACAATCCGGAGACGTACCACCACCAACCTTCGCTGAGGGCGGGCGTCGGGGCTGGCTCACCGTCCTGGGCGCTTTCGGCGTACAATTCTCGACCTTCGGCTACGCAACCTCCTACGGTGTCTACGAGACGTACTACTTGAAGACCCTACTCCGAGACCGTACCCTCTCAGAAATCGCCTGGATCGGCTCCATCCAGACCTGGGCCTTGTTGTCCACCAGTATTGTCAGTGGGCCACTTGCCGACAGGTTTGGCCTACAGGTGGTCCTGTGGCCAGGCACAGCAATCTACGTACTCGCCGTGCTGCTGGTGAGCTTCTGCGCCGAGTACTGGCAGTTTCTTCTCTGCCAGGGTTTCCTGGTTGGAGTTTCCGCCGGCATGATCTTTGTGCCCTGCGTCTCGGCCGTAGCGCACCATTTCCACCAGAAACGCGGCCTCGCCATGGCGCTGGCTTCGGTGGGCTCCCCACTCGGTGGCATTGTGTTTCCCCTGCTACTGGGAAAGCTTCTATATGGCACAGGAATTGGATTCAACTGGTCGCAGCGCATCGTTGCGGCACTGGTGTTGGTGGTCCTGCTGGGCTGCACATGCTTCCATTCAAAGAATGACGCAAGTCGTCGCGCCGGTCCGTTGATTTTGCTATCGGCGTTCAAGATCCCCGTATACACGCTGCAGGTGTGCGCCATGGTGTTCTTGTTCCTTGGCGTGTTTACTCCCTATGTCTTTGTTGCCGAATATGGCGTCCGGCATGGCATGCCTGAAGAGCTGGCTACGTACATGTTTGCCGTTACGAATGCGGGTTCCTTTCTTGGTCGGACGCTGGGAGGGGCTGCGTCTCTGTGTCTGGGACCGTTCAACGTGATGGTTCTCGCGGCATTTATGGCTTCCATATCGCTGTTTTCGTGGCTTGGTATCACGTCGACGCCGGCGCTGCTTGCTTTTGCTGCTACTTATGGCGCTGTGTCCGGACTTCTCATAGGAATCATGATTGCTACGTTGGGCCATTCTGCGCCTCATCCCAGTCAGGTGTGTATCTTGAGCTTTGTTTTCATCTGGCCTAGTAGCTGTAGGAGCTAATCAAGGGCGTTTGTAGATCGCGACTTTCGTTGGTATGGCCTCGGCCATTATGGGTACCGCCGCATTGACTGGAACGCCTATCGCTGGCGCTCTCATTACAACAGGCGGCAACTACAGTCATGCCATATTATACAGTGCCACGGTTATGACCATTGGAGCGTTGTTATTTCTTGCCGCACGCCTCGCTCAAAGCAGGAAACAACTGATCGTGTAAGACACAATGCTTCGACGGGAGGGTGCAACTTCTAGGCATGGATAGAGAAGCCATAGATTGCATGGGCTTCCCGAGTTGGAACATCCGACAAAGCGGGATTATGCACAACATACTTCATTATTGCCTTGGCAATGTGATAGAAGGCTGTGTTGGGGTAGGAGGATGTTGCATATCGACAGCTAGACTCATGAATTAGGGCTGCAAACCCTAAGAACATTACATTAAAGACGATATCAGGCAATGCCTTTTCTTAGAATTGATATCGTTCCCTACTAGCACGCTCTCACTCGAAATGCTGTTGTACGTCACTTATTCTCTGTGCTCCAATATAAATCAACTCTGGACAAGGTGTATGAGCAAGCGCCTTGGTACTTTCAGTGCCATACACTCCAAATGACACGTGAACGAGACCAAACTGTGATCGTTATTGTTGGATCTCCGTATCCTGATTCCAGAGATTCTCACACGCCCAATTCTTCGGAACCATCGGATCAGCGCGACTACCCTCTGAGTCGCCGCCATATTGGAATTTGGACACTTGTGGATATATACATGCCGGCCGTTGGCTGGTCACCCTGGCCCGTGGATCATCACCGGCCCATTTGGTGGCGATGATCTCGGTAGGGGCTCGATCATTTTCAACCCACTCCATCAAGGCCAGCATGGCATCATGTTTGGCGTCGGCAAAGCCAGGTACCGAATATGGAACGGGACCTTTGAGGGCGGCTTGCTGGTTGGCGCCGGCGAAGTACCATGGGGCGTTGTTGGATTCTGGAGTGCCTTGACAATGTCTCATGATGTAATGGTCAGCGGAGGTCAATAAGAGAGGCGAGGCGAGTTATGTGACTCACAACATCCCGGGGACGAGGAAGATACGAGAATGGTCGCTCACGTCAGTACCTCGAGGCTTGAGAGTCTGCACAACTTGGTGATAGAAGTACAAAGTGCTTCCAGGGGGAATACCTGGATCCGAGAGGCCATGGTAAAGCAGCAGTTTCCCGCCCCGCTCAAAGAAAGGGGATAAGTCGTAATTGTCGGCTGTTGCGTTCCCCGGGTCCATCTCCTCAGCAACTCGAAGGAGGCTCGGACTATAGCGCTCCTGCCAGATCCAGTCCGGGCCAAAGTTGAGGAAGTACTTCACGTAGTCGACGCCCAATGAGTTCGGCTGATCCGAACCACTCAGCTTTTCCCACTCCCACTCGCTGCCCGGTAGCAAGTGAGGAAATATGAAAGTTGAATTGGCCTCCCTCCAGTCGTTATAAAGCCGATGCAGCGTCTCCAACTGTGCCGCCTTCAGGCATCTACTCGCATCAGACTTTGGGCCACATAGCAAAGTCTCTAGCTGCAGCAGGCAAGTCTCGGGCGAAGAGATGATATTATCCCTCACGCCATCCTGGGGATCACACTGCCGTAAAGTTTCAGCAGCAATGACAGGGAACATCTCAGGCGGGATGTGATGCGCTGCCTCCACAGGCAAGTTGAAAATTCCCGCCACGAGGTTGAATAGGTGCAGGCGCTTCGACCACCAGGCCGGTGCGCCGGCAAGAATTCCGTCATAGTCGTCAGGGTACTCCTGCGCCTCCTTCAGGGCCTGACGCCCGCCTGTGGAGCAGCCGCTGTAGTAGCTGGATGATATGTCCACTTTCTTGTTGTCAGTGCCGTAATAGGCTCTGACGATGCTCTTCGCGGCCTTTGTGGAGCCGTGCATGGCTTTGTGGCCCCAGTTGTCGATTGCGTCGGGATTCTTCCAGGCCCAAGAGCCGTCCTGAAAACCTGAGTGGTGGCCAGTATCTGTGGACATGCTGGCAAAGCCATACTGGGCGCCCGCGGCCTTTGTTCAATTTCGTCGTGTCAGCATTTGGCGTAATCAGCGTTCGAGCAACAGTGGTTAAAGACCAGAGCAGCCTGGACAAGAGTATCAATTTTGAGTTTGGCGACTCACCATGTCTGCCCAATTCACACCGCCAGCAAATGCACCATTCCCGACACCACTACACATGTCAATGATGAGTCCACACGTTCCATTACTATTGTTGTTGGAGACACTCTTTACAACTTACAGAAACCTGCCATTCCAATGTTCAGGTAAGAACAAGCCGAAGCTGTACTTAGAATCATTGTCACCCGTCACCTCTACCTGAACCGCACACAGGGCATTCAGACCCGAAGGCGATTTTGTATAGGCGATCTCGGACTCGGGGACATGAAAGGTCGAGTTGTTTTCCAACTGCTGAGAAAGCAACAGCCTAGTGCCTTCTGGCAACAAACTCCTCAGAGATGCCTTGGTACAAGTGATGGCAGACTTGAAACTGGCAGCAGTAGTTTCCTCAAGGGACATCATGCCAGGAAAACTTCCCCTGAATATTTCCGCGCCATAGGCCATGGCCCACTGCAACTGCTTCCTGCCAAAAGACATGGTGAAGAATGATTACAACTGCCAAGACGAATCGATTTCTTTCATCTCATACAAGCTGCGTAGCACACCTATAAGTGGGCCACTTTTGACCCACGCTTTGCGATTCTTAGATGTTCTGGATTAATCAGTATTTTGGGTTCTTCCAACCACAGCCATGAAGATGACATGTATTTCCTGCATGGAATACGGAAGAGGAGTTCGCATCGTTCTCGGGATTTCCGAACTCTGCGAACTATATCCGATCCAAGATAGACCGATTTGGTCTGTCTCGGCTTTGCCGAGACAGACCATTTACCTCTGCCAAAACACAACAAGAATCACTTAGCATTCACACGCATCACGGGGAGTTAGATATGATATCAAGCTCAAGAGCTTAACTGTTTTCCTCAAGCTAACATTGAACAATTGATCGGGTGCGGATCCGATGAAGAGGGGACAGACTGCTGACATGCTGACCATCGCACTGATGGATTCTCCCTGGCCACTGCTTGGGCCTTATTGTACCATTTCCTATGCCAAAAGACCTTGTCCACTCTCTGGTCAGACAAGCTCTCTAGAGCTTTCAATGGAACTTCGACGTGCGTACTTGTGTTGAGTCTGATCTGTCTGAAGCAGTTCCATCTACGCTCATCTTCACACTTCGTTCACCATGATTATCCTACAACAGATCCTGTCTCCCTTTCTCTCTCTGTCATCATGCCTCCTCGGAAATACCTGCTGGCACCGATATGGCAGCACCGAACCTGTTATCCCTTCCTCCTCCAACACTGTTATACTCCTCGACCTAGAAGTCATGACGCCACCAGATCACCCCAGGCCTTACTTCATCCGAAGCAGCTCTGCCGCCCACTCCGTAGCCACAGGCAACCAAATTTTCCGCTTTCCCGTCACGGCCAACTCGTCCGGGGGCGAGTTCACCATCGTCGGGACCAACGGCCCGCCCTCCAAGAAATTGGTCGTCCACCCGCACTTACACAAAAAACACTATGAGAACTTCTTCACCATCAAGGGGAGAATCCACCTGTGGACCCAGACCGAAGGCGATGAGCAGCAGGCTCGAGTCATGACGCAGCATGATTTCGGGTCGTGCCCGCCTAACACGAACCACACCTTACAGGTCATCGATCACGACACGGAGCTTTTCGGGACGGTGTTCCCAGGGGGATTTGAGAAGTTGTTTTACTTCATCGGGGAGAAGTATAATTCCCCCAACTTTGCGCCTTATGACCCATCCCTGGGGGAAGGGGACAACAAGGGGATCAACGATACCGTCCTCGAAGGCCTCAAGGCGTTTGACGTGTGGGCGCAGCCGGACTTCGTGCCCAGGAGGGACTTTGTCAACGACAGAAGACCCGCCAACGAGGTCTGGCATGACGGCTTCAACGGCGTGGGCAACGACAGCGGGGCTAGCTACTTCGTGGCCAATGGACACGGCCCAAGGTATCTCAACCGCAACGTCACGGGCTTCTACCAGGTTGTCCAGCCCCTGATCACCCCCGCCGCGTCGGGCGACTACAACTTCACCGAGTCCCTGATCTCTATAAACGGCGGGCTCGGGCTGGACCAGCCTGAGGATGTGTTGTATGAGTTTGATTTTGGGAACTCCTTTACGGTCCTCGAGGGTCGGCTCGGTGTTTCCGTCGAGGGATATCACCCGGCTGAGCTGTACACGGGTGATACGGTCTATGTACCGAGGCACTCGAGCTTCAGCTACAACAGCAACGCGCACTTCACAAAGGTGATTTATGTGGCGGCTTCTCATGAGGGGATCGATACAATCCTGATTCGGAATGGAGCATACGTTGGCAGCCCCATGTTCCCTGCGGACCAGAGGTGAGATGTATCAGCGATGTTCGTCAGGGGAGGAAGGACGGTAATCATTTTTCAATAGAGGCTTGTTTTGTATACTCTGGTCTATTCCCGCAATTCTCAAGCCGAATTAAGATGCCTCTATTGCTTCGTTCCGTATCGATCACTCAAATCCTCTCCACTACACCTATTAACCTTACAAACCTCCAAAAGAGAGGTCGCCAGTAGAAAGATAGCTTGGAAACAAGAAATTTGAGCCAATGTTCTGCTGAAAGCAATCTGTCAGCAATCCACGTAGCATTGAGATGGTCACGTGAAATTTAATCCTCAAAATGAAGGGCGTCCTTACAAATTCAAAAGCATCGTTCACCAGGAATCCGAAGCCATCATCATCCGCCGTCGCAAGAGAATCGTCTGAATTTGGTTGAACATTATTTTCAATATCGAAATTCGTAGTTGTCTTCGAAATCGGGGTAGGCTGGCCCGTGACCTGCGCCAACATGTGCCGGATAATATTCGCCGACTTCCTCGCCACCATGCACTCGTCCATAGCCTCAAGGATTTCCACAGCAACATGCACCTGGGGGGCAATAGCCGGCCAATGGGACTGCCTGTCGCGGCTCGTGTGGAGGAGTAGCACTGCCGTCGCGAACAGGATGTACATCGTGTTGTCCCACCACGTCCGGAAGAAGCTGTTGGCAATCATGGCCTCGTGAACGACCTCTATGGTGCGCTTTGCCGAGGTAATGCACTTCTCCACGGCCTCAGCTATACCAGGCGGCAGCGGCATGCCAGCATCCCCAGTCAGCATGGAGAGGAACGGCCGAAACAGCAACATCCTCACATTGTGGTAGCGGATCTCGGTGATGATCTTTTGGCGCCGGCACCACTTAGGCTGACGTAAGGCAGCCAGTCCGCCGGCAGAGGAGGAGGAAGACTGCGATGAAGGACAAGCAGGCCTAATGCGAGCGGGGAGAGCGGCGATCCACGCGTCTAGCTCGCCCTCGAGTCCCTGCGCGCGGACCATCTTCTGCTGCCAGGACATCCGGGAGTGGTAGATGCTGATGGCGATCCGGCGCACTATGCGGGTAAAATCCACCATCAACGGAATTATGGCGAATTCGGAGTCATCGACGGGCGGTAACGACCGGTCGTGATACTCATCGAGTCCTAAAGTATCCGGGCGGCCTAAGGCAAAGCTGAGTTCCATCTCTAGGGAGTAGAGACCCCACCAGGTGCGTGATATCTGCAACGAGGATGATGAAGTGCCGCTGCCGCTGCTGCCGAATCCGCCGCAGGCGTTGTCCTGGTTAAACCCGGCCGTGAGGCAGATGCGCACGGCAAATCCCGAGTACAAGTAAGCCATGTTATGGTTGAGCTCGTTCTGGCAGACCTTGGCACACAGGTACAGGCAGTGCACCGTGTCCAGGTTGGCAGGGAAATGCAAGTCGGCCAAGTTGGCCAACGCCTCGTCGAACAGTTTACGGCTCCACTCGAATCGGCTCAGTCCCCCAAGGCGGTCCTCCTCCCACTCCCACTCTCCGATAAGCGCCCCGAGGGACATGAGGCTCAGGTACGTGCAGAAGAAGCACATGTCGCAGGCCGGATCCCCAGCGGCCCACATGTCAGCCACCCGCCGGCGAAAGATCTGTTTGTCGATGAAGGGGTGGATGAAGTGGAAGTTCTGGAAGTAGGCGTCGATGAAGTACTGCGCCTCCTTGACGTAGAGGTTCCTCTGCTGCATAGTCGAGTTCCCCTCGGTGCCGGCCCGCGGGGCAAAAGACGTGTTGCGCAGCTCCGAAACGAGGTTGAAGCGCTTGCCACCGCCAGGCAATAATGGCAAAGGTTGCTGCCGTTGCCCGCTGCTGCTGCCGCCACCATTTCGACGTTGAAATGAGACTCCCGCTTGTTGATGTGGGCTGCCCTGGAACAGACGGCCAAGGGACACCTGAAGATCTCGGAGGAGGGCAATAGACGAGGTGGATCCGTGGAACTCGATCGCCTTCGTTTGCCGGTCGGCGTCTGTGTCTTCCTCCTGGACCGGGGACACGAGGTCTTCGTATTGTTCATCCTCACCGACATGCGTGGCTGACAGGGTCGAGCTGGCAGTGTCTCCAGGCGGGTCCGCAGCAGACCCTTCTCCGGTGCTGAGGTTAATGTCGGCATCGGGGACAATTGCATCCGCGGAAGTAGTGGTACTTGCACCAGGAGGACCAGTAAATCCATTGGGAGGCAAGGCAGCCCGCACGGCATTCAACTGGGCGCTGAGATCTCGCACTTGTGATTCTAGGGTACGTATAGATCTAGAATGGTGGTCGTGGTGTTGTAGCCCGCATGTAAGTCTTTGTGTGCATCAAGAGGAATAATAGTTGTTGGCAGCCATATAACTCACTCTAACGACAAATCGTCATGCCGCCTGAATGATCCGTTCTGGTATACACACTGCAAAGTGGCTTCTAATCCGTCAATGAGTCGTTATTAGCAACCCATCAGCTGGCCCTAATAGTAGAAAGGGCACTGGTCGTTGACAAACACATTCTGCCATCCGGAATATCCGCATTTGGCGAGTACCAGGAGCATCAATCGTCAAATAACTTACTTGCACAGTGGCAGCACGGCAGCTCCTCATCACATTTGTACTTCTTGGCACGACACCTATCACAGGCACGAGCGGCGCGCAGACGTCTGCCCTTCCTCGGAGCCTGCTGTTGCTGAGCGCGTCGGATGCCAGGCGGATTCATGGTGGTGTTGGTGACTGGTGACGGAGCGGAAGCAAGCTCAATGCACACACAGATGAGTTTCGAGCAATAGCAGGGGGGAAGTGGACATTGGTCAGGGTCAAACCCCATTATTCATCCACATGCGGTCTTCCACCATTTTAAGGTTGCTCCTACCTCTATTTCTTCCCCATCAAACCGTACCATATCATCCCCTGGCAAGGTTTGCTGGTGGTACTTAGACGAAGACATGTACAACCAGACACCGCGGTGGGGCCGCAGCGGGGCCGAAATTATCGAACCCAGAATCGGAAGACCCTTGCTTGATTCTTTCTATACCATGACGGATGAACTGGGTAATGTAAACACCGGACGCAAGCACAGTCTTCCATGGTCTTTGTCAAGAGCAGAATATCCTCGTTTCTCTCCAGTTCTCTATTTCTCCGAGCAGTGTGCATATCACCCCCTACTTTACTATCCATTACCGAACTACATTATAGGCAAGCAAACGCAATCGCGGGCAATACCATCTCAATTCCAATATGTAGTAATCGATGTATGTACGTATCCATAACATTGAAATCCTATCCTGAACTCCAATGGTTTAAGACAATTAAACACAATCATCATGAGTCCCACCACCTAAATATAAAGCGGCTGGCTGGTGCAGGTCGTCAGGGGGAGGAGTCATCGCAGCGCCAAGGGGGGAAGAAAAAAAGGAAAATCCCGCCCGAATGGAAAACAGTGAGGACACATTCATGGAACTCCTTTGGTATCATCGATCGACGCCCTTACTCCTCAAGGTTACAAAACATCCACAGCCTTCTCTTTCTCCGTCTTCTCAGCACGCTCTATGTGACGCCGTTTACAGCGAGGCGTAGTCGTATTTAACCTCTTCGATATAAATTCATCATCACTGTCATTATGAGTCGCCGATGCGGTCTCTGGTCTTCTTCGTCGCCTTTGCCGTGCCAATGTGGGTGTTATGTACCTGTGTATAGTTAGCGCCACTGCTACTCTCCCTCGTAGAAAAGAATTTGGCTTACCTTGGTAGCAAATCTCAGACTGGTCAGTGTCTCCTTCAAGTGCGCCTCCAGAGGCGACACCATCACGAACATGAGTGTCTTGGAGTTGCCGCCCAGTGAGTTCTTCAGCAGATACGTCAACTGCGAGTTGCGGTAGGGGATGTGGCCGCTGCCCTTGCCCAGGGCCTCGATCACGTCACCTAGGCACGTCAAGCTCTTGTTGATGTTCTGCGTCTCCTTCATGCGGTCGCCCTCAGCGCCTGAGTGCTTTAGCCGCTCCGACCCTGCCAGGTCCACCAAGTTCAGCGTGCCCTCGCACCGCTCGTGCGTCGCCGAGTTCTCGCCAATCAGCTTCAGGATGAACACTGAGTGCGAGCGAGATGATCTCTCGTTGGCCTTAGTGGCTGCCACGGAGCGATTGTTCTGCGCGTGCTTGAGCATCTGCTCCACGGTGTCTTCCGAGTCGAGCGTCACACTCTTGCAGTTGAGCACAGTCGTGGTCTTGCGAGCCTCGTCGTGGCGGATCTCAGGTTTCCTCTTGCCCTCAGCCTCCTTTACCGGGGTCAACAGGTCGTGCAGCTCTTCGTTGTACACTTCGACAAAGTTGCCTTCCATAGTGTATGACCAAGACTTTTCCTTCAATTTGTTGACCGTGTCGTAGATCATCTTGGTCGCTCGCGGGATCATACCGTCCGTGGAGGACATTGTGTATGTCTTGCCTGAACCTGTTTGACCATAACAGAAGATGCACACATTGTAGCCATCCAGGGCACTTTGCACCAACTGCGCGATCTCGCCGAAGACCTCCTCGTTGTGTATCTGAGGGGTGAAGACGCGGTCGAACTCAAATGGATAAGTTTTGCTGCTAGCCTTGCCGAGGGCGTTCTTCTCCTCTGGCCCTTTAACGTAGATCTGTGCCGATGTCTTATCGTCGGGAAAGTCCAGTTCAGCAGTGGTGCCTTCGGAGTTATCGAGAACCGGCCTGACCCTGCACATAACTCGGATGTTGCCTTTCAATTCTTGATACTTGTTGAATAGGGCTCGTCGTTCCGTCTCCTCCTTGATCAGCTTTTGTCGGGCCTCATCGGCAACCACCAAAGCTTCTTGCATCCTCGCTTCCATCTCAGCAAATGAGTCCGATTGCTGCTTGCTGTCTGACTCCAAGAAGTGCACCTGTGCTTGGAGTGAGCGTACGGTGCCCTCGAGGGAGGTGTTGGTACCGAGCAATTCATCGACCTGTGTCTGCAGGTGAGCCTTCTGTTTTCGTTCGCGATCGAGATCTCCATTCAGGACGTCCATTTCTGCTCGAGTGTTCTGGATTTCGCGATCCTTGTTGTGGAGGGCGAGGTTCAGACCATCCTGTTCGGAGCCCAGTTTCGATTTCAACTCCTCAATCTCGCGGGCTGCCTGAAGTTTCTCGTCTTCCAGCTCAACCCGATAGTGCCTCTTCAACGCATCCAGCTCTTCCTGATGTTGCCTCTTCAACACATCCAGCTCTTCTTGATTTGCTCTGCTCAGGCGATCGGTCTGGACCTCCACGGTTCTTTGAAGCTCCTCCAAATCACTCCGATGCTCCCGAACCTTGTCTTCGAGCTCGTATTTGAATGATCTCCGTTCTTGTTCCAAGTCCAGTGTTAGCGATTGGAGCTGCTGCCTCATATTCTCGAGTTCATTCTGCAAACTCGTATTCTTTTCGTCTAGTCGATTCCGTTCTCGCTCGAGGTCGTTCGCTGGGAGAATGTCAGTGTTTTTGTATATGCCCGAGGCAGGACAGTATTTCCGCCAGACACCTACCTCTCGTTTTTGCCATTTCGATAACCTCCTCCATGGCCTTCTTGTCGGTCAAGGACACGTTCATGACCTCTTTCATGGCCTTAAATTGGGCCTCTACTTCCACGAGGCGCTCGTCCATGTCCCAAGCTGTGAATGCAGGCAGGTTAGAATCCTTAGTTAGAAATGACGCTTTTGAAGGAGATTTGGAAGGAGACTCCGGACACCTCCTGGTAGAAGCGAGCAGAGTATCCTCGAACCTGTCCAGCCACTCTCGGGCCTGTTCCACAGAGGGGGGAGGAGTCTTGGGCGGCGCCATTATGCTGGCCCTAGAATCCTCCTGGTGGGTGATTGGCGTTGCTGTGCCATCTTCTCTGCGTAGCTGAGACGGTCTGAAGGTGACGTTTTCCAGAAGAAAGTCTGATTGACGCAAGGAACTCGGACTGGGGGGACAGTTCTCTTTGGTCGAAACCGCTTGATTCCGTCTGAGAAAGCTACCGTTTGCACGCTCGTCGTCGAGACTCAAATTTCCCATCATGGTACTGATGGAGATATCTCTTGATGGCACTGAGGCTCGCGGCCCCATGTATTGAACTGAGGCAGCTTTTCTGAGCCTTCTTTCTGGCAAAGCAGAGGGAGCAGACTGGGTAGAAGATCGAGAAGAAGGGGGCAGCATCATACAAGTCTGCTTTCCAGTTGACAAGTCATCCTCCTCTTGGTGGTTGGTCATAGCGGTCTGAGGGCGGATTCGGCTTGACGCATTGGGTCGCTGTTTATTGTCTGTCGTGCGATGAAAGGACATGGACGTTTGGGCGCGTCCGATCATGGAGGCGGGGCGGCCGGCGTTCGGACCGACACTCTGAGTGAAGCTGTTGGGAGTAGCTCGGGAAGACATGGACTTGGATGACTGGTGGCGTGAGAGAGGCATTGCGGTCGAGGGGGGCTTGATCTATTGGAGGCAAGGTCAGTCACGGTAGCAAGACAGAAATTGATGCCCCGGCAGGTATTGAGAATGTCGACGACAGACTTCAGCTTCATAACGCAGTTCGATGGTGCCGCAGAACCCGTCTAGTACATATTTCTCAACAACGCAGAAGTCGTCAAGCTCCGTGGACCCGTGGTCGCCCATAGGCGTGTCTTCAACCTCCAGCCGTGCGTGGCGCAACGAAGGGGTCGCAGCCCGAAGCAGCTGCTTGGGTAGCGGAAGAAACCTCATCTTGGCAGGAAGTTGTGGTGTTTTACCGGTGACAAGGCTGGGGCGAAGAGGAGCTGCGATGCGCGTAGTAGAGGCGCAGGACCAGGCGCAGATCGAAGCTCTCATATATGCGGCTCTGGTCCTGGCTGAAGTACGGGGAGAACGAGCAGTGTGTGCGGTCCCTCCGTCCCAAGACAAGAGACAGGAGACAAGCGCGCTCTCAAAGAAAACCGCTGTCGGAGATCGAGACACGGTGCAAAACTTACCCCGGATTGTGAGGCGAGCGAGACACCTTTGTTGGCGGCTCTTGGAGCGGGTGTAGCAGTGGCGGAGTTTCTGCCTGGGAACTCGCCGGCCCTCTCCATCAAGGTCTTTCGTTGTTTCGGGTCAGGAAGCATCTGAGAGACTGTTTTCTGGTCAGTGTTGAGAAGCGCACTTATGTGCTGTTGGAGGCGCGTACCGCTGTTGGACTGAGGCCGCTTGATGCCGGATTGGGGCAGCATCGATGGCTGAGCTCTGACATTGTTTTGTGAGTCGGACATCTCGTTGAGGGTGGGTGGTCGCATGTTCGGCGCGGGCAGTCTGCTCCCTGGCGGGCGCAATTGGGAGGCACGCAGGTGCTGGAGGGTCGAAGGTGAGGTCAGCTGGATGCGACAAAGGAATGCGACAACATGTGGGTTGGTGTCTGCTTACCGCGTTTCCTGCTTGTTCTTCCATGGTGTAGTGGGTAATGATGCGCTGTCGGGGGAGGACGAGATGGAACAGGAAGATGGAAGCGAGGAGCGACGCCCCGTTCAGCGAAGAGGTTGAGGCAGGCAGGGTGAGCAACTTGTATCCGTGAGGATCCGCAGGAGGGGGTGGTTGGACGAGTTAGAGCAGGGCAGGTCGAGACAGGGCAGGACAGGGTCTAGATAGGGGGGGCTGTCGAGGTCATGGAGCATGTGCTGCTGTGAGGGTGTGCAAGTCGAGCCGGTTCGAGGTGGAGTTGCTGGTTGGCTGTCGACTCGCCGTCCCTGGGTTAGGATTTCTGACGTGCACTTTGCAATTATTTACGCGGGATTTGGCGGTTGCGAGGAGCAACGAGGTGGGTGCGGGTCGGGACTGGGGGTCCATTGGCTGCAGCAGGCCCACCCCTGCACATGGTGAGGAGGTGGGGGTGCTTGGCTGCATACACCCGCTCAATCCAACCTCCTAAATATGTCAAAGGGACGCATTGAAATAATGAGTTATCTGATGTCCAGTTTGACTGCTTTGCATATGATTTCCATAATGATAACAGTCTAGACTTGGTCAAAGCTCCTCTCTCTCTCCCGCTGCACACTCACATGCTAGTACCATCTAGGTACCCACATGCTCAATCAAGATGGTGTAGCTTATATCCCAGAGCTTCCAGGAGCAGGCGACCGATGTCCAACGCTTTGTCGGTCTTCTTCCTAGGCTGCACGAGTATCTTCTTCTCCTCAATCAGTTTTCCCAACTCGGCCCGAGATGCTGTGATTCGACGGACTTCCTTGGGACTGGTGTGCTTCATTATTGCCGCATGCGCGGGTACACCACGGCTCGACTGGACCAGGACATCAGCCCATGTCGAAGAGGACGCCCATCGCTCACGCTCTTCCGGCCGCATCTTGGCCATGTATGTCGATTTGAACCACTTCGAAAACTCTTCCCCGCTCGCAAAGGGTTCAAGGGCCTTCTTCTCCGCCGCTCTCCTTGCATTCTCAGCTTCTTTCTTCGCAACCTCCAGGCTTCGTGCCAGTTCCACGAGCATGATCTCGGTCGTGATTGCCAGACCATTGATGGCATCGATCATCCTCTTCATGGTTGGCGTGGCAAGAATTTCGGCTGGCCTCTTGTAGATGATATCGTGCTGTACCTCGCCCCAAGCCTGTGTTACCACCGTTCCGACCTGTATCTCGACTCGGAGGGGTTTGAGGTTCTCGGGCAAACTGCTGCTCGCCCTCCATTTGACCACCATCTGCCATGATTTGTATCCATAGTGTTGCCAATGCTCAATGTCCCCATTGAGATCTCGAGACTGCCACGGCCCGTTGGCGTGTTGCTGGACATCCAAGTTTCTGCCCTGGGCTGGGTCCCGCCCACCCGTGACCGTACCAAAGAGATGTTGTCTGTCGAAGTGTTTGTCGAGTTCCTTGGAAACTTTGATGACATCGTCGGGGAGATACAGACCAATACGTACCCCAGCAAGGTCACCCATCTCGCTATGTCTAAGGATGTCATTTTCCTTTTTGGAAACCCAGTCTCGAAACTCGGTATCTCTCGCCATTTCATTCAATTTCTTCTCCAATGATTGATAGCGCTTCGTTCTGCTCTGCACCACTCCTTTGACATGGATTCTCTCCAGTATATTTTCACATTCTTTCCTGGTGAGCGCAGCAAGCTTCTCAAATCGCTCTTGAGTTCCCTGCTTTTTGTAATTCTGGAGGAACTCTGCCACTACCTTGTCGTACTGACTGGGATTGCCCACTGGAGCCATGGCGGAGATTATTTCGAAAACCGAGAAAGTAGATACTCTAATTGGGGACAGTGGTCTCAGGCGCAGAACAGGAGTAGATCAAGGCTCACAGTATAATTTGTCAAGTCAGTACGAATCAAGCAAGATATTCATTGCAGACGGCCATTTATATCTATGAATGGCTGCACATCGTCGGACACACCCAAATGCTGACCAGCTTTCAGCCTCAACCGCATCCATCAGAGACGCGGCAAGTGGTGCCCCAAAAATAAATCTTGGATCAAAATAAGGCTAGCAAGTGCCAAGCTCTGGGACGACTCCTGGCTTCAAAATATATGTGCAACAGAGGCAAGCTTTGGGGCGGGGGCCACAAAGCAGACATAGGTAAGCTGCCACAAACGGTCAGCTCCAGATCATATAGCTCAGGTGAACAATCCAAATAAAGCGTCATGCAGCCAAGTTGGATGGTTGCACAGACCCAATAAGGCACAAACCTGCAGATGTCAAGCCACGAGGCAAAGTAATCAGGCAGGTTATTGGTGCATCCGACCTTCAGGCAGGAAAAGGAGGGCAGATGTGTTTTGATGACTGGCCAACCTTTTCACGGTCTGGCCAGAATTCAACCATTCAACACTTTTACAATTCGTCATTCGGTAGCCATTTCTCTGTGAGATTGAGAAGATCATATTTCTGTCTATGAACCGTCTTGCTTGGACACGAGGCTGAGCTGACACCGAAGGAATTCGCCCCCCACCCTTTCACCCCTCTTTCTATGCCACCCCTCCCTCAGTCTGCCTCCCATAGACAGTCCCATGCCACAGCCCACCCAAATCGCTATGCATAAGCGTCAGCACCAATATAAAGCTTTGGCAATCAGAAATACTATTCGGATACTGACCCTAGAACCCGGTCAAGAGGATAATCTGTTGACGGGGACATTACAAGCTGTTCACATTGACTCTGCAGGTAGCTACGAGGCACTGTCGTACGTGTGGTCAGATCCAGGACCTGCAGACTGTGGGTACGAGATCTTGATCCGCGATGGCGACAGCCAAGGGTTTCTGACGCTGAGAGGGGGGTCAATATACGCAGCCTTGTGCCGTCTGCGCTTTCCAGATAGGAGACGTCGGATCTGGGCTGATCAGATCTGTATAAATCAGGACGATCTGGTGGAACGAGGCCAGCAGGTACCTTTCATGAACAGGATCTTTCGTGATGCGGCTCATGTCCTGGTATGGCTCGGTTCGGACACAAACAACGAGGCGGTGTTCGCTTTCGATCTCATTCGTGAGCTTGATGGGACCCTCGCAAATCATTCGGCACATGCTACCCTTCGTGGTCCAGATACCGTGGGGCTGGAAAAGCACATTAGAGATAACCACAAGGCCCTCCAAGCCTTGACCGACCGCGCGTGGGTGAGTTAGACGGATATACCACCAGACTCAAAGCGATCGGATACTGAAATGACATATAGTTCAAGCGCGGATGGATCGTGCAAGAGATCGGAACCAGCACGCCAGCAACCATGATCTGGGGCGACGCCACGATCGACTGGGACACGCTGGCGAGTGTGTGCGAGCAGCTGAAGGGATACCACCACCTGCGCAGCGCGCTGGGGATCTCCACGTCGGACATCTCCTTCTTGTACCGGCGGTTCATCGAGCCGGACGAGAACACCCACCACGCAAACCGCTTCAACTTCGTGTACGAGCTCCAGCGGGGCCGCCACCTCCGCTTCAGTGACGACAGGGACCGTGTGTTTGTGTACCTCGGCCACTTCTCCATCCACACGCGCCATCGCCTCGGGTGCGGCCCCCTCTCTATCAGGGCCGACTACACGAAGACTGTCGAGCAAACGTACATCAACGTTGCGGTGCAGGTATTGCGGGCGAACCCAGCCTCGGCGTGTATTGTGCTTGCAGCAGTCCAACATCCTCGCCATGGGCTGCCCTCCTTCGTCGGGCGAGGAGCAAAGACAGACATGATCCCGGAGCCTCGGCCCCAGGACAGGCATAGTCTCTCATCCTGGATTCCGGACTGGAGGCACTCCGAGGGAATCATCCTCGCAGAGCCCGTCTGCCCGCACCTCGCGCACGGCAAATCGACAACACGGCTCGAAATCGTGGAGCACGACGGTCTTGTCCTTCGGGTTGACGGTGTGAAAATCGATTCCATCGAGGCGTGCTCCATGCCACTCCAAGACCGTGATTTCTATGGAAAGAAGACGCCCGGCAGGCCTCCCACGACGATAGAGCGGCTCTGGCATGATATCTGCCGTAAAGGAGGCTTCAGCCTAGAGGACCATTACTTGGACGGCCAGGCGGCCTTCTTTGCGTTCATGCAGACTCTCAGCAATGGCTGTGTCCAAGCCGCAGGTCACGAGTGCAAACCATACCACGAGGTTCCGGACTTTTTGTGGCTGCAGAAGGCAGCAAGGTACATCGTGGAAACCCTTGGGGCATCCGACGATGTTTCAGAGGGCGTACAGAGCGTGGCAGAGGGGAAAGGGCGTGAAGGTGTCCACGAAACGTGGAGTCGATGGGCAGCCTCGGCTGCAGATGGCCGGATATTTGCGAGAACAAGAAGCGGATACTACGTGCTTGGGCCGGCAGCTTTGGAAGTCGGGGATGTTGTGTGTATTCTGTTTGGCTGTAAGGTACCGTTTTGTCTGAGACCTATGGGGGAGCGCCACTTGCTTGTAGGTGAGTGCTATGTCCACGGGCTAATGAATGGAGAGGCGATGGACATGTTGGCTCGAGACGAACTGCACAAGAAGACCTTTGATATTGTCTGACCAGTCTTCATTTACATCTCGGCGTAATCTGACTTCTTGATGCGTCTACTTTCCTCTGACGTGGCTGAAACTCTGAAGTACTGTACACTTAACCTCGCTCGTGGTAAAGTCCAAGTCCATACCGTCTGCCTTACTCGACTTCACTTCGTCCTCGGTAGCCCAGATGAACCGTTGATGCTCCTCAGGATTCAGCCTGACCGCCGGCGGAGCCTCACTGTCGACCCTCACTTGCACAGCGAAGTTGAACTGGCACACCTTCTTCCCATCGCTGAGGGTGAAAAAGTAGGGGTCGCCAGCAGGCCCCTCGATCCGGGAGGCCTGAAGACCGGCCTCCTCCCATAGCTCACGAGCAGCAGCATGCAGGATGCTCTGGTCTTCGTCGTCGCATGCGCCGCCTGGAGGCTCCCACTTGTTGGGGTCTTCGTCGCTAGCAGCGCGCTGGAGGAGAAGAACGCGGGGCTTGGATGCAGTTGTGTCCAAAACGAGCGTGCTTGTTGCGATGTAGCCAAAGGGCGCGCCTGGATGAGCGGCAAGATATGACTGTTTAGAGACGGCGAATTCTGCGACAGAGGGATCAAAATTGAAGTCGAATATCGGGCTTCCGGCCATTGTTGCTCCTTGTCTCTCACGGATCAAAGTACAGGTCTATCACTCTAGAGGTCCATCCAGACTCGAGGGGTCCCGGTGAAGAAGACGGTTACTTTTGTATTTGAACCATGTAGGCAGCAGCCGAGGCCTACGGCACTGAGGTACCTGGGTATCTAACTTTGCTTTTTGTTGCCCTGGGACAGTGTACTTTTCCCACAGTACTAGGGAAAGTGTAAAACGTCGAATTGGTGACGTTCAAATACATACTCTGCACACGTGAGATGTTAGTATAATTACACAAACGCTAAGCACGCTGCGCAGTCAACACGCACAGTACCTAAGTACCTAAGATCAGCGGCAAACTCCGCAGCCCCAGCCCCAGAACCAACCCCTGAGGCCGCGGAGTAGTCCCCCAAGCTTGCAGGCTCGACTTCCACACTCGCCCTGCCTGCTTCGCAATCAATCCTGCAACCATGAACTTCAAAGTCTTTGTTCGCAGATGATTGAACCGCACACGGAAGCAGAACAGCCCGCAGGAACTCCAAGGGTAAGCGTCGCCGCTAGGTTGTTTGCCCCAATAGTCCTATTGCCCAAGGGCTACGCGACTGACCATCCCCCCACCGTTGAGACGGAGGGACTCGTGGAACACCAAGTCGAGATGTGGGCAGGTCTCCATGAGGAACTTGATGTCTAGATACCCTGAGTGCTGCTAGACAGCCTCAGTCTTTAGTCTCAAGAGGAGTGCGAGGACTTGAGTTATCCTTGCCATGTCCGCCTTCTAATGTCCTTAGCAAATGCCTCAGCCGGTCTCCATGCAAAGCTTCAAGCATACATGTGCCAATGGTCATCTACTGGTGGAACAACACCCTGCTCCTCGGTAGCGAAGCTCAGATGTCTCAGCTCAACTCCCTCTTCCATGTCCCCGAATTGCGCGTAAAATTCATCCGGCATGCGCACCACGCCCCAGCGGATCCTACTCTTAGACAGTCTTGTCCGAAATTGCATGTCGTCCTCTTCAGTATCAGTACCGTCTTCGAGTCTGCGTGCAGCTGCTAACCTGTCGTCGGTACTACCAGGTTCCAGGTAGCTCGCTGTATCTCCGCCGTGGTCGCCGGCGGCGCGAGGTGAGGTGCTGAGACGTCGCGACTCCGCGTCTACATCGCCCTGGGCCACGACTGCCGATGCTGCAGTGACTTTGCTATCATCCGAGGCTGCATTACTATTTTGCCTGAGATGATTAGTGGTGATGCTTTCCCGGGTTGACCAGGCTGAGGAAAGGGGCTGCTCCTCAACGTACCAGCTGTCTTCAGACGCGGTTGTGCTGTTTCCATCCAGGTTCGTGGAGTGACCACTGCTTCTGTATGCCGGGTGCGGTGCAAGGAGATGCTGCGTAGCCTGATCTTTGATAATAGGGTTGTTCTCAGGAGATGCCCTAGCTTCGATGTTTGGGATATTCTCAGCCGGTACATCGCTGTGTATGTGCTCTGATTGAGTTGTGGAACAGCCAGATATGGGAGAACACCTGCAGGACTCTGAGACCAATGGCTGCAACTCGAGGCTTTCTTCTAGAATAGCGGATATAACAGCGGTAGTGTTGCGACTCCAGTCGCCTGTATTATCAACTGGTCCTGGGTTGTCATCGTAGCCATTCTCATCCCGGGTCGTCGACTTGGACCAGCTAGATGGCGAGTGGAAGTTGCGAATCGTTGAAACGTGACAAGCCGCAGAGATGATCAGCGAGTTGGATCGCGAGATGATCATGGAACCTCGGAGGCTTGTTAAGCCGAGCAGCAGCGGCAGTAGCACTAGAACAAGGGATATAGTGAAACCGATAATGATGGCGGGCGAAGAATAGCCAACAAGCATGACAGAATCGGATTTTTGAAGGTCGAGTGGGCTATAATAGCCTACATAACTTTAGTCGTTACTCATGTATATAAACATCGGCGGAACTCAGGCTGCCGAAGTTACACAAATGGTATACTGAAGATGATGGAGGTCACAAAGAAGAAATAGAGGAGAGATAGTTCCAGAAGTCTAAATAGCGCAAACTTACCTCCTTTACTCATGAAAAGGAAAATAGCATTCGAGGTGATCCAATGCAGAAGAATGCTGGTGATCAATAATGGAATACTGTATCGGTATGGCAACTGAAGTCGAAAGGTCGACCACTGCTCTCCTTGGGGATGCGTTACCCGCAGCGGGCGATAGCTCATGCTAAACGATTGCCACTCTGACTCTGTGAGCAATCGCGTGTACAGTGCGTTGTATGTGAAATAGGCACAAGACAGGATGAGCTGGGGTATATTGGGCAGCATTACAGAGGCAACAAAATTTCCCTTTGGAAACCAGGATGCTTTCAATACTCCCCCATTAAGAATATTCTGTTCGTGCGAGAATATGCTGCGGATGTTAGAGCTACAGCTAGCTTGTTAGTTTTATCAACTTTACCAACATCAATTAGGAGCGTTACTAATGCGCGGACTTACACAGCCGATACGGGATAACCATCGAGTGCGCGTCTCATCATGAATCCCAAAACTATGAGGAGAAGGGAGAAAAAGGCGTAATTTCTCAACCACAATGCTGGTGATGCTGTATGTGCGAACCTATTTAGTCGTTGCTGCCATTGATTAGGTGTCCGATTCGAGAGCCCAAAGCGGATATCCGGGGTTGTTGCCGCGCATCTGCCAATTGTGGTCGAGTCGGGGATGCGAATGAAGGAGGCCACTGCGTCACCTGGCGTCACTAAAGGATCATCTCTCAGCGCGGCGACAACAATTATGCAGAGCAGAAGCTTGATGAAGACACAAATGGTCACCACAAGAAGAAGCAAATTGGATATTCCTAATTCGCAGCCTGGTTCAAAAGGTTCGGCGAGACAGTATTTCACGCGGATGTCGTTTGCGAGGTTGTTTGAATATGAAGGCCGCGGAAGACCCGTGCACCAGTATGGCCACGACCCAAGGTCGTCAAAGTATCCTTGGGCCCACTGCCGCGCTGTATTCGAGTTGTTGTTGGGACCCCAAGGAGGCCCCCAAGTAGAATTCGATCCATTTACATGCCACCACGAATATTCCCACGTAGAAGTCGCCCCTTGCTTGTCGTTTATCGGTTCGTGGATCGAGTCAGCTCTTCCAAGTGAATTTCCGCAAGTGTTGTAACATCCATTAGAAGACGTTGGATCCGTAGTTTTGTAGCATCCTGAGCTGAACCATAGTGAATTCGGTTGCCGGTCCCAAGAGCTTCCAAGAAAGGGCTCCCATATAGAGCTAAAGTGGTCCCAGCTGAACTCGTTGTCGATGTCCGGTGACACTCTCGAGTCGTAAACATCCCCAAAGGCATCCCACATGTTATAGATGTTCTCAACGACCCAGCCTTGGAAGTCTATTGGCTCGCCAGCTGCATCGATAACCAAAAGAAGATCTCTATATTTCCGTAATCCTTGACATGTAAGGTACTCAGACTTACAATCACTGACAGATAATCGCTGCGTGGCGGCGCCCAGAACAGCACTGAGCCGTTGTGATGAGTCATAAAAGTCGGAACCGGCCTCGCTGTCAGTCCTGTAATCGCCATTGCCATAACTGTAAATCTTCCTGCCCGGAAGGCCTGAGAGTTCCTGACAACTTGTTCCTTCCAGAACTAGCGCCGCTCCAGGAAAGGAGTACGGGGCCCCATTTAGAAAGGATTCCGAAACGAGCGCCATAGACCAGGCTGAGCCACTGTAATCCACGCTGAATATGGCGGAGTTGAACAACAGATGAATTGGGAGAGAGCTTAAGCTAAACAGCACCCAGACCAGGGACTTATAAGGAGAAACGTTCAGGACGTTCCGGAGCGAAGGCACGCCGATCTCAAACCAGCGTTTACATGCATGTGCTTGATCCACCTCGGCTCGAGTCGGTGAGTTCAAAACTTGCATAAAGAAGTTGGACGAAGCAATGATAAGGCTGGAAGCGATATTGAGTAATAAATGTAGGAATGTGTTGAGCAATGAAACCTTGCTGCAATCATCTGCGCGAAATGTGTTGTTTTCGTAGAGGCCACTCTTGGTTAGGGACCAAATTAGAGTAGACAGGTTTGCAATAGCAAAGAAGCCCACGACACTCGTGTTTATAACGGCTGTCTTTCGCCATCCGTCCGAAGGCAAGCGAAGCAGCTTGGAAAGATCCATAGCGGAGAGATCTGCATTGATGCGTTTTGTAGAAAAGGAGTAACAGACGAGGTGCGCTGCTGAGATTCAAAGCTAAATATGATTATACCTCGGTAGTTACACAGCAAGGCTGCATAGTCAATGCAGGCTTCAATGCAGGCTGCCAAGTCTGAGACGGCTGTCATGTCTGAGACGGCTGGCCGCGAGATGACCGTTAAGTCCTTGTATTCGTGTCTAGTAAGGGCTATAATTTCCCGAGCTGAAAATACGTGTGAGACATGGTGGCAATGTACATGCGAGGTAACAATCAAAGCCTGGATAAGGCGTTCAACGTCGTTTGCGCAACATTGCTCTCAAAGATTCAAAACTTCGAACTTCGATTGAAACAGACATAGCGAAGGAACTGAAAAAAGCTCGATAGATTTATATGTTAGATACGTTTTCTTTGGGCTTGGAAGCTGACCGAGTTGAACAGACCTGAGATGGGTAGCGCCTGTGATTTGTAAATTTTCATCAGTGTGTTTGCATACTTGAGACAGCCTTGAGGCAGGCTCTCCTGACCAAGAATAGATCAAGGTGTCTCTGAGCTCCACATGCTCGCCTGGAGACGAAGTATGGGGGTGACTGGAATGAAAATGTCTTTATTTTGTGGCTGGGTCAAAAAAAAAAAAGAAATGAAAAAAACAGGAAGGAGCAGCTTCCCAGCTTACAGGCTACGAGGCCGGGTGTGACGGGCAAGTGGCCCCCCGCCTGCAGCCAGGAGGCCCTTAGCGCTTGAGTGTTCGAGGCGAATAGAACCCAATAATCTTTCGAACACTTTTTTCTAAAACAATTTTTCAACAGTGTAGCTCTCGCTTCCTACTGCATGCGACCTGTATCTCGTCTTTAAAAGCTCTCGAGTCCGCCACATCTTAAGAATGACTGGTATTAACACCCATTGGGCATCTAGACATCTACGGTGCCTATTTGATACCTACTTAAGTAAGCTGTCATTAATGATACCGAAATGGATATGGGCAGCCACAGCGGCTTAGCAGCAAATATAAAACTGATAAAGGTGAAGAATGCCGGCCAGGGCCGGTCTACGCTCCCATGGAGTTTCGCCCACCTCCCTTCCTCCATTCTACCGTTCGCTCACATACATGATCATTGGAGGCTCCTCTCTAATCACAATTCCTTTCTGCTTCATCGAGCCACTGACTAGCGATGGAGTGGCTCTGAAGCTTCTATCATCCCCTTCTACAAATTCATTTATCCTACCAAAACTGGTGACATACTGCCGCTGATGAAAGGTACTTAGGCCGAAAGGATTCAAATACTTGTACCTGAATATCATAATCACTTTTCGATCAGAATATGTAACAATTTTGGCGGAACGACGAGCCAAATCTGATATTCGTCAAGCAGTGAAATGAGCGCAGCATCATTCGGCCCACACGCGATATATCTGGGTAAAGTTCTTAGGCGCCATGCGCGTCAATCTGGCCATCCCGCATTTTTCATCTGAGTTCAGGACGTAAGTTAGCCGTATAACTAACAGTCTACTCGTTTAGCCATTCCTTGCGCAAGGCACCTAGCCACTCGCTCGTCAGCCCTGAACGCCCGCCTGAGGGATTGGACGTTATAATGTTAAGATCCACCTTGATTGGCCATGCTTGGAACCAAGCATGACCAGGATTACAACGCCGCTCTTCAAGACTCGAAGCCCTGACCTTATCCAGGCAAGTGGCGCAGAAGTTGACACAGTAGCATACTTCGCAGAAGAACCTGGACTATTTGTAAGTAATACGCCAAGCGACGTACTTGTGTGTACGCTGTTATCTTCACTCACATCGTTCCCGCATCCTCGGCATCAAGTCCGCAGCCGTCACAAGTGTAGTTCCACGCGTCAGACTCGAGCTGCAGTGCTAGGCTGGAAGCCTGCCCCTTTCTTTCCACCGTATCGCGCCCCTTTACTACACAATTGTTCGGACCAACAAGAGGCCTCTCATCACCGTCCGTTAGTGAATCGTCGGAGTCTGGCATTTCTGTCTGAGGCGTGACAGAGTCGGTTTCCTTCACAGCGTGACTGCTATCATCCTCCTCTAAAACATGGGACTTTGAGTAATTCTCTTCTGACTTCTCAGCCATATACTTCTCCAGTGTCCCAAAGAGTACGGCAAGTATAAGTCCAGCGTTCTTGCGATCGCCGGCCTGAAATAAGCTGACGGCAAGCTGTTGGCACGCGGCAGTGTCGTTGGCGGGATCATCGTCAGAAAGGCCATTCATCTGCTCTAGGATCCTGGCCCGGAAACACTTGCGCCAAACAGCTGGCGCAGCCTTTTCATAGTCGCGAAGCCAGCGGCCATAAAGCAGCGAAGGGAACCCCGGTGTGTAAAGCGAAAATACATCCCCGTCTCCGTCGGGGTCTACGGAAGTCGTTGACGCGAGTTGCTTCAATTTCATCATCGCTTCATTTGTCTCCGCGTTGGCTGTCCTGGGCTTCAGTGACATGCGCACCCTACAAAGAGACGGATGTGCACTTACCTTTGTAATTCTGGACCGCAATGTCAAAGTGCACTTGCGCCGTTATATTGGTGTAAATCATCTTTTCGTCCGCCCATCTACGTCGAAGGGCTGTACTGGCGTTGCTCAAGTGGGACAGAGCCTCCTCCCACATGCGGATAGGCTCATCGTCTTGATCGTAGAATCGGTGGCAGAACTCCCCAAAGCACAGCAACTTCTCCACCAACGAAGACTCGTCGCCCGACTGTCTGACACGCTGCAAAGCCTGGTTCATAGCATCGAGGATAAATCCAGGCTGGCTTTGGGCCCGACAGGCACGTCCCATTTGCCACCAACATGGCTCGTTGTACTCGCTAAAGTACTTGGCAAGTTGCGTGGCACCGTAACCATCGTCCGAATCCACATAATACTCGAGCAAGCATACGACTCCCTTCCAGTCCTCAGCCTGAATTAATGATTGCATATACGAGTTCACGGCGGGCAAGCTAGATCGGTTCTTTTCCCATGCCCTGAGTGAAAATTGTCAGCATTGTTCATCATTCTGGAGAGTCGGGCTGAGGGTTACAAACATCTTCGCCGATTCCGAAGCACCTGCATGGTCACCCAGATCTTGCTTCCATCCCGCTATATGAGCAATGAGGAAAGCATCGATTCCAGGGATGTCGTCCGTCTTGTAGAGTGCTTCAAGTGCCCTTTCCATCCAAGCTATTGCACTCTCATACTGACCTTCGCTGCCTATACTTCGTGCCATGGCTTCCATTGCTACCCAAGCGTCGGGGTCCTGTCATGTGTCAGCGAAGACATATTGTGGGCCGCTGATCCTGACGCGGGATGTGACGCACCAATTCAATCGCCTGGGCTAAGACATTCTGAGCACGAGCTGTCTCGGACGCTTCCCACAATATCCAACCCAGACCTGTATACCAGTGGGTCATCTTAGGGAGCTGTGCCCATTCCGCGAGGTCTTCAATCTCGTCGGCACTGATAAAGCCGAATTGACTGTCCCGGGCCCATATCCAGTTCGACAGTTGTTTCGATATGTTGCCCTGCTCGTCCAGTGATCTGTAGCCTTTCAAGAACCATACCTGGAACTCAGATTTGTCCAGAAAGGCCGCGTCTCCCCATCCCTTTTTGGTTAGCCAGATCTTTGCCGCCGTCATTGCGAGGGGCTCCAGAAGTTTAGGCACGGATGCCGAAACGTCTCGCATCCAGGACCTCTTGATTGGGCTTATACCTTGAAGGCTGTCTGCCATTGCAAACCAACGCTGTAAGAGGGATGTTGTGCGCTTGTTCGCCAACCACAACTCCCAGAAGGTGTCGCATTCCCCATTATCGCGCCCAGCAAGAGCGGCGAAGAGAGTTCGGCAACCGCGTTCCTCGTCTACACCAGATCAGCATCTGAGTCCCGAGATTCGCTCCTATGAATCTGGATACAAACATACACATTAACCAGTAAAGCTCTTCCAAGATGTGGGCTTTCGCAACGTCATCCAGGCGTCTCTCATCTACAGCAGCGAGGTGACTGAATATGTGGAACGCTGGGTATGCAACGTAGTTCTCAACAAACGTTTCTGTGGGCAAGATGTTAGGCTGAGTATCAGTTGAGAATACACATGGTGACGGAAACATACCATTATCCAGTGCGGCATGGAGAACCTTGAAGCCTTCCATTACCAGCTGTAAGTCAACGCTGTGAATATCGATGCCGATCGGCAATGGTCCTTTGAGGCGCTTCTCTGGGTTGCCTTCTAGGACGAGGAAGTCACGGAAGCGTTGATGGCTGAAATCTATCACGGTGTGCTTTTGGGCCCAAGTGTATAGTTGATCGGCGTCGGAGACCTTGTGAACTTCAGAATGATACCTGGCTTCCTCAATCCCACCACCGTCAGAGTTCCCATCGTTAGCTACCTCTTTCTCGTCAACAATGTCTTCATCGCTAGAATCACCAAGGCTGAGATTATCGTCGTTTTCGTCTTCAGTCGACGTCGATTGCTCCTGGCCAGCGTCCGAAGAAGCGCTCCCATTATCGTCATCACCATCAACCTGTTCGGCACTCCAATTACTTGGATATCGAAGGCGAAACATGGAGGCGAACTTCCCCCGTACATGATTCCATAGGAACCAATTTGTCTGTGTGGAGCCAAGTCTAAGTATAACGTCCAGTTCACCAAAATTGAGCGGCCGCCTGGCGAAGGCCACCCAGGCAAGTAGCCTGTTAGCCACCTCCACATCAATCTCTGGGTCTCGAGATAGCCTGTCAAACACCGAGTATATCATATCGTACAGGTTCAGGGGAGGGCTGGCAAGAATTTTGTTGATCTGTGACTCGTCCTTGGCTTCCATCTGGTCAAGGAGCAACTGTGCCTGTAGTGCTTGTCAGAAAGAGGGCTGAATCAATGAAGAGCATAAATAAGAAGATACACACCCAGAGGAACACCCCGCCAGCACCATCCAATACCTTTCGGCGGATACCACGAGCGAATTTCCTAGCCTTCTCCTGTCCACCCGGCGTTTTGCGCCTCATGGCTTTGACTATGTCAAGTTCCTTCACCCGGTTGATGATGTAGTTGCTCATGTCTTGGTGGTTCTTCGACGGCGACACCTCGATTATCTTCTCCTCCCGGTCGAGCTTGACGCGCTTCAGCTCTGATCTCAACGTCGATCGCCCGAAGACAGCGAGTTGGATCCGATGGGGCATGCCGCTCCGCACGCGGGAAACATAATCTTTCATGAGGCGCAGGATCCTTCTCTGCGCATCGACGCTGGCCTCATCTAGACCATCGAGTACCAGAATAGCCCGGCGGTCGTCGCTCAGTGAGCCTTGATAGTAATCCAGAAACAGGTTCTCCCATGTGTCCTCGGCGCGTACTACCTTGTGGTCAAACTCACAAGATCTGGCAGCGTGATTCCGGAACATAGCATCCGTCTGTTGTATCTGCCAAGCCATCGTCTTGAAGATATTATTGGGGTTCCGGAGATCCTCAACGTTCTCTTTGATGAAGAAGTAACCGATCGAAGTCCCGGAGTACGTCTCTGACTTGGACTCGAATTGTTCGTGGAGCAGTGAGACGAGCCACGTGGACAACATAGTTTTGCCTGACCCGGGTCCTCCGAAGACCCAGAGAATGGGAGCCCGATGCTGCATCCAGTAAGCAAAGAATCCTTCGTTTTGAAGCCATGAGCCACTCCCTTGGAGCAATTTTCTCCGGAACCAAGAGTACCAATCATCAGTACTGGCTACGGCAGTCGTCTTGAGCGTATGTTGTAGGTTCTCAATGAGTCGAGCATCGGCCTGCAATTTCGTGCTTGCCTGAACCGCAGTGGACAGCTGTTTGAAATCCTCCTTGAACTCCTCAACCGTCACCTTGGTCTCGGCTCCAAGCCTCGCCGCGTCCGTGACTTTCTCATAGGTCAGTGCAACGACAAGACGTTGCTCGTTCGTCAGGAGCTTGTTGAGGTCTTCCACGAGAGCACGTGTCTTTTCGTCCTTGCCGATGAATGAGACTCGGAGATATTCACCTGGATATCGTTAGCTCTGAGCTTTGACAACTGGGGGCGAAACTATCTTTGAGGGGCCGGGGGAGGCGGCCGGGGGTTGAGAAGCCTCTACTCACGAAATCTATTCCTCTTGATCAATAGCTCCGACCTTCCTATGATGCGCAGGATACTCAAAAGTTCTTAGCAAGGGATCGGGAAGAAGTAACGAATCTCCACTTACAAGGCCAAGATTGCGACAATCTTACGTTTGAGCGCATTGTTTATTGGGTTTTCCCCGTATATTTGAAGTCGCACACAGAATTCCCCAAGCTCGCCGTCGGACAAAATGTTCTCTATCCAGTCGTACGCCTGCGTCACGCCCTGACAAGACTGCCGAGTAATTAGCAACTCATGAGTCCCTTGCCAACTGGGACCTCCACGAACGACACCTTACCGAGACGAGGTGTAGAACGCTCGTCAACACAATAGACGCAGGGGCCCCAAGCGGGTTGTAAGAACCCAGAATGGTGCTAACAAGTTTCCCTGTTGTCGCGATGGGATTGACGAAACGCTGCAGCCTTGACCACAATTTGTTGTGCCTCTCCCGAAACGAGGTGAAGTCGCCGCCCCTCTTTTCGATCAGGCGCAGGAGGTCCTCTGCATTGTGCAGCTGGGCCTCCTCTGAGTCGAGCTTCAGCGGATGTTCGGACTCGCGCTCGTAGGCCTTAACGGCCTCCTCCCAGAATGGACCGAGGTCGTTTAAGTTTTCTTCGACCATGTTACACTCTAGTCATTCGATGACGGAGATTCGATATTCACAAAAGTGCAGAAACTATAGGTAAAGCGTGTGAAGACACTGGACTTTATTGCTCTATACAGCCTCGAAGGGCAGGCTTTGGATCCTTTGGAATCCTTTGAGGGCCCATGCTTCTCTTGTCTGCATGAATGGTTACATTGAGGGTTTCATGATCGCATACGCCTCCTTCACTTCCTGAACGGTTCTTTTGTAGCTGGGCAGCGATCCCACCAACGTGGCCAATAGCACACGCTGCCGGTACACTGCCGCGCTGTGTTAGCGCAGTGTTGCTGGTCCTGCAGGTACCACTTGTCCGTGAGTGCTGAGTGGAGCTCGTCCGTAAGCGGAGGTCGGGGCCCAGCTATGAATCGTCAGTCGGATACTTGAATTCGAAATCAAAATTATCTTACGAGGGAAAGATGATAATTTTGGCACAGTACCAAGTCAAACTTGATATTCTTCCAATGTACTCGACATGTCGGATGTATTGACGTCCAGGAACTCCAGAATCCTCGTAACTGCTTGCTGGTCCCCTTCCACAGTATTCTGCAAGTTCTCATCCACCCAGCCTTCTGACCAACCACCTCCAAAGTCGATTAACCACGCATCGTTGCTTAAGTCGATAACCACGTTGCTCGGCTTTGCATCACCCCAAACAACTTCAATTCTGTGGAGTATTTCGACAGTCTCCTTTATTTGGCGTCCTATTTTTTGCCGTATTTCCTTCGGAAAATCTGGAAATCCTGCCTCCTTGAGATCCTTTAGGGTATCTTTAGAGGGTACCCACTCCCGTAAGAACCCAAGTATAGCGCCAGATCTTGGGTGCTTCACGTAGCCTAGCAGCTTTGGTACAGAAACCCTGCCTAGGAATGCTTGCGAGATTTTCTGTAAACAGTCGATCTCTCGCTTAAGATTATAGTTCTTAAGACCATCGTGCTGAGCTTTGCAAAGCATTTGGTAGCTATCAACCTGGGCTAGGCAGACCGTACCTCCACCAGAAACAAGCTGCTGAACTACCTTAACCTGTTCAGGTAGGTAGGATGGGAGCGAAGAGTCGATAAAAATTTCGTTATCAATTTTGGGTATGTTCTGGTCCTGGTCCTCGTTGTATGTTGGTCCGTATGCTTCGTCTGGTGAGATAGGGACCATGGTAAGCTCGCCAGCCACCTCCTCAAGCCGGTAGAAGGATGTTTTCGGAAACAGCAGATTGTGCAAAATAACTTCTTTTGGTAGTTGAATAGACTCTTCTGATGCTCCACCATCTTGGTCGAGGGAGCCAGCTACCGCGTAGATAACATCTAAAGCCTCGTCCTGCAGAGCATCTGCCTCATCTTCATCCTCTGCATCCATGGATCGGGCGAGGAGCTCAACTGTGCGGTCAATTATGTGGGCGTTTTCAGGACCCATGTTCATCTGAGTTTCTGTCGCATTGCATTTGAAAAGGGATATAGCGATGCGCTCGTTACTCTTCTCCGTGAGAAACGTAACCTGAGCACCTTCTTGCCCGTCATTGTCGACGAAGACTTCGATGACGTACATTGCAATGATGGGCTCCAATGAGTCATCAAAAATGCCGTATGTGTGTTAAAGAAATCTCTGAGTTTCTTTGTTGTCAAAGAAATAACAAGAAACGGTGTCTACTGTATGTTGATATTCAGCAGGGAGAGCAGCGATCCAGAAAGCAACAGAAGTGGGGGATTTATCGGATCACATTGAACTGATGCTATTTTCGTCCGCCCAACATGGTCGAATTTTAGTGGCCGTTGAAAGCTTCAGTGGCTCTGCTTTACCTGCAGAATTGCTGCAGGGGCACCCCTGGGCCTCACCAAGAAATGCAAGCCCCGCTCGTACACTGCACGTTCAAAAACGGACATCAACTTTGATCTATCGATAGCTCGTGACATATCCTCCGCTCTTAAGGAGCAGAGAAGTCAACACTGAGGGAAGAAACGACTAATGGGCGCATCGACTTTCAACGGGACCGGTGAACGGTCTTGAACACTGCGAGACCTCGGAGCCAACTAGTGACTCATACGAACGTTGGCATGAGAGATTAGTTGCCTGCTTCACCCCGAGGCCTGCACAAAGCCTTCACGGAAATCAACTGCCGGAATATCGTACCAGAAGCACACCGTAGCATACATTGCACACCTCTCAAGTGTCCTACAGAACCGTCACATTGTTACCCTCAAGTGAGACACTGGTCTGACTAATCCTTTTCGCATAAGGTATTTCAAACTTGGAGCGGATGCGTGTACTATTACTGGCTTTTAGCGGTGGATTCAGAGTACTAGTGGTTCTAGTTCGTGGTCATAGCCAAATCTCTCAGTCCAGACAATCTGGCAGAAATTGATTGCATAAGGAGCGACATGATGCTGTCGCTTCAAGTTGCAGACATCTTATTCCAGCTTCCTTCAGCGGAAACGTTCCGATTAAATTTGTTATCCGTGCTAGTACTGACTTCGATGAGGCTCCTCAGTACCAGTTTCATCTCAGCTGTAACAAGGGGAAACCGGATAGCGCGATACCCACCAGGAACGAAAGAGTAAATGATAATATTTGACTGCAATTTGCTTGCCTCAAGCGTGTTAATAGAGCGAGCAAAGTGTTCATGGCTACCCTTCGTCGGCTAATTCTGGGTAAGTGATACAATGTAATATGATTATGTTTGCACAAGACTAACTTGGTTTAAATTTGGGTTGTGTTCCACCATTTTCACCTCTCTAACAGGTGGCAAAAAAACACATCGATTTACGGGTTTTTCGCAATTTTTCCTGGCTGCGAAGCAAGCACCTTTATTACGTTCACTGGCAGACTGGTGACTACGGACTCTTATGAATGCATTCATTCAAAAAGATAGTCTTTCGTTCTATGAATTGCGAGTCCGAGCTATCCCACATTCAGTTTAATGTATCTCGGTGAAGGATTGAGGCTATATTCGCTCATTGGCACTATAAATCATGGACCCCGCACAAAGGTCTCAATGCGTTACGAACACTCAGCTTGTCATAGAAACAGTCCGCACAGCAACCTGTGTCAATTTCCATTCGTATCTTGCATATCATAATGCCTAAGATACCGCAATTCAGCCTCTCGGTCCACTCCTTCACACCTCCCACTCTCCCGGACCGACCGGCCGATGCCCCAGCCTCAGCCTTTCGATCGTCACTCATCCAGTCCGTAGCAGCCGCCACCTCGCCGCTCTCTTTCACCGTATCCCTACCGTCCGCCCGCGAAACCAATCCGCTCTACCCAGCAACCCATCTGCAGCTGTCGTATAATTTCGAAGGCACTGGCGAGGTTTTCATCCCGGACGTTATCAAGTCTCAGGATGTAAGAGTCGAGGCGAGCAGCGAGGCTGAGTCGGAGAGACTCTACGTCGTGCAGTCACCCGCGTATCAGATACCCCGTGCCAAGGTCAACGAGGGAGCGACCAGTGCGGCTGAGGTTCGAGTGTATGCCTGGCGCGGCGAGAAGTTGCTGGGGAAGTGGATCGTGGGTCGGATTGAGGGCCTCGGATTCGAGGGCTTGAAGTCTCACCCTCTGGCTATTTTGCGGCGGGATACTTGGGCTGCGCAGCGGGAGTCGAGGTGATCGACTTGGAGTTGCGAAAGTTGTGCTGTGAGTGGTAGCCCAGTTAATACGGCATCTCTTGGTATTAGATGAGTCAAGCTACAAATCAGCATGCGTTAGACCCTGGTATGCTTTGTATGCGAGAGCCTAATCAGAGTCGATGTGATCATTCTCCTTGTCGCCGACCGGCGCAACAGGGAAGTCAGAACATAGAATTCCCTAATTTTCTGTGTCCTCGGCTCAATCTTTCCTGTAAACCTGTATTGCACCAACTGTGAGCTTTTCAGACATCTTGCTCGTCGTAATGAGTTGCAATGCATATCCTACGCCGCCTATCATTCCTCAAAGTCTGGATCACATTGATTTTTTAAACGAGTTACCTAGGTAGAGCAGCGTAGTTCATGTCGCTAGGGCTCTTGTCTTGACATCAGATAGACTGAATATAGGTGAAATACTTTTCTGACAATTCAAGACTCTTTTCATCACGGGGCCTTCAACAGTTGTCCGTGGCTCCTTTATAAAGCCAACGCGTCGACGATAATGCTAAGACGAAGTTCAACCTTCAATTGCTGCTCTTATATTGCATCAATCATTCAACTCGCGCCAGGAATGTGTCGATACTATGACATACCAAGTTCACAACACCTTTTTATATACCCGTACTTTTATCATTGTTACTTACAAAAATGGCTACCATCCGCAGTTGACTCAATTAATTGACGAGTCCGTCCATCGTTGTTGCGTCGTATTGCTTGGGGACAGGGGGGACACTAAGCGGCTTGGCGGCTCAAGAGTATACACAGTTGGGGGTGGAAAACTTGCTCAAACATGCTCCGCTCCTCCAAGCCCAAGCTGTTGCTTTTAGGGGTCAATCGAGCAAGTTGCAAGGGAAATCAAATGACTCATTCGAATGCTTTGCCTGGACATACGATCCAGTGGAAGTTTTTGATGACCCCAACGGGGCCAAGCAAGAGCAATCAACTACAAGTGCAGACGTAGTTTCCAGTGAGGAGTGTGGGCCTCTCCTGACGGAGCCCAAGTTCGTTGGCCAAACACGGGCCAACACCACGTGGGATATCTTTTAACTTCCTGCTCCCCTTCCGCAACGCTGTCGCCCAACAATTACGACTTTTCGCGTCGCTTTTCGCACGATGTCGTACAATCCAGAAGCCGACGAGCGCGCTCCCCTCCTCCCAGATGAACCCCTTCCTCCACAAGGGGAGGCTGAGGAGCGTGGAGTGCCCGCCCGAATCGCACGGCGACTCTACATATCGCACTTTCTGTCGACGTGGAACTCCCGTGTCTTTGAATTCGGCGCCGTGCTGTACCTGGCGACCATCTACCCTGGAACTCTGCGGCCTATGTCCGTGTATGCATTGACCCGCGGTCTTGCTGCAATTGTGTTTGCTCCCGCCATTGGGCAGTATATCGACACTGGCAACCGCTTGCAGGTAGTAAGGATGTCAATCGGTTCGTGGCCACCTCCCCTAGGTTGTATTGCTCTTTCTGACTCGTTCGCCCAAAGTCTTTCAGCGACTCGTTGTGGCGGCGTCTTGCGTGGTTTTCTACGCCCTCACCACGCGCTTGTCCCTGAACCAGGGCGGACACATCGGAATCCTCGCACTTCTTTCCTTCCTCGCTTGCGTCGAAAAGCTCTGTTCGATCATGAATCTGGTATCAGTAGAGAAAGATTGGGTATGCTACCTGGAGTGACAGACTGGCGCTTGGCTGACAAAATTCTCCAGGTCGTAGTCGTCGCCGAGAAGGACGAAGCAGCGCTGAGGGTCATAAATGGACAGATGCGGCGTATTGACCTACTCTGCAAGCTATTAGGCCCCCTCTCCATCGCCCTAATCGACGACATCTCGACTGAGACCGCCATTATTGTCAACTTTGCAATGAATGTAGCGTCCATCCCGGTTGAGTATTTCGCCATAGCACGTGTTTACTACGATGTTCCGGAACTACAACAGTCGAAAAAGAAGTCACCGACAGTGACTTCTAACGCCGAACCGTCGCAAGTATCCCAGCTAGACCGAAATTCGGAGAGCCGGTTGATGCACAACTGGAGACACGTGGTAGCTGTAGCGAAAAAGTCCGCCGCCGACTTCAACCTTTACTTCCAACATCGCGCGTTCCTCCCCTCCATCGCTGGCGCGCTTCTCTACCTTACCGTCCTAAATTTCGCAGGCCAGATGGTCACGTACTTGCTCTCATCTGGCTACAATACCACAGAGGTCGGTATCGCCAGGACTCTCAGCGTGGTCTTTGAGGTGCTAGCAACATGGACGGCACCGTGGCTGATGGGCAAGATCGGACCGGTGAGAGCAGGCTTGTGGCTAGGCACCTGGCAGGTGACCATGCTAGCTGTCGGGGTTGCCGTGTTTTGGGCCTTTGCGGATAAGCCTGTCGTCTTGGCCAGTGGGCTCGTGGGCGGCACGATACTCAGCCGCTTGGGGTTGAGAGGCTTCGATCTGTGTGTACAGATTATTGTCCAGCAGGTGAATCTTTGCCTCCCCGAGACAAGCAGTAGAGGACAATGCTAACCGTCTCATTAGGATGTGGAAGCCGAGATCCGCGGGGCGTTCTCCTCGGTCGAGGCCGCGTGGCAGAACATTTTCGAGCTTCTTGCATATGCCTCCACTATCGTTTTCTCTCGCCCCGAGCAGTTCAAGTGGCCTGTGCTGATTTCAGTTGTGGCTGTCGCTTCCGCCAGCATGGTATTCGCTGCCGTTGTGCGCAGGAGGAGGGGGCATCTGTTGCACTTGGATGCGCTGACCAAATTCTTGGGTAGTAGGGCTGGGAGGCAGACGGGGCAAGAGAGGGGCTTAGAGAGGATCTTGTCTGAGAGCAACTAAGAAGAAGTTCTGTCATTATAGAGGTGGGAATCATCTGTAGGTACGTCAAGGGTTCCGTATCAGCTCTATAGCGATGTAGGAATGGAGCGAGAAACTTGACATGGCCAAGTTCAATCTCTCTACAACTGCTCAGCCTCGGTCATGCTCACAACAAATCAACTGGGGTTCTGCATAATACATCGACTAGTCACATTACCCCGGGTTGATTGGGCTGCCTACGATACCTCCAGGAACTTTATTGATGTCTGAGACAGCAAGAACAACAGCAAGCCACGCCTGTACTATCAGTTGAGCCACCATCCATCGATCCCTTCAACTGTGAGCCCGGCATGAGACAAAAAAAACTAGTGGAGAACTTCCCTTTGACATATCCGTGTCGGTGGACGAGATGTTCTTGTAAGTAACTTCTCGGGAAAAGGCCTGGTGTGGCCATAGAAGCAGCAAACGGCTTCGATACTCGAGGCACCCACCCCTACATCACATGTTTCAAACTCTGCCCCCAGCAGACATCAAGCCAACAGTGAGCGAGTGTTTTGGAGGCTCGGCTAGCTGAAGCTTGCTTGTCGTACATAGGGTGACAGGATCAGCGGTACCGACCGAGTGTCACAGCAACAATTTGGCTTCAGCTTGCTCCCTGCAGCCGGACCATCTCCCGTCCAACCCCAACCCGTCCCCTCCCTGTCCCTGTGTCCCCCGAGCCCCTCCCCCTCGCCTGTCCAGTAGCACGTGGCCACTCTGTTTTTCACATGCCAGCCAGCTCAGTCCCTCAGCCCACTCTCTCTCACTACTATGTAAGCTCGCTCCCTCTGTCCTTCATCAGTCAGCTCTAGCTCCAGATCCCAGCTCTGCTGTGCTCTGACAAAGCTCGACCTGCTTGCTCACAATAAAATGGTCCGACAGTCAGTCATGACGATCCCTTCCTTGCTGCTGACCCGATTGAGCTTTTGATCCTCTTGTGTGCACTCTTTGCGCCTCTATGCGCTCTTTGGTGACATGAAGTGAGCTGCACTGTCGCCATCATTTGCTCTTGGACACATTTCTGCCTCGTCTCGATCCCTCCCTTGTCACACAACGCAACGCTGCGCATCCGGTCGCAACCGATCCCACCATCACCATGGAGAAGTTCTCCCAGTTTCGTGACAGAGGTACGTCTCAACTCCCTCCATCCAACAGGATCTCCAGCAATATCACCAACAACAACGACTGACCGTCTTCGACTTCCCTCCAGGCTCCGGCATCTCTCCCTTCATCCCATACAGCGCGCCCTCGAGCACGCCGGCCAAGCTGCTGCATCTCGGCCTCTTCGTCTTCCGCCTGCCCTTCCTCCTCTCCTACGTGGCCTTCTACTTCCTGCTGGCCCAGCACATCCCCCTGCTGCCTCAAATCCTCAACAAGCTGCTAGTCTGGGGCCTCCTCGCCATCCCCCAGGTCTGGTGGGGCGACCTGCAGCTCGACGGCGTCAAGCGCGGCTCCCTATCCCAGCAACCGCCGGGGCGCATGCCCTCCGCGCCGCCCGCCTCCCTCATCGCCGCCAACTTCACAAGCCCCGTCGACGCCGTCTACCTCGCCGCCGTCTTCGACCCCATCTTCACAATCAGCTACCCGCGCAGCCGCAAGGTATCCAAGGTCGGCCTGTGGGGCGCCATCTGGCACGCCCTGAGCCCCTCGCAGCTGCGCGCCAGCCCGCCCGCCTCGGGCCTGACCACCATCGACGCCATCCTCGCCCAGAACCCGGGCCGCGTCGTCGCCGTCTTCCCCGAGTGCGCCACCACCAACGGCCAGGGCGTCATGCCCTTCAGCCCGAGCCTGCTGACGGCGCCCGCGGCGGCAAAGATCTTCCCCGTCAGCATCCGCTACGCCTCGCCCGCCATCACGACGCCCGTCCCGGGCGAGTGGGCCAGCTTCCTCTGGCGCCTGCTCAGCCGCCCCACCCACGTCATGCGCATCCGCATCGCCGAGGCCGTCTACAACACCTCCGGCGCCGTCAACGGCGTCGGCGAGGCGTCGGGCGTCGATATCCCAGGTCGCTCGGGACTGGGCGCGGCTGGTGAGGCTGACGAGTCCACGAAGATCACGACCGAGGAGAGACGCGTGCTGGACCGGGTCGCGGAGAACCTTGCGAGGTTGGGCCGGAATAAGAGGGTTGGTCTGACGATCGAGGACAAAGCCAAGTTCGTCGAGGCCTGGAAGAAGAAATAAAATAAGCAGGATATGCAGGCTGAAACACCTTCATGAGAAGGCTAGGAACTATCAACTGATTTGAATTAGGTGTGGAAGGGCGGCAATTTGATATGCATGGCTGAGGTGTTTGGGTCTACATGACGGTCTTGTTTTCTTAGATATCTCCTCCCCGCGAGTCCAGTATGCTTGATTGGTTCAATGTCTCTTCACGGAGACGAAAAAATTCCGGTGCTTTCTTCAGTTGAGCAGATATATCATTCACGATTTAACATGCCACATGAAATGTCCATGCCATGAATATCTTGCAGAGACCAGAGTATTGCTAAGAAAGAGCACTTTTGCATTGCGCCCCAGTTTTGAACGCCAGGAACTACCAAGGATATCTACAATACACCTACATGACCCCTCACATCGACGCCGTACGCTGATTCTCCCCACCCAGCGATCGAACATCTCATGACAGCTTGAGCAGCTTGTCGTCCGTGACACAGCCCTGGCTGGCGTCGCTGACCAGCGTGGCATACTTGGCCAGCGTGCCGCGGAGCACGCGGTTCTGGGGCCTGACCCACGCCTTGCGGCGGGCCGCGAGCTCCTCCTCGGGGACCTCGAGGTCGATGACGCGCTTCTCGGCGTCGATGACGATGGGGTCGCCGTCCTTGGCGAGGGCGATGGGCCCGCCCTCCATGGCCTCGGGCACGACGTGGCCGATGATGAAGCCGTGGCTGCCGCCCGAGAAGCGGCCGTCGGTCAGCAGCGCGACGTCCTGGCCCAAGCCGGCGCCCATGATGGCCGAGCTGGGCTTGAGCATCTCGGGCATGCCGGGCCCGCCCTTGGGGCCCTCGTACCGGATGATCACCACGGTCTTCTCGCCCTTCTTGATCTCGCCCCGCTCCAGCGACTGGATGAAGTCGTCCTCCTTGTCGTACACGCGTGCTTTACCCACGAATCGCAGGCCCTCCTTGCCAGTGATCTTGGCCACGGAGCCGCCGGGTGCCAGCGAACCGCGCAGGATCTGGATGTGACCGGTGGGCTTGATCGGGTTGCTGAGCGGGCGGATGATGGCCTGATCTGAGGGGAAGTCCTTGAACGCATCGAGGTTCTGCTTCATTGTCTTTCCGGTCACGGTCATGCCCGAGCCGTCGATGATGCCCTCCTTGAGGAGGAACTTGAGGAGGGCGGGGATTCCTCCAGCGTTGTAGAGGTCCTCGAACACGTACTTGCCCGAAGGCTTCAGGTCAGCCAGAAGGGGCGTGCGGTCAGAAACAACTTGGAAGTCGTCGATCGTCAGCTTCACGCCGACGGCATCGGCAATGGGGATAAGGTGCAGCACGGCGTTGGTGCTGCCTCCAAGGATGCTAATCAGGGTCATGGCGTTCTCAAAGGACTGTCTCGTCAGGATGTCGCTGGGTCGGATGTCCTCCTTCAGCAGGTTCCTGATGGCAGGGCCGACAGCCTCACACTCTGCCTTCTTGGCGTCACTGACAGCGGGGAAACTGCTGCTTCCAGGCAGGGTCATGCCCATGGTCTCAATGGCACTGGCCATGGTGTTGGCGGTGTACATGCCACCACATGCACCAGCGCCAGGGCAAGCGTTCCGGATGATGTCGAACCGCTCCTTCTCGTTGATCTCGCCGGTGATGTACTGTCCATAGGCCTGGAAGGCCGAGACAATGTCAAGGTCCTTGCCCTTGGAGCAGCCAGGCTTGATGGATCCACCGTAGACCATGATGCTGGGTCGGTTGACACGGCCCATGGCCATCAGCACACCAGGCATGTTCTTGTCGCACCCGGGCAGCGACACGTTGGCGTCGTACCACTGTCCGTTCATGACCGTCTCGATACTGTCCGCGATGATCTCTCGGCTCTGCAGGGAGTAGCGCATGCCAGTGGTGCCCATGCTAATACCGTCCGACACGCCGATGGTGTTGAAGCGGTACGGCACGAGGCCGGCCTTTGCCACGGACTCCCTGACGAGGGACGACAGGTCCATCAGGTGCATGTTGCATGGGTTACCCTCGTACCACACGGACGAGATGCCGACCTGTGCCTTGTTCATGTCGTCCTCGCTGAGCCCTGTCGCGTAGAGCATGGCCTGGGAGGCGCCCTGCGACTTGGGCTGTGTGATGTTAGCCGAGACCTTGTTAAGCTTGTCGTCGGCATAGCGGGCGGGAGTCGTGGAGAGGAGGCGGCTGCAGGGAGGGTTTTGTCAGTGATTGAATCTCAATGCTGAAATGGGTCAATTGGCGCTGAAAAGTGTAGCACATACGCTTGGCCATTGGAGGCCAGATAGCGGCCTGCTGTGAGGGCTCTTGGGGCCCTGGCCCTGAGGAGTGAGGGCAGCGACATGGCGTTGACTCGAGCACTGATTGACGGATGCGAGTGACAAGAGAAAACGAGACGAGATGAATTGGAATTCAGGGAGAAGGACCAATGTCGAATCTCTATCTGCACTCTGCCATGCGGGATGGATGGTGGGGACGAAGGGGTTGGTCGGTGATGACTCGAAGGCCACACAAGACAATTGAGCCGACGATGAGTCGAAATCGAAATGCAATTCTTTGCCCTCACCTCGAGATCACAGGGACAATCACAGGGACACACCTGCAAGGCAAGGCGGCCTGGCCTGTACACAGTAATAATTTCTGGGGAGCTCTGCGACATCGGCCCCGGATTTCCACCCTGACACCCCTGCTAGCCCCACACCAGCTGTAATCACCGCCTCTCTCATTGGACGCAAGTTTGTGTTGCACTAAGCGGCTCTGGAGACGCTTGAGCTGGACTACCCCGACTACATGCTTGGCTCTGGCAACGAGAACCATCTTAGACAAAGCCGAATTGGCCGATATTGACTACTGCGCTTTCCATTATCTCACATGTTCTGTGGTAAAGCCAGTTGTACATGCAGGAAATCATGCCCAATGTGTGAGGGGAGAGAACATCCGACATGTTCTGAGAGCAAGCAAGAGAAGGGGAACCAAGACGACAAGGAACCATCTCAATGTTCCCTCCCTCAACACGTCTAGTATCCCAGTCCCGTTATCTGGGGCTTCCAAGTAGTATTGATCTTACAGCCCACAGTAGCCTCACATATTCGGGCTTAACTTCGCTAGTACATAGCACCTTTTCATGTGGGATATTGTCTATGAAGTAATTTATTGTGGGATAGTATGTACCTGCCTTAGGGGTGCTTCTCCTCCAGATCATCCTCAGAAAAATTACTGCCTACCAAGCACTGCGCAAGCTTTATGTATTATTGGCATAAATCTGTGGTATTAGGGCGTGTACTAGAAGCAGTAGACGCAACATCAGGGTCCCATGCAGCACTGCCTTGATGCCAATTCACACCTTGATGATAATAAGGCCCAAAATTCACAAATTGCCTCGTTTTTGAGTTGATCTTTTTTGTGATCTTAAAATGAGCCTTCCTTCCTTTCTCGTCTTTGTGTCATTCAATTTGAAGTCCCAAAACTGCATCATTCTAGCCTCTTCATATCACCTACAGCCCAGACGTTCAACCTGCTAGCCAACAAGCATCAACACTATACACGATCTGACAAAAGTTCAAGGTGAATACCTTGTTTGATCACAATGCGCGAGAGTCACCAAATCTTTGTTATTGCGCGGCCCAAAAAGGGGCAGCGTTACCGCTCCCTTGCCTCCGCATGCGATATATGTAAGCATTTGAGAGGTTCTCCCCTATTCACCTATAGATGTCATGTTCTGCATCTTCACTATACCTCACATTGTGATCTCACGGATTTGCTTACTTTTATTATTCAAGTGCTTTGCGACATCCCGGCTCTGTCCATCTGCTACCGTCTCCTGCGCATCTTCTCTGATGAGGCCAACCGAGCCCCTATCCAGCAAGAGCTCGCATTTGCGGCCGACTTCTTCGAGACTGTGTCAAAAATGGACATCAAAAATGTGATCTTGCGCCATGTCAAAAGTAAAGAAAAGGACCCCAAAATTTGTCCGTTCCCATTCATCACGACTTGCTTGATCGTGGGTGCTTCCTATAAACCGGATACTAGACGCCGCATGAATGTGCGAGAAAATCCCTTTGGGACAAAATACAACGGTGGACGGGGAGGATTTGGTAAGATTTCGTCCCCTCCCTTTGAAGAATGCATTCGTAAAGCTTTATTTCAGTATGCTAACATGAGACAGCGGGCACCTTGATCCTCGACATCACCGAGCTGAGCAATGTTCGATACTGCTTTGTGGACAGCCGCAACATGGCATCGGCACAAGAGGTGCCAATACATACGCCTCTGGATGGGCTGACCTACACGAGACCATACCACAATGGCATTTTCCCCATCGATAGAAGATTCAAGGATGCGTACGCGCTCAATGAATATGCCCTCGTCGAATCGGCCGCCCTTGTAGGTAAGTCAGACTCAATATCCTATCCACGCCTACACATCCGTCCAAAGCCGTGCTGCAACTGGTGATTGCTGAGCGAATACGGACCCCAATTCACTCCATCACCGTCTTGAAATCACTTGAACACGACTCTATTTATTGTTGAGCGTTTTTTGCTGACATGTCCTGATCAGACTGCTGGCCGAAAAGTAATTGGCAGACGACCTCCGACACAGACGAGCAAAACGTTGGGCTTGCAAAGTTATATTCGAAAAAGAAATCAGTGCGATCACTTCGATCCCTTTGCCAGGACAAGCTGTTTCCGGAATTACTGTCGAGCGATGGTCCCCCGGACTTGAAACTGCTGGATAAGCCCATGCTGTTTCGTGGCTTCACACGCGACATGCAGCAATATCTTATCGAGCACGCCGAAGCTCTCGCCAAATCACCGGCTGCAGTCCAGATCCTCCAAAAGGCCTTTGCAGGAGAAAAGAGTTTTGATTTCACGCCGTTCCAAGGCAAGATAGCCGCAGATGATCTCGACTCTCTTGCGAACAGTGAGGCTTTGAGAGGTGTCAAGACACTCAACTTCTCCGGCTTCGACTCTAGCCGCGATAGCAAGCACATCCTCTCTGCCATCCATCATCTCGGACTCGATAACTTGTACCTTCTTTGTCGCCCGGATCGCTCGACTGACAGCGCATCTCAGATGATGACGATGATTATGTCTCTTGCAAAGTGTTCCAGGAAGCCGTTCATTTCTCAAAGACTCGTTCTAGGCTCTGCATTCTCCCAGGGCCTTCGAGAGCAGAGCTGGTTGCCCCGGGAACTCGAAATCGGTCCCTGCTACTGGAACACGTTTCCGGTAATCCAACTACTTTTCCAAGGGTTCCGAAAGTATAGACCAGGTTTTCATTTTGCTTCTGGACTCCCTCCCGCACCTGAGATTATTGAGAACTGGTTGGCGGATTTCTTCTTGGGTGACGCCTTGCTCACCCCAGTCCGCTTTGTCACAGGTCTCCTGACTCTCATCAAGAGCAAGTTCCAAAACCCGGAGGGGCCCGCAATGACGCCGTGGGAGGTCGATGTGCCTCTCATGTTTGCCTGCGCCCCTTCGTCCCTCAATACTTTGGAATCATCCACTGAGGTGAGTCCTATACCGGCAGAAGCCGTCTCACGCATCAACGACTGGGCGCAACTATCGGTGCCCCCCGCCCGCAATATTCATCCCGTGGGCTGGACCGCAGTCATGATTCAAAGTCCTATCGAAGAAACAGAGGATGATCAGCAGCCTCCGAAAACGCGATTTCAAGTGGCTCTGGTGCGCTCCAAGGGGGGTCCCAAGGGGGAGCCTCTCCATCTTCAAGAAGCCGTGGCCAATCCAGACAGGCTCGAGTTGGTAGACTTGAAAGAGTTCCTGGAGCTGACTGCTCCTGCACACGCGGGTGATCTCGCGAACTGTCTGTCGGAGCTCAAAGCCTGGGCTCAGACTGATGGAGAGCTTATCGGAAAGATGACGGTTGAAGAGGCGGTTTCCGTCCTTCAGGATTTTGCTGACAGGCCGGGTGATTGGAGAATGGGAGAACGACTGGTTACAAGAAGCCGTACAAAACGGAATAGGGTATCATAAAAGGATCAAAAGGATGGAGCACACCTACCTAGGTAGATATAATCTAATAGGAGATCATCATACAGTAGGGAGAAGTGTTATGGGTCAATTTTAATATACTTCTATGCCCTCCGGTTCAGCTGCCCCTGAATGCGGAATAATTGTAAGGTCAGAATGTGATTGTGCTAAAGTAAGGGAGGAGAAGTCCATACATATTAAACCCTTCGAATCAACTAAGATTTCATATCCAATCTAATCCAAAATCATGAGTCTAGTTCTGGCTCTCAATCTGTATCTTCTCCGTCGCTGAGTCCCGACTGTGGCCACGGTTCCTCGGCTAGTTCCCTCGCAGATGGTCTTCTACTTGGATCCCACTGTAGCATACGCCCAATAATCCGTAAGAACTCCCGCTTTCATCCCCCTGAAGTTTCGTCTCCTCTTCCTCCAAGGAAGTTGGGCCGAATTGGTGGTTTTCTTTTAGTTTCCCTGGCACAGAAATTAAGAGTCAGCAAGGCGATCGCCAAGGCTGGTTATGCCGCGCAATTATCGACTAGGATATTACGCACCATTTGCGTCGAAGAATTTATCTATTGCAGCGGTCTGATCCAGCATATGTTGTGGCGGCTGACCAAGCAGACTCACCATTCGCGCCATATGTGGTGAAGCTGGCTCCCACCTACCGCCGTGGGACCCCCTAAACAAATTTGTGCCCTCTACCATGCTCCAGATCTGTTTCAGATACCTTCCCGTTAGCTGAAGACGCGCAGTTCACAAGGGCATAGGACTGGGGAACTTACCATCAAGCCCAATGCCCAAATGTCGATTTTGTTGGTCCACGGCAAGTGAAGCAGGATCTCAGGTGCGCGGTACCTGTCCGGCATCGCATGCTCCTCGTACTCATCCTTACCAAACCTCGCCTCGCCGAAATCGCAAATTGTCGGGTACTCGATGTCGCTAGTGAGGATCTCGCGAGACCTGAAGATGATGTGGCCGTCCTTGTGAAAACTCCGGGGAGACGGGTGATTGAGCTCCTCTTCCACGACGTCTTGGAGGCTAGTCTCAGACTCGATTGAAAACATGACATTTCCGTCTTGAAGATCTGCCGAGGAAGGTCAGACCAAGTCAGCGCTTGGGTCAAGTCTGAGCTTACCAGTATGAACGAGGTTGGCCTTCGAATGAAGGAAATCAAGGGCTGCAAGAAGGTACATCGTGATGCCCTTAACCACATCCACGGGCATTCCGTCGTCGTAGGAATAGGTTGCCATCTCAGACAGTGACATGCCCATTGGTTTGTAAACGAGACAAATATTGGGCTTGGGCTGCACAGCCCTGGGATTTGACACTGTAAATCTGTCAAGCAACCTGCGGATGAATTCCTGGCCCGTATGCTCTGCCCCATCCGGGCTAGCCAGGACTGATTCGATGTGCTCAAGCGCTGCAGTCTCCCGATTGGCCTGCTGTGAATCAGTGCAGTAGACCTTGAGCGCGACGTATCGATGATTTCTAGGCGACAGTCAATAGCGGACACCTGAAACAGCTATTATGACTGGAAAATCTTTGAGTATACATAAGATCGCGACAAAGCCAACTAGTTGATGCTGTCCCATAGCCGATCTTAGTGATGGCTTGGTATTGGTTTTGGAAGACCTCCCCAATCTGCACAGGATACCACATCTCGACTGAGTACCAGGCGTACTTCTCCTCGTCAAGCTTTTCGTACTCATCGACGACTTCGAACCCTGAAGGCGGAAAGTCCCTCACCGGTGATGGCGGACGAGTGTCTGAAAGTGAATCCATTGCCTTGGCTGGAGGACACGAATTTGCAGAGAATGAGCGGATTTCGTGAAAGGCGGTGGGGTGGCTTTTTACATTGGTGCTTGCGGATCGAGGTCTTTTGGCCCTATTCTTATTCGCATGCGGCAAGGGTTTCAGAGTAGGTAAATACGTTCCAGCAGATTGGCGATCGTGAAGCTGACCTGACCTCCCTGCACGTTGGTCGTCCTGCTCGAAGGCTTTGTCATTTTATTGTTAGTGTGAATCGTGGACCGTTGCTGTCGGCCAGTGGGCTACGGCCATGAAGCTGATTTAGGGATCCAAATCAGTTTGAGCTTGCACGTCTTGGTAGTGCTGATTTCGTCGGCTTCATTCCTACGCTTGGCCATATTGGGCGTGCAGTATTTCAGAATATTATTGAGTCTGTTTTGATTGAAGAGTTTTGCTGATGTGAGCGTGACCCTTCTGAGCCACGTTTGCAAGTGTTGGTTGATAAAAAAGCATCTATTGGCCCCTTGGCCATTAGAAATGACCCGACAGACAACATACAATATAATCCAACAAAAAGACAAAGCCTCCGCAGACAGAAGTCACCACAAAAAAGAGTCATCTTGAAAACAGCAATGTCAACACAAAAACCCGTCCCCTCACGCTGGTCGCGCACAAACGTCCACCCGCCCGCACAGATAGAAACACCCACCTCGGAAATCGACATCCACGCAATCCTCGCGCACGCAGCACAGCACAACCTCAAAGTCATCCCCGCAGCAGGCGGGCACGGGACCTTCGTGCCCATCACAGAGAACACAACCTACGTCGACCTGAACCCCCACTTCAGCTCCGTCAGCCTAGACGAGGAAGCCGGCACGGTCACCATCGGCGGCGGCACGACAGCAGGCACGGTGCTGCGCGCCCTCGCCGCGAGGGGATGGCTCACGTGCGTGCCCAACTCCAACGCCGTCGGCATGGCGGGCTTCTGCCTCGCCGGCGGCAGCTCCGCGCTCAACGGGCTGCGGGGGCTGGCGGTGGACAACCTGGTGCGGGTGCGCCTGATCACGGCGGACGGCGGGGTCCTCACCCTGACACCGGGTATGGACGGCGAGCGTGGGGAGCTGTTCAACGTGCTCTGCGGCGCTGGCTTCGGCTTCGGCGTCGTCACGGAGCTGACGCTGCGCGCGTGGCCGGTGAAGGAGTTACGCATGGACGGGGACAAGGTCTGGACGCGGAAGCTCGTCTTCGCGCCTGCTGGGATCGCGGCCGCGGCGGGGCTGTTTGCGCGGCTGCAGGATCCGGGGCCGAGGCTGTCGGCCGTGCTGCTTTTCATGCGGGCGCCGCCGTCGGCGCCTAGGCCGGGCTCGCCAGTGGTTGTCCTCAGCGTGAGCTTCTTGGGCCCTGCGGACGAGGCGGAGGTGGCTTCTGCAGCGACGTTTGAGACGGAGTCCACGGCGCAGGCTGTTGTGGCTGAGACGGGGACCACGGCGGTAGGCGAGATGAATGACATGTCGGAGCCGCTGAATCGTCATGGTGACTGGAAGGAGAATTATGCGGCGTGGGTTGACTCGGTACCAGCGGCGTCTGTTGTCGAGGCGTTTGAGAGGTGGGTTAGGTTCGGCGACGAGACGCCTCAGGCGAAGAGTAGTTACTTCATCATAGCTGCGAAGAGCACAAAGGGCATGCTTGAGCATGACGCCGCCGAAGGGAAATTCTTTCCACGGGCGATCCGTGGGAGGAAGATATTCGTGCAGGCCGTGCCATGGTGGACGGAGGAGGGCGTAGAGGAGCAGTCCAGGGACTGGGCGCAGAGGATGTTGAGTATTGTTCGCAAGCAGGGGCACTCTGGTAAAGATAGTGACGGGATCCTGGCCAGCGATGAGGAGCAAATGAGAGTCACTGGGTTCGCTGCAAATTTGAGTAAGAGGTTGGATTTGAGCACGGTGTGGCCAGAACAAATGAGGGAGGACATCAGGAGGCTGAAGGAGAAGTGGGATCCCCAGGGCTTATTCTGGAACCCTGTCGTGGACGGCGTATGAAGAGCCGCACTTCCTGTGGCTGACATGGTGGGTGATCTCAAAGGATCTTGATATTCAGATCGTATTAGATACGAGTGATAATGATGGCCTTGTCCCAAGTAACCATGTGCAGTAGATGCAACGCTAATAAAAACCACAATATCCTCATTGCCTGACACTGTCCAAAATTTTGACAGCAGACCGCATTGCCTCAATACAGCCTTCTCACAATCTTCCTTGTAGGGCCATGATCCCTCAGGTCTCTAATCAGCTGCAAATGCCTCAGCTTAGACTTCTCGGGGAAGCAACGATGCCAGATCAGATCCTTGAGCCAGTGATCCCTTCCAAACGACTTCTCCAGCTCATCAGCTACCGTACTGGAGCTCTCCTGCAGCAGCTCCCTCAGACCCGGCACGCCCTCCTTCTGCACGACCTCGTACATCAGCTTAAAAGTGTGGAACAGCGGGTGGTTGTTATGGTTCCTAGCGCTGGCATACGCCGCAAGGAACTTCCACACGGCCAAGGCGATCCTCGAGTCGTCCTGCCAGCACCTGCTCTGGCGGTGGAAGAAGAAGTAGAACGAGGAGGTGGCGTCCATGGAGCCGAAGTACGTGTTCATCGACCAGAAGGCCTGGTTCAGAGCCGCCACGCCCTGTGCGCCCTCGCCGCTGCGGATCAGTCTCGCCGACTCGATCAAATTCGACAGGTGCGGGAAGTCAGTGACACGCCACGTAAAGACAGTCGCCTGTAGCCCGAATGCACTCTCTTGCTCCTCCTGCCGCCACAGCAAGAACGCCCGCTTGAAGCTCATGACCAGCGAGTCCTGGAAGCGTAGACGGTCCGGTAGACGCAGATCCTCGGGAAGGTCGAGCGGGGGTGTGCGACACCGGACGTGCACAAGAGCGTCCTCTGCCACGCCGGTGGAGAAGTCGACCAGATCGTACTCGGTCAGTCCTTTGCGTTGGAGGTAGTTCTGCAGGTTGACATCTTTGCCATTACGAGTAAACTGCGACAGCTTGCCCGCTGCGTCACGCTGGAACTTTGTCTTGAGGATTTGAGAAACCACTTTCTCAGTATTATTCTTTACGAAGCCCCACTGCTTGAAGCGGGCTTTGTACATCCTCTGACTGCTAAATGTTAGAACTACCATTCACTTGAAAAGATGGTGCAGACACATACGTTGCCGGGAACTTGTGTTCCGTCTCCATGGTCCTGATGACTTCCCTCAGAGGCTTTCCCTCCTCGATATACAACTTCTGGATCACGGGCTTGTGCTTTTCCCAGACGTCGGATGCATAGTGTCCTCGTTTTGAGTTGGCTGATTGGGTCTTGAAGACGGTCTGGGAGCCACGCCGTGCTTTGGCGGGGGAGCCCCGCCGAACAGGCGCAGGTTGCGCGGCGACGGGCGACCCGGGAGGAGGCGCTGCTATTGCAGCCTGTGGTATAGGGGTAGGTTCAAAGAAGGGCGTCGCATATTCGTCGAAGTCTATCGTGGGGGTCGGCGCCCTCCTGCGCTTCTCGACTCGGACCGGGACTGGCAACGGCTCGACCGGACCTCCGGCGATAGGGGTAGTATATTCGGGAAATTCTATCGTGGGCGTAGGGGCTCTTTGCCGCCGGGTAGGAGCCGCCTGGGCAGCAACCGGGACTGGCGCATGTATGGGTACTGGTGCTTGGATTGTCATAGCATCTGGCATAGCTTCTACCGATAGCTTGACGTCGTCGACAGGTGCAGCCGAAGGAATCTCCTCTACCCAGCCGGTACTCCACGTGTTGTTGGCAGGAAATTGCTGCTGGAATTGCTGCTGTTGTTGCGGCTGCGGCGGCGGAGGAAATGCGTTGTCGACTCGGACTGGAGATGGAGAGTCTATGGGAAACGCCTGGGCATTCTGTAAGCTGGCGAAGGCATTGTGGCTTTGGAACTCCCAGGCCGGCGTCGCATTCGTCTGCCAGTCGGAGTACATGGGCTCGGTCGCGTTGAGCATGCCGTTGGTCGGCCACGGCTGAAGAGCCTCCATCCACATCATGTTATTGGGCTCGCACTGCCATGCTGCGGCTTGAAAATGCGAATTCGCGGCGGGCAGGTTGGGTATGGCGAAGTTCATGGAGGCGTAGTACGGGTTAATCTGCTGCACAACCTCCTCGTAGACTTCCTCCTGCTGCCTCTCGTTCTGATGGTATGTCTGCGTCGGCGTGGGGTCCATCATGCCTGGAGGGAACTGGTGGTGGAACTGCGATTTGGTCGCCATGGTCTGTCGAGTCTCTCGGGTCCTTGTGTGTCTTTTCGTGTGTTGTCGTTGCCTGTATCCCCTCTTTACCACCGCGCAGGCAAACAAAGCACAGTCATGTATTTGTCAGATTGCCTCCCGTTCAGCTCGTGTCACACGACAGGGCGCGCTCGTCCTCGGCGTTATGGGTTGGGTGCGGTCTTGTGTCTCTGTGGTCGCGATAATATGCCATGTTCTCAGGGTCCTGGTCGGGGCCTGATCATGACGAAAAGGAGATGGCAGATTGCAGGTCTCTCGCGATGCCGGAGAGCGGCACAGCAGACGGGACTCGATGTCATCTTTGGGGGGAGGGGCCGGGCTGCGGGCTACTACCGGGGTGGTGGGAATTGGCGTTGGTGTGGGTGGGAGCCGATGCGGATACGGCTGCATGGGCTGGCTCATGGGCTTCATGGGCTGGTCGAGAGCTGGTCGATTGGGAGGACGGCACAAGAGAAGGGCGCTATGCCCGATGGGTGCCAGAGCTGAACTTACAAAAGTACCGTTCATCGTCTTGGCGTCGCCCATCCCAGCAACTTGGGTAATTTGTGCTCGAGTCGAGTCTGTGATTGGCCCACCTGACGCCATCTCGACTGTGCCCGACCGTCGCCCACGAGGGTTAGGTCGTACAGATCTCATCTTCCAAGCCGCTCCGGATCTCGTCTCTGGCCCAAGACCACTCTTCTCCGCGGTGGGTGACCCGCCCCTCTGCACGGAGAATGGAGCAAGCTGTCGTTGCCATGTTCCACGGGTCAGACATGCAGCATCACGCAGCCCATCTCAGGGTCCAACGAGAGCCGAAGGATTGAGGGGCAACTTGCTTCTTTTGATTCTTGCATGAGTGGGATGGGCAGAATTGCATCATACACCAGCCCCTGCAGGTTAGACGAGCCTCAATTGTCTCCCCTCCGAGACCTCTTGAGACATAGATGGTCTTGTCTACAGTGTCTGCTTATATCCGAGAGGGCGAAGAAATGAGGCGTTCACGGCTTGGGCGCCGCCACTGACAGCCATCGGGCCCAACCCTCCCGTATCCTGAGCGCCAACGACAACCTACTCAGGTGCTCCCTCGTTCCAACAAGGTTCTTTGTCATATTTTTGTGCGACCCTTAGAAGACAGGCAGACCGTCAGACAGACATCATCAGGATTCAGGAACGCCCTGAGTCTTCCGCCATCCCGACCAACAACGGCCCGGAAGGAATCGACGCCACCAACAATCGCGCATGTCTCGCATGGCAGACAAGGTTGCCAATCCCGATGAGATGCACCCTCGTGGGCCGCCCGCAGAGTCCTCCATTTTCATTGGTCTTTGGGTCCACTTGCCTCGCGGTTTTGCAATTGATTCACAGCCTTAAGACATCCTTCAGTGCCCACTCCACCATGGACTCGCTCGGCAGGAATGAGCCCAGGCTGGGGACAACGGGCAAAAGAGATCACTCGCTGCAAAGCGCGGAGGGACCCCCATGCCAAGAAGATCGATAGCTACGTGGGCTTACTCCATTCAAGCATTTTCATCCTGAGGCTTGTCATCTGTTATCTGGCAATTCTGTTTCTCGGAGGCGTGATGTTCTGCAATCTGACAGCCAAATTGAATGAGACGCCGAGGTAGGATTTCAGACTTGTTGGCTCTTTCTTCTTATCAATCTCTTCGGGTGACAAGTCAGGTAGAATCCAATCAGAGCATCATCTAGGTAGAGTAAATACCCGACATGGAAACACGTTTCATTGCGTTTAGCACACACGAAACCTACACATGGTTTGTAGTCCTCGCCTTTGTCACCAAGCTATATGTCATGTGCCCCTTTACGTGGCAACCAGTGTGTCAACCTCTGCGTAATGATGCAATCGTTCCGAGAGATGGCAACGCAACACTCTTCTCTAGGGTTGGTAACGTTGCTCGCAATCATAGTTTGTAATCGAGGTCTTCCTCGAGTCCAAACGCCCCAGTCGGAAGACCCGCAATCGAAGGGTCTTTGTTCCACCACTCTTTGTGTCCAGTCGTCGCTGTAGTCGACACATTTTCTTCTTCTCCAGCTGCTTAATACCATGACTTACGTATTTTGGAGATCAGTGAGCTGGCTCTGCTTCTTCTTGTTACACAAGTGTGGATGGAGTTGAGTTCAATGTCCGGCTTAGGAGAGAGTGGAGTTCAAGGCAGAGATCAAGCTTCCTCTTATGGCAGAGCCCAATTATACATTTGATCAACTCAGCATAATTAGCCTGAACTCCGATAATGGTGTGTACCCGGTGAACTGCCCTTCCCTCCATCGGCTCATACCTTTGGTCACACATTGCGGCTCACAGCAATTGGCAGTCGAACGAGTGGCTGCGAGCCTCGCCGGCCTTGTCTCCCAGTAGCCTGCTATATATGGTGCCACACAGGTTGGCCGAGCCGGCCCGATTGCGAAGCAAGAATTTTAGGCTGAAGATAAGCGTTGAACATTGATTGTGACAGACGGTACGACCAAGCCGTTCGGGAATGGCAAAAGGATCCGGGCTGGTCGGATCGACTGCATCGGATCAACATTGATCTCGGAGAGGAGCCGCCAATGTTGGATGCCGTTGACAAGGTTAAGTCCCTTGTCCAGAACACGCGGAGGTGGCTACAGGACAAGGACGAGAAGTGCCGCATCCACGCCATAGAGTGTGAGCTGGTGGCGAGCACCTTCTACTTTGAGCGGCGCGGTAATGCAGGCAAAGATGAAGGCTCACCTATCCACGTCAAAGGCGTCATCGGATGTCGTATCTTCGAAATGGCCGAAGTGATGGCGCCGGGGAAATTTCTCTTATCTTATATCTACGATCCGACCCTGTTCGTCATTAATAAGGCCACCCAGGACAAGGTCGTAGAAATGCCAATAAAAACAATGGTGTTGTATGGTCTTTCTGATCTTGTGGAAGTGGATATCACGGTCTTGGAAGAAGCTGTCCTTACAAGCATAGATCTGAAGTTGGAGCGAGAAGGGCTACGGGATCAGCGCCTGTATCGCTTGAGCCTGTTCCTGAGAAAACTGATCAAGCAGGACTCCAAATAATCTCGCATGTCGTAATGTGGCTAGTTTCCTGCATTTGGATAAGGCTTGGAACTTATGTGCTACGAATCGAGGTTCCACATACTCTCTCCTTTATATCTATTTCAACTTCGTTTTTCAATATTCAGTAATCTCTCGTTACACTTATTAAATATATAAGTTGCGAGAGAGTTTGACGGGTGATAACGACAATGAATTGACTGGAACTAATGGCTTTTAGAGTACGATGTCATACCGTCACCAGCAGTAACATTATCCTATCTAGGAACCTTGAATATGTATAACGCCTGTCAAGAAAGGTTCTCGACCCATGAGAGAGGTAACGAAGGGCAGTTACATGTTGATTGGGAACAATGGCACTTCACGAGAGCACTAAATCAAATATTAAGCACGATCAGCAAATCACTAGCATTGGGCTATGAGCTAAATATAGCGAATGTGTATTGGTACGTACGACCCATCCAACTGAAGCGAACTTAAAGACCCATGACATCGGTACAATGAACTTCTACTTGACATATCTGAAAAGAATCGCTATGGAATCCGAGTCCGGCAAATCCTCATCGCCCTTGGCGGGACATTACATGCCGGGAAGCTTGGCGAGCCCTGTGACGTGTTAGAATATGGGGATTAGTGAGAGTTTCAATACTTACATCCATCAGTTTGCTCTTGCACCGTCTGCTTAATGGTGCATTGGTTGGCAACACTCATCTGCTGCTTTGTGATGGAGCCGCAGCCATCATAGAAGCATTCAGATTTGTTCATGGCGCGTTGAAGCGCGTCGCCCTTCCAACCAAACATGTAATCAGCGTGGGTTCCGGCTGCGGTGCCCTCAAAACTCCAGACAAAGGGGTTGGGTGCCCCTGAGGTCCACATGCTGTTGAATTTCGTGGTGTCCCAAACAGTTTCGAAAACGACCTGTAGTACGACGTTTAGCGTTACTCTTTACAACATACTGGCTGAATCGATCGAATAGTTGAATAGCACTGACCTGTGGCATCCGAACAGGATGAGTTGAGGGGCACTTGGGTGCATTGACGAACCCGTCTTGGGTGATGGTGTTGTACACATGCGACTGGTGGTCTGAACTATCAAGATTCTTACCATCCCAGCATCTAGCTCCAGTCAGTACAAGCTGAAGGAATGTTGGTATCGAGTAATCACGAACGCAGGGAAGTGCTGAGTGACGAAGAGACCGCCAGGGCATGCCTGCGCCGGGAAGTCACTCAATTCCGGGCCTCTATTGAAACCACCCTGAAGACACTGGTAACGCAAGCCGACGTGTTGGTTGGAGGTGATAGTTGGGTTGCCCACCGTCATCCGGAAACCCTAATATGTGTTAGATTATTGCTCTCAAAATCCACAGAACAATGAGTTGTATTACCGGTGGGAATGACTTGACGGGATTCTGTGCGATGTTGTCCCGGGTCAAGTCCGTCTGGCTGTAGTAGACAGTAAGTCCACCTTTTGTGCCGGAGTAGCCGTCGAGGTTGCCAGGGTCGACAGGAATGACTGGGACCAGATGGTAAGAGCCATTGGTGGGGTGCTTGAAATACAAAGCAGCCGTCCAGTAGTTGGAAAAGTCCTCTGCCATTTCGCACGTGGTGCAGGTAGCCCTGGCACCAACGTCTCCCTCCATAGTAGCATTGAAGGCGTTTCCGCCCACAATGTGGTGGACATGAGAGGACGGGATCTGGCCTGGTTGGACAACCGGGTCCAGACGTTGAATCGTTAGAGTCGAACACTGGAAACGAAGGCCGGCCTGAACAGGCGCGACGAGAGACAATGCTGCTGCGGAGAACCACTTCATCTTGGCGGTAGATACTGGTAACACTTGAGAGTCGGAGGCTTGTGGAAGCAAGTGAGCTAGGGAGTGACAATCTGACCTCATGCGACTCTTATAGGGTTGGATTTGGTCCAAGTTGCGTCAATTTGGTTGTTGGTTCCTTGTTGTCCCGCTATCTAGTAAAAACGGAATGCGCTTTGAATGTTTCTTCTGGATCTGGAATCAAATACCGAGATCCAAGGAGTGTTCGGAAGATCGCCCAAAATCAATCAAGCTTTGTATTAGCCGGGTGATTATCCAGTGATACGGAGTGTTCATCATATATAGGGTGTACTATATTTACCCGCGCTAGATATCACGAGTGCATGTTCACCTGTCGGCACTTTTTTTATTCCCTATGTAGGTCTTGATTTTAGTACAGTCATTTGCTATTGGGTCCACAAATGTGCGAAGAATACCTCGTGTGCGGCCTGTGCAATCTATCAACCATATCGCGATCCAGACATATCCTAGCTAATCGCCGAATCCATTTCACGACGGACTTGATTTGACGATAGCTACCAATCGAAGGAAATGATGGGATCGACAAGCCAGAAGACCACGGGGTGCTGACAGAATGATCGTGCATGTGACAGAATTTTCCGAAAGGGTGGCCACCATGGCCCATTAGAGAAGCTGGTCTTTAAGTAGGGAATACAATACACACAATACGTACCCCAGCAGCTTCTACGCAAGGAAGTCTGGATGGAAGCTGGATATTCGGCGTGCAATGAATTGACTAACTTGCACATGAATGTTATTTGTTTGTTTCTGGGGAACACTTCAGATCGTCAGAAGTCCTGGAAAAGATTCCAGGTCGGCGCGACCTCAGACGGCATAGATATGTTCACAGCAGCATCGGAGAATGGCGTTCGTTATGACGGGCTCATGCCTCGAACGACATGATGGCAATATTATTTACAGTACACTTCTCACCCTCGCGGTTTTCTTCTGCGCAAAAGGGATGGCATGGGACGATACATGAGCCCTCCAGAAAGGGCTGCCTGTAGCTGGTTCCTCGCGGGACAGCGCCTTTGTCCAGTTCCAATGGGGTCAATCAAAATAAGTTCCTGGGAGAAATATCCGATTGTGATTTGTTGGTCCTCCAACAATAACCTCTTGTATTTAAGACAAAGTGATTGGCCTTGAGAATGAGCTGCAGCGTCAAAGATTGATTTTTGAGAACTCGAACGAGGCAAGATGACCTACGCGACACATTGTTCCAAACAGTTGGCCGCCTTAGTGAGTTAGAGAGGCAGTGGTCTCTAAGCAGGTGAAGAAGCAGGCGTAGTACATCGTGGCGACCGCGGGAAGGTTGCAGTAGCGCCCGGGCTTCTTCCGCCCATGATCTCCATGAACTAGGCCCGAGTTTCTCTTGCTGGTCGCGGGCATCCCAGGCGCATCGACCTCCACATCAAGTGCAGGGCCAGCGCGGGATCTCCACTAACCAACCCTTCGGCAACCGCCGGGCATAGGAAATTATATTCCGGCCGCCAGCCTCATCCACGTGCAATGGCAAAGGTTTTAAAAGACCAACAACCCATCCTATCTGTCGAATTCGACTCTCTCGACAAACGAAAAAAAACCCATTGCTTTCTTCATTTATCAACTTTTTCTCCAGTCACAAATTTGAGCACATCAGTCTCTTGATCAGAGCTTCTAGCAACAAGATCAACACACACAAAAACCTACACATACCGAGCGCTTCACAATGTCAAACCTTAGATACACCACCCCCGCCGGACACGGACAGGACAACCTGGAGCGCTACAAGTATAACCAAGTCGTTCGTGTTGGTGACGTCATTCACATCTCAGGCCAAGGTGCGTCCAATCTTTGTCTCCGTTAGGATAATATGACTGAGAAGAGGCTAATATGACCTTCCAGGTGGCTGGAAATACGAGACCGGGGTGATATTTGAGGATATCGACGAACAAATCGACCAGGCCTTTGCTAACGTCGACCACATCCTCAAGGAGGCCGGCGGCAAGGGCTGGGAGCAGGTGTTCAGAGTCAATTCTTACCACATCCCGCTGGATGATCGGGCAATGAATGCTATGATTCGAAATTTCGAGAAATGGATGCCCAACCACAAGTCTCTCTGGACATGCGTTGGAGTCGTCAAGCTTGGCGGCGGTGATGTGATGAGGGTGGAGATTGAAGTGCAAGCTTATGATCCCCAAGGCTCCAAGTGAGCGTAGATATGAATCTCGTTGTATAGTACGGGTACTAGGATACCAAGACTTAAGTCCCCCGACAAAAAGACCAATACTGGCTTTACAGGCTTGTGGCAATTATATGTGCCTGGATGGGTTACATCAGTAGCTGAAAGGCTTGTGCAAGGCTGCAAATGCTCGATATAATGATGGGCAAGGACCACGGCAAAGCCCAATGGCCTCTGGCTGGCGGTAGGGTCTCGAGTCGCTCTACTATACGCATAAAGTGCTCGAAATTAGACCGAGATTTCGTAAGATGATTCTCTGCAGTTCAAAGACGTGTTCAGTTTGTTAGTTCAGAATAGTCCATGAGCAATGTACCGCATTTGCAGTGTGGCACAATGTGATGAGCTCTTCAGTATGAAGAAAACCCGAAGAGTTGCACACGACTGCTCTCTTCTTCCTAGATACTCAACTACCTGTTCATCTCGATGGCCTCCCTCTGGCTACTGTGAGCAGCATGGTGCTTCTATCCGCTCAGCATCTTGATAACGATATGTCAGTTCTCCATGAAAAGGTGTCTTCCATTCGATACAGTCGCCTGAAGAGACTATGAAATCGTTGCAGCTAAGCACTGTGCTGAGGTTGTGGAATCCTGCACAGTCTCGGCAAATATCTTCCGCACTCTGGTTAGTCTACCAAGGACTTGGATAGCACTGCCGGTACACAAGTTTCTCTCCCTCGTGCGATCGTCAAGCGGTGCAATTACAGAGCAGGCCGCTCAAACTGCGATGAATACTGGATCCTACATGACGTATCAGTATGGTTTGATCGATCATGTCGGTATGTGGCCGTATTTTCTCCAGATTTGAGGAAGCACTCAGACATACGTGATAGAGCTGGATTCCCGTTCTCTCGTACCGAGACTCACATGCTGAGTTATTGATAATTTATCAGTGATAAACATAGGTAATCACTCCCCTAACCCTGCTTTGCAACCGTACCTTACGCAACTATGAATTAGAACACCACTTTATGGCCAAAACTTTTTTCACCAAAAACCCTGTTGGGGGAACTTATTTCCAAGGTTGGGTTCCCTAAATCCGCCATGTCGGCCGCCATGTTGACGCACTACCTTAAACTTTGCAACGGTTCCTAAAAGTGGGCTATATAGCTTTGGCTTGACTCGTACGTCTTGAGTATACTCAAGGATGGATGGAAACGTGCGCAGGATTTGCATGCCTAATGCAACCACCGAATTCTGCGTGCGATAGCTACTGGGGTCGGTAGCGTATATATTAACATCCCCATTTTCGGGTATGTAGTGCGTACCCCAGAGTCCAAGCTGAAGCCTCGACGCCGTTGGGCGGCCAGTCCCGAGGTCTTTGGGCAATCACTTTTTAAACGTGGACAAGGGAATCCTTTCCAAGATCCCCGGGTTGCAGCGAGGCCACCTCAGCTCGCCGGTCGAGAGTGATCATCGTGGTGGTACTCGATGTGCTCGTCTTTGAACAGATGGCACGTGCGTTGCCGCCGGCTCATGATATCGTGTGATACAACGTTGTGATAACTCTCCGCGCAAGCCCTGGAGCACTAGCTGGCTGCCAAGGAAGGCTTGTTGGGTAAGAGACTGGGATAGTCGTGTATTTGTTTTGCCTCCAACCGTCGCGTCACAAATGGGATGCAAGTAGACTCAATGTTGCTGTCTCTCAAGACTCAGAAGTTCTGCTCAGACGAGGAGACATCTATTCGTTAACCATCAAGTCGTCAACAGCAATTCTGTCAAGACATCGCAGAACCGTGAGCACTGACTAGGCTCACCGGAAACTCAATTTCGACAGCGGAATCCAAGCGCCTGATAAACTTCCTTCTTTCATCCGTGCGCGGCCAATAGCAAACGGCGACGCAGCCCTCTCATTATTTGTTCTGTGCATCATCAGCCCTGAAGCAGCAATCTATTTCTGCAGATGCTCCTCCAGCTAGAGCGATGGTCAAAGCTTGGCGGGACAAATGACACATGCAGCCCATCCATCTCTCTGGATATGAGGGTCCGGATAGCTATAGCATGTGGTCGCGTTTCTGAGCGGACGGACTCGATGATTTCTGGGCATCCGGGGCCCGACCGTCGACACCGCCTGGTGCTCTGTTCTGGTGCTCACGTGGAGAGAAAACTTAATAGAGGACCTCATGAAGCCTGCTTGCAAAGATGCATTTACCCCTCCGAGTTGCGCCCTGATTCAGGGCGCAGGCAGGCGGAAGATTCAGCTTTATTACCGGTATGTCGATTTGCTAGCCGAGCGGCCCGGACCTGGGAAAATAAAGCCTGATATTCCTCATTTACTCCACCCAGCTACTATATTCCCTCTTGAACATGGTTTCTATTTGTACACAAGAGGCCCCATGGGTATTGTAAAAGCTGATGATACTCCACATGTTGCCCATATGCTCTCGCTAGGCCTCATGGCAGACATGTGTGCCTTGCATTGACTGAGCAAATACGACAGCCCTAGAAAATAAGGAATTCTTACCGCCCAGTGCTTGCAACCCTGTAGCACGCCTCGGACGTGCTATACAATGTCTCACATCTGGAACGACTATGGCCCGACGCAGCCACCGGGCACTGATGACCTCTCGCCGTTGGATGACAATTTGAGAGCAGGTCTCGCCGTCATAGGCGCACTCGCCGTGGTCTCTCTGATACTATGCACGAGCCTATTTTCCTTTATAACATACCGCGTCATCCAAGGCCGGCTCTCTGCCCCGTCTCGACCTCGTTGCTCGAGGTCTCGCCTATTCACTCGTCGACCTGTCCCGCTGGAACCCAGGTCGCAGCAGCAGCAACTTTGCCGGCACACCTCGAACAACACCATCAACGCGGCGGCCAAATCCCCTCTGTCGCCCTTATCGCCCGCCAGCGACCCGTGGCAGCGGGGCCAACTCTTAGATACCGCCGATGAAGCCGCGGTTGGCACAGTGCCCAACATTCGCCGGCGCTACCAGGGCTATAATCCACTGCTAGTACTTATATACATGCTGCTTATTGCCGATATTATTCAGTCCACCTCTTTTATTCCCAACCTTGTCTGGGTCAACCACGATGCCATCACCGTGCGGTCCGAGTCTTGCTGGGCACAGGGCTGGCTGCGATCGCAAGGCGACGTGGCGAGCGCGATCTTTGCCGCTGCCGTCTCGATCAACACCTATTTGCTAGTCGTCCACCGGTACACCATGCCGTCCAAGGCGCTGCGCCTGATCGTGGCGTCTGTATGGTCATTTAGCTTCATCATCGTGGCGGCTGGGGTGTGGGCTTCGAACAATGGCAGGGGCCATGGCGGGTATTTTGTGAGGGTTGACACATGGGTAAATATGCCACCTTGATGCCCTGCACTCCCCACAATTCCTGTGTGCGAACGCTCATGTGCTAACGACACATCAGTGTTGGATCAGCCAGGAATACGCTGGCTACCGCCTCTGGACACACTTCAGCTGGGTACTAGCCATGCTGAGCATCATAGTCTTAGCATGTATAGGCACAGCCATCAAAATCCGCGTGCCGGACCCAAACGGTCCTCGGCGGGGCCTGCTTCGAGTATTAGGGGGTGTGCGCATCCAGTTGCGGAACCCTCGAAAAACCGGCCACCACCCTGCGTTTCTCATCTACCCTCTCGTCTACTTTGTGTGCTGCGCGCCGATGGCCATTGGCCCCATGATCCTGGCGTCAGGTGTCACGGTCAAGCAGGGTTACTTCCTATGGGCGGGCGCTATGATCGCGAGTAATGGCTGGTTGGATGTGTTGCTTTGGAGCCTCACCATGATCTTCCTAGCACCCAAGGATATCAAGGAGGCCGGTCTGTCGGGCTTTGCGTTTCTGCGTACGCCTTCAGTTGAGTATGGGAACATGGTTTGGGTGGAAGCCGGACAGGGCGGTGGTGGGAACGAGACCAGAAACAAGGGTGGCGTGCTCGCGGCGGAATGCCTCCAGCCGCTCGCCCGCATGTTAAGGAGGGACTCGGGGAAGGACCGACGCCAGGGTTGTGGCTGGGAGTCGCTAAGCACGATGAATACGGATAAAAAGAAACAGGATGGCATCACATACAAGACTGTCACCTCGGTGGTGGTGGAGAGCAGTCTGAAGGGGGCGGCCGATGGTATTGGACACTCGCCGGCACAGCAGGACGAGATCGCGCCGAGACCTAGTTTTGTGTACGCCAGGGAGGATATTGTGACGGTACCAAGGAGGGTGGCTCACCGATTTTAGTGAGGAATTTCTTTGATCCTGGGAATTTGTTAAGGAATCACCTGCTGTGATGGTCGTGGTTTCGTTTTGCGATTCGACCTTAGTGGAGATAAATACTGTGTATTCCGGGGGCCGGAGCTCACTATTCCGAGAGACGGTTTGATTCTACTTGAGCATACCGTCCACTGCATATGCTAGGTAGTGACGGTAGGACTGGGTCAAGAGGATGGGAACCCAAAATATCACTAAGATCGCGAGGGGCGAGAGGCGTCCGAAGTTGGCATCTGAAACTTTAGAAAGTGGGAACGGTCGACGATCCACGGAAATAAAATAGCATCCTCAAAATTCTTAATACATATTGCCGAACTAAATACAGCGTCATGGAACCAAAGCCAGCATCGTAAAAGCAAAGTGACCACCAACCTGCAGGATTATATCGATAAATTCACTTCGGCACTGACGCCTGGTCGGCTTGGTCACTTAGTCTGCCGAATCATGACAATATTTGCAAGTCAAGCCCGGTGACATCCGAACTCTGATGTCGAACGGTGTATGCAATTTCTGCTGGTGACTTTTGTAACCATTGAAATGGTTTTATAGACAAATATAACCGGGTTTTCGAGGTCTCAACTATGGCGTTGGCGTCAGGGACGCGACTCTTGGTCATCTGGGTCTATGTTCTAGTCAAACTTTCCAGATTCCCGTCTATTGAACGCAACATACCTCGACTTCTGGGGACGAAGCTTGTCAAGTATAACATTAGTCCACGTGCCCCCAATAAGACCTTAAAGTCTCTTGGAAACTGATCTACTGCTGCAGAAATGTGTCCCACTCATAGTCATCATTCATGACATCTGGTCCGAACGCAAAGTCGTCCCCGATCATCGTCTCAAGCGTATGCTCCAAGCCGAATCCCAGTGAGGCTGACACAGCGTCGATCTCGCTTTTGTTGTGTTGGGACAGACTCGGGTCTATTCCTCCATCAGTGCCCTGCGAGACATCCCCCCATGGTCGGTATTGGAACGCGTAGGGTTCTCCTTGTCCAATCTCCGTGGATGAAGACCCTGGTGTTAGCAAGGTTTCGTTGTCCTTTCCCATACTCTCTTTCCCGTGTCTCTTTACGTCTTCCAGGGAACTCGATAGGCCTCGGCCATCATCAACACCAACTGTCCGGGAGTTCTTGATAAGTCTCAGCAGGTTTAGCCTTATCCTCCGTGCGGTGTCCCATGAAGCAGAGAGCTCATCCAGCACGGTAAGACAGAGTCTCATGTCGTCGGTGCTGAAGTTAAATGAAGATATGGCATCTGGGGCAGTGCCAGGTTGTGCTTTAGCACTGCGTAGAAGAACAAGAGCGGCTGATAGAGTGCAGTGCGTGGCGGTGATTGGACTGCAGCGGAAGCTGCCGAAAACGCGGCGATACTTTCGCGCCGTGCTGCAGATCTGCTTGGCCGAGGTTTGAAGGAGTGAATTGGCTTTTTGAAAGTTTGTTTTGGGTTTTAGGTCGATAGTGTCAGCTGGTTCTGTGGCACTGCTGTTGGTGGAGTCGGGGGTAGCCAAGTAAGGCCTTGCGAGGAGGATGCAGGCAGTGGAGTAGACCATGTGAAGAGTGAACGTCTGCGGCAGGGAGGAAGCGTCCAGACGGTCCAGGCGGAGCTCAGGTGGCAGATCGTATATCCACGTCTTAAGCTTGAGGTAGCATGAGTCGAGAAAAGTTGATCGTAGTATTCCCTGGCACTTTGGCTTCGGCATATATCTTCAAATGTTAGCAGGTCAAAAACCAGTCAATAGTCACAGGCCAGCTGAGCCCCTCTACGGTTACTTACAGGGACACCAAGATGTCTTCAAGTATTTGACTGAGTCGCATGAGAGCATGCTGCTGCAACATGAGTGTTCTGGAGTTTCGAACATCCCCAAATTGGTCAAAGAGGTTTGCTTCCACATTCGGCACGGACGGCCATGCAACGAGCCCTTGAGCATCCTGGATAACTGGTGAGTACCGGTGTGACTAGGAGAGGCTCCGGTGGGCCTACTAATACTGTGCACACACGTCCCGTATAAGCAGCAGCAAGCTTGTCGTCGCAATACATGGACCAATAAAGCAGCCGTCTAAGCTCGACCTCCTCTTTCGGTATCAAATTTGAGCCAGAGATTCTTTGGGCATCAAGATTAATTCCTAGGTCGAGAGCGAGCTGCTTTGCCGTGCCCTGGCGTAGCCAAGAAGTCGCGTCGGCCCCTGTGGACTGTACACAGCGATTCAGTATTGTTTGTGGGTGCGTATTAATGATCACAGACTCACCACACTGAGCGTGCTCAGCAAATAAAGAGACTGTATAGTCGTAATGTTCGGGAACTTCAGGTCGTAGGCGAGGTAGCTCTCAGCCCGTTTGAAAAAGAACTGCCCGGCACTGTTTGTATCGGCTGGATCAGCGCGCACTGCAGGGCTATCCGTGAAGCGAGATCCAAGGGCAAGAATGCAGTTCTCGAGAAGAGGACTCCAGTAGCGACCCGTTGTCTTCAGACTTTCCCGATAAAGGTTTTCGTCGACGACCAGCAACCACGGATTTTGCCATGTGAAGTACAAGTTCACTAGCTCCGATCTCAACTCCTCTGAGACCAGATGACTGCTATTGTCCTCTGCCAGAATTCGCCGATTCATCTCGGCGCGAGGGTTGGCAGCGGTGAACTCAACAGATTTAGTTTGTGACCGTGCCGAAGAAGCACCTTCGCCCTGATCCAGCATAGTATCGGACATGAACTGCAGCCGTCCACTTGTGGGGCCAAAGTAGCGAAACTCGCCGTCACCTTCATAGTTCAGCGCCTCTTCGATTGACAAAGTGCCTTCAAACGCATCACAGAGAGCATCAACGTCTGGCGAGGTCTCGCTGTGACCAGGATCCTCATACATGGTCAGTGAGTCAGCATCACCCAGACCCGTGCTGCTGGAGGACAGAGCGGCTATCGACGCATCGACGTCGATGCAATGGTTGCGCAGCACCTGCTCAAGGGCCTCGATGCGGCGGCGGAGGAGATCGACGTAAGTCTTGGAAGCAGGCTTGCGGCCGTCTTCACCTCCTGCATACTTGCATGCTTGCATGCCACGGCTTAGGCATCGAGTACATGACGGGCGTGCGCCATCACACTGAGAGCACAAGGCTGATATCAGCAGAGAATTCCACACAAGGTCAACGTCACCGTCCAAGACTTCGGGCCCTCGTGCTCACGAACCTTTGCCCGACGGCGGCGGCATTCCTCGCACGCACGAGAAGTATACTTGCGCTTCTGTTGATCGGATCCAGAAAGTCTTGCTCGTTGGGCTTTCATCTTGAGAGAATCTTCATTTTGCAGAGAGCTGGAGAGAACGCTGTCATGTTAAGAGGTTCTGTCATGTGCACAGGGAGGTTCTGTTACATTACTCAGCCACTACACTGCTTAGGCCCTAGACTTCGAACCCTGGTGCCCCGCATGTATCCCACGGCTGTGTATTGTGATCTAACTTAGGTGACAAACAGCAGCGAGCTGAAGGACATTGAGCCTTTGTACTATTCTCGCTTTGTTGATTTATTACACAAGATCAACTAGTGCCTGACACTGGAAAATATCAAAAAGCTGAACCCTCAATAGATTTGCGGCCTGCATAGGTAAGTGACTTAGGACCTAGCATGGTCACAAGCTGGTGTCCGATCCTTCAGAAGTGATGAGGTCTACAGCGTCATCGAGCTGCTGAGAAGACCAATGATTCAGTGCCAAACGTGCGACAATGTAGAGATCTGCGTGCCATTGCCACTAAAATGTCCACAGTATCAGGTCCGAGGATGTTTGAAAGTCGCGTTATGGACGGACGTGGAATCTTGCACTAAGCGCATATTGATCACTCAATCAGCACGCGACCCTCTCTTGATTGTTGGATGACTGCGACGAAATGGTATCAAACGGGCTCATTGCTGCGCTCGCTGTTGCCCGACTTTGAATATGAGACCCAGTATGTCCCTGAAATAAAACTTTGAAGTTACCACAATGGAAAGGTTTATAGTAAATTCCTTTGAGATATAGTTTTGATAAACATGTTTCGGTAAGAAGCTCTTCTGATTATATTACTGCTGCTTGGTGTCTAGTTGTACGCAAGTCATGAAGATCGTTTCTTGAGATGGTGAAATAATTCCTCTGCCCCGAACCAGATCTATGACCGCTGACTATCGATACAAGCCTGGAAAATTAAGGTATCTGACCCGGCTACTCAGGCTGGATCAGGTTGATTGAATAAGGTTGGCGGAGAGGGGAGTCCCTATCACAATCAGAATTCTGAAGACGTACTGATACTTTGTTTCATATGTTCTCGTGATGAAGGGGATGTGTGAGTCAGCTAGCCATGGCATGTTTAAAAGCCATAATCGCGCAGGCTATCGTCGACCGGGCAGAGACTCTGTGCATGGACCAAAGCCATAACTATGAAGGCTAGACTTCACTGATATAACGTGCTACTTTGAGGCGTTTTCATCTGATCTCCGCGCAGTCCGTGGAACGCGCGGAATTGGAGAGTGGGCTGAGATCCACAGTTTGCGCGCTCTCGCACACCAACAGTAGTCCGACACTCATGGGCCCATGAGGATACCCCGCAAGGTTGCAAATAAAAAGATTGTCAGTGAAGAGGGACCTATCTCCGTCTTCCGGGAGACTCAACGAAGTCCCCTACAGTTCGGGTGGAGCGAGTGTACATTCACATGCGTCTCTGTTTTCCCACCTTCGTATGACAGAATGCGAGTTCCTTTTCACCACCCTATAGCATTTTTGCTTTTGAGAGCGATCGTCGCTCAAAAAACAAATTTTTGCGCCAAAGAGCACTTCTCATTCCCAGAACTCCTGGGTGCCCAACTATCTTCGATCACAACCTCAACGCTAGATGGATACAAGGGCGCCTCGGGATGGCTGCCTGAAGCTGCCCTGATTAGCCACGATGGAGTGCGAGCCTGCAATGTCACAATATCGTACACGCATCCTGGTCATAATGATCTAGTGTCTGTGCAAATCTGGTTGCCGCTTGTCGACTTCAATATGCGTTTTGTGGGAGTTGGAGGAGGGGGCTGGTCAGCCGGAGAAATCGGCACTGACATGAGGTCAGCTTTTGCATCGCAAGGCTACGCAGTCGCCACTACAAACGCGGGCTACGACCACGACGTCTTCGGTACCGCCGATCGCTGGTTGATGAAGCGTCCTGGAAACCTGAACTATCCTCTCATTGTAAATTTCGGTCATCGGGCTCTACACGACATGGCAGTCATTGCCAAGCACGTCATACGCGAGGCTTACGGCTCAGGACCGGACTTCTCTTACTGGCAGGGTTGCTCAATTGGTGGACGACAGGGGCTTACCATTGCCAGCAAGTACCCAAGCGACTACGACGGCATTCTGACAAGCTGTCCTGCTGTCAACTTCCCAGCTCTCCTGATGGCCATGTATTGGCCACAATTCGTCATGAATCAGAAGGGAGTATACCCACACGCTTGCGAATTTGAGGCATTAAGGGCTGGTTCATTGCAGTTCTGTGACGGTCTCGATGGGGTGAAGGATGGCGTGATTGCTGACCCGGACCTTTGCACATTCGATCCAATAACCTTAGCTGGCACCTCCTTCGACTGTAAGGGAAGTTCTATCGTGGTCTCAGAAGATGCGGTTAGCTTGTTCAAGGATATTGTTCATGGACCAAGTGATCCGGAGGGAATCAAGTTATTCCCAGGAATCATGCCTGGGACAGCTCTGGTTGGTCTCATGGCCACTGCGAATACGCTCTGCAACGGCAAGCATTGCTCTCACGGCTTGCCATTCACAGTCGCGGACGACTGGATACGGCTCATGCTCAAGAAAGACGCTTATTTCGATCCAACGAAGATGTCGCACGCTGATTATGCTCATTTGTTCCGAGAGAGTGTGGCAGAGTGGGACGCAATGTTCAGCAGCAACAACCCTGACATGGATCAATTCCGGCTGCTCGGAAAGAAGATGATTAGCTGGCATTCTGTAAATGATGAAGCCGTGCCTATTCTTGCCATGAGAGAGTTTTATGAAAGGGTATTGGCCCGGGATCAAGCACACAATATTACCACCCAGGACTATTATCGGTACTTCGAGGTACCGGGTGCAACGCATTGCTCAGCTCCGACCGGGGTGCCATACCCTCTAGATGCGCTCACGACTCTTCAGTCCTGGGTCGAAGATGCAGTTGCTCCTGACAAGCTACCCGCCGTGCCCCTTGGCCATCAACGGACCGAAACGAAGGTCGACCGACCGATCTGTGCATATCCAGGGACCGCGTTTGAGACGAAAACTGGGGTTGCTTGCAGAGTCCCTGGCGATGAAGTGAATGAATTAAGGCCATACATCAAGGACGAGTTGTAATGAGTTACTAGATATGCCGAATTCATGGAGTGCATTTTGTTACATGAGACACAGTGTCTTAATTTCGTGATTCTGATCGCATATTTGAACTACGGCTCCGGCGGCTAATTATCGCCAGGCTTTGCGTAGCGCTCTCCCAAAGTAAGGAGTGATGCTATAAGAAAAGAGAGTCATATCGAGATTGATGTCTAGTCAGTTATTGAGATATGCGTTTCAACGCTACTTTTCTTGATTCTATTGAGGCTCGATTTTCCACATTTTGCGTCTCATTGCATTGGTCATGGTGTCGATACAGCCAGACATACCAACTACTGAGTTTTCTCACATGATGACCATGACTAGGTCAGCCCTCAACACCAGCACGCTTTGGAACTACTTTTCTCATATCTGCATTCAATTCGTGTAAGAGGTGATAACCGTGACTCTCTGTGCGTGCGTTGTCAGAAATGCCATTACATTAGGAACTGAGTAGGGTTTGGCTCATTTCTGAAGGGACTCCGCGATATGGTCTATGGCATCCGTCCCAAGTGCTTGATATGAGGTCAAATATCGAGTGCGTCCACATTTGTGTTTCTGGTCTCCAAAAGTGGTCCCACGAACCCCTGACTGGGACGGCAACATCCGCTTCACCGGTCACGCGTATTCGTCCACATTCGAGATCAACGACTACAAGGGCTCTGCAGCAAACGGACCAGCCCGTGTTTGTGGGCCAGATCTGACATGGCTTTCGGCAGCCTTTCAGCCCTCCTCGGCGTGGCAGCACAACAGGGGGAGGGGGGGTAGATTACATAAGCCCGCATCGCAGGCACCAAGGACACACCTACACTCCAAATCTTCTGGCCATTTCAATCAGACCTAGAGTACCAACAATCTTTCCACTCGCTCGTTCTCTTTCATTTCCAGTCTATCGACGTCACTTATCATCACTTCGCCTTTCAAGGCTCTTCCTTAATCTTTCAAGAGACTGCCCCTCTCCGAGATAAATTCTAATTCAATGTCGAGTCTTTTTCGAGAGCTCACCGAAAGCGAATCTCCTGACAGCTCTGATAATGGCATGAGTAACTCTGAAGAAGACGGCTCTACAGACTCGTACATCTGCGACGTTTGTTCTGGTTTTGGTGAGCGTGGCCATTCGCGCGCCCTATTCAACCTCAACAGTGATGATGTTCCCGACGAGATGAGATACACGTACTTCTATTTTCACTACCCAAATCCCGTCCTGCTGGCCGACTCGGCCAAGAATGGCTGTCAGGTATGTCAGCTCATCATGAGCGACATTCGCGATTTGTGGAATATCCAATTGGATCATCTGTCGTGGGAGGATGTCCAGGAAGAAGTCCAGGACTTGGAAAACAAGCGATTGGCCACATGGGCCGAGTTAATGCAGGATGACATTTTCAACTTCGACCCTGACCAAGATGCTGCTGGGCTAGCCAAACGCATCGAGGCCGCCCGACTCGACGGCCATAGTATGCTGCCTAGCTCAGCTGTGCACGGCAAAGGCCGGATTTGCCTCATGGTCCTTTGTAAGAGCGACCAAAAGAGTCTCCGGGATATCTCTGGAGTGCAGACGGCCCAGATAGAGATAGTTGGTGACCCGCTCGGGAGTAGGTCCAAGTTCCAAGGATTGGCTTTCTTATCAAGTCCTCGTAAGCTACACTCCCTTGTCTCGCTCTTCCTCCACGGTGAAAAACACTCTGGGACCATTCAGACGAGACGCGACTCGCAGCTCACAGCTTGTAGCCGATCGTCTAGATCCGGGCTTGCTTCACCGTCCAACCTCGGATGTCTTCTCTCGCGAGCACCTCGAGCTCGTTGACCGGTGGATATATGAATGCTCTACAGAACATGAAGCGTGCGGCAGAGTCGGCCCGCTGCAACATTTGCCGACACGCGTGTTAAAGATAATTCCCTCGGAAACCGCAAGTGACGTCGAGATAGTGAGGCTGGTCGAGACTGGAGGTGCTGTAGGGTGCTACGCTGCGCTTTCCTACTGCTGGGGCCTCACACCTCAAGTCGAGAAGACCACGACGAGCAACCTACACAGTCACTTGGACGGAATTTCGCTGCAGATCCTGCCAAAGACAATTGCCGACGCTATTCGCCTATGCTGTAAGCTAGGCTTTGATTATGTTTGGGTGGATGCCTTGTGCATTATTCAAGATGATTACGAGGACTGGACACGCGAGGCAGTTAAAATGTCCGAAGTGTACGGTAACTCCGCGTTGACTATAGTCCCTTCTATGGTGCGCGACTCCTCTGAGAGCTTTGTGGAGGCGCGGAGAGCCGGAGGCTTCCCTATCGAGATTATTACGGAGCTGCCGTACACAGACTCAGAGTCCGGCCTAGCAGGCAGCCTCTGGTTCGGTGACTATCTGACCTGGGACAACTCCTGGGCCCTGGAGAGGGACTGGGAATCAATGTATACGGAGAAGCGAGAGCCCTACGAGTGGCTCGGGCGCGCCTGGTGCTTCCAGGAGTGGATTCTGTCGCCACGAATCCTTCACATCCACAACATGAGCCTCTGGGACTGCTTTCAGGGGTATGCAAACGAGGTGACTGCACGGCACGTGGGGCCGACAATGCTGCGGAGAGATCTCTTGGGTTCCGGTAGCAGTACCACGTGGAGCTCCATCGTAGCGGAGTTCACGTCGCGGGCCATCACCAAGGCGTCAGACCGTTTGCCAGCGCTGGCGGGGCTTGCGGCAATGTACGCGCGCGCCACGGGCCGAAGCACGTATCTAGCTGGGATCTGGTTTGAGGACCTGCCCGCTGCGCTGTTGTGGTCTGGCTGGACCGATGACTCGAGCGTGGGAAAGCTGGACTCCCCCTCTTTCACCTGGGTCTCCGCGGATCGGGCAGTCAACTTCTACGGCCCAGATGTCGTGTATACACCCGGGGACTTCGAAATCAAGACCAGAGCAGTAGCGTGGTCTTGTAGCGAACATGGGCACCCTACCTATACATCGAGAGGCTTCACTGTCGAATTCGAGGGCCCCTTGGGTCTCGTAAATGGTTCGATGCCGTCCTGGAGTTTGCGGCCGCTATACAACCAATGGACCTTGGTCCTTGACCGAAAAGGAACATGTACGGAGGAGAATATTGCTGTGTCCAAGTTGTATTTGATGCTCATCATGGGCGGCCGGACTGAGTCCGGCCTGTACGAGTATCAGTCACTTGTGTTGAGAAAGTTTGAAGAAGAAAATGACGTGAACTGTTTCCAAAGGCTAGGCCGCGCGTATTTGAAACTTGAGGAAGGACAAGCGCCGCCAGACATGCCTCCTGCTACGCCAGAGTGCGCGGTGTGGGAGCGGAGCAGATTTCGTCTGAAGTGAATCAGCTGGCAAGCAATGTTTGTCCGAGTACCTAGGACGTCAAGGTTCAACATTGATATATGTTGCAACAGGACAGTAAAATCAGACGCTTAATAATCAAAATAGAGCAACTTACCTCTTCCTAGTAGTAAGGTAGCTCATATCGTTGTTATCCGTCAAGGGTAAGAGCCAAGAATGACTATTTATAATCTCAATAGACCTATAACTGCTTTCGAAGTAGTTCGGTGGGACGCCAGTGGATGCTGTGCTTACACTGAGAGGATCACTTTATCAAGGACGGTGTGGTAGTGATGGGTAACGTGTTTCTTGACCGAGAAAAACTGGCAAATTTCCTAATCACAATCTCAAGGCCTTCTGTGTATCTATCACTTAATTCTTGACAATTGCTGCCCTTAGTTTTGTGTAACTTGAGCGATCTCCATGGCTCGAAGCCTTTGTAGATTGATCTACTTCAAGGGAACCCAACGGAATCCAGACATGAATGGAAACGTGCAGACTTGTGGATCATGGAAGAGAATCCCCCTTTACACACATTGTAGAGGAGAAGTGAACTCGAAGGAGCAGCAAAGAATCCACTTATCCACTTGCGTGCCTACCCAGAATTCTGGGTCTGCTGTAAACAGACGAGTCAAAGTGCTTTTCGCGGGGGTGAAATGCTCCATCCAACCAACACTTCTTGAGAGATGTGATGCGACTGGTTATCTTGCCTGAAGGTGGCTACCTATGTGGATTTTTGGTGCCCGGGCCGCGCTACCCGCCGTGGCAGTAATAAAACGAGATCAATGCTTCGTGAACCGATAAGCATGAGTATATGTCTACCGGAGGCCCCTTTAGCCTCTGTCAATTGGCTTGCTCTCACCATTACATCTTCCTAAATCTCGAAACATTAGTCATGGAGCATCCAGTGGCTCCCTCAGAGCTCTCTCTACTGCAGGCATCCTATGCCGAGGCGATCGATGCTGCAAAGGAACCCCTTGTAGATATAATCCCCGTCGAATCTGATGAATGCCTAACCCACGATCTGAAACTCTCCGGAACACGCACTTTCGATGTTGTAGACTTGCAGTCCGAGCCGGCAGAGGAGGTGTTCGGCATCAGTCTGCTCGACTGCATCGTAAGCAGCTTTTAGATACTTTTTAACCCGTTGAGAAGATATCGGCCGTCTGTGGTCTGTGCGACTAATTGCCTCAAAGCGTTATGTTGCAATGCAGATTAGTCTATAGGCACACCTTGGCCAATTCTTCTTCCAATTTTCGTAAAAGCTTTCTTTGGTGGTTTGATAGCTAACTCCGGATGCTGCAGATGCCCAAAATGTATATTCCAATCACCTGTACATACAAACTCGATTATGATATCAATAAAGAGGCTGTGATATCCGACCTCTGTTTGGGGCTCAAAAGGCTACTGGCGGATTATCGTTTTCTGGCAGGGTCACTTTTTGAAACCGAAGCCGGCACGTCTTTCGTCAGGCGCGGTCCCTCTCACGCAAAATTCACAGTTCACATCGAAGATCACACCAAGAGAGACTTTCCTGCGTATGCTGAATTGGCAGAACGCCATTTTCCCGTCTCTGAGCTCGACTTCCGTATGCTCCCACCAAACTTCGAGCCAAGTCCAAGTGGTGCGACTGAGGAAGGTCATCCCGCAATGCTTGTGCAATTCAACCTCATCCGGGGTGGTCTTGTTATCGGCGCGGTGTTCCATCACCTTCTAATCGACGCCAAAGGCTTGGATGCTGTGATGTCGCATTGGGCTGCGCATACGCGCTCCCTGAGGAATGACACTTCTCCTCCAGCCTTCCAGTCATCCGACCTAAACGTGTCACGTCTGAAATGTGTCACACCGGACATCTTTGATAAGGACAATCAGCCGATATCCTCGCTGAAATACGCACCCAACGCACCTCCCACCTCAAACATTCCACCCTCAGCAATGGCCCAACACCTCTGGCACATCCCTGCTAGCAAACTCGCAGCCCTCAAAGCCTCAGCCGCGCCACAGGCTCCAGGTGACGCCTGGGTCTCGACAAACGACTGCATCACGGCGTTAATGTGGCGCGTAATCACGCGCTCTCGCCTCGCAATGCACGAAATCACCGACCCTCTGACAGACACGCGGCCCGTGGCGCTGGAGAACTCGCTGGATGTCCGCGCCTCGATCCCGGGCGGGATCCCCGCGGCATACCCTGGCAACGTGGTGATGTTTTCCAAGGCGCTCATGCCGTTGAACGAGCTCTTGCGCGCCGATACGTTCCGCGCCGTCGCGGTGTGTGTGCGCGAGACGGTCGAGAAGTACCGTGCGTGGCCTTTGGTTGAGCGGGCGATTGGCTGGATTGCATCTGTCCCACGGGGTGCGGATGTCGCCATGGATGTCGACGTTGTTTTGGGTCTGGATGGGCTTGTAACCAGTTGGCGGGTTCTGCGGGCATATGAGAGATGGGATTTCGGGTTTGGACCGCTGAAATCACTTAGGTGGGCAACGCCCGTGTTTGATGGGTATGCATTCTTGTATCCTACCCGACTTAATGCAACACCAGATGAAGGGGTGGAGATTTATCTGGGTCTGGAGAAAGGGTGTATGGACAGGCTGTTGATGGATAAGGAGCTTTCAAAATGGGCTGAGATTCGTGACTAGTCCGCGTCTCCCATCACAACGAAAAAGATGAAGGTGGTCCGTTCAATGATCGCCGGAAAAGTAAATTCAAATTCTGTACAAACATCTTTTAAGCTCAGTCCCCTTCTAATTTCATGGAATCAGTTCGCCAAGTGCGGTCTTAACTCCCCCGTGTAATCAGGATACCCGAACTTGGTCAGCTTGTCACCATCTTCCGCGATTTCAGTAAACCAGGCCCCAACGTCCTTCAAAAACTGCCCTGTCACCTCGGCATCACCAAGATCAAACGGCTCATATCCTTTTCCAATCGCCCGCATTTGTGACCATGCCCCAAACCCAGACATCGCAAAGTCCGTCTCAAATGGAGGCAGAGCCTTGACCGCACCCGTGACCTGCCCAGCCAGCAGGTCCAGCGCAAGAGACGGCTCCTGCACCGCGGGCCTCGCAATCCCGACGCCGTCAACGACATCCAGCGCCTCGACCATGGCACCTGCAGACCTCAACCCGCCAGTGATGAAGACCTTTGTTCGGCGCTTGTCAGCGGGACCCAGTGCAGGGACGACACGCTCGGCAAAATCGAGGAAGAACGCCTCACGACTCCGCGTGCTGTCTTTCTTGCGCTCGAACCCAAAGTTCTCATATGTGCCGCCGCTCAGCTCCAGGTAGTCGACGCCGGCGCCCTGCAACGCAGCAACCAGCTCGGCCGCGTCGGCCGTCGTCAGCCCCTCGGCTTGGAACTCGACCGAGTTGAGTTTGATAGCCAGGATGAAACCCGGGTTCGTGCATGCCCGCACCGCTGCACACACCTCACTCACGATACGCAACCGGTTTGTGATACTGCCACCGTATGCGTCGGTGCGCTTATTGGTAGTCGGGCTGAGGAACTGAGCCAGCAGGTAGCCGTGTGCGGCATGCAGTTCGATGCCGTCGAAACCTGCCGCCTCGAGGAACTCAGCTGCATGAGCGAATGCGTCGACGATGCGGGCAATCTCATCTGTGGTGGCTGCGCGCGTCGGCGGGAATGTCATCCCGGCGTGAGGCTCTGCGGACGAATGCGAGCGGTAAGCCTTTGCGCTGCCTGACTTGCTGTGGGATGTGGACTTACTGAGCTGTACAGCTGACGCAGAGATGGACTCCTTGGCCATTTTAGATGGGATCTGACGTCCTGGATGATTCACCTGCCCTATGACGAGTGCGCCATGAGCTTTCGCAGCCGCAGCTGTGGCCTGGAATCTCTCGAAGCGCTCCCCCTCCATTGGGGCTTCGGGGGTGATAACAGCATCGCCAGCAGCACTCATGTGTTCATAGTCAATCATGATATTTCCGGTCTGTATGATTCCCCATCCGCCTTCGCCCCAGCTTCAAGGGTGTCAATTCTACTCTCAGAGAGGGGAATATGGAGTCACAAATTCTTACCGTCGGTAAAGCTCGACGTACTCCTTTGTGGGGATGCCGCGAGCCGGCAAGTCATTGACGTCCCAGCTCGACAACGCCTCCGCCATAGAACTCTTCAATAAGCGATTAGGGGCGGTCTTTCGCGACTGCTCGAACGCCAGGGGTTGAGCGAGACGTGAGACGTCGGCCTTATCGCCGGACTCGTACCGTATTGTAGACATTTAGCGTTGGTTCGGGAACGTGTGTGATAGTAGTTGATGTCTTAAAGACTCTCTGATGATTGCACCTCATTGCTTCAGCTGTATCCTGCAGCATGTGGCCATCTTATATCACCGCAGCGCCAGGATCGAGCCCTCGTATGAAATAACTCAGGAGGCATGTTTATTGACCCGAGTGTCGAAGGGAGTAATTCTTTCTTTGCAATTCTCACGATCTACCAGAGATACGCGAACGAGACGTCGGCGTCGGGCACTCCTGTCCGTGCAAGGCCGACAGCTGGGATCCTGTGACAAATCCATACTCGATGCAGGAACATTGAAGTGCGGCGCTTGGCGGATGCAGCTAGAAGAGGCAGACCCAGACTCCTGAATGAACGCCAAAAACTCTCCGACATGGTGTGTGGTACAAGTAGTGGCCGTAGCAAAGTCCTAGTCTCTTTTTTATTAACGCCGAAAGAGGATTGACGATTCGGCGGTTTGGTTGCTCCGCGTCGCGGCTTATGCCCTGGCCGGACTCAAGGCTGATGGCAATCTCGAAACGCTTGACCGTTTCCTGAGATTTTTAGTTGGACAAACAAATAAAGAACTCAATTGCAAATAAATGTTGCGTGAATCAGACCGACACGTTCTTTTCCTCACGACGCTTCCTTTGACCCCTACAGCACTTTGTTAAGATTGGATGCTGAGTTTCTGACACGCCGGACCGAATCTATTCCTTTAATCCCAGACGTCGAATGTAATCTGAAGAATGTTCCTTCCCGACGAAGCTGCGAGCGTGCCGCCGAAGGTGACCATCACCATCAGGAGGAGAAGACAGTGTCGTATTCCTAACAGCAGCACAGTCACTGCTGCTCCAGTCTTTCTAACGTGCCATGCAAATCAGCACTTCACAAGTATTTCATCACTCGACAGGTAAATCGGGGACTCACGCTCTCACAGTACTCCAGGAAATCCTTCAGCGCCGACCACTCGGCCAACTGCGTCGCCCTGTGCGCGTCCTCCTGGCCACAGATGCTCGGGCATAACGCCGCGCAGGACAGCAGAAAGGCCAGGATGCCGAAGATCTTGACTGCCATGTCGAGCCGCTCGACCCAAAGGCGCTTGCGGCAGCGTTTGCAGACCTTGGGAGGCTGCGGCGACGCAAGTGATGGGCTGTTAGGTGTGTGTGGTCGTGGACTTGGGTGTACCGTAGTCTGTGCTGTTTGGGTGAGGGCTTGCGCGGAGGCGTAGTCTCCAAGAGCTACATCTTGAACGGGATTCTGAGCCATTTTGCTGGGGTTCTACGGTGTCTACTCATGAAGATGTGAGGCATCAATGCAAAAATTTTGATCGGGTCCATCGCAGTGGTCAGATCAAGGAGCCAATGAATGACGCTGTTTTTGTATGTTACTTTGAGTGAGGCGGTGCATAACGAGGGCTGAAGTGTATTAAGGCTGATCGATACTCTCTCCGCTGACAGCGCAATAACATGGTATTATCCCCGAACTGCCCTAGCGCAGACGCCACGGCGTATACTCTCATGGAAATGGCTGTAGTGATACGTCAACCCTACACGCCTTCCCCAGCCACTCTCCTCACACACTCAACCTCCCAGAGCGGCCGGCTCAGCTGTGGGCAATGTCCCACCGCGTACTCGTATACGTCGACTTTGCTTCCACTCTCTTTCTCAACGAGGCCGATGAAACTCTGCTGGGCCGCAGGAGGATTAACACGATCCAGCTTGGTGAACATATATGAGCACGGGATGTGGTTGTATCCCGCGTAAGTGAGCGGAGTCATAATGGATTTCACAGACTGCGCGACCGGTGAGGAAACTGATGCATACTTCAAAGCATCCTCGCGAGGTATATCCGCAAGCAGCCAGTCGGTGAAGACATCCGGGTTGTGGTGGTACGCCCACAAGCCCTCCACGGACGCAGCGAGTGATGAAGGTGAGAACAATCGCGCACTCCACGAAAGTGGGATCAATCTCCCCACTGCAAGCGAGATCGATGTCCACAATGAAGGCTTCCCATGAGCAGTCTCAATCGAGGGCAGCGGCATGTCCGTCTGCAGGACACCAGCCATCGACGAACCCACCGGCGCGATGGCGGCTGCTACGTAAAGGAGCCGCACAATACCCCCTGACTTGGAAGCGCGCAGCCGGTCAGTCTTGCTAAGGCCCTCGCAGGCCTGTGTTCCTGGGAGGCCGCCATACGAGTGCATGACTATGACAATGTCCTTGCCCTCGTCAGACAGGGCCTCCGCCAGCCGGCGGATGTTGTCCGCATCGTCGTACATGCTGGGAGTCGGGTCGACGAGGACGTCAGGCGAGGAGGGATGATGAACAACGTGGACTTCATAGCCGACATCTCGCAGCGGGCCCGAGACGGGGTCGAAATCAGAAGGACGGCTTAATGCGCCAGGCACAAAGACGATGACGGGCTTCATGGCTGTTATGATTGCTTTGAAATAAGCTGATGATTGTGTGCAACAGTGTGACGGACACATACAGCAAATATGAGTTCGGCTCTGGCACGTGCCGCAGGACCGTGAGAGTCACGCCATGATGGGCTTGGCTGGTAAGAGTAGACCATTCACCGAAGGAATGGTTAGCTGCCTGGCTGCATCGCTACGCGATTGGTCAGACCTGAATCCCAGCATACGCAGTCTCGTATCGCAGGTCATCATGACTGTCCTGAGACGTATGAAGTCGGTTCCCTCGATTGGTCTGCAGTCAGTTAAAAGTCGCCGACTTCAGAGCGGCCTTCATCCTAGCCGCAAGGAACAGCATTCCGTGACCAGCATTACCGCCGGACTCGCTTGTCGATGAAGCGATGTAGCCAGAGGATCTTCAAACTTTTCACAGCTTGGTGTGATCAGCCATATAGCCTTGAAGACTCCAAAGCTTCTTGTTCAAATCCCCGCTCCGTTGGCTTCTCAACAAGAACAACGGTCCCTCTTGAAGTATAGAGGACTCGGATCTAAGCCGCGCAACATTCGCGGGACCGAGGAGTCGTGGTAAATTGTAGACAGGACGTGTGGTGGTTGGGTCGCCGTTAATGTCTAGTGTAGCGTACTGCTCAGGGTCGACCTCAGCCTTTTCTGCCTCTGCGCCGGGTTCCGAGGTGCCATCTTCAGAATTCAACGCCTTATCCTCGCCCAGCCAGAGAAAAGCGGCACGGTGAACATACGTTGCGGCGTACTTGGCGCCAGTCACCTTGATGATATATTTCCTGCCGTGCTCTTCGCAGAGTGTGGACAGGTAAAGCAGATCCTCCATGATTGAGCGGCGTCTCTGGTCGAGGATCACAACATCCATATCCGCGCGCCAGCTGGCTGATCTGGCCAGGACTGGGGCATGTGGCGCGCCGGCTAGTCTGTGATGGGCACCGTAGTACTTATTGCCCATCTTGATGAAATTTTGCAGCAAGTCTTGTCGTGCAAGCGCATGTGTTGGATAATTGTATTTGCTCTGCTTCTTGTCCACGCCTGCTGAGATACCGTCAGTAGCTAGGGTGGCACCGTCTTCAGGATCGTCCTTGGTCGCTGTTGATGAAGGGACGTCAGCCTCTTCTGCATCGTTGGACTCCTCCTTTGCCCGCCTGCGCCCTGCGTCCAAGCCCTCGGGTATCCACCAGACATGATTCGTCTCGGGGTGCCTGACCAGACCGAAGCTCTGCAGCATGCCCTTGGGCAGTTGGGTCCGAGTAACAGCACAAAATCGAACAGGTGTGGCCAGCAATTGGGCTGCGGGCGGTCAGTAGCATGACCAGCGACCATGGCACAAAAGAAAGCACACAAGGAGACCCGACAATATATTTTCACAACGTACCGTATGGGTTCTGGCGCAGCTGACGCTGGAATCGATTATGAGTGGCCTTGTCTGGGCGAGCCTTTGTTTTCCGACGTTGTCTGGCCTCTCGCCATGTCGAGTCCACCAGGGGTGAGATGGGAAGCTTTCCTGCTGCCGTCTCTATAGTCTTGTCGATCACATTGACCTCGGACCAGGACCACTGATCAAAGCCCAGATCATCTTGTTCTTGCTCCAATCTTTTCCCGCGAGGTTCCTTTGACGTCGTTCTGCGTGTCTCTCTGCGTGTCTTGTGCTTCTGAGACTTGGGCACGACATCAATGTCTGCGCCGTTGGTGGAATAAAAATGTGCTGCCGGACGGCACAGCTTGAAACCAGCCAGACTGAGACTGCTTTGCAGCCTTACACAACTCCTCATCGCTCGAGGGCTTGATGAGCGATCCAAATATGAGGTTAGCCTCGATTAAGACTCAAGGAGTGCTCAGCTGCTTGCCCGATGTCAATTCGGTGTAATGAAGATAAAGATTGTTCGGCGCAAAGGCTAGTGAGTCGCGTCGGCGCGTCAGGGATCAGGATCGGTGCCGCTGCGGACAGCCGCGGAGAAGGTGGAGTGGAGCTTGGTGCCCGCAGCGGCTCCGAATTCGACGTCACCTCAACATTCTGCCCTCGACCTCGTCAAACATCACCCCTTCTCAGCCACGATATCTCACTTCCACGCCGTGGCCCAGCATCCTAGGCGACATACACACGGGGATGAACACCCAACGGGCGGCATGGCGTCTCCTCAGGGGCGCTGCGCCGATGGCCGCGCGAAGGCGTAACTTCTCCCAGATCCCCAGTCGAAGGGGCCCGACATCCTCGATTCCAATGCCATACATCACCGAAGTCACAGTATGCCCTAGCACGCCTCAGCCAGCCTGGCAAGACCCTGTAATATGTGCTGATTGATCTAGTCTGGTGGCTGGAGGACATGTGCGTCTTTCTCTTGACTTTCACTGCCGCATCGTTGGCACGACAGACTTGCTGATACGTGGACTCGAACCAGCCGACATCTTCTCCAAACTACTACAAGTGCGCAGCTCGACTCTCATACTCTTCTCCCACTGCCTTTCCTCACCTGAGAAAAGAGCAATCGTCAACTAACGCTGTTCCTACGCGCCCAGGAACGAATCATCTGCCTCAACGGCCCCATAGACGACACCGTCTCCGCCGCCATCGTCGCCCAGCTGCTCTGGCTCGAGTCCGACGCCCCCGAGAAGCCCATCACAATGTACATCAACTCGCCCGGCGGCGAGATCAGCTCCGGGCTGGCGATATACGACACAATGTCCTACATCCAGTCGCCCGTGTCGACCGTCTGCGTCGGCGCCGCCGCCTCCATGGCCGCCATCCTGCTGCTGGGCGGCGAGGCCGGCAAGCGCTACGCCCTGCCGCACAGCTCCATCATGGTGCACCAGCCTCTGGGCGGCACCAAGGGCCAGGCCTCGGACATCGTCATCTACGCCACGCAGATCCAGAGGATACGCACCCAGGTCAACGAGATCGTGCGAAGCCACCTCAACAGGTCGTTTGGCTTTGAAAAGTATGACGTCCAGACTATTAATGATATGATGGAGAGGGACAGGTATTTGATGGCGGACGAGGCCAAGGACGCCGGTATCGTGGACGAGATATTGCTCAAGCGGCCTGCGAGGGACGACAAGAAGGATGATAAAGAGTCGGCCTGATGCTCGACGGAGGACGCTTGCAATGCCAAGATACTGGGTCAGACAGCTCACTAGGCTAGCACGTTTTCAAAGCAAGGTTGATGGTGAAGGATTTGCGAATGGATGCATCGAGGCGGTTGGTTGGGGGAGGGGCCATTGTGGATGTAGTGCTCGAGGGGGATCGCAAGACCAAGGTCCAGGCGAGAGGGTGTCCGTAGGCTCCCAACTTCACTGCGACTGCCACAGTCACTCATCCCTCAAATTCATCCGATCTCTGCACTCTGCAAACAGCTAGCTCTACCCTTATAAACCCCCCGAAACCACCCAGATCAATACCGGCCCTCCTGTCGGTGCCATTCAGGTCAAGTGGTTAATTCCATGGCGATGGTTCTTGTGCAGGAAGTACTACTAGCCGCGGGATAAACTCAGAGCTCGCTGGTTCGAGCCTCCCTGGTAGTACACTGCGGAATTGTGACATAAAGTACGCAAAGAGAGACGTAGGCGCTGGTCGCCGAACTCTTTTGCCTTTTGGTCCTCTCTTCTGTCTTCTTTATGCATAACCTTACAGTCATCCTAGCTTTTGACGTAGGAACCGATGCATTCTCTGTGCATTTTGGTGAGGTGTTCAAGCGGTCTGCCCTGAAAAGCTGCAGGGAGTAGAATCTGCCCCCAAAGGCAAGCAACTGCTTTGGTTTGCTGGCATTTCAAATCGCACATGGGTCAAGTTATCCTCTAGTCCCCAGAGCAGTATCAGAATCCTCAAGTGATTACCAAGGCGTTCGGTCCCGAAATGAAACCTCAGCCAGGCGTTGGTGGAAGTATGTGTCCCCCAGCAGTATCAGGTGCCACGGACACATGCAGGATGACTGCCACCAATCTTTGAGCGAAGCGATCACAACGAAGCATCGCCCGCCAAATCAGATGTGCCACGCTCAAGCTCTCGCCTCCCTCGCAGGTTCGTGGGTACTGCCCATCAGATTCATGATGACAAGCTGGGTGTCAAAGTTAAGGCCGTCTCGAAAGCACAGTTTTCAATGCTATCTAAACTGCACATACCATGTCTCTCGGGACCTTCTGACCATTATAGCTGGAGCCACCAAGAGTCTGATGTAGGAATCCTATTCACATTGGTGTATAGATACGAAGGCCTTCCTGGATTTTCATCAGGTCAGTAAATAAATGCGAATGTGGTCGGTCAAAATGTATGGCGCAGGCACTGACGGTGTGCAGGGCCTTGACATACTCGACACGATCGTACTCTTCATCGACAACGAGGCAGTGTTGGATCACAAATGCTATTAATTTCATTGCTTTTATTGCTTTTATTGCTTAGACTTATGCAGTCAGCGGCAGAACATTCCAAGTCCGACGCTCATTGTACCAAGCAGTGAACTTAGAAGCTTGCGCATGATGCAGAACCATATTTCTTTCCCATATCCCCCACTCAATTGAACCTAAGCAGCCTCATTTTGCTGGGCACCGGCAATGGGTGGCAGCCAAGATGGTCGATTCCCAACGAACAGTTCAGCTGCCGGCTTCGCGTCCTCTAGCGCGTCGCCGTCCATCGTGCCCACCTTGATGATCTTGGAGTCACCATATGTCTCCGTCTCTCGCCAGATCGTTGAGCCACAGTCTCCGCAGAAGAATGATGTAATCGTCTTGCCACTCTTCGCCGTCTTGGCGAATTGCTTGGGGGTGCCTTTGATCAACGAGAAGCCATCACCGGCAACGATGATGTTGGTGGAGAATATGGAGCCAGTAGTTTTGCGACAATCAAGACAGTGGCAGAGGGCCTGAATTATTCAGCAGTTATCACAAGAAGTTGGTCGGCTTGCTGTTCTACGCACCTTGGCCTTAATCTCGCCTGTACTCTTTACGCGGACCGCACCGCAGACGCAACCGCCTTCGACCATAGTGCAGCGGTTTAGTAGGATTTATTTTGAAAGGTAGTTCTGGAAAGGAGGCTTGAATTGAGTGATGTGGTAGACAAGATAGAATGTTCAGTCCCTAGCCAGAGACACAGATATTTATACTACCGTCCCCTCACCGCGTCTGCCCGCCCGTAACGTGCGGATCGGCAGTCGGGAGACGCCCTTGGCACACTACAGAGATCCCCTCTTTTCAAGCTGCCCACACCCAAGTAGCCAAAGTTGCTTTTCCGTGCGACATGAAAGTAGGTATTAGCTGGACGACGTCAGGAATGTGAGTCAATGAGCAGGGCGCGAATCTCAGTGATTCCAGGGCAAACTACGGCGAATGCTCTACCAAGGCGCGCCCTTGGGGACGGATCGAATCCACAGGTGGGGCTTTCTGAGAGCTGAAGCTGGACAAAGCCCGTACAATACGACACTGTCTGCACAGGCGAGACTCACCAGCGAAGTGTGGTGAGCCACAATTTTCTCAGCTTGATTAGCACTAGTGCACACCTTTCGGGCTTTGAGCCGCAAAAGCCGCAGCAGCGGAAGGCGCAGCAGTCAAAGGCGCTTGTCCTACCTAGGCATGCCTGAGTATGTGCTTCACAGGCAGCTTCTGACGCCACCGAAGCCTACGGAAATGTCGGGCTAGCGAAACGTGACCTCCGATAGCCTGAAAAAAGGAAGCACTACAAGCTCGGCGAAACGCACTGCCTTTGACGTGAAGGCTCAGCTCAGCTTGCGCTGCTTGTAGCTGTGAATGGCGAAGTCGGTGCTCTTCCATGAAAGCAACAGCTACTAAACTGTCCATTCGCGCACATCTGAACGCGATGGCGTTCTGGGCAGTTTCTCATGCGATGGTTATCAAGCAATAATACAAGGTAATTCTTTAAAAAAAAAAAAAAAAATAACCTTCAAGGCCTCTCCTCAATTGGGCTCCCCCTTCCACCATACTGCAGATGCTGCAAGCCTCCTAAGCTGAATTGGACCGTGACTTGGACAAGGTAAGCCAGTGCTGCTGTCATGCAAATCATCATAGGCTGCCCAACGCAAGTAGCAGTCCATTCTTTGCTCTTTGAGGTCTTACTTTCCATTCACCGGTCAGAGATCCATGTTTCGATAGAGATCCGTATTCCACATCAACACTTGCTTGCTTACCTAGGGCGCGCATTGGTTCGTTGATTAGTTATCATTCCGAGGAATCGATCATGCCACAGTTTTCCCGACATAACAGTAATTGTGTCATCCATGGGCCACGCTCCTCCTCGATTCTAAGAAGTGGGTGAGGATCATTGCACCCCCCTCTTGCGGCAAGGTTTTAGATGAATCAGCATTGACAATACTGAGATCTAATGTGAGGCGTCGTCGTTAAGTCTTCTCTCCCTGATCGCTTCCTGGGATCAACTCATTGTATCCAACATTATTCATCGCGATTAATTTGTGACACTTGAGGAGCGCAAGAACTGTTGCATCATATCCTGGTCCCTCCTTCAAGGGAAAGGTGGGTTATTCTCGATAACGTTTCAGCTCTGCTACTTCATAACGAGCCATAGTCTCACACCATGTGGAATACTGTCACCATGGGCGACGTATTAATTGCAGCAACTTACAAATTTCAAATACATACACTATGAAAGTATCGACTACTGAATCCCAGCCAGGTGCGCCAGCTAGGCTGAAATAGCCAATGTGTTGGTGCCGAGGTTTCATCCCACACCTATGGATATGTGTACGCAGTGTATAATCGCTGCGAAGGGTATTTCTCCTCATTTTCAGCAACATACTGAAAGCACCGCCCGATAAGGCCAAACAATAAAACTAAAACGTAGAAAGGCCAAGAGAAGATTCTCTTGGCGTGCGTTTCCCACGCCTCTTTTCCGTGCGTCTTCACCTTCCATGCTGACTCCAGTAGCGCATCTTTCCACTCCAACCATTGATCAGGAATTTCTTGCTCTAGACCTTCTGCACTAGAGTCTTCTGGTTCAGCGTCCTCCGTGGCATACTTCTGGATTTCCTTTTTGGTATTCCTCTCTTGTGTCACCAAGATCTTGGTGCATGGGTCATCCTTACGAAAGGGGCGTGGTTTGAACCCATAGAATTGGTCGTGATAGCATCGTGTGCGCGGGTCAGATAGCTCGACATAGGCTAGTTGGACCCGGTAGTAGTCTTCGCGAGCTTCTTTTGTGTCCCCCACAGCGTCCGGGTGTAAGCTCTGTTCTTTGCGACGCCACGCGTCTGTAATTGTCTCTTGATCTGCCCAGGAATCAACTCCGAGGGTTTCGTAATATGGCTTTCGATCTTGCGAAGTTGTCCTAGTGCTGAGTGGGTGGTCCGAGTAGTATAGTCTGACTTGAACAAGCACCTCTACAATCAATATGAGGAGACCAAGGTAGATAAAGAATTGAACAACATCATCGAAAAAGTCGCTCCAAGTGCGCCGAGGGACTTGGGCCGGAGGCAATCTGTCGCAAGAGGCAAATTTAGGACGTTGTGGAGTAGGGTACGGCGACTTCCAGGCACCGTAATGGCTTTTTACCCGGCGGATGTTGCTATAATTCGTCATGTCGGCTTTTGTCAAACCAACGAAATATTTTGGACAAACGTGACAGCGTAGTGAGAGTGATCAACAAGGTCTGTACCGCACCTTGGGTTTAGTGATACGTATCGACTAAATACCTGGAAGTAAGTGCTTTATTCTCGAGCTATCTTGCCCACTCAACTTTGTCCCGTTTCAAACAAAATGATCATTCGTGGCCACTTCCGAAATTTCAGGTACATCCAGATACATCGGCTTCTTTGATATGCTAGGAGAGATGGCTTTGTCATTTCAATACTTAGAGGCCACATCTCTTATCTCATTGCTTTATACCAGACACATCATTTCAAATCATTGGACCTCATACAACAAGTACACTTACATCGTCTTCCCGCGGCGAATATTTATGCTATAATCTAATTTGTTACGTTCGAGTCGAATGGTCCCAGAAAGTAATGTTGGAAAATCGGCCCAAGGCCTTCGGAAACTCTTAATTCAACCAGTGGGCAATATTGATGTAAACAAGGACAAACGCTCATTGATAAACATGGCTTGACCATAGATCCAAAAAGAAATTGGAGAGTTAGTAGGGCGTTAATGTCATATTTGGAGTGTTCAGATTTCAAAATGTAGGCTATCACCTGCGAGAATAGGGATGGAGCGAGGTCTTGCTTGGCCCCTGTTTTGACCAAAACAATAGATCCTCTATTAACGCACATATTTTCGACGAAATCCAGGTAGCTTAGAATGAAGTTTTTTTCATGCTGGAAGTTACTCGAGTGATATTGAGGAGTCGCTGCTTGCGGAAGAAAGTAACGTGCCTAGTCCAATTGCGGTGCTCTGTCTCTTTGACAAGAAATTGATACACTGATGTACCATCTTTTTGCTTGGCAGGCTTTCACAGAAGGGGGGAAATGTACAAAGCAGGCTGTTATGTGTCACAGGCATCTACTTCATCCGTCCCCAGGGCTCAAGTCTGTGAGACACACATGCACCCTGGTGAAATCGGGCAATTTCGACAGGTTATGAGCGACTCGATGGTTTCCGGACGAATCTTACCAATATATTGGGGTAATTTTCTTCCCAACAGCAATCTGCTGTGATGATTTGCCCCAGAATTGGCATTGGGGTCTACTAATTTACCCCGTGCTTCATTGATCTTGGATTTTCCTTGCTGCTGTCACTTTCATAGTTCTACCGCTCCTTGCTGGTGCAAAATTACGTCTAACTCTTCTTCTATTTTCAATTCGAACCCAAAATTACTGAGTGGCATCAGACATCCGCAGCCGGATGAGTAAAACAAAAGCCAGAAATTAAGAAGATTTTGACAGTTCAAGTTCATTTGGTAACACACATCAATCCTTGACGCCTAATATTGCAGGAGCTCTTTTCTTGCAAAACCGCAAATAGTTTAATATTAATTGGTGGTTGTCAACACATGCAGCGCTGTTTGTGGGGTTACCAGGTGACTTTTTACTCTGGTTTCGACTAGACTTGGTTTCCAAAATTTTCAGTCATCATGAGTCCGAAAGGTCAGGAATCAAGATGACGGGTTGCAAAGAGCTTTCAAATCAAATCGAAGGGATGGAGCCGTGGGATCGCTCGGAAGAGGCACCGTCACTCGTCGATCCGATCGGAAAGTTAGCCTTCACGCCCACAGTCATTTCTCTGTTGGAGCACCAAGCTCATTTATCGTCTGCCCGAGTACAGCACACGAGCTTAAGCTCGGGTGTCCACTTCACGCCCACAGTATCTCTACGAAGAATAAGTAAAAGAAAAGGGGCGTTTGTAGGATAACCAGTCATAGGATAACCAGCTCTCGGATAACCTCCTATAATTCCGGGATAACCCCTTGTATAGCACATTCCTGTTGAATAAACTCCTGTAAGGCAAGTAAGTAAGCCACAGGGAGCTCCGCAATGACATTTTCACAGTTTCCTTGAGTGTGGCGGTGTATCCCGGTAGCGTATGTGACGAGATACAACCGTAACGTGACTCCCCCAGTACCTGACAGAAGCATAAAACAAGGCTTATTATTCTCCGCTTCCGCAGGTGGCGTCATTTCCCACCTGACAGGCAGGTCGGACTGACTGGTTGACAGGCATGCACGACATCATCCCATCCTCGCATCACCCGCCATGCGCGCGCTTTGCGGTTCCATTGTGTGTGGGGAGCGGACAGCCGCCGGTCATGGGAGGTCCTGTGTGCAAGTACGTGTGTTCTTGAGAGCCAGTCACTCACTCATATAAGAAATCACATCCCATCACATCCGCGCACACGATATGATCCCTCCCCTTCCCGCGAGGTCGTGCCATCGGAGATCTTTCCCCGGCCTATCCTGCGAGTCATTCCGCGCCGCCGCCCCCAGGGAGCAGGCCTGGTGTTCTTTACTGACCTGGATTGGGCGTATTCTTGTTCGCGGGTTTTAGGGGGGTTCATCCCATGTGGGGGAGGATGTGCTGGGACAGAACGGGGGTTCCTTCTGTATGAGTTTCGGAGAATTTTCTCCTATAGACTTCAAGAACTCCAGCGAGGATCCTCCGGACAGGCGGTGGCGGTGGCGGTCGGCCGACGCATGTTGAGCGCACAGTCCCTGTGGTTGGACACGATAGGGCAGGATGCGTGGGAGAGATATGGCGAGTTAGAAAGAAAAAAAACAAGTTTCAACCGAAAAGCCGGGACGTTGTTGTATCGTATTAGCTCACTGCAATCACACAAGATGAACCCACCTGCACACGCCCAGGAGGACTTGGCAGGGCTCAAAGCGCAGCTCCTCCCAACTCGGCATGTCATTTTGGGAAGGGCAAACTCTACAGGGGGAGGCGAGCAGGTGGGACAACAACTGAATCACGAGGGTTTCGAGAATAATGCTTATTTTGTGTCGCCTCTCTCATCTGCTCACTGCTACTGCCACTGCTGCTTGCTGCTTGCTGCCACTGCCTGCTTGCTGGTCTGCCTCTGCGGAGTACCTTTCCTTGCCTGAAAGCTCGTACTCGTGCTCGGTATCTCCACGCACCAATCTCCCGTCACTCCAGCTCTATCCCTGTTCCCACGTTGTGTTTGATGTTTTCGAAGATTGTGTGTGTGTTGCGTGTGTGACGTTGTTTATGTAAGTTTGTATGTGTGTGTGTTTTCCCAGTATCTCCAAGACTTCCATCGGTAGGCGGGGGCGACGAAATACAGAGGGTATCAGAGCGCAACAAACCCCACATTCCGCCAAACAAGTCCCCTCTTCTCTGGTGACCATCCATCTCCAACTCGGCTTGGGTGACCTCTTCGAACGTGGCATGAAGTCCATTCGATTCACTTTTCTGGTGGTGTAGGACGTGCTGTGGACATCTCGGCGTGGGTCGGGAGCTTCCAGTCCGGGGAAATCGGATTATCGCGGGAGCCTCGCAGTGGCGATGTTTCACGAAGGCTGGTTTCATCCGAGTTCTGAAGGTCCAGCTGGTCACAAGGCACAAGCCACCTGTTGGAGATGTAGTGCCCAGGTAGAAATGTAGTCGAGTCAAAAGACAGATCGCCCGTAAAATGCAGTTGTAAACAAGAAAAACGCATTTCGTTCCCAAGACCGTGACTCCCACGCACACAGAGAAAAGAAAAAGAAGTTGGGAAAGACTCAAAATCGAGTCTGAAGCCTGAGCAGGAGTCTAATCGATGGATTGTGTGCTCCTGGAAAGGTGGCAGTAGTAAAATTAAAAAAAGACTACAAAAGGAATCGCTTTCCGGGGGTGACGGCCTGTGGGCGGCTGAGGTATAGACAATCTTTGCGGTGTCGAAAAAGGAAAAAGGAAATCGTTATATCGTCATTGACTGAGCAGTCTCGATGCTCTATATGGGTCTGATATCGTGGTGTGTGGATGTGTTGTGGGGTCGCGTGGGTGCGGATGGCGGTGTTATCAATGTCGATGTCGGGAGTGTGCTGCTGAATGTCCAGGTGCCAGCCGCAACAGAATGAAGTTGACTCGTTGGTGGCCGGGCACCCAGCCAAAGTCCAAGGCGGAAAGCTTTTGCCGTAAGTGAGTATACCTCACATCACAATACAGCAGCCACAGCCTCCCTTCTCTTTCTTCCCTGTGTTCTCCGGCTCTTTCTCCGGGATGTCCGGTACCCTCGTGACCTGCATCGGTTCTGGAGACTCGGCGCGCCGCGATGGTGGTTTCGGGCTCGCAAGCGGGCTAGCAGGTGGTTTATCCTGGATCTTGGGCATGGTGGAGTATGAACTGGACCTCCCGGGTGATGCTGGGCTTCTCGGGATATCTGGCGACTTCAAGGGCCAGTCGTCGGACGGCTTCTCCACCTCCTGCTTCACTATGTCATCAGACGAGGATGATGGTATATGGTCCGGAGGCGCCAGGAAACCCTCGCCCGTAAGCGGCCTGAAGTCCTTGTCGTAAATGCTTCCAAACTTGCCCTCCTGTTCCCATTTCTCCTGCTGCAGTCGCCTGGCCACGGTGGGCAGCAGCTGCTGGTCTGGCGGTAGGCGAGGGTCAGGCTTGTACGCTGACACGAGCCATGGCGGATCGCCCTCCATCGGTTTGGAGCCTATGGATAACTCACGCTCCCCGGACCTGGTGGAGGGCCGTGTGTTGCTGCTGGCTGTCCCGTTCTTCGGCTTCGGTTTGACCTTACCACGGGCTTCTGGTGGTATCGACTTGGACGGTGCTGAGCCTTTGCGAGGTCCAGTCGTGGTCTGTTTCTTGGGAGACAAGTCCGTGGTCGCAGCGCGTTTGGCTGGGTGGGCTTTGAAGGTTGGTGAGGGCTCGAGGTTCTTCAAGGTGGTACTATTCGACCTTGAGCGAGCCTTGGGCATATCAATCCGCTTCTCTAGCTCCTCAGGGCTGTTTTCCCTCTTCATCAACTTATCCCGGTCCATGTGCTGTGCGGGAAGTGGCAATGGGCTCTTCTTGGGTACCGGTATGCGAGAGCCGCCAGCGGGCTTTGCGGGCGCATCACCTTCAGCCTCGGCCTCCTCAATCGGTCTTGAATCCCAACCATTGATGGCCTCAGACGTGTCAGGCGTCTTGGGCTCCATGGCATGTGACGAGTTCTTCCTAGACCTCGAAGAGTTGTCCTGCATTGGTTTCCTCGCACTACTCTGGCTCCTGTCCCTGTCTTTACGATGTCTGCTCCGAGATCGAGACCGTGGCAAGGTGATGCCAGCAGCCTGCAGCTCCTGGCTTTCGATCTTGGCGAGTAAGTCCCTGTGAATCCATTTCGAATCTTCCTCGTAGTTTAAATGATCCTTGCTCCTCGTCTGCGAGCGGCCACTGCGTTGGTACTCATCCTCGAAGGGCACGTCGACTACGTTGTCGGGTCTATCGTCGGTGTCGGAGTCGTCGTTGCTGAGGGAATGCGAGACTGCACCGGCACCTGGTCCGTTCACCCGATCTCCACCACTCGAGCCCTTAGATGACGTGTCTGGATCAAAGTTCGAGCCGTTGTCGTCCCTGGCAAGGTGATGTGATCTGTAGATTCCGTTTGTGTTCTCGCTCTTGAGGGTGTTTTTCTCCTCGTATGGACGGTTCTGGAGACATTTGGGGCTAGGTCAGTATGTGAACCCCTCACGGACAGGCGATGTGCAGATCGGTCTGGAGAGCCCCTTTGGAGCGGAACTCACCTCATGTTTGGCAGACGTGAAGTCCCATGAGAAGCCGTTACCATCGCCATGAGAGCTGCTAGGAGGAGTCAAGGTGGTGGCCGTCTGGACGGCGGACAGAGCGGACATGTTTTCGCGGTGGCCCTTTGCAGGCTGCACGTGGAGATTAGGCAGGGCGCGGCGGTAGGGGGATCGTCCGTTGGCCTTGGATCCTCGTGCCGCTGAGACAATTGAGACTGGATCCTCGTGCCGCCGCACGACCAGCAAGGTGACAAGACGCAGGCTTCAATTGACACAGCGGCAGTGGTGTCGGGTGGTCGAATGAAGACGGTCGGCGGTCGGCGGTCGGTCGGGGGGGTTCGTCTTGTCAGATCGGAAATCGAACTGCAGTGTCGAAGCTTCAGTGCAGCAGGGTGAAGATCGGGACCGAAGGGTGTGGTAGTGTGGTGTGTGTATGGGCACTGGGCAAGACTGGCGAAAGTGGTCGGTACTGCCGATATTATTACAGGCCGTGGGCCAATCAATCTGTTGCTGGGCCCGCTTCAAGGAGCCAGACTCGCATCGGCTGGGTACGTAGCACACACGGTCAAGAGGCGGGTGAACGTTGGGTCGGCTTTCCCCGCGGCTAAGTCGACTACCCGTAGGTAATGTGGACTGTAGGCTCTGCTCTGCAAGTACAGCGCAGCCAAGCGCACTGCACACACTAAAGCGAGTCGCAACGGTCGGTCCTAGCTCGTCCTTGTTGGGCGGGCCGGTGGGCTTGTTTGAGAGGGGATTGTGAGAAATGACAAGCGATAAGTGACCGGTGCACACCGACCAGGGAGAGAGGATGGAGAGTACTGTAGAGAAAGAATTGTACTGTAGAGAAAAAGAAAGGCAGAGCTGCAGGCAGGCCGTCGCCACAAGTGGAAAACAAGGTGAGACGAGGTGTGGTGGCAGTGGGAGGGAGATTGATTGAACTGGCGTCGATTTGATTCCGGGTCTCGTAGGATTGCTGGATTGCTGGATTACGACGTAACCGTGCCCAACCCAACCTTGATTGAGCTGGACTCACAGACTCACAGACTCGGCACCGCGTGACAGTGGCCGTGGCTGCGAAACCGTGACCGACTGTTCTGCTCTGCTGATCGGACCGGATCGGTTGGCTGCTGGGCTGGGAGGCTTGATTGTTTCGAGGGGTCGGGCGAGACAAGAGACCAGAGACCAGAGACCAGAGACCAGAGACCAGAGGCAAACAGGGCGGTGGGGGGCCCTTTACAAAAGAAGAATGTAATACTGGAGATGGGCCATAAAGAGGAGGGACAGTGTGGGTCAAACAAACATTCAGTCTGTCGGTCAATCAGTCAGTCAGTCAGTCTCAACTGCAGCCTGCCTGCGATTAATCCCTCTTTCTGCCAATCTGTCTGATGCCCAGGCGAGAGAGAGGGAGGAGAGACAGAGACAGAGAGACAAGAGAAAAAAGAAGTCTGTCTCTGTCTGGGTTCGATCCGAGATTGGGGCTGTGCCTGTGATCAGTGACAGCATCTGTGCCCTGAGATCTGATCTTCCCAGGCCAAATGCGCTGTGTCCAACGGCAGTTGGAGTCGAGCTGGTGATGAACAGCCCTGCTCGCATTGATTCCTGAGATGAATCCGGCCGTCCATGATTTTTGGAATTTTGCCAGAGATTGGCGTTGCCCTGCGCCCGGACCAAGCATAGCAGCAGGCGAGCTAAGCTGGAGACGGCCAGACTGCCAGAGAAACCACTGAACAAACTTCCATGCGGCGTCTTCTCCAACGTTTCCAACTCTAGCCCTGGAACAGCGGTTGCAACCTAAATTTTGGCGTGCATCGTATGTCTGATGTCTCTGAGAGTGCCACTGCCCAGGCCAAAATGACGGCATCCCTTCCGAACAGCCGGGCCCGCATGAGAGGTGCGTTGTCATTGACGTTTGCAGTCTCTAGGCTACCTAGGTACTGTTTAGTCTAGTCTGGGTCGGTCAACCGCCAGCTCACGATAGCCTCATCTCGAACCCAAGCCTGCATCTCAACAGCATAACTCCCCATCTCGCTCTGCACCACCCAAAAAGAGGACCCGCCCGTCAGCCAGCGCAAGGATCCGCCCACAGCGCGCCCGCTTTCTGGTCCCTCGACCTGGGAAGGGTTACATCCAGTCCGTCTTCCCCGGCCTTCGAGAAAAAAGGGGTACCCCTGAACGGTGGTCCGTGAGCATCAGCTGGTGCGAGGGGGAAAGCAGAAAAAAATATTCCAAGCCCGCCGGCTGGCCAGTATTGTGCGAGATGGGCGTGCCTGGGCGTGCCTGGACGCGATAAGATCGCCATTATGGCCTGCAGCCAGACGAATGATATACATGTACATAAAACACCAAGGCTGCTCCTCCCGCGCGATTCGGTGCGCCATTCCACATGTTTGGCATCCGTGGGGGGAGGCGAAACAAATCTTCCACCAGGCGGCTGTCTGCCATGATGGACTTCACGGACCCTTCGGTGAACCAGATATCTAAAATCATCACACTGCCGATGTCTCATCATCTTGGTGGACGTGACGCCCAAGGTGCACCTCGTGCATCGACTCGTGCTGTCCTGCACCGCTATGATCTACGCACAATCACTGAGGTTATCAGTCCAAGGCTTGCCTACCGCCCAGATTGCTACCGCTTAGAGTCGCAACTGCTCCCCCCACCAACCCGCAATCTTCCGACACTGATGGCCCGTCAAGGACCCGTCTGAAAGTCGCGCGTGCAGCACATGGTAGCATATCAAAGTACGACCTTGGCAGCCCGACCGGCGCCCGGAGGCATCGTCAACACCGAAGTGCTCCAAAGTCACCGAAGGCGCGACCGTTCCGAAGGCGCGACTTTCCCGCAGGCGGTCCATTCCACTGCCACGCTGTAGCAACTCAGCGTGCGCGAGAAGGACACAATACTACAAGGGAGCCTCCTCAATTCACCAACCGCAGCACCGGGTCCGGGAACGGCCTCTCTCCCATCATATCCGCCGACGAGATCGGGTGCAGCACCAGCTCCCTCGTAGAAAGCTCCGAGTGGATAAAGCCCTCGGGCCCGCCCTTGTAGTTGGGCATCTTGACCTCGTCGAACACGAACGGCTCCTGCCGCGTGCGCAGCAGTGCCACCTCCCTCCACAAACTCTTGACGCCCGCCGCCATCCGGAAATCCCACGTGCTGGTCCAGCTGATCACGCCCGTGTTCTCCACCACCAAGAACCGGAACACCCCGGCATCCCATTTTGTCGCGTTGTACAGCTCCATCGCCTGCAACGCCGGCATCTCCTTGGCTGCCAGCCCGGCCGAGCGAAGGAGGCCGTTAACCTCGTCCGGGAATGCCACCTCCGCGATCATGCGCGAGGTCAAAGTGAGCCAGCGCAGGTGCTTCCATTGCGGCAGCTGGGGCGATGGGGCGCCGGGCTTCAGGTTGGCCCACGGCTGGAAGAAGTCCTTTGCGTCTGCCGCGAACGAGACGCTGAGCTCCTCGAGGTGTGTGCTCAGGCGACGCAGGCCGTGTGCGAGGAACGGGAATCGTATTCTCGTGTCCCACATATCGTTCTGGTCGAAGGCGCCGAAGTGCTCGAAAATGCTGATGCGCTTCAGAGTCGTTGGCCAGAAGGGTATCTGGCCGGCGAGTTCTGGGTGTCGTGAATGTTAGTCGACGAGCAAGTGACATTCGCATGCGTCTCTTCGTAGTGACCACTGTCTCTCTTCCTTGAGACGTTAGGTACTGGGATGTGCTTACCGCTATCAACATCTTCCTGGGCAGGCTGGTCGACTTGCTGCCACGGCTCGAGCCGCACCTCTTGCAGACGAGGTAATGATCTCAGAATCGGGATGAGTGACGTAGCCGACACGTTGCGGAAATTCCGCCGCAGTATAGAAAAACTCGTCACCACATCGACGATGTGCAAGCCATGAATGCCTTGGGGGTCTGGGACCACCAAGAGCATAAAATCCAGCAATGAGTCAAAGTACCTCGAGTTGCCGTCCGCATCCAGGCCTGCCTCGCCGAATAGGTGTCTTTTATCACTGTATACAGAGATGGTGTCAGCTTTTTCCCAAAAAAAAAATTAATTATGATAATTGTAGAAGATGTTTGAACTGGTAAGGAGTAGTCGAGCAGGCACGAGATCTTACCTAGGAGAAAAGGCACTGAGCTCGAGGCTGATGCCGCGACCATTCCTGGCTAACCAAAACTCTGGCGTATTCCACGGCTCCAGGAGTTTGAAGAGGTCGTAGAGCGCCATGGAATACTTGTAATTGTTCTCTTCCTGATCCTGGTCCGCCTCCGGGACCTGGCGCGACCGGCGAGAGTACTCTGGCAGCTCGACCTTGAGCCATATGTGTTTCAGCAGGGCCCGCCGCCGGCCTGTCACGTATTCTTCGAGCTGCGGCAGGTCCGTCTGCTTCACCGCCAGGGACCCGAAGGTGGCCTTCTCAATCTCGGCTTGCCACGACTTGCAGACGACGGCGTACTCGGCCATCAGGTGGGACTTTGCCTCGTCCTCGGCGAGTATCTGCAGGATCTTGTGGGAGAGCTCGTATGGTAGTTGATCCCAGGACGAAGTTGGGTCGATATCCTCATCTGTCTGTGGGCCATCATCCCTTGAGGCTCTCTCTTCTGAAACTGGCGCCTCTGGAATGCTCTCCTCAGAGATCACCTCCTCAGAGCCATTCTCATCTGGGAGTTCCTCCTCCAAGACGTCCATGTCAACGTCGTCATCGACATCCTCCCAGTCATCATGGTCACGCATTTTGGGACCACAATCCTCTCCCTTGTCTCTGATGAGCCTCGCAGTTGGCCTGTGATAGACCTGACGCGGGTGAGCCAAGACAGTGGAAAGGTCTCGTTGCTAGATAAAGCCTTGTGGCACTGCGATTGTCAGCTTGCATGCTCGATGGACAATCCAAATTATGAAACGGCTGTGAGAATGAGAGTATAGTCGAGGAAATCAGGCGTCCGACAAATGAAATTCATGTCGGCTGTGGTGGGCTCCCTCTCTGCAGACAGCTGACAGACTGTCGGGAACAGCGGGTCAGGCCCTGACGAAGAAATTTTGGCTGCAGATAGACTAGATTCACATGCGTGGTCTTTGTCGACTAAGACCCTCTCACACCCTGAGAGAAACATGTTGCAGCCACCAATATAATTGCAGCAGGTATAGCAACAAGACGGTACGTACCTTCTTTGGGACCTCAGCCTTGGTGCGACGAGGAATGATGCTTCACGTTGGTTGGGGTTTGGCAGGTAGGTGCTAGGGTGTGCTGTGCTGTGCTGTCGCTGCTTTGCTTGGCCTGCGTTCCCAAAGCACTCGCTGCAGCCTTCCTGGATGACCGTGCGATAATGACTCACACTGTCCGTGACGGCCATACATATACAACTTCCCAACGACCATCTCTTTACACCAAGCTCCTACCTACATCTCTCCTCGTGTCAGAGACATCATCTCCCTTCAAAGCCTCCTTGCATACGTTGAATCCTCTTTTTGAATTTCCTGAACCCAGCTTTCCGTGATAAACCTCGGCTCAGAGCCCTAACCTCTCACCTACCAAGTGCTTACTCAACTGTCTTGAAAAGTTAACTAGGTATCCATCTCCTGGTAGCTCTCCTCCAACCTCAACATCTACCTATGACTCACATTCTGCCCTCATGCCGCGCTTTTGGAAACACCTTATCGCCGGCTACTGCGAATGCCAGAGAAGTTATGCCGTGAGAACCTAGCAATTTTGTGCACTGTGTGGCAGACTCCAAAGGCCGCAGCTGTCAGGGCCAGGGCCACCATTACCAGAGGTCATGGCGTCAACTCCCGACGGCGAGGCGCAAAGGCAGCCTCGGTTTCGAAGGACACGTTTCGTGTGTATCTCAGACACCCACAATCAAACAGTCAAACTGCCCAAGGGCGATGTCCTCATCCATGCTGGAGATCTGACAAACCAGGGTAGCTTCTCAGAGGTACGTTGCTATCCTGATCCTGAATGTTACTCTCTCCATGCTGATAGAGGTATTGCAGCTCTCGAAGACTGTTCAATGGCTAGAGAAGGCTGATTTCGAGGCAAAGATCGTCATTGCCGGAAATCACGATGTCACTCTCGACAAGGCGTTCTACGCCGAGTACGGCTCTTACTTCCACAATCAGTCGCCTCAGTCTCCGGATGCTTGCCTCAAGCTGCTCAGTTCAAGTCCTACCATTACGTACTTGGATCACAGTTCAACGACCGTAGTTTTGGATAAGAATCCTGCCCGGAGGACCTCCTTTACTGTGTTTGGTTCACCCTATAGTCCCAAGGATGGCATGTGGGCATTTGGCTATGACAGAGCCAGCGCAGCCGATCAGATACCAACTGCCTCTAAGGCCACAGACGAACGTTCCTCACAAGCCCTGCCAAATCCCGGAGATATCTGGTCAGCCATTCCTATGGATACCGATATCGTCATCACGCACACACCGCCGTACACTCACTGCGACGAGGCTGTCTCAAAAAGACGCGCATTGGGCTGCGAGGAGCTCCGAAGAGCTCTCTGGAGAGTTCGACCAAAGCTTGCATTTTGTGGCCACGTGCACGAAGGGCGTGGAGCAGAACGTGTCAAATGGGACATCCAAGGCGCCTCTGGGGCCCCATACACAGAGCTAGGAGTTGAACGGTGGGATGACCCCGGCGCTGGGCTCAACAACAACAAGATGTCGCTGGTTGATCTCACTTCCCGAGGGGGGAGGCATCCACTGGAAAACGACGGCTCGACCGTGAGTCGGGAATGGTCTGCTGATAGTCGTGGCCAGGGTGGTGCTTGTGAGCACTTCGCTGATGACACCGCCACAGCTCTCCCGGGGTTTGGCACACGCGGCATAGGCGGGAACCCAGACGTATCGGTCAGGTGCGACAGGGAGGCTTTGCGGTATCGTATGGGTCGGAGGGAGACGTGTGTCATCAACTGTGCCATTGCTGCGACGAACTGGCCCCATAGCGGGGGAAAGAAGTTCAACAAGCCTATCGTTGTTGACTTGGACTTGCCTGTTCTGGAAGTGGACTGATGGCGGTGTGGAATGTAAGGTAGTTGATTTGGTCGTCTTAGGAGGCTGCCTTGATGTCGAGTTATTGCATGTGGGACCTAATGAACCATGGACCTCTTTGCAGCCCGATTGCTTGAAATTCAAAAACTTCTACCTATGAAAGAACCGAGAACAGTTGTAGACTAAGGCGTTTCTGTAATGATAGCTTTCAGAGTGTTACTAGACTAAGAAACAACTAAAATGAGCTCAGTAAAATAATGCGGCAGCTATTAATTGATACGATTTAATAATAATCACACCAACAGAGTCCATATTAATCCGAGTCCACAACGCCATCTCGTCATGGCCTGATGTATTACACATTACGCCAGGATGTGCCAAGCCGTTCAAGTTCGTTTCATGGAACATCGGGCGCGAGCTGCTTGAATGATGAAAGGCGATTTTACCTGACCAATATGGCGCAAATTGCACGGTCGGCGCAGCTCAGGAGATGTTTCCTACGAATCATGCGAGGTGCGCACGTGATCCAGAGCAACCGCAACCGACACAGAAAAAACGCAAGTCACTCACCCTGGCGGCGGGTTTTAAGGCCGAGGGCCCGTGATACCGAAGGCAAGCGAGGCCGTAGCAAGTCCAATGCTTATCACAGCAAAGGGAACGGCAATGAAGGCGAATCTGAGTTTGCTGAGTATTAGCAATTCGGCCTGTCGAGATACTCATCATGACGGTCACTTCACATGAACTTACAGCGTCCCGTAATACTTGACCGGATCACGCCGATCCCTCCAGACCGCCCACCACGAAGCTGGCTGGGCCTGATCTTGATAATCCTTCAATTTTACGATACGCGGCCAGAGGGTCCCGAGTTCGCTCGTGTTCCAGTTGCCCGGATTGTCTTCGGTGACAACGTTTGCAATTCTACGAATTGACTGTACGTCTTGTATTTTGCCGTCTTTGATGATTTTGTCGAGCTTTCGAGAACCTTTCCATACTGGAAACAGCAGTCCATACGTGCATAGGACTTCTTGTTGATATTCATAGAAGGGATGTTTGCTTGATATTGGGCGTTGGCTGCTGATTTCGAGGATGCGAGGGAAGGCATAAACTTCGAGGACATCCCGACCAGTTCTTTGGGACAGAATCAGGTGTCTGGCCACGTTGTCCACCCACTCAATCTTGACTTTGGTGTATTTCTGAAGCGTGAGTAGATTGAGTGACTCGCCATCAATCTTTGTAGACTCGAGCTGTCCCAGAAGGTCGTCCACGGCCAGATCTTCCTCCGGAAGCTTCCATTTGGATTTTCTAGGAAGACACTTCGATCTATTAAGAAGGTCTTCAATGGACACATCCAGAGATGCAGATACTGGTCTCACACCTTGGTTACGACCCTGCCCGTCGTCATGGTGACTAATTAGTATGGGTTGGAGCCCCCCCAATCGTGGGTTATTTTCGAAAAGAGATGCGAGACCGAGCCAAGTTCCCAGGATGGATAGAAGCTGGAGCTGGGATTCAGACCTCCTTACTTTGAAATCATCATGGTAAAAGCTGAGAAATAGGGCCTTCCATAGGCATGGCGGTAGGGAGGCAACCATGTCGACGTATTTGCTCAGGGTCCAGGTATAGCTGGTGGCAGCTCGGTTATAATCGTAGCCGAAATATTCGATGACATACTGGAAATGACGATGATACAAAGTCTGGAGATCTACAGGGCTGAACATTTGACGCCTGATGAACGCGCGAAGGCTTTGTTGAAAAGGGGTCTCGTCTTCTTTTCCTTGGCCGAACCAGCACTTGATAAGGCTGGGAAAGGTCTCTTCATTCTTCTTTGTTATAAGTGATGCTGTGATCTGGGCAGCGACTGGATGTGCCAATGCTAGTAAGACCGCTACTAAGCGTATGGAATCCGCAAGCTCGCGCGGGGCAGTCTGTCCGGGAGTTCGAGCGGCGTCGCAGATTTGAGCAAGAGCCGTAGTAGCTACTCGAATTTCATTATGCCGGGTCTGTACCCTCTTCTCCATTTCCGTATAAAGGTCATCTGAAACGTCGGTCTCGACCTGCAAGACTACCTCAGCCATCTTGGGTTTAAGCGGTGCCTCGGCAGCGGCTGCGATGAGGCCACTCAGCAGGGCCCTCAGGGGACCAATTTTCAAGATCTTCGGCTGCGTTTCTTCTGCAGGGACGTCGTGGTAGCCAGTGGTAATGAGAATATTTTTCGCAAGCGTAGAGGCTATTTTTGACGAGGCACTGCGAGGCTTGAGCAGCGCCGCTATCAATTCTTTTGGTTGTTGAGGCCATGGGCCATCAAACAGGAGTTGAATAAAGGCGGCAAGAAGGAAAGCTGACATTTCCATGACTCGCCCTGTCTTGAGCTTGTCGATATCGATTGATGTCATGTCTTCATCGTCGCTAGCAAGGACAAGCCCTGCCAAGGCCACCGCTGCTTGCTGTTGGAGTGGTGCTTGAGTACTAGGTCCATCAGCTTTTGTCTGCGACCCATCGTCCGCGAACATTGGTTTTGCCATGGATTTATGACGATCGAAGTTGCGATCTGAAGTCAAGTTGTCGGTATGCGGAAAGGTGGGAGTGGTAAGCACAGGGAGTAAGACGTTCTGAAGCCTGGCTTCAGCTGCTGCTCTCGCAGTTTTTTTTCGAGAGGCACTTCACATCAAGTGGTCCTTCCTGAAAAAAGGGCAGCGCACGGATTCTTGTAAAGAATGAGATGCCTATGTATCTCTGTATAAGCTTTTCATCCTCAGTTTTTCAAGCGCGATATCAACGAGGCTCGAACAGTTGATCGATGACTCTGTAGCTGAAATCCTTCCTGCGCCACAGCTGAAAAGTCTAGCGCCACGTCTAGAAGGTCCAGCGCCACGGCTGTAAAAGTTATTTCCTCAAATATTGCATTGAAAATAGTTCATTGACGCTTGAGCTAAAGCGTTGAGCACGTGATCCACTGTTGTAGGCGTTCTGAAAGGTTGATATGATCTGACATACGAGACAGCCATGTGCAATTACTCATTCCAGAAAAATGTGTATTTCACAGTTTCCAGTTTCCTATGCAATTAGCAAGCTATCTGGATCTACCTTTGCGCGGGTTCCTGCAATTACTAAAGCTAGTCGCTCGAAAGTTCAGCTAGATGCATGCCCTGCTCCGCGGGTCGCTCTGCGGCCCTGGTACATGAGGAAGAGCTCGGAGCATGGCATCCTCAGGAATCTTGACTTACCGTCCCAGACATACACATTATAGAGATCACCAGGTGTGAGGGAGCAGAGAGAGGTGCACGGATGAATGCGCGAGTACAGATAGTTCGCTTCCAGGACAACAGACTATGACGAGGTAGCCTTTTTCTGAACGATGTCGACATAGCCCTTTCCATTCAACCTGAAGGCTCGGATATGCTGATTAAAGTCAGCAGAAATCCGAAGGGGGTCACACAACAGTTTTTGGAAATCTGGAAGTCAGACTGTGCCCGGCTCGTCGATCATATGACGCATTCAGGAGAAGATCGTCCTTGCTCAGGCCTGAAGTGGAAACACGGGCCTGGCAATATCTGCTGAGGTCAGAAAATAGGCAGTGTAGCATCGGCAGAAGGCCATCTTTGCACAAGGCTATGTCTGTTCACAATAGCCAATGCTGTCAGAGCCGGCACTGGGAGAAGATGGTGGCAGGATTCAGCGCCCCAAGGACTGAAGTCGGCTTGTGGGTCTTACAATTGCCGTGACCAATCAGCTAATATGATTGTGTTCTTCCTTCTGAGCTGGATGACGGATATGCGGTCATCGAGTTGAAAGCCGACATCCGAGGTCTCCTTATTATTGCGTATTAGACTAATACATTGGCTCCTCTATGCCTATGAATTCTCAAGTCTTCTCCGAGTTGCACGAATGGAATCAGCGCCAGGCTCCCGTTCTCCGCTTTGTTGATCTTTGCTCCAATGTCACAAGCCTGTACCACTTACGGTCCCAGCACAATTAGTATGTACTCAGGTAGCTGAATGACTCGGCTTTTACTGCTGCCTGCTCCTGTTCTTTTACCTCTAGTCTCTGCGTCGTAATACAATTGGTAATAGTTATGCGCGTCAGCGGCAGTAGATGGATCTACAGGCAGATTGGTATACAGCCACCTATGATTAGCCGCGGCGAGTGTGTAGTGAGACGAAGTACGACGAGGACAAGTTTGATGTACTTTGAACATTGCAAATCGACCAAGACTGAAATTATTTGTTTCAACGATTTTGGTCCTTAATTTGCCATCACCATAGCGCACGGTTCAAGATGCAAGGATTTGAATCGGTTGAAGAACCTTACAGCCAGTTAACAATTATAATTGAGTCTCTGCGGTGTTATAGAAGGTCCGAACAATGAAGTTGTCATCGTGACGAAGTGGATCAAAGGATTCGGTTCAAACTTTATTTTGTTATCACACTGGAGAACACTGAATAGCTCCAATTACTGCGATTCATTCGGCCTTTGGCATTTGACAACTGTCCGATCTCCATATAAGTGGATAGTCAGGAAGTCCACCGACATCCGAGCAGTTCAAAGCATAGTCCGAGGAGGATCGTTTCTCTGGTGTCGATATTCCCATTGGCCTACACAACGAAGGATTGCGGCCGATTGGGAAAGCTCGTGCAATCTTATTTTCAGCTCTGAAGATCGTACCAAAAGACTTTAGAGCCTGCTAGCCATCTGATGAGAAGTCGACGATCAACAGTCACACAAGTGCACTTCGTCTGAGCCCCCATCACACCGGGGCCACAGTTCTCATGTTGTGATAAATCCCTCCAGACAGCAGAACTTGTCAACAAGTAGTGTGTCAACAAGGAAAGACTTTGTAGATCACAGGAATCCTTCGACGCAACGCCAGACCTCGGACTTCGTCCCCGCTAGTCCAAGGATGCAATGCTTGTGAGATAACTAACAAGGTTGTGTAATTGACGTTTTGTGGTGATACTCAAGTGCTGGAGACTTTCGAACAGCCGATCCTGCAGTCACGGAACGCATATATAAGAACACATGGGAGTCCTCTTCACTTGCCTTGATGCTCAGACATCATCTCATTCTCCCAATCTCTACCAAACATTCATCATCAATTAATACCCGTCTTCTTAAGACCACATTTCCCAAACCACCAAAATGCAGTTCTCAGCCGCCACCCTCGCCTTCTTTGTCAACCTCGCCTTGTCTGTGGCCGTCCCTGAAGCCGCGTCCGCCGGCATGGTCCAGAAGCTCGACACCAGAGATGTATCGGAGAATCTGATCTTCGGACGGTCATTCCCGTGTGCCTCTAACGACCCGACCACCTGCTGTGCTGTAAGTACTGCGCGTATCATCTCGCCCTGGACTCTCCCCTTGTAATCTGCCATTGGAACGACGCTGTACGTTGGTATTAAGACAAATGTACTAATTCGTCATTTGGCAGTGCCGTGGCGGTTTCGGAACCTGCATCAACGGCGTGTGCAGCTGCAACGGAGGTGACTGCTAAATGCTGGAACCGCCCCTGGGTTTTGATTGTTGCCCAAGGTGCTCCTTTGCTACCTAACGGCGGAAGCAGATGTTGGCTGATGAGATTTGAATTTTTGAAAGTATATCTAGAGTCACTCTTTGAAATGAGCTATGTAGCACACATCACAGGCCAATGAAGACGTCAAATCCGGTGCAAACACTTCTCAAGTCGCGCGTTTCTTGCTCCCTTGTATGGGCATACACGCTCATGGTGTCTTTTATAATTGTGGTCGTGTATATACACCCGTGCCTGTATAGATAAAAGGGCAACGAGATGTCTTGTTTGCACCATGACCATCCTGCGACGGCATAATCATCACAAAGACGGTCCATTTTCGTCTACCCTTAGCACGGTAGTAGATGAGGCTGGTTCGTCCATATACCATGATACAAGAGAACCTGGTCGCCGGCTGTAACCTCGAATAACATTGATCGTGGCAAGTATGTTGTACTTTGTTAGGATACTCTGCCTTTCTTATTGATGAAAGACACTGGTGATGCAAGCCTGGATCAGCCCGAAGTTGTGTACTCGGCCATGTGGTGGTGGTTTGAGATTATATGGGTTGACTGCAAAGATTCAGGGTAGAGTGATAATTCCTAAGGCTCTGGCGGCTCAAGCCCCAAACACAGTGTCGTTCAAATCTACACCCTGGGAGCGAATGATGCTGGACACATCTTGAGAAGTCAATATCCGAAAGGATATATCGCAGCATGAGAGGCGTCAATGGCCTGCATGAGAGTATGCGATTGAATGTCTCAAGCTCTAGAAGTTTCTTGTTGTCTTTGTGGACATACTTTACATCCTTCCATCATTCTTCACTGAATTGCCCTCGTCTAGCGTTTTAGAAGATCTAACACCCGTCCTACCATGACAAAAGCTGAGAGTAGTCAAGCAAGAAAGACAATGAGCAGTCATGTTTCCTAGCAGCGATGCAAATCAACAGATTAGACGGGCTGGCTCGTGAGTGCGCCCGTACAATTACTACCCTCGAGTGCCACGTCGGCGTGAAGGTCACATCTCAGCACCTTATTGTTCCAGCTTGTGTCCCAGACTAGATGACTGCTTATTACTCGTCGCAGAATTGCGGATCGCAAGGTCCTCTTCTTATAATCAGAGGCTAACATGGCGAGATATGCCTACGAAGCTCAACATCATCATAGATCAGGTGTAGTCCCGGATCTTTCAACTATATACACGCGTGATTGTCAAAGAAGCTGCTCACCAGAGAGATAGTTGATGCGTGGATAAGACGAGGCTTTGCCTTCAACCCAAAGGGAATGGACAGCTGTGGCATAACATTGTGTTCTGCAACCAAGCTCAGACATCCTCGCTGCCTTGTCCGGGAGCGTATGCACAGAAAACACTGAAAATGGGCGAAAATGGACACAGATACGCTGATGGCTTCAGAGGCAGACTCAGCGAGAGGAGGTCTCAATCTAGTTGAAGTGATTAGAGCACACCAGGACTAGGCAGACCCAAGTCAACTGTTGTTCCTTAGGTATGCCGGCGTCGACACAACGCTGCGTAGCAATCATTTGCTTTGAGATACCAACGAGGAAGGTCCCTCATTGACATGAGGGACTTGACCTCGCACCAAAGCGATGACCTCGCGCCGACAGGTCAACCTCGGCCCCTTTCGAAACAACCATCTCGAAGAAGACAAGCCTAGCCCTCGTCGAAAGCCGCTGGTCTTGGGTCGACTTCTTTCAAGGCCGTGTTGGATCCAAAACCCGGCCAGACTGGGCGATCGTGGCCCATCGCAAGTAGTTGGGAGGAAGAAAGATGCTCAGCACATCAAAGCACTCAGCTACAACCGACACATTACGTCAAGAGCGCCGTGTATCGCGGCTATAACCCGCCGCCAGGGCCCAAACCAAGGTCAAGAGGTATCCACCCAGCCGATCATCAACGGCATGCCTCCTGCCATCTGAAGTCCGTCATCCCAACTGCAAGCAGGGGATGAACCAGACCTCCCCGATCTAGAACCAAAACCCAACTCGATCCGTCCAAGCGCAGCACGCCGGTCCACATACCACTCGCCTTATCCCAGACGCCAACCCGGCTTGTACTAAGACAGTTTTTGGCCGTTGGGCGCCGTCCCGGGGAACGGGCGAACAAAACAAGACGTCAAAACCAAGGAAAACACAGACATCAGATGATCTGCAAATCCAAGATGGGCGGTCCCGCATTAGAACAGGCACAGGGCGGCGGGCTAGAGAGGCCCACGTTCAAATCATGTGCGGCTCGCGTGCTGGACTGGCGTGCTCCGAACCAAACCTGCAGCATGGCAGCAGCAACGCCTTGCCGAGATCGCCGAGGCGCCGCCTGCTGTGTACGCCGTCGACATTGCTAGATACGTCCTAGTCTACTGTATGTCTATATGTATGTATGTGCGTAAGTCTATGTAAAATGGCTGTATCTTCGGGCAAATGTTTGGACGACGACGGCGGGCGGGTGGGGCCTAGAACAGGTCACAAAAAGCGGGCCGCCGGGAGTTCAGTTGACAACCGTCACCGGTCCTTCCCAGGACGGCCCAGGTTCAAGGCCGCCCGTCCGTACTTAGCCATCACCAGACATCGTGATGGGATGACACAGGCGGTGATCAGGCCACAGGGCAGCACTCTCGCTGATAGTTCGGGCCCCTCCTCATCCCCTATGGCCCGAGCAGCAATTGCATACTATCTAGGAACCGCCAATGGCACGGGCTCGAGAGTACAGACACTGGCTGGCCAAGCTTCGGTTCGGGGGGCTAGGGCGAGCCGGCCTTCCCAGCCGCAAGATCATCTCATGTGTTCTCTCTCTCCCCCGGGTAAGCAAGCGAGCGCGATGCAACATTTTCCCTGGGAGCCGCAGCAAGCAGCAGCACTAAAGTGCAGAACCAGCTAGAAGCCGGAGAGCGCTTGTAGTACATGGCTGTGACCAATGGCAGGGCGTTCTTGGCCTTGTTGGGTCAGACGGGATGCAGTGCATGCAGGTGTTTACCACTAAGGGATGGCTCGACTCGCATTTGGCTGGGTGGTTGTCCCTCCCGCAGGCACTCCTGGTCTGCGCCATTTACCACATACTCGTGCCGTCCCCCACGTTTGAGACGAGGCATTTGGCCCACGCACCAGCTGGACAGCTGGGGCTGTGACCAAAGGGTGAGACCCATATATGGGATCTTGGATCTGTAAATCGGATCCTCGTCAGGCAACAGAGGGGGCCGTTGCCGATCCGCCGGCAAGGAACCCTCAATGCTGACTTCTCTCCTCGGTTCACTCGCACCTTGACGTAGGGCTGCAGCACCGACGGAACACAGATCGTCCGGCTTGCGGAACACCTCACCGCCTACAACAGCTGGTAAACCAGGGCGGATACGATACCGCAGTCGAAGTTCTTGTAGTAGCAAACGTCGGCAGCATTCACCGCCCTCACAAGTGTCTTAGAGATTTGTGAGAGGCGCCTTTGATAGGCCTGGCGAGGCTCACTAGAGCGAGCGTCGTGCTACCAACCCTCGCCATGGTATGCAGGCCCCTGCAATATCAAGCCGAGGTGTTTTGAGTGCTTACGCCTTACACGGAAAGATCTAGCGAACAAAGTGGCTACAGGGCGTTGGGCAAGACTAAGCAACAATGAATGAAAAGCAGCCTGTCGGTCATACGCTCGCGGCTGCGCCAAGGAGTAGGACAAATGCCGCAGCTCGCTCATCAATTTGTTGGACCAGGCCGATAACGACGCGTTTCGAATGTGGTCATCCGACGAAATGTGAGAATCTTGTGCTGAGAAACCCCAGGGATGTGAAGAGCTCGATGCTAGCAGAGATGTGCCGAAGACTTGGCTGCGGGATGTTAACGCTGCGCTCCTTGACAGTACTGGACCCACCGATGGATGGATCGAAGGAGGGGTACGATGTCAGTTGGCGGGGGTGGAGGGGCAGCCGGGCACATCGTCCGCGCGAGCTTCCATTCCCCTGGACTGTGCATGGTCTCAGGCAGCCAGCTGGCTCAGCTGCATCTCTGCGACCATGGTGCTCCAGGGATGGTGTTCGTTTCTGTCATCTATCAGAGGCTGGAGTAGCTTTGACTGCTGCAGCAGAACGAAAACAGATTCGCACGCTGGCAGGTTGCTGCATCGCGGGCAGCAAGCCGGCTCATTGATTCGCTTCAGCGCAGCAGATCGATGATCCACGAAGAGCTACCAACCCTGGCTGGCGCGAGCTCCCACCCACTGCTGCCACTTGGCAGGTGACTAGAACAGATCGGCTCATGGTCAACTCCAGAAAAGGCGAATGAGAGTCCACAACAAGGTTAGTCTGGTCCGGTTGATCAACCGGCGGCGGGTGGAAGACGCGGGAAGGACTGGATTCGCGGGCGGGTTACCCCGGCAGACAAGTGGAAAAAGCAATCGGCCTAGACAAACGAACGTCTCGTGCCCCTCCATTGGATTTCCGGTCACGATTCTCAGGCATTGGATTTGGCGCTCAAACCGCCGGTCTTTCCCGTTGAAACATCGCTCGAACGCAGCGAGCCAACGACAAAGTGGCAGCTGTATCCGGAGTGTGGCTCGACTGAAGGTTATCGTCGAGGATGAGTGATACGGGCATGGGCTGTGAACCTCTTCCCCCGATGCACTCGAGGCAGTCTAGCTGCTCAGAACCCCAGTGTCTCGTATATATATGTGCGCTGTATGGTTATAGTGACCCGAGCCGCCGACCTGAGCCTCATCACACCTCTGTGTGCGGGGCAGCGAGGCACGCGGCCCCCCTATCAAGACCGTAGTGGATGGCTGACTTTGAATGTCGCTGGGTGTGCTCATTCAGTCATTATGCCGTGAGACGGCAAGCGAGTACCTGCGTTGCTATGGCCGTCACGAGAGGCCGCAGGTGATCCACTGCAGTGTGGGATGGGTTGGCTGGGCTGGTTCCAGTGTGGAGCGCACTCGGTGCGGTGTCCCCCTCAGTTGTCGAAGTGCTGTGTAACGAGGGGAGCTGCACGCAAGCTGGAGGCAGGGAGGCAGGGAGGCATAGAGACATGGAGGGTGGCCCAGCGACTCCCTCCACTCCCTCGTGAGGGTGTGATATATACCCCATACCACAGTATGCGCAGAAGACAGAGCGCCTGAATGCAAGGCCAAGGCACTCCAGAGTGACAAACTTGCAGCTGCCTCTGTCTGAATGGTTGGGGGCCGACCAATGCGGCAGAAGGCCATGTTGATTTGTTGATGCGTGGCGGAAGAGTGGATGTCGGCGGCCCAGAGCTCACGCACATTGGCAGACTGGGTGCCTGAGCCATCCACCCTGCCATGCTCTCTGCCCACGATGCGAGCCAAGTTGCTCCAGGATGATACGTAGGGCCTTCCGACTGGTGCGGCCTGCAAGGTCCATCTCGGTTCCAAGGTTTGGATCGGGATGCCTAATCGGCCTGACGGGACGCCTCTGGGCCATCGTCGAGATGCACGTATGCAGATAGAAGCCTACCCCGAGGATCAAGCAGGAAGGGCAGCTAGCTCACTGGCCATCATCTCTGTCAGTCCTGTGTGGTCTGGTCGAATTCATCCGATGTTGTGTTTCGCTGGGTTTCTGGCTCCGTCAGGCGCTGGCTCTGGCTCTGGCTCTGTTCTGGCTACTAAGGCTTGCCGCAGCTATGGGCTATTTGCCGCCGGCAGGTACCCGGGAAGGAGGGTATAGCAGCAGGGAAGGAACGATGAGAACAGACCATCTGAAATACATCTGTAACAGCCCAAGAAAGGCGAGGCTTCCCACAGCGTTGATGTACCTGCTGATAGCACTGAACCTTCCCTCCCGAGTCGACTCGAGTCCTGTCCAGTCGAGATGAGTCGTGAGCTTAACCTGGACCTTCCAAGGTTGGACATTGAATTTCAACGTGAGCGAGCATGAACGTCGATCAGTGTCAGTGTGAGTGTAAGTGAGTGTGAATAACGAAAAGAGAGGCAGGCAGAGCCAGACCCATCAGAATGAGAACGAGGATGGAAGGAAAGACCTAGACAATTTGCTCCTAGAATTCAATCCTCGATCATCGATCATCAATTTCTCTTTCTCTCTCTCAATCACAATCTCCCGTCTTCATTCCAATCAACTAAGAGAAATAGACAAGAAAGAGACTCTCTTATTCTCTCTGTTCTCTTTCTCCCCCCTTCAGCCTCTTGCATGCCAATAACTTGCTGGCGAGATTGTCAACACGTGGGCTGCGTTTTCTGGACGCGATCGACCGTCTGGCCCTCTGTCCCGCACATTGAGAGGCCCGTTATCGCGTCCATCATCACTAAATCGACGAATGCCCTTTTGTTTTTCTCGGCTTTCCCCTCCTCTTCGGTTAACCCAGAACGAGGCCGATCTGCTGGCCGCTGGCTGCTTGCTGCTGATTGTTGGCCCACCGGCATCCGGATCTGCTCGGATTTGTCCTTGTTCATGTCAGCTTCGTCATATCACGCCGACTGCTGACCTCTTGAACTTCATGCCTGTTACCAATACCAATACCAATGCCAGTGCCAGTGCCAATTCCAATAACCAATAAGCAATACCTGCATCTGGTGATTCAACAAGGAGCTCACATATCTCATTCCTCGCTCGACACGGACTTGTCTCGCGTCCAGTCTCTCTGTCTCTGCCATTAATTTGGAATTAATATCACTCTGTCACTGCCAGTACCAAGGGGGCCGAGTCGTTATTGTTGACTGCATTGCACCCTCGTCAATCTCCAAAGGAATCATCCGAGACCCCAGGTCATTTCGTCAGCCCACACACAGGCTTCACCCGGACTGCCAGACTAGACGGGCAGTGCAGCCCGCTTGGATTGCTCATACCTGATACCGACTCTACTGGGCTCCAGCCGCGGAAACGACGCAGACCGCCGACACGGACTGACGGATTACGAAGCTCCATCGTCTCTATTTTTTCCTCTTACACACCGCCAGACCACAACTGCGGATTACCTCACCCGCGCTCTTCACCCGACGCCTGTTGTCTTTATGAGACTTGCCCAGGGTCTTGGACGTTACAGGCATTCAGTTGCTGTGCCATCCGAGCCTCTGTTTTGATACCCACTCCCACTCTTCTCGTTTCCTCTTTACATCCCTCCCACTCCCAGTGTCTCCTGACTGGCCAGCCCTGGATCCTGGCCACTCTCCCGCACGTTGAGCCTCGGTCTTCGCTGTAAACTCGCTCTACTTTATTCCCCTCAAAGCAAAAAGGAATCGCAATCTACACTGCCATATTGCCCGAATTGCTACGGCAGGATCAGCGACCTGATAGACCATCCCGCCCTCCTATTTCATCTGTGGCCTCTGCTTCGGCTGGCAAGAGCTGAGGTAATATCGCCACCGCCGCCGGCGCCATCAGCCACCAAAATCTTCATCCACCCAGCCAATCCAAGGGACCGCTGTGTGGACGAGTCGGACATCGCCATAACTGGACGTTCCAACCCAGGAGGACCGGGGATCACTGGACCGTACATTGGATGTTTTTTTGCCCCAAACCAAGGAGATCGTCGCCGGGGAGCCCTTATTTCGAGCCAAGTTTCCGTTCTGGACTCTTCCTCTCCTACTGAGTGAGCTTGCTTTACCAAATCCCACGAATCGTCAGTCTTTCTCACCGTCGTCGACTTGCAATTCCCGCTTTGATGGGCCCTCAAACACCTCAAGTTTGATTTCGTCACCAGGAAGGAACTCTATGTTTCTGTGAAGAACCTCTTCTTTCCTGCACACAACTGACTTGAGTCTGCTACTGCTTGAACTCGCCTCGGAAAACCAATCCATCACCAGGATCTCCTTGGAACAATTGCCGTGGCCACAGCTTTAGCACTGGACGGACCACACAGGCGGTGGAAAACCAAACAGCCTGACAGACAGACCTGCCGATTGGAGTTGGCCAGCTTTGCCGTGGATTCCGCCAGTCTTCGTTGCCCTTCCTTAACTCACCGAATAGGGACCCTTGCTTGGAGTTCCGCGGGCGCAGCACCACTGCAGGAATCCCTCAAGGAAGCCGATAGAACAAGACAGGGACATTCGGCTTACTCCTTGCTGCCTTGCTGCCTTGCTCTCACCTCTCTAACCACAGCCCATCGCGAGGAGCACGTCATCAATCCTCCTCCAAGGCATTCTGGAAGCTGAAAAGGGACGGCACCAGCCTCCAAGGGGGTCTGGATTCTCGATCTACGCCGCACTCTGTGGGCCAGGACTGATTCCTGGGACAGAGCTTTGACGGGACGCCATCGCTGTTCCCGTTCTTGATCTCGTTGGGTGCCCCCTGGCTGCCCACTAACACCCACCACCCCTTGGCTCGACACTGATTGGATTCCGTCTTCTCCCACCCTCCCGCTAACAGGGTCCGCGCCTTGACATTCTCCAGACAACCCGTTAGGTTCCACTCTTTTCAGGGCCAAATCGATCGACCAGGGCGTCGTCAATCCAGCTCGAGTGGCCGGCCGCCATCAATCATCATCAATCATCCGCTATCCTACCCCTGCGTTTACCCCGACTCTCGCACCTCGCTCCTGTCCGCGCCCTGACTCTATCCGACTACCCCAGCTGCCCAGGCCTTTTTGCGACCAGCCCTCCCCGACCTTGGAAGGGTGATCTCATCCGGCCACTTTCCCTCTCAACTCGCTGACCTACCTACCACTCATCTGCACTACGCAGCGCCGCACCGCCTTGAACCACAGCGGCCAAAGCAGACCTGCCCCGAGAAGCCTCAGGGGATCCTTCAGCTTCTGGCATCCCCAGCCTTCTTTCGCCCCCTTAACAGGCCTTTTATTGTGCATTTCCCTTTTACCTCTATTTCGTGAATTCCATCTGTCTTCAGCCTCGCTGCTCGCCGTCTGGAATTCAACCATTCACCCCTCATCGCATGCGCGCTTAACTCGGCTAGGCGTCATTGTCACACGATCCCGATCCCTTGGCCGCTCCCTTTCCAGCTAAACCACGTGTCAGCCATTTCTTTACCGACAACCTGGACAAGGACAACCTACCCAACTAATACAAGTGGTGCAACTCCCCTCGTTGGGCACCACGTTACTTCCCACCCCAAGCTTTCCGCTTCCCAGACATAATCGCCTCTTCGGCTGCTGTCTCTTGACAGCTGCCCTCATCGCACCTACCACGGCTAGTTTTTATCTACCTCATTCCACCCAACATGAACGCGCCATTACCGCCGGATCCATATCAGGCCCTTGGTGTAGAGTCGTCCGCAGATGCCGCCGTCATAAAGACTGCATATCGGAAGCTGGTGCTGAAATGCCATCCCGATAAATTCCCGGACCCCACACTCAAGGCACAGAAGCAGGAAGAGTTCCAGAGAGTGCAGCAGGCTTATGAGATCGTCGGTGACGAAGACAGGAGGCGGGATTACGATCTCGAGCTCAAAGCCAAGAAGCTCAAGGAGGAGCTGGCCAAGAGGGGCGCTGCTCCGAATACGCCAGCCCAGAGTCGTTATGTCAACGTCAACATTCGCACCGCGGAACCACCACCCGGGTGGTCACCGTCGAAACATTCGACATCAAAATCAAGTTCTTACAAGCAGCCTTATTCGAGGGAGTTTGCTCAATCATGGGAGCATGAGATCCCAACACGGTCCAAAGTCTACCATGACGATGAACGCCGTGCCCGTCGGACTGCGAGCTACGAGAAGCCAAAGCGTGAGGATTCTAGGGAGCGAAGGAGGCGCATGGATGAAGAACGCGAACGGGAGAAACGGAGAGACGACGAAGAACTCCGGAAAGAGATCAAACGGCAACAAAAAATGACGAAAGAAAGGGAGCAACGAGATCGGGAACTGCGAGAGCGAGAGCGAGAGAGGGAGCTGCGCAAACTTGAGAGGAAGCAACGTGAGGACAAAGAGGCAAGATTGAAGGCCGACAAGCAAGAGAAGAAGATGCGAGAGAGAGAACGTGAAAGAGAGCGCGAAAGAGAGCGGGAGATGCGACGAAAGCAGGACGCCGATGATAAGGCACGAGCAGCCAAGTCAAAGCCATATGTCGAGCACTCAGCCTTCAGCGAGGATGAAGATGACGTTCGGAGAAGTCGAGCCAAGAAATCATCCTCGCCGAAGAAGCAGTCGGACAGCCCGAGCCGAGATAAATCGTCCACGAAGCAACGAGACCGATCAAATCCTCGGGATGAAGCCCAACACGATGAAAAGTACCGTTCGACGCTGGCGTTTGCGGCTTCGTATGTGCAGCAGATGAAGAACAAAGCCAGCAAGTCTTCGCGTGGACACTCTGCAGAGGTGCCTGCGTACTCTGCCGCCTACCCAGACCCCAATGAAAAGTGGGCGCCTTCGAAGCGGCGAGCGTCTGGTGAGGGAAAGCATGCTAAGGATGAGCCCATCGTCGTCGATGTGCCCGATCCAAGCAAAGCTCACCCTGATATGGCCTCAGCATCACCAACCACACAACAGGCGCCGCCACGGTTGCAGAAGTCGCATACTATGCCGCCTGGCTATGTGCCTCAATCGCAGACAGCGGCCGCTGTGCCGCCTCGGGTGCCCCTGGGCCGATCGTACACGATGCAGCCCGAGCATGAGTACACCAGCCGGCCTTCGGCTGAAAAGCATAGGCAGACCAGGAGAAGAACCTCTTTCGACGATGATGACTACTTCGGTGACCGATATGCACCAGCCATGCCGAAGGTCCAGACATACCATGTCAGTAGCAGAGGCGACAAGGGTATACCCAGGATCATCGACACCAAATACAAGGACCCGTACGCCCCTGCGCCGGGTGTCTCGTTTGCGAAGGTCAAGACGGCTCCGTCGTATTCACCTGAGCAAGTGGCGACCTCAAGACGCTACGATGAGGACGACGTGATGACCTCAGAATACAACTACACCCCGCAACCTACTTACATGGAACACCTCAGAACAGCCAAGGTCTCGTCGTAGTCGCTAGGCCTTCACGGTTCCTGCTGAAATGTTGGATCTGAGCTAGTCGTTGAGGATTGCAGGCGCTGCTGCAAAGCAGCCTTCCACAATGTGGATCAACGCTTTGCGTTTGGGTTGTATATCGTGGTGAGCAGAGACAGTGGTGCTCATCCAGAATTTCCTACCATATATGGGCCATCTTTCATTGCTTTCTCGGCGTTCACACTAGGTCACCCAGGGCGGGATATTGGCCTATTTTTCATTATCACCTGATTCAATTTTTGGCGTTCAAGGATCATTCTCTTCTCGGGGCTTTACTTCACTGGACATGAACGAAAGATTTCATGAAGATGACAGGCAGTAACGAACCACGTGTGTTAACGACAATCATTTATTGGGAAGATGGCAAGTTTGGCTGGGCTGGCATGGCTTCGGAGTGGGAGTGCTCTGTGACAGCGCGTTGATTCCTTGGGGATCGAGATGACGAGGCAAGTCGGTGCAGGTCAAGAGTTGACCACCGCCACCATTTATATGGTGTGCAAGAAGTGTGACGTGTCCGTCGAGTGGGACTGTCGTTAGCACCTCGTGGACCTGGAAGCTTTCACTGGTACCAGGGCTACAGGCGCAAACAGGCAGCCTTGAAATGGCACCGTCCGATCACTCCGACGTCGCACTTCGCAGCCTCGTCCTCTCCGACCTAGCGGGCTCCGCAGTTCGTCACCACTCACTTCAGCACACGAAGTCAACGCCGACCCAGCTCAAGTCTTCGCCCACAGGGAACTCCGGTACGGAGACGGACACCTACTACTACTACCACCACAATTATGCATAGCTACAGGGAAGCGGGATGACGAGACGATGTTCGACACACATATATACCACACTACACATACACCAGCCATTCATTTGCTCCGGATGAAGACGTAACACACACCCAAACGCAACACAGGCGCCAATGGTGGAATGGTGAGGGAGTCACGATTTAAGAAGGGAGGGAGTATGGGATCTGCTCATGTCCTCGACGAGTTACGGAACATCATTTAGGATCTATAACGATAGCATAGCTCGATTTCCCCCACATTTCCTTGGTCCTTTATTTCCAATTTCCTAGTCTTCTATCTAGACGATGATGATCACGAATTGAAAGACGACCTTTCAGGATACAGCAATTACTTGTGTTCATTGATGCCTTGTCCCCGTGTGAAGCGTGTCGTTGCCCTGCTCTGAGTCGTAGTAATTCACCAATGGACCGGTGTACCCAGCACCAGAACGTACACGAGGCTGGCAAAACACTTCCTCGGGCACCTGTCAAGTCTGAATCGATGCATTTGGTGTCTGAATTGTATGCTACGTACGTTCAACCCAGGTTGGAGACGGCGGCCCGCCTAGTTTCCAACCACGCAAATCCGCTATCAAAAAGGCTTGCCCTGCCCTGCCTTGCCTTACTCTTACCACCCTACCACAGATGCAACGGAAATAAGCGCCCAAAAAGACAATAATACAACAAATATAATACAGTACGGGCTCACAAGCCACTGAATGCAACGGAAAGTTTGTCAACAACGTTCTTGGGTATCTGGTCTAAGAATGCTCTCGCCTCTTCTCTAAATCAAAATATTGTTCGTGTTACTCGGGAGGGATGTTGCTTCTGGCTCGGGGGGCCTCACAGAAGCACGTAGAGGGAGCAAATCTGTTTGATGCCCAGGGTTAGCAGTGCACAGGAAAGTGTTGGGGGAGCTCTTTGAGGGATGAGGTTTATTCTCACCAGACTCAGCCCCATGATCATGGAGGACCAGAAGGCGACGTTGTTGAGCGTCTTCTTGCCGCGGACGAGCTTGGTGCGCTGCAGCATCACGATGGGGAGCTGCAGCATCTGGCACACGAAGCCGTAGCCGCGGAGCTTCTTGGTGATGCAGGCCATGACGATCTCGTGGCCGATGGCCGAGATGAGGAAGGTGATGACGGTGGCGTAGGAGCGGCCGATGTGGGGACGCGACGCGCTGTAGACGTGGCGCCGCAGGAAGCTGTAGACGGGTATGTTCCACTCGCGGCTGAACTCCATCCAGTCGGTGCTGTTCCACCAGTCGCTGTAGAAGTGCCGGTCGGCGAACCGCGTGATCTCGGCGAAGGCGCCCAGCACGTACTCGAAGATGACGAGGAACACGAGCAGGAAGGTCAGCATGAAGGGGAACAGCAGCCACGATGTCGTCTCGGCCATGATCAGGAGCGACTCGAGCGCGCCCGGCGCCGGGTCCGAGCCGTGCAGCAGCTTCGACGACTCCTGCAGCGTCGGCAGGATGAACTCCTCCGAGATTATGGTCAGCAGGAAGATGCACCCGAAGACGGCGGTGATCTTGGCGAAAAGGTTCTTCCAGTCGATTCTTTCGAACCGCGGGTACTCGATCTCGTAGCACAGCGTCGGGCAGAAGAGGAAGTCGACATAATTGGACCAGGTCAGGTTCGCGGGGTAAGTCACGTTGCCCATGGGGCTCGTCAACTCCCTGGCAAGATCCTCGCGCAGCTGTGCGACCTCCTCCTCGTCCTCCTGGCTGTCGGTGTGTTCGGGGTGTTTGCTCTGTATGGGGCTCGAGACTGAGCCGCCGGGGTTCTCGGCTGTTGGGTACAGGTAGGCTGGCTCGCGGGACGCGGTCTTGGGGTTGTCGAGATCATGCAGACGCTTCTCGGTCTCGCTGAGGTGGCCGTTATAGAAGCCGTATGAATGCATCTTCATGAGGATGACCATGGTGTGCAGGATCAGGAACACTTGCGACGTCCATGGCCATTCCAGCACGAACGGTACTGCAACCCAGAACGCCATCCATCCGACCTGGTATATGCTCTGAAGTGCCATGCCTCCTTTTGCCCAAGCCATCGAGCTCCCAGCCTTTTGTTTCCTGACATATAGCTGCAGAGGAAAGACCAACGAGGCACTGGCTACCATGGCGAAGTCAACGAGACCCAAGTGCCACCATTTGATTGTAAAGAGGGTCCAGATTTGTACGCGGAAAGGCCATCCTGTCTCCTTGAGGTTGCGCAGCATGGACGTTATGCCCAGGATGAACAGCCCGACCCAGAAGAGGTTGAAGAAGCCATGGAAGTCGCGATAATCGGAATTGGGGTCGAGGTGTGATACTCGGCTGGCGAACTCTATGGTCGGAAATATTCTCCGGCGCTGCTCGGCGCGGGCTTGTCTGCGGGCGCTGGACAATACTTTGACTGAGGGCAAGGCATCGGCTGGGACTGGAGTTGATCGACCGCTGTTCAAGAGACACTTTGGTCAGCTGTGATGTCGCACCGTCGCGAAATGGGGACGAAAGTGTGTACAGCTGTAGGGCTGAAAAGCTACATCGGGGGCGGGCTGTGTGCGCACCTTGTTTGGCCGGTGGTCGTACCAGTGTCGGCATGATCCAGATATCCACTGGTGCTGGCCGACGTGCTCGAGGTCAGCTGGGAGAGCTGCGAATGGACTGGTTTGCGCGGCCGTGGTCGCAAGATACCGTCGTTCGGGTCGTGAATTTCCGCTGAAGAAGCCATGATTAACCAAAGCCGCGGCCAGCGTACCAACAGATTGGTTGATCGTCCCCAGGTCTCGAGGGATAGGCAAGGGAGGTTGGAGGCGTCAATGTGGTTGTGAAACCGGGACGATCATGCGAAGGATGTGGGAGAGGGCACGACCAGCAGCAAAGCAAGGACAAGTAGAGGCTTCCACCGAGGGACCCTGACAGCCTGAGTCAATAGACTTTGTAGATTATGCAGAGGAATGATGCTGCGTATAGCAAATGTAGAGAGCTAGAGGAGAGCCAAGTAAGGGAATCATCCTATTCTTGGCACAAGTGCAGGTCCGTCCTAAATAAGGAGAGAGGGAGGCGACGACTCCTTTCTGAGGTTTAATGTTGGATGTGTCGACAGTGCCAGAAATAGGACAGCTACCCCCATAGAAAGTTAGGAAATGCGTGCACTCCAGACGACAGCGAGATTGATGTAACCTCGCCTCTCCCTATTACACGCTATTACACGGGCGGACCTTGTCATCTTGCAGCAGCTCCCTCGGCTCGACTCCCCGGCCGGCAGCGCTATAGCTGTCATCTGGCCCCAACTTACGTCACCTCGGGGGCTCGGGTACCTGCCGAGTCCAGTACTTAGCAGCACTGATGCAGTCGCAGCACTGCACCGCTTGATATTCGTATCAACCGTATCAGTACCGAGCCGTATACGTATAGACTTATTGGGCAAGGGGACCATCTATACGGCCAATGCCATATCGCTCGACCTTTTTGCAAGTAACATTTGTTCCAGTGGAGCCGCCTATTCAGCTGGGCGATGTTCATGACAGGATCGTCAGAGTAGGAGGCAGCAGGATTGCTTTGTCTGCAATGCTATGGCACAGTCAGCCAGCTCCTGTGTACCGTCAGGCTACAGCCAAGATGGACACGCATAGTGCTGTGCTTGGATTCCGTCACCACGAAAACAAGTCACTATCAGCAAGAAGGAGGGGGAAAGGAGGCTGAGTAATGACACCTGATGATTCGGAAAGTCAAAGTTGGCACTGATCAACAGCACATGGGCCGATTTATACTTCTTCCACACAACGTCCATAATTTCACAGGCCCCTTGTCGAGGGAATGTATAGAGAGCATGTGTGAAGTTACACAAGCGTCTTGGACAAGTAAAGTCTGCTCACGTGATTAGCAATGCATGCTCTCTGCTAGGTTCAAATCGCAGGTTGTCCTCAAGGAAAGTTCCTCTTCTCCTGAGTTGCCGTCTGTAGGGCAACTTGCAGTGTCTCCGGTCCGCAACACAAAGCAATGGCGCCTCCTTTAAGTGGAAACGTGGCAACAGGAATGCTCCTCGAAGATGAGAAGGAAAACAAAATGTAAAAAGTTGGTAGAAAGACATCTGTGCTCCATCTTCAGACTTGTATCATTACAAAGCCTTCTAAACAGAGACTTGAGAGACCCATCGAACGTAGCTCAAACTTGCCAAAATTTGTCTTTAGCCGACATTCAAGGTAACAGGAGACTGACCTACATTATGTTGAATCTCCTGCCTGCAAGTTACCCTAGCATAGCACCAGAAGTATTGTTCCTTTATACACATCAAACCTCTAGTTGTCAAGTCTGTCGTTGGATTATGAGCCCGGCGCTTTCGAGCCGTCGTTGAGGGCAATATTAGGTCCTCTGTCAAAATTCACTACAAATGTTTTCGGAAGTTCAGGCAGCTTTGTATTGTTTCGCCCTCATTCTGCCTGTTCTGCTTAGTTCCTCATCATAGCAGGGGTGAGCAAGTACATTTCATTTACCAGCAGATCTTGTCCTCCCTCAAGTTTAGTGCATGGCAGTAGCTCTCACGACATGTTGGACAATAGTCTGTCCTGAACTTTCTTGTTGAATCATTTTTAGGACAATTTGTCAAGGCAACTGTGGAGGCCGGGCAAGCGGAGATTCTCAAGGCTCGAATTGAGTTTCCCACGGCGGAGAGCAAAAGTAAAGAGCCCAATCGAGCTAATATATGAGAAACAAAAGAAAGACGACTGCGCATTGTAACCCTCTCGCAGGTCACTGAACGGGACGCCCATCCCGAAGGGTAACCCTGACTAGCGTAGCTCACCACTCCAATGCTTTCGTGACAGAAAAAGAAGTATCAAAGTTATCAATCTTCATGTATTGCACCCTGGAACGGTGAAAATTTTCGCAAAACATCACCCACCAACACTACCCATTTGAGACTTGAGTGCGCCTAGAGCTGCCGAGCCTGAAGGAAAACAGCTGGTAGTGCTGGACTCCCCTCTTCCAGCAGTAATGTCGGGCAGATGGTCATCAACGCTGATCCTTGGCCTTCACTCTCCACTGACGGCTATAACGCAGTGTCTTAAGGTTACGCTTGTTGCAACACTAGACAGTGCCATTCTACCTCTTCTTGTAATGCGGCCGTCTAACCTCCGTGGTGAATGCTAACAAGCCAGCGACAAGTAAGCATTCGTAAATGCTCTATTGGTGGTCTTTTTGCAACACTAGAGTGTGCTATTCTGCCTCTTCTTCTAATCCGGCCGTCTAAGCTCCGGGATGGACATCGGCAAGCCAGTCGCAAGTAGGTAATCGTAACTGCTTCATCGATGATCTCGCCACTTCTGCCTTCCATTTGCCGTTGTGCCGAAAGAGCTTCCTTAGGGTTGCAGTCAACAGTCCATTGTGGCTAGCCCACAAAGAAATAATCATTCTGAGGCTCCATGCAAGGCTAGCAAATTCTCCGCCCTCTACCGGCGCGGCAAGTTTCTAACTCATGGAGCAAGAACAGCTTGAATTCATTGGGCCATCCTTTGCTCCGAGACATAATAAATCCCTGCTCCATTCAAAGTCAGTCAAGTCCACGTAGAGAAGAGGCAAGGAAAGCGGCTTTAATATGTCTTATAACCCGTTCCTGTCTTCCTCTTCCCCTATGACTGCTGTTCCCGTTCACCCTTCTCCAGCATCATATTGTGTCGCGTCTTCATCATGCGGTCCTCTACAGTGTTCTCCATCGTCCTTGCGGCAGCCGTCTCACCGGCTTCGGCCGCTCTCAAGTGGCTGGGCGTGAGCGAGTCTGTTGCCGAGTTTGGCACCGCCATCCCAGGAACATGGGGCGTCGACTTCTACTTCCCGTCTACTACCACCATCGATGTATGTGCAGGCCTGATCCAGATGCCCTCGTAGTGTGTTCTTCATCGGTGATACTGACTCAAGCTGCCAGACTCTGATTAGCGAGGGCTTCAACATCTTCCGCCTCCCATTCTTGATGGAGCGCATGGCCCAGGGCAGCGTCACGGCCTCGTTGAACGCCGGCTATCTCAACAACCTGACCGCCGTCGTAAACCACATTACCCAAAAGGGAAAATATGCCGTCCTCGACGCCCACAACTATGGCAGGTATAATGGAGCAGTCATCACCGACACGTCTGCTTTCGGAACATTCTGGAAGAACCTTGCTACCCCTTTCAAGAGCAACGCCAATGTTGTATGTACTTTGAATAGCCCATGCTCACATTTCTATCAATAATATGGCTCCTGACCTTATTCATAGATCTTCGACATCAACAACGAGTACCACGACATGGACCAGACACTGGTCCTGAACCTGAACCAAGCCGCCATAAACGCCATTCGCGGAGCCGGCGCAACCTCGCAATACATCTTCGCAGAGGGTAACTCCTGGACGGGGGCCTGGACCTGGAACACGACAAACAGCAACCTGGCCGGCCTCAAGGACCCCAACAACAAGCTGGTCTACGAGATGCACCAGTACCTCAACTCGGACGGCTCCGGCAGCACAGACGAGTGCACCACCGCCACGATCGGCGTCGACCGCGTCATCGGCGCCACCAACTGGCTGAAGGCCAACGGCAAGCTGGGTGTGCTGGGCGAGTTCGCGGGGGGAGCCAACACCCAGTGCATGTCTGCCGTCAAGGGCCTGCTCGACCACCTCTCGGCCAACTCGGACGTCTGGCAGGGTGCCCTGTGGTGGGCTGCAGGGCCTTGGTGGCCCGCGAGCACATATTCGAGCTTTGAGCCTCCCAGTGGTACCGCATATAAGTACTACGACTCACTGCTGAAGCAGTATGTCCCCAAATAAGGCATTGTGTTGTATATTCAATGCTTCGCTACAAACAGCTTGCGATGGATCGTAAGCATGGTACCATTCTTGTCACATACTTTTAGCATTCAGGATTAATGATAGTCGGAAAATGTATTTTCTCCGTCCGGCTGCCGGTGCGAAACGGCTTGCACAAAATTACAGGATCTGGTAATTATTGCACTGTTTCCGCAGCTCGAGCACGCGTGGACAGTCACCTGCATTGCGCTTCTAGTGTCCATGGTCTGCTATGTTCAAGATTGAGAACCACAATGCGCCGTCTGAAAGGGCCGGTGGCGGTGCAGAGACGGGCTTGAGACGGATTCGGAGCCGAGTCGCTGCCTCTGAGGCTGTGTAGCGCGCGTCGTGGCTGCCTTCGTGATACTGAATATTATAACTGTCGGGGCAAGCTCGCCAGTCACCACCACATTGTTGCTGTCAGCAGTAATCGATACGGGACCTTGATGCTGGCCCAGTGAATCTGTATGCGTTCTCACAGTTGTACCCATCCCTGCTGGCTAAGGCATCGTCGGTCTCGCGTATTATGTTCCCATAGCTGCTGATGAGTGGAGGAAGAATGGCAGACGTCCGGGTGGTCGTGGCGGGCGTTCCAGCAAAGGCTGCCGTAATTAACGCGTCGGTTTCTTTGCTGGAATCTGCAGTCGTCGAAAGAATAACGCTTATCGCTTCTTTCCAGCGCCAGGTTGCGCAATCGTTGGGACCTGTTCCGTCACCCAGGACAAGTGTCTTACCAGAAACTACCTTGATATCACATCCAAGTCGACGAAGACCCCAGGCCATAGATTCCAAAGAGACACAGGAACGCCAAACGTCTCTCGTCACAATAGGATAACTCGGCGGGCACCTAGATCCCAAGGCAGACATCTGCGAGTTGCGGGCAGCCCAATGGTCAAATATCCTACCCGACGAAATTTCGCAGACAGACCGGCCGCCGCCAGGATATGGGAGAAACGAGAATCTCGGAAGTCTAAGGGCGAAGGGCGAAGGACAAAGATGTCTTGTCAAGTGAGCAGGAGAAGAGAAGCACGCAAAAGGCCTGCCGAGTGACAAGAGGAGCAAGGCAAACGAGCTTTTGACATGGGACCACACAGCTAACCTGGGGCTTGACACAAGATTATGACGAACGGGTAACGGAAATCTATACTGTATGGCAACAAAGACAAGACTGCTTTGTAGGGTATGAATGAAGGGAATGTAACATCAGATAAAGAAATAACCTGCCACATGGCAAGTCCGTTAGGAACCCAGCATCCATCCTCGAGAAGAGAAAGAAACGAAAGGAGATGAAGATGAATAAGCTCGCCACCGTGAAACATCGAAATGTTACCCACCGGTCCACTTGACGTTGACTTGAGTGTATCTGGAGCCGAGTGAGATCAGTAGCCATACGTGTAATTCCCTCCGAATCTCGTGTCGAAGGCCGGTCTAGCTTCGGATGGCTGCTCATAGCAACCATGTCGCGGCGCAGCCGCATTCGAGTCTGTGGTACCTGCCAGGTCCAGCGGCACACCGAACAGAGAATCGTAGCCTGATTGCCCTAAAAGGGCCAGCACCTGGCTGTTCCGTGAAAGGAGCTGGCTCTGACGCACGGCGTCTGGGATGAGCGCAAACACATAATGGAGTAGCTGCCGCAGCATGTCCTGGTGATTCGGTCTTTCGTGGAGAAGCTCGAACAGATGAGCGACCACGGAAAGGAGTTGCTCGGCTTCGGCCTCAGCAACCTCGCTGATCGCCTCGTAAGCCGGGTTGAGAATATCGAAGAGTCTGGCGGTGTCGCGCCGCATCATCGCATCGGATGCTTCCAGAAATCTGTGGCGGATGCTATAGAGCAGTACCGAAGCTCGATCTCGCTCGCCAAATTGCCCACTTTGTGCATGCAAGGGAGAGGAGAACGAAGTAACTTCGTGGAAACGGCCAGCGCTTGCCCAGTACTGGTCGTCGTTGGGCTGTTCCGTAGGCAACATGGTTAAGGGAGTGCTATACTCTCTCTGCATGGTTTCTTCAGCAGATGGAAGGGATCCATCTTGAAATCGATGGGCAATATCTGGAGAATATCTGACGTAGTTGCTTATCTCTTGAGCGTCGGCCAGAGGTTCTCTGACGCCGAAATGCGAGTCCTGCGTTGAATACCGCTGTTGCTTCGTCCGATGGGCGTTGAGACCGTTGTCAGACTTCAGATTTTTGTCAATAGCCCAATCCTTAATTCGTTTCTTATACATCTTCGGCCTGCTCGTGATGGTTGGCTTGAGTCCTTGTAGAAAACGACTTCTTGAACTTACGTGGCGAGGAATTGGTGCTCTGTCTCCATGATTCTCATGACCTCCTTCAAGGGTCTGTTCTCCTCTTTGTACATTCTCGTGATGAGCGAGCGGACGGGATCCCAATCACCGGATTCGGCCCAGCGCCTGCGTGGGAATGGAACTGACATAATGAAGCGGATACATGCAGGATGGAAGGGAAAAGGGAAGAATTAGTATTAGTAGAAACATCCGCGCCCTGCTCGGAGAATCTCATTGCGATGGTGGTATCTGGTCATGACTTCCTGCCGACTGCGTAAGAGACCGCATATATATTGACTGTTCTGTACGATGCTAGTGGTTTTGAAGCTCACGACGAGGCAGCCCGTGGTAAGTAAGAACTAAGTTTAGAGCTTTACAAAGGTTGGGGCCGACATCAGACGTGGTGTTGCCGAAGAGAATCCATCGCCGCGGAATGACAGCATCCCGAAGGGGCTTTGAGCTGCTTGCCGAGGTCCTGCAACGTTTATCGACAATTAAGGGCCGAAAAGTCAGTTTTCTTTTCGAGCCAGAGGCATCAAAGTGCGAATAATCCCCAATCAGAAGCCCTGATCAAGAGATGGCTTGGGGGCTAGGAAGGAGGCTGTGTGAAGACGACGAAGAACGAGCACGATAACGATGACCATACCGCCAGACCGCCAGACTGATGGCACGAGGGACAGGCTGCAGCGCTCGAGGGCCTGTCATTTAGGCAGGGTTCGGGCCTGCGCCCCGTTGGCGAACCCGACGGTAAGGCTCGAGCTTGGTTGGTCGGTTTGGTGGGATGATACGAAGGCAATCAGCTTATTCCCGATTGGCCCAAGTCAACCTTAATGGGAACAGTGGGCAGAACGCGTCCAGGCGCGTCCCCCAATCCGAGGTTCCACCCGCAACCAATTCCCCTCCAAACAGCCTTGAATTTGGACAGAGCAGATTGATCGCGAACAGTTTTGGTTGCCCTCCGCGCGACAGTCAAGATGTTCAGGCAAGACTTCAACAGGATAGACCCAAAACGGCGCCATGTCGACCATCGCAAACAGCAATTCGTCGACCGCGGCTACAAAGAGCAGCAATACCCCCACAGACTCAACTTCTACGCGACGCCGCCCACAGCAGACATCACCCTCGAGCAATTCGAGCAATGGGCAATCGACCGTCTCAGAGGTACAGGCACACCAACTATCTGGGCCTTTTTGCGCCACCTGCTAATGCCATGATCTTTGCGCAGTCCTCGCCGAGCTCGAGGCATGCTCATTTCGCAACAAATCCCCCGATGAGACCGCCGCCCACATGAAGCCGCTGCTCGAGAAGTACCTCCCACTAGACTTCAACAGCTCCAAGTCAACGCAGCTCGCCTTGCAGCGGCAGAAAGACCACTACAGCCACTTCATCCTGCGCCTCGCCTTCTCGGCAACCGAGGACCTGCGCCGGCGATTCACTCGCGTCGAGACGACGCTCTTCCGATTACGTCTCAACCAGGAGGATACAAGAGACCGCAATGATTTCATCAAGAGCTTGACGTTGGATTGGGAAATGGTGTCAGACGAAGAGAGGCGGGAATTGGAGGCAGAGCTGGCTGCGACGAGCGCCTTCGGGCGCAAGGTAGCCCCGGTGGAAGAGACATGGTGTAAGGTCGATTGGGAACGGGTGCCAGACTTGGTCGAGGGCAGAAGAGTATTCCTCAAAGCCGGAATGGCCTATGTGCCCTCCAGAGAACAAACAAGCATGGTCGTCACGGAGTTCACCTCCAGGCTCGAACGAGCCCTCGAGCTTACCGCACGCGCTCTGCCACGACTCGACGAAGACGACCGCCTGACGCCCATACTTGACCACCTCTCCAAGAACTTTATCACGCCCGATGCCTCCTACCAGAGCAGCTCAGGCGACCTCCCCGCCGGCGCCGAGATCTCCGCGCGCAACATCGACAAGCTCTCGCAGCACTTCCCCGCCTGCATGTCACATCTGCACCGTTCACTTCGCCGAGATGCACATCTCAAACATTATGGACGTCTACAATACACCCTGTTCCTGAAAGGTCTAGGGCTGAACCTGGAGGAAGCCCTGATGTTCTGGCGACAGTCTTTCCACAAGGTCACTGACGACCAATTCAACAAGGACTACCGATACAATGTACGACACTCGTACGGCGACGTCGGTGGTGATTCGAATAGGAGGGGTGGTGGTTACAGCCCATTCAGCTGTCAGAAGATCCTCATGGAGCACCCACCTGGCCCAGGCGAGGCACATGGGTGTCCATACCGGCACTTCAATATGGAGAACCTATCGAATTTGGTGCAGGCCATGGGCGTCAACGACAGGAGTGTGCTGAATGGCGTAAAGGAGGACAAGGACAAGCAGAAGTATCACATGGCTTGCAACCGGTAAGTGACAGAATCTCATTGATGTATGAAAGTTGGAATGAGTGCTAACCACTTTGTTAGTGTCTTCGAATACTTGCATAAGAACGAGATCAAGAAGGCCAAGGATGAAGGCGTTATGAGCGCCAATCAGCTGGAGACTATTGTTCACCCCAACGAGTACTTCAAGCGGAGTTACGTGCTGAAAAACCTAGGCAAGGATTCGGGCGGTGAGGATGTCAAGATGGAGGGCTAATGGTGCTATAATGATTTTTGTCTTTTTTAAAGAGTGCAGGGCTAGGGCTACTCCTTATTGTGTATGGCATTGCTTGGGTTGGTGTTTCCGGGACACGGGTTTGTTCTACAAGTAAATATGTAGCTTCGACGGTATTGGCCGTCATGATCAGAACCTCATTCAGGTTTGACTTGAATATGGTGTTGGGCGGATGCCGTGGTGGTGAGACGTGGATTCCTATGGTACAAACCCGCTGCCAACGTAGACGGAAGGCACCGCCACGTCTCTTCGCTTACTACCATGATTCATTCTCTAAAATAATTGAGAACGCCCCTGATATTGCGAACGAGACTTGATGAATCCTTTCCATTGAAACGTGTTCAATAGATACTCTAGCGATGTCCGCGCCCACCCCAAGCTGAATACCTGCTTCTCGAGTGATATCATTTTCGCAGCCTCGTTTCTGAGAAAGGACAAAATTCCAATGTATGTCATCCGTATATATGACATTGTCCGCGAAGTCACCAACTCCACGAATTCTGGTCTACCTCTATTGCGTCCAGGGTATTCCGTAATGTAGTAGAGACTGCTCAATAGTCCTCAAGCCAAGTTCTTCCAAGGATTGAGCCTGGGTCCCGTTGCCCTTATGGACTTAGCCTCGTGTTCCTATGAGGTCTGTAAACAATAATTCTAGATCATTCACGTTTGACTACGACTTAGACGAGCAGAAAGAGACATGTCTCGAGGCTTTCCAGCACGCATCACGGGATTCAACAGAAATTCACAATGCAAAAGCTGTGGAGGTGGTTTGGGACGAATTGCATTCGCTAACAGGCAACCAAAGGCATGAGATCGGCCCTTATTCCGAACAGCGTCGAATCAAGCGATCCATCTTGTTCCTCCACATTCCCAAACTTTATTTCTGCTGGCAAACGGCAGCGCCGTTGATGATCGCGCAGACCTGGGTGTCGGAGCAGGCCGCGCCCTTGACGGGCACACCGCCGGAGCAGGTGGCTGGGGTGTTTCCCTCGCTGTACAATTCTTGTCAGCAGTTGATCAATCTGAGTGAAATATTTGAGGGACGAGAAGCCGGACAACGTCGGCCTCTGCAATGTCATATACATACCAAGAGTACACGCCATCCTTGCAAGCAGCGGCCGCGAAGGCGACGAACAGAGAAGACACGAGAGCGGAGAACTTCATTTTGTTGGTGTTTTATATGAGGAACAGAATGAGTCTGTGTGAGTTGAGGGTGCTCTGTGCTTTGAAATTTGGATGAAGATGGAGGATGAGGATGGATAGGAACAGAGACGATGCGAACATGAAAGCCTGTGAGCTTTTATAGACAGAAATACGAGCATCCATGAGCAAGAATATCGTAAATGTCAAGGCCACGTCCGCTGGCGGTCAGGTTGAACTATCCATTTGGTATTGATCTTCAGGAGAGAGGCGGGACGTCTGGAGATGCGGGTCCATCAGAAGATCCCCCAGAATAGATACCCACAGCATTGTACGGCCTGACCGGGCCCGAGAGGCGCAACGATACGCAACACAGGGAAACATTGCTGAAGTCGCCTTCAAATTGTCTTTCAGAAAGGGACAAGGTCGATACTTGGCATGAGGATCAAAAATTGGGTCAAAGAGTGGAAAACGTATGCTAGATTCCATCGCGCAGCGACTAATGTATTTGCATGATACAACCAACTGACTCACCTGTCTCATTCTATTATAGAACTGGCCTAATCCCGATCACGGATATCCACCACCGACTCCCGAGGCGACTCCGTCTCCCTGAGCTGCCTCAGAGCCTCCTCGGTCAGCGCCAACATATCTGTAAAGACCTCGAGCGCCCCTTCGCCCTCAACTTCCGAGTCAATCATTGCCTGACCCAATTGATATAGTGCCTGTTGGTGCTTGTTGGTAAGATCCATGAGCTTCTCCCGGTCTTCGGGGTCGTGGGTGCCTTGGCTGTTGTATTCCCCGAAATCGACCATTTCATCGGCTGTGAGGTAAGTGGCGATCACCTCAAGTGCTTTATCTTTGGACTCTTCGAATGCATCTGTGGACGACATCTCAGCTTGATAAATGATTGTTTTTGGTGGACGAAATGTACGTGAACGCAATATTTCAGATGCGCTATACTGCAAAATGGCCAGATGGTGTGTAGTTTTGGGGAGGAAGGGGATGGATGGTGAGAAGCTACGACAATGTTTCGACAAAGACGACTTCGGTCGACCATTACATTTAATCGCTGGAGAGAATCCTGAAAGAGCTGTGCAGCCGCCCTTCTAAGAATAGAAGAAACCCTCCGCCCTCTGCGAAGGAGAGACAAAGAAACAATTTTATTATCCAGCGCCATGTCCGGCCCTCACATGTCACTTTTGATATCAGCCTGACATGGCTTTTACGGCAGGGCCATCGGAAGGAGTTCGAAACACACAAAGACTTAATTTGATCGCTTTGCCGCTCTGGCGAGTGCTTTCAACCACATTCTGCGGCATTGCAACACGATGCAGCCATGGAAGTTCTGGGGTTTACAGAGATATTTGCCCGGACTGAACAACGATTTGGAAAGCGCAGAACTAATGGACTCACACGTAACTCAATATCTATTCTCGAGGACATTCAACTATCTCTCCGTTGACCCATGCTTAACTCAGATCTCATCTGTTCATCCGGTGGTACAGCGAAGATCCCAAATCGGCTGACCCCATTCTCGTTCTCATTCCCCATAGCGATCCCTTCTTCATCCGGCATAAGACCCCAGCCAAGCCAGAATCTCGTCGTTTGCCCAAGCGCAGCCCTGATGTCCGCCTTGCTCCGCCACTCCGCATCTTCGGGCAGCAGCTCCAAGAGATTACCCCCTGCGAGTAGAGCCACCTGGCCAGCCACTGTCGTCGGGCTCCTTTGCGGCAGCACGTCGGCCCGGGGAAGCGTAGCCCAGCCCAGGAGCAGTAGCACCGCCGCAGCGAGCAGCAACGCCTCTAGCACTCGCGTGGACGCAGCATCTTGCACCACGCGCCGTCGTCCTGTGCCATCCGTCACTGTGGCTTCGTAGGTGTAACGCGCGCCATTTTGACCCGAGGCCATATTTCCGCTGACGAGAATCGCCTCGGTGGCGCTGACGTTGCCGGGTGGTGCGCGGTTGCTGTTGAGGGCTTGCGCCGCTAGGATGCCGTGCTGGAAGCGCAGGGCGGCGGCGACGTCGGCGTCGTGGGCTGGATCGCCTAGCATCGACAGAGGCAACGCCCACCGCGACGTCGTCAGCAGTGCAAAGGAATTGCTGAAAATCTCGGTGCTTGCGAGGCTGGGGATGTGGTAGTATAATGAGGATGACCTGTTTGAGGACACGGTTGAGTTGCGCACCGTGTCCTCGAGGGGTCTGGGCGGGCGTTGTGGGTCGATCACGAGCTCCGCGCCGGCGAATTCGACGTCCACGTCGACGACCTTGAAGGTCTCGTTGCAGCTGATGGCTGCAATGTGCTGGACTTGGGGATTAGCTTCGTAGTCAAGTCGCCCCCATGTGTAGAAATAGTCGCTGCAGGATGTGACCGTTGCATCAAGGTCACTCCCTATGCCGAAGTACGATGCATTGGACCTTGTGTTGATGAAGACATTGTACTTTGCAAACTCCGCCTCGGGCGCCAAATTGCACGTTTCACCCTCGACGATTATCCCAAGAGGATTATGGTATATGTCACTATACGGGTCTATGAGGGTAAGATTGGTGCGAATACTGGACGAATCGTACATGCGGCACGTTAAGTTGGTCCTTACAGCTGGTACCCGCGTATTGATTGATAGCGATGATGTATTTGATATCGAGTCGTCGGGCGTCGATGGTACAGGTAGCATTTGCGGGAAAACCAGGTCCTCGTAAGTGAACTTCGGGTACGTCAAGTTGCCCTCGAGGATTAGTGATGAAATTACACCGCTTTGCGAAAAGTCACCATTGTCGATAGAGTCGTTCGCGAAGAAGTTCTGCATCTCAAGTGCGATGGAGCTGGTTTCCGGGAGTGAGGTTGCCTGGAAGAGTGAACTGGAGAAAATGGTGAAGAATGATGCAACAAGCAGCGTGGTCGTCGTTGCTAAGGCCCCAAAGCTACGAAGTCCGGCTTCTTTGTACATTGCCCAGGGGGTGGACATGTCCAAAAGTTCCAAATTCATGAAGACGTCTATGGTGACAACGTTGTTGAGGATAATGTACGGTGCTAAAGACCGTATATTAAAGTCCATTGAGGATATTATCAACACGAGGCCTTCGAGCAGAAGAGCGGGCATGGTGGTCCACAAGTAGTGGATGTATGTGTCGTTCCCAACATCTCCAAGGCCGTCCTTGCTCTTGGACTCGTGCAGAGTGACCTCCAAGGCGGCAACGACGGCGAAAAGGACCACACATAAAATTAGCCGTGTCCAAGGATGAAGCAGTCTAGGATGGGAATGAGATGATCGGCTCTGTTGGAAAGGCTGAGTTTCTTTGTCCGCATCGATGTCAGCAGTGTTCTGTATGGCGAACTGCGGCGGCCTGGAAAATGTGGTGTGAACGAAGCCGGATTGAAAAGTCATCGATTCCAATGCCCGAGACAGAGCCTTCGAGTCGGCATCTCCCGCATCACGCAGCATGATCAAGAGTTCTGGGCTGTGTGAAACAAGGGCAGAAACACCAGAAAGGGCATTGGGGCTGCATGGCAGTATCCCATGCTTTGGAGCCATCAGGACTGTCATCAGTGTGAATAAGAGACAAACAGCAGCGAGTCCAGCCATCCACTGGCCGGACCAGCTCCGTACCATCAGTCGATTTCTCAAGACAAGGGCCGAGCCAGTTGTGTTGATTGGCCCGGTTTGCATCAAAGATTGCCTCGCGATTATAGCTCCAAATTGTCGGTAATAAGCCTGTGCCATTCCCTCAAGCAAATTTGGGTTGTAGAGTGAGGACGTGTTCGCGCCAGCTGGGAGTTGTCCATCAAGGAGAATTCGAGTGTATGGATCCACGTCAATAGTTTCATCTCCAAGCTTGAAGGATTCTCGCCAGCTGCTGCCGCTGATGTCGCTGTCGAACGATTCGTAGTGTGCTCTCATGATACTCCATGGAGTGATGTGGTCGAGCGTGCGATTTGGAGTAGTAGATGGGCGAGATAGCGCCACGGTTTGCGTTTCGGTGCCATTCTTGACGAGGTCGACTTTGCTGATGTCGTAGGCCGGCTTGCAGAGCAGTTGGATGGAATTGAGCAGCCTTCCACGGGTTTGGCTTCCGGAACAGCGACGAGTACAGTTTGAACTGACCGTATCGTCGGTGAACCACTCGATCTGACCAAACCAGACTAACACACGTTTCCCCTCGTCGTCGGTAGTTCCGTCGCACTGTACTTCGGAGAATTGACCAAACAGGGGTGAATAAGGGAGCTCGTCCTCGTCGGCGTCGTTAGGCCCACGGATCTCTACCCCAGCGATCTCACAGTTGGGAGCGGTGATGGTGAGGTTCGTCATGCCGATTCTATTGTAAAAGCCTGCTTGCCTCGCCTCATTCAGTTCCAAGCTAGCGAGCTCGCACACCAGGGAATTTGTAAGCCCGTCAAGTGTAACTTGGATCTGAGCCGTGGTGGGGAGACCGCTCTCGACTGTTTGAAATGCAAAGTCTTCGGAGATGCCGGGTGGGTAGTCCACGGTATCATTCAACAGGCCTTCCATGAAGTATCTTGGCAATGTTCCGGCACTTTTGAGAGATGTATCGTCATCCAGGAAATTGTTCTGCAAGACCATCGGAATTGCCTTTTCGTCTACCGTGGTTAGGGATAGGGTGACGAGGCCGGTAGACAGTATGATCATTATCTTGAGCAGAATCGAGACTGCAGTAGCAGCCGACACCATGAAATCTCCGTTTCTAAGTGATCGGTATAACGCAAATGGTTGAAACTGGGACACGTAGTCAAGTAGCAACGACTTGTAGGCTGCAGCGGGCTGTTTCGATATGCGTTGCCATGGTGCAATTAGTTTGCTTTGGTACTCGACTCTGCTGAAAAGGGCCGCAATCGCCGTCAGCAACGCTGTTGGTCCATAGGTCCAGAGATAGTGGTCCCCAGGTACACCGGACGCAATACCATTGTTCCGGTTTGACACTAGGATCAGGATCTCCAGCGTTACTACCATGAGCGCAAAAACCATACAAAATGCACCGAGAATCCGGGTCCGAAGGTAGACAGGTCGCCATGTCATTCTAGGTACGCCGGAGCTTGATGTTGCGACCTGAGGAAGGGCTTTGTCTCTTTGTAAAAATTCGAAATCCAGGCTCGGGCTGTTCTTCTCATGGTGGAGTGGTGATCGGCCGGGTTCTCTCGAGTCAGATTTAAGCAATGGCACAGAGTGACTCTGCCAATCCATCTTCGCTTGTTGCGGCCCAGCCGCCATATCGGTCAAATGAAGTTATAAGTCCAGACCGTCATTGAAACGAGCCATACATCGGTTGGTTGCTGATGCTGAATTGGCCAAGATGGCACGCATATACATGAGGAGGTGCAAGATTTCAGCGACCCCCTTAGGCAGAGATATAAATATGCTGAGGCGGAAACAAGCTGCAGCCTGGATGCATCTGGACTGCCAGCGGGCAGAAGTTCGGGGGGCTATGTAACCGAAGGATTCACGCTAGGCAAGCTCCGCTATGCTTGTAAGGCGGCGATTCGTCTGATGAGCGCGGCATAGGTCAGTCAGAAAACTCTTCTTCTACATGATAATCATGTTTACCAGTTTTCTACTGGAACTGCTGGTCCTTGGATTCGAATTTGCGGATGTGAGCCGAAAGGGCTGCCCCGGTGTCTTTAGTTGCATGATAGTAAGGGACAGCCACTTGTACGTGGTTCTTCCGGCAAGTTCGGGCACCGAAGGATGTTTTGAGCCGGGGTGTCTTTTTTCTAATGTAAGAAAAAGCAAAAAGGAAGTGATAGCATGAGCCAAACCTTGAATTTAGACAACAATAATAAAGTATACCTCCCCGTTATAATTCACATTAGAGCACAGGTGTGCTGCTCCACAAGCTCACGAATGTTGGAACATGAGTCGAGAGGGACAGCACCAGAAGCTCTCGTGGTAGCCAGCCACATGACAGCAATGTTCAGTATCGCACTACAACTCTGAAGGACACTCGCTACATGATCAATGAACAAGAACAAAGGCAAAGAGGAGTACTCCCAGCGGTACACAGCCTAGAGCTTGACAATGCATTCATGGAAGGGAGGACGTGGAGGATGAGAAACTTACAAATTATAAAGCACAGAGCATCAGAACCAAATGTGGCGTGTAATATTAGTCACGATATTGAGTTTTGTACAGCCAATGTCCTTAGAAAAGTGATTAGATATAAATATTACAACAGCCATAGCCCCTTCCTAGTCAAACGTAAAGAAGATAGAGACGCAGCTTTATTATTCAACAAAATGAGTCAACCTAAGAGTCTCGTTCCCTTTTTTGTTAAGCACTTTGAGTTTTTTGACTTGCAGCGGTGGATGGGGGCTTGATATAATGTTCTTTTGTTTCTCTTTTCGATAAGCTTGTTGGCTTGGCAAGTCCCTACATTTCTCTGCTCTATCGAGTCCCCCTTTGTCTTTTACCTGCTGGTTTCTTAATATCGAGTATTGCGAAAGCTCTTCACTCACTTCCTCCAGAGTTATGGCTCTGACTCTGTATCAATGCTCTCCTTTGAAATTACAATCCAACAACTTGATCAAGGAGCTCTCATTCTTCAATGGTCTCTTTCATGCCTTGTTCCACCTCGGCTGCTGAGTGCAGTTTGATATTCGATTGTAGACTTCAACAAATCAAAGCAAAATGCTAAAGACATGGAACGTTGAAAACATAATCAATCTTGAGAGTATGTTTGTTGCCATAAATAGTGGCTCTAGCAAGGGCAGGTCTAGATTACTGTCCAACGATGGACGTATAATAGTGTGTAGGGAGAGCTGCATTTCTGAGCACAGCCTTGTGAAACTTGACACGGCTAATGTACTCATGATCAGTTGACCCATCCGTGTTGAGAATGCCGTTTGAAAATCACGAAAATTTTGGAAGATTGTGGAAAAGCATACGCATAGTGGGTCTTCGATTGTGTAACTACCCTTCCTCCCGCCCTGCTTATCCAGAGGCAGGACAACAGCGACTTTCTTGAAAAATCTTTTATTGATTAAGTTTAGCCCTGCGTCAGTGGTATCGGTTTCCGAAGCTTTCCCTTGTATCGTCGCTTTTCTCTATACGATTTTGGTCAATCCCAATCTTCATCCGGTGCGCCACGTACACGAGAATGGTAAATGAATTATCTCACCCACTTCCCTGATGTTGCCAGTGCACAGGGGCAATGTGAGTTCCTTCTGCAAGCCCGGCTGCCTCTACCCCTAGCCTTTTCACGATTGGATCCTGACTCCCTTGGCCGTGCAGCCTATGCAAAGACTCTCCTCCCAAGTTTTCCAGTCCGACATCTCCTGAACCAAAGTGTTGTTCTCGGTCTCGCTGGCTGGGCGAATCTGCCAGTCTCGACCACCAGCTCTTCTTCCCCGAGTCAGCCGATCCACGGCCAGCGTTGACAAACGTGTGGCTTCGGTATGTCCTGCGCTCACGCCGCGACTCTAGGCTCTTGATTAGGCGGTTCAATATGACGAATTCGACTTTCAGTTTGATGCCGTAAACGCATGGCTTGAACGCTCCTTGCAGGTAAAATAAACTGGCGTATTGTATGCCAAGGAGGGCAATATCGAGCACAATAATGAGGATATTAATATAAATGAGTTGATATAGCAGGGGCCTCTTGTCTATTGCAGCCTGTGAGGAGGAAGAATGCATGGGACTTTGGAGGAGAGTAGTGTCGCGAAGGAACTTGCGTGTTTGCCAGATATACAAAATGCTCAAGGAGGTTTCCTGGACAAAAAAAACTGTTGTCTGAAGGCGATCCCAAATAGTGTTGACATGGAAAAGGTTCGGATTTATGTTGGTGGCTTGCTAAACGGGTAAATCTGTCAGCACTTGTGACAATCAAGACTTGAGAGAGGAGGTGACTTGCAGCAAGGATGCCCATGATAATGGTTGGCACCGAGAAGATGATAGAGTCAAATACCAAGACGGCCATGACCCACCGGAGCCAAGTGTCCCTATGCCTTGATGAACTTGTCAGACACCACCCATGGCATTGGGCTTAAGGTCGAGGAGGGCTCACATGATCAAATGGAGACGCGAGTAAAGGACCCAGCTCTGTGGCACCACCATGATCAGCCAGGTGAGATATATCATGGTGATCGATCCTTTCAAGTCCGTCCACACGCCAAAGTCGGCTAGTATGATGAACAGTGACTGCAGGATGACCCCCCACGAACATAGTGCGCACGACCAAAAGTACAGCCCGCGCCTCCTCTTGAAACGCATGAAGAGAGAGATGTTGATTTCAACCCCGATATAGCATGAGATGCCCGCGAATGCGGACATCGTCATTGCCATAGGGAGGTCTTTTTTGATGTCAGGAATGTCGCCCATGGTTTCTGGTTGGATGAAGAAGCAAGGTGAGAGCTAGAGCACAGCCCACCGAGAATCTCATGTGTATAACTGAATACTCCAGTGTGTGGGTGTCTCGGATATCCGACTTTTTCGAACTTCCCTGGGCGTCTCAAAAGTAGCTCTCTAGTCTATTTGAGAACTAGAGCCAATGGTAACACGACATTTTCAGCTCGTGGGTGAAGGGCAGCTTACGGACATACCTGGTGCAAATGGACGTAGCATCAAGAAGCGCGCTTTGCTTTGAAGGAAGAGAGCGATGCTACATAGAATAGATGCAAAACCCAGTATTTTGATCTTTGCAGTGCCGCGCTTTGTAATGCCATACCTGGTAGGCCATCAAGTATGCTTGGGAGCTCTGAGTACAGAATTCAGGGCGCCAAGGACTAATCGCGTAGAATTCAAAAGAGACGGTGTGGCGTGTGGTCTTCCAAGAGGTCGCACATGCAGCATTAACGCAGCAGCCATCTCTCCGAGCTATGCCCACCATCCCAAGAACAAGCGAGATAAGCGTGGAAGCAGAATGAGGCATGGCTTTCGACAGAAGAGAAATGATCTGCTTCAACATGGGTAATTTGTAATTCGCAGTGCATTTTCCTAGGGCCTGTTCTGGAAACGATGCTTACACCCCGTTCTTCTACGCGCCGGCAACCCGCAGCCAAGAACCGTCAGCCCCGAATCCGTGTTATTTCCTGCATGTGCCGTGTTGGTGCTGACGCTCAAAATCCTGTCACATCAGGAGCTGGCCGCTCCGCGGGGCTCCCACCCCTCCTTGGCCATCTCGAAGGATTCCATTGTAAACGCCGGCGATACAGTGCACCCCACCAACGTCCACTCCCCTAGGCTGACCGCGTGCTGCCACTCCCCCACCTCAACAACAACTTGAGGTCTCTGACCCTGCTCATTGTTAGCATGGAATTATTAGTAATTAAAGGACAATTCTCTACGAAAGGATGCTCACTCACGTTCCAGAGATCGTTGCCCAACACCACGTCCCTCACCGGCTTCCCATCGTCCCAGGACAGCGAAAGCTGCAGTGGCGCGCCGGCGTAATAGTGCCAGACCTCAGTAGCGTCTAGCACACGATGCCAGTGCGAGAGGCCAGTCTCGCCCTCAAGAAGGTAGTAGATACAGGTGCCATATGACCGCCTGTCGGACGAGAGGTGGGCATCTCGGAATGACTCAACGAAATAGCCCTTCTCCGGGTGCGGGGCCAGGTTCAAGGCAGCTATGACCTCTTTTGCGGAGCGCGTGTTCGCCATGTTAGATTTGCTTCTTGCGATTTGAGGCTGAAAAAGTAATGGGGAAAAGCATGAAGGGTGAGATTCCTTCCCGCGGTGCAGAGACTCTAAGAATCAGCTTTGAATCGTCCTGGGTGAAGCAACCACCGATCGACAGCCCGATGGGGTCTGCATCACTGCGTAAAGTTTTCGGAAGCCACGGCTGATATTTGTGACATGTCGCTACTGGTTCGGTTGAGACGCGGGCTTACGGCGCTGTATGGTACGGTGCGACCTGAGGAAATCTCACCGTCGTACCGGAGCTGCTTCACGGGGCATTATGCATTTGATGCCAGGCCCAGAGGGTCTTCCATGTTATACAAGGTCGTGGGCGAATGCAAGATGCATCTTGATTCTTGTGCTTTACATAAGTCTTATCATTAGCTTCGATTTTCGAGAAAGTTTCACATAGCTTCTATCTGCCATGTTCTTCTGCTTCTAGAAGTACAGAGAGGCATGCTAAGACTCCTTTCTATGGTATGGCTGAGACAGTGAGGCTTGAGCATCTGCTTGGCGGGCCAATATGGACTATGATCAAGGGAGAATCCTTCGAAATGTTGATTTTTAGGAATCAATTGCTGGACTTGGATCGTCGTTTTCACACCATCCATCAGCCTCTGGCTTAGACAGGGGTTATTGCAGGGGGCCTTTTGTAGTCCCGTCATATTCCCCAGCCTCACCGGCAGCTACAAAAGCTGCCTGCCCACGTGCATCGTCGCCAGTTTTGAACCCGAGAACAGCCAAACAGGGACCATAACGTCGCGGATCGCCTCTACTTTCGCACAACACAACAAGCGAGTTCGACAATCCTCCCCGCTTGTTCCACACCTCGCCATCGACTGAGCCACGTCCAAGAGCAGGTTTGTCATCAGGCCTTTTCCCCGCGATAGCTTCAGGACATGGAGAACATCGTGTTGACAACTATCCAGAAAACATTGCCCGTCAGCATCATGGCTTCAATGCGTTACTCCCTCGTCTTGTTCGGCCTTCTTGCGCTCATAGGCTTGCCCCATGCCGTGCTCGGCAGGCCGGACCCCGCAAGCCCACGGACCTACCGGCCACCGTCCATCAACAAGCGCACGGCGCAGGAGGTCATTGAGAAACTAAACCTCATCCCCAACGAGGAGAAGGGCTACTACATCCAGAGCTTCGAGGACCCCTATCGTATCCCCTGCCTGAACCGCTCCGCCAGCACGGCTATCTACTACCTCCTCGAGGGCAGCGATGGAGATTCCATTTATCATCGCGTGGACGCTGTTGAGGTGTGGCACTACTACGCTGGCGCGCCCTTGGTCTTGTCCCTGTCTTTTGATGACGGCCAGCCCCTGAGGAGGACGACGCTTGGGCCGGATATCTTCGACGACCAGATCCCCCAGGTGGCGATCCAAAAGAGCGAGTGGCAGTCGGCGAGGAGCCTTGGCGACTGGACACTCGTCGGGACAACAGGTAGCCATTTCCTTCTCCCCTTTGTGACCATCTAGCTGAACTTACAAACAGTTGCTCCTGGGTTCATCCCGAGTGGAGTTGAGCTTGCCGATCCTGGTTGGACTCCAGATGCGTCGTGAGGAGCTGATGAGGCATGGGAAATTTACAGTCCTGGTTGATTTACGGTAGCTGTAAAGATGAAATTGGTAATGCGAGAACCACGCGGCTGTATTGGCCATATCCATACACTTCGATCACACCGCCTCGCCTACTGTATGAGGATGGTGCACTGCTCCAGGTAAACCAATTTTTCAACTAAAAAAAAGCCCCGCGAATACTTGTTACGGCATGTTATCTGTATTGTCAAAGGAAGCCACCAGAATTATACATGCCGATCGCTCCTTACTATTCAAAGATCAGCCAAGGTTATTTGATAAGCCGTAAGATGTTGGAGAAAGCCAGCTTCACCATTAAGAATTGGTGCAATAAAGGAGGAGGATGAGTTGTCCGAGCTATTTGATCAGGAATTTGTGTAGAACCCGCGTCAAGACGATTCAACCGTTAAATAACATCATCAATAAATTAAGAAATTTTTCATCTTCTAAGACATTATTGATGAAAAGCCATTCCGCGTTATAGAGTGCGATAAGTTTTTGGTTACCTATATGTATGGCGTTCTTTATGATGGATCATTGGCTTGCGGATGTCAAAGAACCCATGTAACTGCTACTCGTTAGTCGGTGGACAACCCAGGTCCTATTGACTGTAGTGCATTGTTTTTGACAGAACACGTAGAGCACATATAATTTAGATTAAAGTTATAGATCCAATAGCTATCAGGCAGTCTTAATACATGAAGACCAAGGTAGTGCCCTAGTCCTGTGTCAATCCCACTCTTGGTCACCGTCCGCATCGTATCCTCACACCACCTAGCAGCTACTTGCGACTAATGTCGGCAAGTCATGGCACCGTATTGGTTCTTTGTCGCCTCCCAGAATGCAGCTTCCATCATGCCATCGTTGCACAAGATATTGGTCCAGAAGTTCGCGACCAGGCCGTCTTCGTTGTTGCCATATGTGGTGTTGGTCCATGGTCCACATGAATTGGGCGTATAGACAGTGCAATGAACAAATTGCTTGAGACCTCCCCAGAACTTATGACATATATCTCCGATATCTTGAGGCGGCACTGGCGCGATGTAGACTTTCCAATTGAATCCAAGCAATTCGTCGCGCCGCCAGCAGACTGGTTCGGCAGTAACTGTGCCAATGATGCTGGCAAAGAGGAGCATTGAGGCATTCAATACTAGTAGGGCCGGGAACTTCATAGTGGATGATAATGTGATGATATACTCAAAGCAAACGGATTCAGGACTGGGCTTGTCTGTTGGGAGGTAGAATGGTGGCCGATGTGCTGGGCGAGGCGTTATCGTACGGCTTTGGAGCGTGATGTCATGAGAAAGATCGTTTATCAATTGAAGGAATTGGACTTAAATATCTATATCTGCTACCTAGAAAAGATTAGCACTCGTGCAAGTGTGCTTTATCCTCGTCCTGGGCCAAGTTTGAGCGGTGGTAGCCGAGCAAGTGGACGATGGTCTGCGGCGGGCCCCAGACCGCTTTCGCGCTATAGACTATAGGTTAGGCACTGCTGGTAGACTATACGAACTTGGTTGGAACCAGATGTCTCATTGGGTCTCTTTCAGGAAGACACAAGCAAGCAAGAATACCAGTAGGAGTCATCGAACGCCTTGGGCTAGAAGAATCCAAATACTAACTAGCAACAAGCTAGGATACACACTCGACTGCGTTACAGACAAATATTGAGTAGCATTCCACTATAGCTAGGTATGGTCATCAATCGCGTGAGAGGTTAGTAGCTAGCCTCACAACTCGTGTTATCTATTTTCCTCTAGTGTCAACATGGTCATTTAAATAGCGAGTATAAATAGGAGGGTTCTCTTCCTCGTGTGCTGACAAAGTTCAAGTCCTTTACTCTTTTCAAACTCGCAATTGTGGCGCGACCGTACACGTCCAGATGGACTGTGAGGCTGTGTTTATATAGAAGCCTGCAGATAATTTTTGTCGTGATTGGGTATACCTCGTCCACCTTTCTCCGAGTAAAAGGCTGTTTGTTCTAGTATTGAAAGCTTCCATGTGTCCTCATTCAAATCTCACATTGGAATAAAATGTGAGAAAATTGAGAGCTGTTGCCGTTGAGGGGACGTATAACGTGGAGTTGATGATGGACCAATGGAGCGGTGGCGCTCAGGATATGTCTGCCTGGCTCATCATAAATTCCAGTCCACTGAAGTCATCTAGGCTGAAATTCCATCGAAACTGTACCAGTCTGTTGAAGAATTCACCAGCCGTTTCGTCTTATCTTAAATGATAAATCTCTGGGTTGTACACCGGATGCTTGCATCGCGCATACATTTTCAAAAGATCTCTCAGAGCGCCGTAAACGGCCTCGGTGCTTGAAATTGATGACTTCAGCCAGAGCTTTTTCACATTCGCTGCACCTCTTTGAAGACGCAATTGAACTTAACAAAGTGTATGGCTTCTGGTTCTCAAGCCTCGTAGCCTGAAAGCATCAGCCTTGAGGCCTTTCCTGGTGGCCGTTTCAGGGGTCCCAAGTTTCGACCCAACCCTGATTTTCAGTTCTGAACGCGCACCAGGCTGCCATGATCGGCCATAGCTACACTCAAATCGACGTGTGTTTGCTCTTCTATATGTATCCCTCGATACTGTCTTACCAACGTCAAACTGTTGTTCTGTCAGAACAGGGCTGAGATTCACTTCAATGAAATGCCATAGCCTTCCTTGCAGTCTACAGGTCGTCTGTCCAACTTGAAAAGCGGATCATTTTCTTTTGGTATTTTTCCCCCAACGACAATCTGAGCCTATCCATGTGTTCAATCACATTTTGTTTATTCTGATGACCTTGACTTTGGAGACTGTGAGTCTAACTAAGACTGATTGATTGCCTGTTGCATCCACGTAGACATTGTATGTTCTCTACCGCCGCTTAGTCATGACTGTTTGTTTCTCAGCTACTACTAGTCACCTCTTCTTAGAAGGGCATCACTGCTATAGAGGCTAAGCATGGTTAAGAACATGATTTTCAGCCGCGACATAGATGTCTAGGTGGTTCCATTCGATGTCGACATGGCGACCACAGAGAACGGAGCCATAACGGAGGCAACAAAACGGCGCGCAGCATGAGCTTGAAGCCTCCAGACATGTCGAGGAAACATGCATATAAGCAGAGTTACCTCAGGAATGTCACACAAGATTGGAGGGGGTGATAGTGTGCCAGATCTGAAGAGCCACATAGCGTTGGCATGCCCACGGCGTTAGTGGGCCGTGCTTCCACCTTCATCTGATGGGTACGACAGCATGACATCAGGTAGGACGAGCTATGAAATTAACGGGTCGACGCGGCGTTGTCTCTCTGTCAAACATGCTCAAGGTCGGGGGAGGGGTTACTGTGGAATTGGTCGACACGACAACGACGGCGAGAACGAGCGCAGCATCCGAATGGATTAATTCAGATGGATCTCGAGACTCAGGGGGCTGCAACGACGCACCACCCAAGACACCTCTGGGGGAGGGGAATGTCACTGTACTGCATGCTGCCTCGCATTGCAGAGCTCCGCAGCAGAGGAATAAGGTATGATGATGGATACCGGAATTAGCATCCGACTGCATGTCTTGGGGTGGCTGTGGGACTCTTTGTGAGCTGTGCAGCTGGCTACTGCCATGCAGCGTCTTGCTGGCCATCTCGCTTGGCTTCTTTGGGGCGGCGGAGAACCACCCCGGCCAAGATGATTTGGTGCAGTGGAAAGCTGCTCTGCATACAGCGCTATGCCGTTTCCCAAGCAGCTCAAGGACAGCTACATGCATGCTGAGAGGAAGTATGCACCTAGGGCTCATTTTGTCTGCCCGCAGCAAGCAACACAGTATGCAGCAATAATCAATTGGCGGGAGAACTTCAGACCGAGGCCGGGCGGCTGCACATGTGGGCGGCCTCGGCGTATCGCCGGGAGAGGGGGTCGAAAGGTCAACGATGTGAATCCCCTCACTTTTCTTGAGAGCCTCGTGGCTTCCGAGTGGTTCACGTGGAAACTGACCTCAAACGGTTACTAATCAATCCGGGGTTGGAAATCGACGATTTCGTGCAAATCGGTTCGAACCGAATGCTCGGAAATCTGCGGAGCATCTGTGATTTGCATTACAACACGTGGAGGGCGGAGAGTTTCTTCCGCCGCCTGTCGATCATCGATCGGTCCTTTGACTGTGCTCTTGGCGTGGAAATCGCCAGAAGAAATCCCACCGTGCTCGCCAACCCACCGCCTCGCGATGAGGGCATCTCCAGCCGCCGCCGTCGAGGTCTAGACCGTTCGGCGCCTTGACAAGCCAGGGGGCTCCATCCAACGTGTGCAACAAGTCGAGCCTCGGCCAGCGTCGCAGCCCTGGTCTGCAGCCAAACGACGAACAAAGCAGACCATAGACCGCTTCTGATCACCCTCGCACTATGACGGCGCCTGTCTCTCACCCGCCCGCTAGCAGAGGCCACCGCACTATCACCCTGCCGGTCACCATGACGGACCCTGCGTCATTAGCATCACGCCCCGATCGACGCCATTGCAAGCAGGTAGGGTCTCGACGATTGGACCCTGATTGCTGAGGACTGAAGTTGTCGTGTCCAGAGCTGTCAGTGACGTCCATAAGCCGGGGGGCTGTTCATCAGAGAAGGTGTTCTTGTCGTCCGGCTCTCGAATTAGCAGCACGTATAGATGCATCACCATCGTGGCTTTGATGTTGATCCGTCCGTATTGATGGCGGTGGTGTGAAAGTGTGAGCCACCATCCCATCTGCGTTGAGACGTGCCAACCTGAATGAAGCTCGGAGCTTTGGAGCTTGGACAGAAACGCACACACGCATGCATCAATGGGGCCCCCAAGCTGCCAAAGATAGAAGATTCTTCCACCCTCTTGGGTATTTCTTGCTTGCGCAGCCACCAAAAGGGTCTAGAAACTTGGCAGAAGACGGCCTCTCTCTGCTTACGTATGGCCCCAGGCCATGGGCGTCTCATCTGGTTTCCCCCCCGGGAGAGGCTTGAAGCCATCGCGGTGCCACAGGCACTAGCTCGCTGCACAATGAGGTCAGGGCCCTCCAGTGTTGCTGTCAAATTGCCTGTCAGGAATGGAGCGGGTGTTGCCGCGCTAGGGTCTAGCGTCCCAGTCCTTCGTCGCGACTGGGGATTGCCTCATTTTGTTCCTTGGCCCGGTCGTCGCCGCCTGTGTCCAGACCGGTCTGACGGGAATGGTGTCGTCCTGGTATCCAGGCGACGATGCCTTCACCGCGACGATGGAGGTCAATAAGGTTTGACGATCAGAGCTGATCGCTTCTCCCGGCCCAATGACTGGCCCATACCAGACGTTGAATGCAGATTTTGAACCAGATCTCGCCGACCAGAATGATGCCCAAGCTGTCGTGCATGCCGTTGGTCTCACGCGGGTCGTGAAGCCCATCCCATCTGCCGGCGCCGTCGTGCTGCTGTGCGACTGACCGCCGGGAAACAGAAAGTGCAACAAATGACCAAAGAGGCGCTACTAACGAGACATGCCACCCACACACGGCGCTAGGTTCTGGGACCCTTGGGGTCCCCCAGACTATGATGTCGTCGTGCACCGATTCGACTCAGAGACGTGCAGCAGCGTGATCTTGGGGTTACGACCTTGGAACAAGATCCAAATCAGGGGCGCCCGCCCAGCCCGCCTGTGCCAGGTAGGTGTTCGAAACGGGAGGGGGCCTTGGGTGGTACGGTACAACTTCCAAGTTATTGATGCAGAAATGTGCACCGCAGCTGTGCAGGTGTGTGTGTGCACGCTGGCAGCCGGCTGTGTTTGGCGTCAATCAATCAATCCGACCACGATCGCCTCGCCAGATTGCATAACGGCAGGGCAAGACTGTCGTGTGCCTTGTTTGGGAATGAAGGGGGGGGGGGTACTGTACGCGACATCTCGGACTTAGACAGAGGGTCTGGATTCTAGACTCTCCAGCCTGGGATCCGCCCAGCAAACCTTTTTCTGGGCAGGTTATGACTTTCTGAGTGGCGAGCAAGTCATATGGCACAAGATTCGGATTTGGGCCGGAGCAGACTACATGTATAATCTCGTGCCTCTCGGCGCGAATAAAGATCGCGAGCACGCGAAGATATCAGCTGTGTTATCTGTTCTCCGGGACAGCCGGGAGCACGGCGACAGACGCCGGACGATAGAACGGACCTCTGTGTTTCCGCTGCGGCCGGAGGGGGCTGGGGAGAAAAGCAAGTGGGCAGTTGGAATCCGTCCTCTCGCATAGGCCTGGCCAGCATTATGCACCACACTGACCACGACACTGCAAAACCAAGAATTGGAGCTGTCGCAACTTGGCCTTTTGAGTAATGCCGGTGCAGACACGAAGGGCAAGGGGCCACAGCTGCTCGTATCAATATTGTACTGTCTGGATGACTGTGCGGTTTGAAGATGGGGCTCAAGCTGCAAGCCATGGCGCATGCACATAGACCGTTGCAGGTCATTCACGTCCCATTGCCCCCGCGAGACAGGTTTCGGCCGACCCTCGTCGTCGTCGGCATCGTGACTGACTGGGAAAACAAAACAACTCAAAGGATCTGGACCAGCCCATTAGCAGGGAGGCCTGGGGAGGCTGAACTCTGAGCGTCGCATCCTGATCCCAATCCAACCTTTTTCCTTTTCCCTTCTTTGCCCATGCCCCGCCGCCTCCAGGGCTTGTTCTCTCTCTCTGAATGGCTCCCATCGCCCTCGCTCCCCACTGTGGGCACACCCGAAGCATGATCACCGGACGGACGGGTCTAGACCATCGTCGCTCGGCCTGCAGGGCTGGACTTCCTGTCCGGGGCCCTCGCTCGATGGAGTTTTTTCCCCTTCTCGGTGCTTCTTGGACGACAGGTGCACTAGCGGGCGTGGGAAACGGCAGATCACACACACGCAAACACGTACGCACCAAGAAGAAACTTGGCGCAAAGAGAGCAGCTCACCGGGGTATTGTTCGCCATCTGCCGGAGCAGCTTCTGGGGTAAGGTGAGGTGGTCGTGGCGGCGTGCGTGATCCCTCAGTCTCGCATTCACTTCATGGACATCGGCGTTCATCCAGCCATCCCAGCAGGCAGACATACATACATACATACAGAGAGACAGGGTCGCCCTTCGCCGCTGGTGGTGTTTCCCTTACCCCGGCCCAGCCCACTGGTTCGTTCGTCCGTCACCCGGTGATTCGGATAGGCGATCAACCCCTCGGGCGATCACTACGACAGCACCGCCAACCATGTAAGCCTCCCTGATCGCACTAATATTCCCTCGATCATGAGGCTGCAGCGGCGAGTGCCCTGATCTTCGCGTGTTGGTTCCGTGGTGCGAGATAACAGCGCAGACATGCAATCAAGAGCAACTCAAGCCAGGGCAAAGTGTGAATGCGAGAACGAGAAAGAGAACATTTTCCCCGAACAAACCGCGGCGTATGTTCCCCCGTCAAGCCATCAAGCCATTCAAGCCACCGGTTGCCCGACAGGCCCACCGTGCAACTCTCTCGCCTCACACATGCATTTCTGCAGTGCAGGCGGGCCTGACGCGGTCACGGCATGAGTTACACAATAGAATTTTTTTGTTGTATTTGTTGTTGTTGGGCAACCGTGGCATCTTTCGCGGACGCACACAGATCCTAGCATTCCCCACGCGCCAGCCGATTTGTCTAAGACAAGGGTCAGAGATAGGGCAACGAGGGCAGGTAAGAGGTTGAGACAAAGGGTTCCATTCGCCTGTCGGGGGATGAAAAAGGAAAGACATAAGGGTTCCATCCCGAACTGGGTCTTGGCGGCCCGCCTCAGGTACTGCTACAGCCCTGCCGTGCTTCTTCGCGTATACAGAGGGAGAAAGTCATAGAATTTGTCGGGCAATTTGAGAGACATCAGGGCGTCCAATTGTCTTAGATCTTCCAAGGCTTGAGTCCCGATGCCGCCCGAGGGGACGCACCCTCGATTGCAACTGTCATGTGTCTGCAACGGCTACTACGGATGTTCGGGAGACATGGTTTAAAGTTACATCAAGATTTTTGGAATTGCTCAAGGTGATTTGAAATGTGTCTTTTTGATTTTGTTGCCTGGGCAATTCGTGTTTCTATGCCGTTTCTTTTCTCCTCGTGTACTCCATATGCTATGACCGTAGGGTAAATGAGAAACGCCGTGCGACAAGTGACATGAAGTCAGTCCGAAACCCGGAAACGCTTATGTGAAGAGGGGAGGGAGTTTGTATTCAAGCTTTGTCCTCCGCTCCCATGCAAAATGCAAAACGCCTTGCTCGCTACAAGAGTCAGGGTCCTGATCAAGTTTTCCTCCGCGAGAGTCTGTCGCTCTCCGTAACGCATTGAGGGGGGTATTCGCGCGCAAAGACAACAAAACATCCTCGTTCAAGAAGTAGAGCGAAGAATAGAAAAAGATCAAAATACAAGACCCGCTGTAATTATGATGTTCCTCCCCTCAATTGAGATCCAGCCCGATAACTTGAGTCTGTGAGAGTGTGGCAGGTGATGAAAGTGTGAATGGCCCCGCTAGAATGTCGATGAATCCCACCCGCATCTGCCAGCTCGGGAGGTGGGGGATCAAGATTGGTGAAGGTAATGCAGGCCAAGAAGGAGGTTCCTCGACCCGTACCCGACTTCGTAAAAACCGAAGGTTGCTTTTGATCCGAGTCGGGGTGAGCCAGGGTAAGTCAGATACCGTTCCAAACCTGGCGAAAAAAATGGAAGTGACGCTGGTATGATGTGAGGAGTCGACGGGTTTTGACGCTCCAGAGTGGGATAATGCCAGATTCAAGATGCAGGGCGTGCTGATCACTTCTGGGCGTGGAGACCTCGCGACTCAGCCTGCTTGGGTGGGTATGAGTCGGGGCTGTTTTGCCATTGGATGATTGCTTTGTCGTTATCGAATGTGACTTGATGCAACCAGTTCTTGACGCAGTAAGTCGTGCAGATGAGATGAGCGGTCGCGTTTTCCAGAAGAACTCAATCACCTGGTGCATGACAGCCAGGCGGTGGCTGCGGATATTCTTCGTGTCGCAGCAATGCAGCGAAAAAGTTGGTCGGATGGCGGGGCTGACACTGCCTGAGATAGTCGCCAGCTGGTTGACGATCCTTATTGGACCTCAGTGGCCTCCTGTGCTGGAAGCCACTCTGTCCTATCATGATTGAGGATCACACAACAAAGGCGTCAAACTCTCCGGGGGTGGCGACCTCGTCAACTCATCTCGGTACGCTTCCGTCTCGTGGTTGGCGTGGCTAGGTTTGGTGTGGTTGTGGTCCGTGGACATGGGGTAAATCTTGCCCTGTCCTTCGGCAGATCCACGATCGACTAGGCGAACCTTATCCGCAGGCTCCCTCCTCACAACCGAGGTTTGCGGGCGCATGCATGTCGGCAAACAAGCACCGCAGAACGCCGATCAGAATCTGTATTCTGATGTAGCGTGCGTGGCGGCCTCATGGCTGAAATGCTCCTTCGAGATAATGCTCACGGGGCCACGATCGTCTTTGGGGCATTGGCCTTAGCGAGCTCACCAGTGAATCCTTCAACTCCACACGCACGGGCCTGATGGCTTCAGCGGAGGGGTCGTTGACCAGGTATGGAGTGGGGCACCAAGATGGCGGAGGGTGGTCCTGTCAGAGCTGAAGCTGGAGGCTCAAGATGCTCCCCAGCGTTCATGGTCGTGTTGTGCTGGTGCAGCATGTCGATTGGGTTGAGTAGTGGCGGCAGTGTTGGCGGCAGCGCAGTGCTTAATATTCTTTCGTTCCCTCGCTCACTTTCCGTACCCTGTCATTCTCGCGCACCTGTCGCAGTAGTAGATGCCAGTCCCCACTCGAATCATGCCGTACATGCTGGCATCATCCGTTGTTGTCATCTCCACGCTGCGCGCGCAGCGGAGACAGCGGATGATCTCGATTGAGGCGACGGGACGCTCCATGCTGGCTCGTAGGGAGCTTGCTGAGACATCAGAGTCTGAGGATGAGAAGGACCCATACGAAGACGCTGATGAGGAGCTGTCGTAGTGCTTCTTGGAGGGTCGTACGGAGGAAACCATCATTGCGGCTGTGGATGTCAAATAGGCCCTCTGCCTGTTGGGTCTGTTCGGGTGTTGACAGCTATGGCTGTGTAGTTGTTAGGTCGGTGCGAGGTGTGAGTGTTGAGACGATCGTCTGAAGATGCAGTTGCTTTGTTGTAAAGTTTGTCCTTGTTCGTGTTGTGTTTGGGTTTTCGTTGATATGGACGTGGAAGGGTGGGAGGGCCAAGTGATAAATGGTCAAAGAAGGAAGGGGGCCGAGGGAGGGTCTTATGGATCGAGCATTCTGGTGTGTATCCGGGCTCAGGATTAGAACATGGGAGATCGGCACAGCAAGAACTACAATGGGTGTGTGAGCAGGGGACGCCAGCTACGTACCTTTTCGACGCCGGTCCAGACACTAGCTTGGCGATACGTACCCATCTGCTGCTCGCCAGGGCGACGAGGGGCTGTGCCAGGGTTCTCCTGGCAGTGTGCAGTGAGACAGTCGCATCCCAGACACATGGACGGGTGGATCGGTAGGCTTTACATAGATGCAATTATCCGATTCTTCCTCTTACCAGGGGGTCTATCTCTGGGCGGCCGGGGTCCTCTCTGCTTAATTCCGTGTGCCTGAGCTGGAACTGTGCAAGGACAAAGAGGATTTCTCGATCCCTCTGGTAGGGCGGGCAGTGCTTCGCTTCCTGCGTCCTGCGTATCGCGTACCGCGTATCTGTATCGACCCCAGCTGCCAGAAGGGGGGTCGTCGTCGTCTGGCCCAAACGGACCACCATAAAACGGATATTGCAGGTGGACCCCGTTCTTGGTCCAGCCCGTTCATTCCCACAGTTTCAGGAACATTCAGTACCGTAACTGTAGACACCAGTTCCTCACACAAAGTGCTTTTGTGAAGGATGATGCTTGTCAGCCTCTTCACAGCACTCTGGTACTGTCCATGCCTGGTAGCTCTGTGCAGTGCAATTTAGCCGCAGCAGAGATCAGTTGAATAGTAATTATGGGCCACGGTTCATCACGGCCGCGTAACCGTCGAAAAACATCCCACAAGTTTCACGTTTCGAGAAGAGACTGCGTGTCCGTGACGACTTTGCTGTGAGAGTATGTGGCCGCAGACAAGGTTGCGCTGTGTTGGGTGCAGCGAGGAACTTTCCACCATTGGATGTTCCGGGCTGAGCACATAACTCCGAGACTTGGCCCCGAGGTCGTGCCAATGTGCCGAGACAGCCTAACGTCTTGTAAGCTGACAGACAGCCCCTCTCCAGCGGTCTTTCGAATCACCCCGTGCGCAGCGATGGTGCTGTGTAGTCACTGCCCAGCGTTGCAGCCTGGGCCTGGTCAGCTGGTCTGAGGTGCAATCCCAGCGTCTGTCTCCTACTTCTCCTACTGGGGTATGGGTGTGTGTTGCAATGCCAGCAGCGCTGTGTCCGAAAGCGAAAAAATTTTGGGCCACTCTATTTGACGCTGGTGCCTCTCCCCATCCGGCCCATGCAATCTGAGGTGATGCTGTAGTAACACGCCGAGTCTTCTCCCTTTCCCCGTTGAAATTGCGGCCGTGCTCCGGGGAAGTCTGTCGTGTGCTTCCTACATAGTGTTCCCCTTATGCCGAATCTGCGGGTGACAGCGGAGGTCACGGCTTGATCTCGCTGTCAGGGGGGCCAAACGGGCCAGCCGGGGAGCGCTCGTTATTGTAGGGGCTGGTATGTGATGGCCTGATGGTGGGCAAAGTCCACAGTAATGCGTGAGGTGACTGAGCAGCCCGTCCAGGCTAGGAGAGTAAAACGGTGGGGAAACCGGAGAAAGCCAGCTAAGCGACAAGGGCAAGGCGAGAGTCCAGACTTTGATCCGCACCCAATCTTAGATCCGCGGCCCCTTTTTGGGCTGCACGTTCTGCACGTCGCTGGGTCCAGAGGGCTCAACCGTGGAGAAGCTGGTCCTCAAACGGTCCACAGCGTGATGGCCTGGACTGGTGAGTTCTGGCGAGTCCTAGCAGTCAGGTCCATTCAATAGAGTCTGGGTCTTCGTTCAACGGAGTCCGCTACCGTCTGGGCACTCAGGCCTCAGCTCGGCGACTCCTCACATGCATACGAGGATGCGCCGTACATAGTACATATGGCTGGCTGCCCTTGTTGCGAGACTGTGTACATTGTCTCGGCTGGCTGCTGCTCTGGCCTCAATGCAGGCGCCATCAGAGTGCCCAACCTTTTCACTTCTCAGCGGTTGGGTCTGCAGGTCGGTGGGAAGGTGGAGGGGGCTCTGGGCAGCCAGTAACAACACCGTTTCGAGCGGCCCGTTGGACCTCGATATCAAGATGCAATAGATACCATGAGCGGTTGGAACCGTTCTCGCCACCCGCCCTCCTCGATTCATCGAGATCTCAGCCTCACACCAATCCAGTCACGGCACGTAAGCCACGTTTGGGAGCAACGCGTCGCTGAGCCAACGATCGTGAATGGTCTACTGATGATGGGTGAAATTTCAGACTTGGTGTATGGCCCATCTCGATGATGTGCGTCCAAACGACGAGCAGCGTCATCAGTCCAACAGCGGTGTGAGTTCGATTGTCAGGACGAGAGAGGTAGACATAATTCTTGCCACGCCTCAAGAGCAGGTGGATAGCCAGAGAGTAGCAGAGTAACAGCCCTAAAATCAGCCACAGTCTGTAGGCAGTCCAATACAGCGGGTTCAAAAGGTGGATTCGAACTCGTCTGCGTGTCTGCGAAGATCACCTGGGGGATCAACATCTACGATCGATTCCTTGCATACCAAATTGTGGTTTTGTGATTGCCGTATGTTCCATGACTGCAATCTGCCAGATGGAGACGGAGCATGAGATCCGACGACTGACGGCTGCAGCAACAACCTGTTCAGACGCGCGACTCTGCCTGCTGCTCTGCGCCGTAACCCCTCAGTTCACTCGGCCGAGAAAGAGAAGGTCGCAATGAAGACTCTTGGCCAAAGTCCCCACAGCTACCTCTTGCAGATCTCAGTGGGCGGCAACGTGTTTGATAGTGACAGTGAGCTTCGTGATTTATCAGGTGCATTTGGCGTGACGAGGCGCGTCGCTGGCGAGATTGGACGACTAGGCTGCAGCGCAGCAAGACGACATAGAATGCTTCAGTAAGTGAATATCTTCTCTAGTCCAGTCACGCGCGATAGGAGTTCTATAGCAAGGTCAGAGAGGTCATATCTGCGGGCGTCTCGTGCCCTCTGGTGGTGGAGGCCCCTTGGGAGCTAAGAATTGGCAACGCGAAAAAGTGTGATGATGAAGAGTTTGTTCACAGATCGCTTGCAAAAGGCACGATGCTGCCACATTCACTGCGTCTCCACCGTTAGAGCTGTGACCGTTTCTGTTGGCCAACGGCAGACTACTACCCCACACGAGTGCGTGCTAGCACTGGAGACGGAGTCACGGCGTGGAGTGCAACGGGAAGAGGCTGATGTCAACGTCGTCAGTTTCGATCCGTCTATGCCGCAATTTCTTTGTCCATACATCCAGCTACTGGGTGAACTCTAGCCTTGAATCTCACCATGTTCACGATCACGACGAATTATCTCGTCACTCTCACGATTCCTCCAATCCAGCCACTCGAAAGCCATCGGAAGGTTCCTGTCCTCCGCCCAAGCCTTACGCGCCGGACGCAGATCTTGGCACTTAGGACGCCACGACGCCTCCCCCCATTGTGTCCTCTCGAAACGCTAGGCATTGAATTGCTGCCGTCTCTAGCGCCCTTCATACTGAATCGGACGGAGAGATAAGTCCGCATTCTCGATGCGCTTGTGAGAATCAGATCTGGTGCTCGTAGTCGTCCATCATGATAGACCGGACGGAACAAATCCCATCCCAGCGGCCAATGTGCGGAATTAACCCAAACAGCGCGTCGCGCGTACCTGCCAGATGCCTTTGATAGTTTCTGCCTTATTGAATATCTAGGTAGCCCTTTTGGCCCGTACCATTTCATCGGGATCGACTCTTGGAGGGCTCCGTGATGTGGCGGTGCTGTCATGGCTCGTGGCAGGTTTTTCTAGAATCTTGATTCCAAGATGCAACCCCCGGATGAAACATGCCACAGCCAGAGAAATGGATGGAGCACGTCTGGCACCTCAATCCCGCTGGCACCCAATCAGCCAAGCCCCTTGCCGTTCAACTCCAGCCCCTAAACAGGAAAATCGATACGGCGGGTCAGACGAGGACCTCACTGGCCATCATTGCCCTCGCTTCGGTGTCAAGAAACATCGTCATATCGCAAGAGCATCGGCATCACGGCACCACTACCCCCAGCACGCCTTAGCGGTCGACGCTTCACTGCTTGCTAGTGGCTTGCTGTGGCTTGCCAACAGGAATTCAAACGACACTGTCTTGGCCGAGGTCCCAATACCGAGCCTGTGTCCGCCGTCATGTGGAATCGCACAGACTCGGTGCACCACTCTCCCACTGACGCAGTCCCAGCTGGGCGGTATTGAATATGCACGGCACCGCACTAGCGGGTTGGTCAGAGATCTCGATGACGCTTCCGGAGCCGATCTTCCATCCCCTCCCCGGAGCTGACGTCCGGCCTGATGAAATTTGCTGCTCTTTCGTGATCTTGTGCATCATCAGAGTCCCGATCATCGATCGCAAACTCCGGGCTCTCGACCGAGTCCAAGTGCCTTGGGCTCCGGGCCGAGAGGGAGCCCGGAAGCCTGGCAGTGCTTGGGCCACTGACCACCGAACCGCCCCCCTCCTACGTTTTCCGACGGGCCCCGTTCGTCGCAACATGCTTGCTGTAGCATTGTTGTTCTTCGAAACATTGTGGAGCTCGTTGCTGAGTTTTAACGTTGACAATGCCACAACATGGCTGACTTGGCGAACTCTATTCGGCCTGCATGTTGTATCCGCCATGGGAGCGAGGAAAAGTCAAGACCTGTCATGCACGGCTTGTAGTTCGCTCAGCCCTGCGGTCCGCTTATTATGCTTTGGTGCCAGGGGAACGCGCTGCTTGGATCATGCCCGCCGCCCTATTGGACCCCTAACTCCCTTCTTAAGGTGTCCATTTCAAGGGCGTGAGTCATTCTAGGCATTCCAGGATGGTCTAGCGGGCGGTAGCATCAGGAACAGCGAAGTCGCCTGCTCGTTGGGCAATATGTCCTCTGCTAGGTTATTTCAGGAGATCCCTTTGTGGGGTGTCGTATCAAGGCGAGGAATCAACATCAACTCGAAACTTCTCGTCAACAAAGCAGCGGGACGAGTTCCTGCGACCCCCGAGCAGGTCAGCTAGCTGCCACCCTGGGAGTCCTTCGGCTTGGCCTAGGCTACCACTATTTCTGGTGCTCTATGCGGGTCTTCCTCTGTTGGTACCACGGTAAGGACCCTTGAAACATATGGTCTGGCGCGGGAGAGGCCCTGCTATTCTGCGCCGCAGCAAAGCCTATCTAAGAAATTTGCCAACATCAAACATCCTGCGGCGGATGATGGCCTGTCAAGCGCGGTCAACAAGCGCGCACCATTCCCGCGCTGGCGCCGCAAATAAACAACCGGTCGCCTGGCATGCCATGTTGTTGCAGGAGGATTGTCTCAAATTGGGTGGTGGACTGCTAATTTCCATCACCTACCTGTTGGCGGCCACGCTGGGCCTCGCCGCGCACAACCGCGAAGTCATCGGTAAGGGGCTTCTGGTGTAAGTTTCTGGACCGTTTTGTTGCTTCCAATTGCATATACGGTCACAAACCGAGCATGCCTCTGCCTAGACCAAACATTCATTGCACAGCCCGCGGTTTCGTGGCCCGCGTCTCAGTCCGGCGGGAGCTTATTGCTAGGTGGGTGCGGCTTTTTTGTTCCCTTCCTTCCCGCTGGTCGGAAAGACGAAGCCACCTGATGTCCTTTGTTCCCGAGCCGTCCTAAAATCTCACAACACCCTACTCGGCCTCGGGTTGCTCAGCGTCATGCGCGAAGCAGTTTGTCAGACCCAAGCCCGCCGAGGCTGCCGTTCCCTCGGTTACAGCGGCGGCCTAAACTTTATTTCTGCTTATCTGGCCGCGCAATGCCAAACCTCATGCACTAAGTCACTCAACTTCTGTATGGCCCTTGGTCTCCTGGCCTCTTGTGGTCTGTTGTTCACCCGCTTACCTGAATATTTTGAGGGATATTCATCAAAGCACAACTTCAATAGTTCAGACGAGCGCTCACTCGGAAACTGTTGCTGGCCGAGAATGTGATCGTAAACCCGCCGCGGTCACCGCAGAACACATCTCATGCGGGTTCCAGCAAACGGCCGGCCCCTTGCTGAAAGTGGCTGTCATGTGAGATTGATGTCTGCCCGTATCACAGCACCGACTTTCCGAGATCAACCGATTTTGCTTCAGATCTGTCTTGCAGGGCTGATTATTCTGGATCAACGAATCGGTTGCCTCTTGAGAGTAGCATCTGGCGATGCCGGTGGCATCTTCACAGCAAGTCATGTCTTCATGTGAACGGAGTCTTACCCCTGGGTCGCCGTATTCGTGTTTGGCACTGGCAGTGCAGTGCGAGTATGGCTTGTTGATAGGATTCGAGGTCCACATCAGTACGCAAACCTTCACATGATCTTGTTACGTGCTGTGTTCATGCGACTTCGCATTAGTTATTCATCATGCCGGGCTAAATGACAAAAGCTTTATTATCCAGCGTAGCAGACAACGCGAACCGCGGAATTCGAAGGTGGATTCCGTGAGCATAACAGGAACAGCGATCAAATTGCACCCAAGCTTACGGCCTGGATTGGGTTCCGTTGGCCAAGCTACCATGTCTTTGGATTGAACAAGTCGAGACGTCTTGTTGCGCTGCAAATCACGCATCAAGCTTCAAGCCTTGAGTGTATGTATATTTTGTGAAATCTCAACTAGCTTGGCTGCTTGCATATTACCCTTGTCATGGCATGGTCCCCGAGAATCCTTTATTGCCGCTGTTGCGGCTGTAAGCCATCGTTCAACTTTGTGCTGTAGCCAAACTGTCGTTCACGAAGCTCTTCAATGCACAAACACGTAGGGCTGGTGCTCGATCCAAGGAGGGTTTCACCTTGAGTGCTTATATAAGATTGTGCTCTTTGATTCCATAAGTAATTTCAAGAATGCGGGTCCCCAGCTCCCCGGGTTCAACCGCTTTAATTTCGTCCCCAATCTCGTGCGTTAATTATTGTCCACGACCTGGACAATCTGGAAGCGCAGGTGCGATACCCGAGCTGATAAGCCTCAGAATCAGCTCGCACCGAAGAGTTATGATCTGCAAACTGGCGAGTCAACCGCTCCCGGGTCATGCGAAGCCGTCCGTCCCACAGTGCTGACTGGGTAAGTCATGTTCCGGATCACAACATATGCCTCGCCAGCCTCAGGTGCGCGGCCAATATATGCCGCAAATGACGCGGCAGTGGTGTGACTTACGACTCCTTTTCACTTCCTAAAAATCTGAACTTGCTCTTTGCATTGGATTTGAGGGAATTTCAGATGCGCTCTGGTTTCCTGCCGGTCAGGTGAGCTGCTTTTGTGCCATCAAAGAACGTGTGGGTCCCTTATGCATGCGCAAATGAGATTCAAGCACCGAATACGTTGTGACAATGAGATGTCTTCACCGAGATGAAGTGATTGTTGATGACTTCTCTGCTGATGTTGCCGACGAAGGGAACACTACCGAAGTCAGGAGGATACGGTACTCTGTTAGGACGGGCAGAAAGCTGACCCCCCTCCCAAACTCATGTGCCCAAAGGCCTCTGGTGCATTGAGAAGCCGTCTCATATCGCAACCTAGCTTTCATGCGCAGCCAGGATATCGCCGAGATTATCATACGCGGTTCAGTCCAGATGTCAAAATCTTCAAGAGCTGCTCTACAACCATCCATCCCACTTACTTGCTAACCTTCCACAAGAGAAATATTCCCATGATTAGAATTATATACATAAAACGCATTGATTTGTACACAAGGCTATGGTAGCGAGTCCTGTGATGTTGGTATCATCATGTCGAGCTTTGATCTTGTTTTACGTTGTACAGTCCTTCTATAATAGCAAGTTATGATTAAATGATGAGACAGATGAATAGAGACTTAAGTATGTATTTTCTCTTCATTCTTAACTTTTTTCTTACCTTGTCACAAGTCGCTGCCAGCTCCTGGCCCAAGCTTTTGTCCGGTGAAATATTTGTGTAGAATTAGCAGACACCTTTGATAGACTTTAGGGCTTGAATTGAATCATTGTCAGCTCACCGAGTGCATTTTCTATGAGACTTTCGAGCGTAACAGGCCCTTCTCACGCTTTCCACGCCGTCTCATGGGGTGCTATATGATGAAGAGGTAATTTTCAACCCAGCTTTTCCACGCTTCTTCAAACACGATGCAGCATATTATCCAGGACATTCTTTCCAACCAGTCCGGGATACCTTCTCGTTGACCAGCCTGCACTTTGAATTATTCATGTTATGAATGGTGTGTAGACGCATGATCAGCTGGCCAAGATACGTAGGACCAATGGCTCAAAGTTGAGGAACTCTTGGATGTCTTGGCCAGATTATAAACCCGATCCTGCATTGTGCTGAACTCCACACATTATATTTAGTCACTCTCGCGAGCTGCATACAGACCTTATGCTCGGGGAACTCTAAGAATTTGAGTAGCAACTACATTATCTGCTGTAATGCGACATCATTCATCAGACGGGTATTGAAGACTGTGCTGGTAGATCAAGGCTGTACCTGTGCTGACCAAAGGCTTCATTGGCAGTATCAGCTGCTAGGTATGTTCCAATTCTGGTACATCCAAAACGAGCATCGTGAAGCTGGTAATGGAGAAGAAGTGAATCTTCTGCAAGAGAACAAATTGAAAAATGCTTAAGCCCTGAACCCTTGAGCATCATGACTTCTTGCCATTTTAAATAAGACATGCATATTATAACAATATCTCATAGGTAGGAAGGTCTGCTCTTCACTTTGTGTAAAATTTCTATATGCTGTTGGGGTCACCTTATTTCCGATACGGCTGAGATAGTTAGGCTGAAGGGGCTTCCTCTGATTTAGTACAAGCGTCGGGTCATCCACCATCCATATAAGCAACCCAGGGGCTGCTGCAAGAAACAGCCTATACCATTTCTCACAGTCAGCGGGGGTGTGAGAACCAATATGCACAGAGGCGGGGCCTGACTTTACCTGTTGGGCAAATGATCGGTGGTACTGGATGGACCAACATGATTCTGCCCCCAAATACGTAGAACGTGATGCAAAAGTTGTAGGTCTGTTGGCGCTTGTGTAAAGACCCCTGAGCCATGTCACATTTGATCCGCACAAGCGTATCATCATAAGCCACGCTTTTCTTCCCAACAACAGGACTGTCCTAAGGCGATGGGATCAGCCCCCGCATCCTGGCTCTGCCTCAAGGAGCGACCAACTTCCCACGATCAGTATTGAGCAGGACATCAACATACCTTGGTACACCGCTGTGTTGCTCCGCGATTCTGAGCAAACGTCGATCTGATCTCAATCTACGGATATCGTCTTGGACATTGTCACATTCACAATTACAGTTAAGACTGTGCACCATGGCTCCAAAGAGCGGTATAGCTTACGGACGGAGGCTTGTACCACAGGTCGTAGATGAACTTGCAGCCACAGTCCCGGAAAGAATCTACGCTGCCATTCCAAAAACATCTAATGTACAGGACGGCTATCGCGATGTAACCATCGCCGAGCTCGCCCATTGTGTTAACTTCATGGCTAGGTGGCTTGAGGAGAAGTTCGGCAAGAGTGAGACGTTTGAGACCATCACTTACGTGGGGCTGTCAGATCTCAAAGGCATTACCACCCTTCTGGCCGCCATCAAAGTCGGCTACAAGGTATCTTACCCCACAGGTCAAAAATGAGACTGCTCATACTAATCTATGGACAGCTCTTGGTCCCTTCACCGCGCAATCCTCCAGCTATAAATCTGCACCTGATTAATACTACAGGTAGCAGCAAGGTGCTATATGCCGCAGAGATTGAGCCCTTAATGAAACCACTCCAGGCTCTGGCACCCTCCGCCAAGTTTGAGGCTGTCCCTTCCCTCGAGGAAATGCTCGACGGCACCATGAACACGACGCCGTATCCATATGAGAAAACCTTCGAAGAAGCCAGGAACGATCCGATCATTATCCTCCACTCTTCGGGATCAACTGGTAGGACAAAAACGGAATCAGCTTGGGGTGAAATGAATAGGGCTGAATCAGTACTCCCATCCAGGCTTGCCCAAACCAATCACAATCACTCATGGCTCCATCGCTGCTCATGACAATGACCATAATGTCCCATCTCCGCCCGGCCGTGAGAAGCAAGACACGACCGTCTTCACGCTTGACGGTGACAAACGGCGCTTGTATCTCATCTTGCCCTTTTTCCATGTAAGTCCGCAAAGCACGGGACAGTGATTTCGTAACATTGAACTGACACAGCGCTCAGCTTGGCGGCTTCATTTTCTTCATGGGTACGTTCACAATGCGAAAAACAAATTGCAGCCAGACTGATAAATATTAGATCATGCCATTTTAAACAACCTGACGCTTGTCTTGGGACCCCCTCAAAGGGCTCCAGATGCTGAGCTGCTGAAAGAGGTAGCCCGACAGCAGGATTTGCGTGCTATCATTGTCGTCCCGGCCATTTTGGAGCAACTCTCGCATGACCCGAAAGGCATATATTTGCTTAAGCGTCTAGAGTTTGTCGGCTGCGCCGGCGCTCCCTTGCCAGGCCCAGTCGGAGATCCTATTTCTAGCATCGTAAGGCTTCGTATTTTCATTGGCTCGACCGAGACATTCCCTCTGCCAGAGCTTGCTAAAGGTCCTGAGGACTGGCAATACCGTGGGTGCCCGCGCTACAATGCAAATTGATATTCTGGGACAACTTTTCTGATGCTTCTCAGATGAGTTCGCTCCAACCCTCAAACACGAGATGCGGCCGTACGATGAGCAAACTGGTACTTTTGAGTTGATAATTTTTGCCGAGGAATCAGACCGAGATGCAGCTCCTGTGTTCCACAACTTGCCCGGCGAGAATCCGTACTACACTAAGGATCTCTTCACCAAGCACCCGACGAAACCGAATCTCTACAAGTACTATGGGCGGAGGGATGATATTCTAGTTCTAACCAATGGCGAGAAGGTGAATCCAATTCCCCTGGAACAACATGTTCAGGCAGACGCATCTCTGAAGGGTGTCCTCCTTACTGGCAATGGCCGGACCCAGCCTGCGTTGATCGTCGAGCCCAGAGATGCCCTGGACGAACCCGGGCGCGCTCAACTCCTGGAAAAGCTCTGGCCACGGGTCGAAGAGGCAAACAGCCACGTTGCTGGTCCTGGGCGTGTTGCTCGCGGCATGGTCATCTGTGCCACATCCGAGAAACCATTCACTAGAACTGGCAAGGGGACCATTGTTCGCAAATTGACACAGGACGATTACCAAGACGACATCGATCGTCTATATACGGGCCCAGCTAAAGCCCAGCGTTTCGTCTCAATCGACCTCAAAGCCAAGCAGAAGAAAATATACGAGGGTGCGGATGTTATTGATTTCCTCCGGCAGATCCTGGCCGTCTCCTTTCCACCAGCTTCTACGATCGCAGAAGACGAGGACTTCTTTGCTCATGGATTAGACTCCATTCGAACGTTAGAGATCACAGCCACTCTCAAGCACAACCTCGAAGCGCTGAAGTCAACTTCTGTGGCGTGGATGGCTCCACGACTTATATTTCAGCACTCCACACTAGCCAATCTTTCCAAGGTTTTGGGTGCATTCTTGAATGATGGGGTATTGCCTGCAGAAGACTCACCGTCAAATCGTGCGAGAGCTTTGGATGAGGCAGTGGCCCGCTACGTCAAGGATTTGCCTACGAAATCAACAAGTCAGCCCAAGGCAGGCTCCCGGAATGATTCAGGTCAAAATGTCGCTATCATCGGCTCGACGGGCTACGTTGGCTCTCACATCGTCGCCAAGCTGCTGAAGAACTCTGCTATTTCTCACATCTACTGCCTCAACCGCGGCAGTGATATCTCAGCCAGTCGAGAAAGGACACTCAGCAAGCTCGACGAGAATATCGCTGTGCCTCTCGAGAAGTTCACTTTCATGCAGGTGGATCTGGGTGCTCCACATCTTGGGTTGGCCGTAGAGCAGTATCAAAAGATTCTTAACGAGGTAGACGTCGTGCTTTACAATGCATGGCGATTGGACTTTGGACTTGCTCTTCATTCATTCGATCCATTCCTCCGTACAACTCGGGACCTGGTGGACATGTCTCTTTCAAGCCTGAAAAGACTACACATAGTTTTCGTCAGCTCAACCTCTTCGGTAGCAGGCCTGGGTACTGGTTCAGCGGTCCCAGAAGCACCAGTCGACGACCCTTTGGCGGCGATGAACACCGGCTACGGACAATCAAAGCTGGCAGCAGAGAAAGTTCTGGCCACAGCTTCTCGCCAATGCGGAGTGCCCGTATCTGTCGTTCGTGTTGGTCAGGTTGGTGGTCTCAGCCACGGCGAAGGTGTCTGGGCTGATCAGCCATGGGTCTCGGCCATCATCCGCTCCTCGAAGACACTGGGATCTTTCCCGAGCCCTGTTATGCCTGTTGACTGGGTCCCGGTTGACACACTTGCGACAATTTCCGAGCGCATCATCCTCCAGCCTGCCAAGGATGTGCAGGTGCCTCAGTTCTACAACGTTGTATCCAAAGCACAGCCTTGGACACTGCTGCTTGATACACTTCCCGAGAAGGTGCGACAAGCAATTTCAAGAGTTATCTCTCTTCCAGAATGGGTCGGCGAACTTCGTAAGGCATCTGAGTCGGGTGGTACGAGCATCTCAGAGTTGCCAGCAGTACGACTTGTGGACTTTTACGTGCTTTTGGGAGGCGGTATAGAGTCTGCGGACTTCGAAACGGCTAAGACTGAAGCCATCACAGGCCAGAACTTGGGGCCCTTGCAAAAGAAGACCTTGGCATCATGGTTGAAGAAATGGGATCTCTAACCTGTTGCCAAAATAATAGTTTCCATATATCGATGGCAAAATAAGAGGCCGGCATGAGTATCAGGCGAATACATGAAGTCTCAGATAAATGTGAAAGAACTACTGTTGTTTGCAAGCTGAAGCTGTGTTATCCTTTTTCTTTTTCTTCTTTTTCAATTTTATCATTTCTGACATTACTGGTCGTTGTTCACAGACAACCTATTTGGGAACATTCATTTCTATCAAATTTCTCAGGATGTCTTTGCTCTGTGTTACTCTCAATCATTCAGTGTTCGATGGCCCCTGCTGCCATGTGATGTCTCACATCAAACAGTCGTTGGTACCTAGTTAGAAACATCAATCAATGTAACTTTTCCGATTTGCCATACCTACGTAACGACCCAACGCAAGCAGCCATTGTTTTCTCTCAGGCCTGTTCAGTCCGCCATTCCAGCAAAAGGGACCAGCATAAATTACGCAATGAGAATCCTCCCGGGGTGGGTTGCTGGCATGGCTATTTGGGTCCTGGACAATTCGGCATTGCAAAGATACTAAAACTCTCCTCCTGTTACCAGCAATTTGACTGGTAACAAGTCACAAATTTCTCAGTCCTTCTTTACGGCTCGCGAAGTTTGCATTCCTTTTTACGCGCGTCTGTGGGACAATCGGCCAGTTTAGGTAGCACAATGTTGTTGCGATGAAATCACTGCTGCTTGATTCTGCCACCAAAAGTCAGGAAAACTGTGTCATTGATACCGAGCACCGCACAAAGTTCTATCAGCACATTCTTTTAAAATCCATTTTGGGGCCAGTCACATTTGCAGGTGGCAACGATTTTCTGGCATGGGTCATGTTGAGACCTCAACGTCGCAATGGTACCCTTGAATGCCTATGCGCGAAACAATTTTGAGCATCTTAATGTATTGTGCGAGCCAACAGATGCAATTTTGTATAGAGATGCTTTGAGGCAGTGCCGAATTCCAAAAATATCGGAATGCAGCGATTGGATATCATCCGATGTTTGGTTTTGGTGTGAATACTGGATCAGCCAAAACCTGATCAGCTTGGTCAGCACTACGGACTCACTACGGACTGGATATCTCTCCCGGCTTTAATTGCTTGATCTGATCCGAATGCTTACTGTCCGATCAATCCAGATTCATTGTATCTGAATTTCGCGTAAGATCATCATCTTCGCGCTTTGATCTTTGCATCTCTTGGACTTTCTGTGAACACAAGTCTGGATCGATAACCGTGTCCAGACTATCAAAGATAACCACCATGGACATATACACAACACCAGCGATGGAGGCGCCTGAGGGGAAGACTTCAAACCTCATTAATCCCACGTCGCTAATGACGACTCGGATTGGCTTATGCTCGGCAGCTCTAGCGGTCGTGCTCGTGTTCGTCTCTATCCGTATCTACATGAGATATTTGCTCAAATCGTTCAATTTTGAAGACTGTCAGCTATGTCTCATTTCACTTTCTGCATCTTTATATGGAGCTAACTTCCAAAAGGGGTCCTCATCTTTGCAACGGTGAGCTTCCTGGACATTACATTGTAGAAACGATGTACACATGCTGACCAAGCCCAGGCATCCTTCACGGCCCTTCTATCGATGCTAGTTATTGTGTCCACATACGGTGATGGAAAGCATCTTGTGAGTCAAATATCATGAATTTGATCAAAATGAGCTTCTGGGGCTTGCCAGCACTCCAAATTTGCAGAGATTCAGCATCTATATCTCAAGAATATGCGGTAGGGACTGTACTTCACGGCTGCACATGCTACAGGTGATATTGAGTGAAGCTATCTGGGAACTATAGGCTGAAAGCACGGGTTTCGAGAATCTGTAAGCTAATGATTTAAATCAACAGTGGGATGTCTCCGTGGCGGAGCTTTACAGCACACTTTATGTGAGTCCAACACCATCTACCAGCGCAGGCATTTAATGCGTTGCTGAAATACTTTGATGAACTGTTGCAGTACGAAAATATTGCTGAGATATTGTACTGCACGACTATGTTTCCGATCAAATTTGTTCTGCTTCACCAGATAAAATTCATTTTCTTTTCTCACGACCGTGGGAGTCCATCCCATTTCGTCATTGTGGTTTTGATTATTGCCAACTTCCTCGTCTATACAGCTTTGGGCTTGGCTTTCATTTTCGCATGTACCCCTCGAGAGAAGATCTACCATCCTAATATCGAAGGCCATTGCATTTCTGCCACAGCATGTATGACTGCTGCCGCCGCCCTCAATGTTGCCTCGGATGTTTCGATCCTTATCACCCCTTTGTTTGGCATTGCGAAGTTGAACATGCCCCTGAAAAAGAAGCTTATGGCCGCGTCGGTGTTCGGAGTTGGACTTTTGTGAGTCTCTTGATCACTCAATAGAGCCCAATCGAGTCAATGATACACGCGACTGATTCCGTGAGGGACCTAGTGCTATTGCCGCATCATGCGTCCGTCTCTACTATGGTGTAGAGCTCTTCTTCACTGAGGATTCCACTTGGGTCTTCATGGGGGTGGGAAATTGGACGTAAGTCTGCATAACTTTTCTTTCCCCTCAAATGAGCTCTTGCCGGCACCCGTTTTACTAGAATGATTCTCATCAACTAATTCCGATGTAGTGCTATTGAATTTATGATGGGATTCGTCGTTGCGGGTGCTCCATACATCCCGCGCTTCCTGCAGACAGTGACTGGTCGCAAGGAGCAAACACCTCATGCCTACTCATCACGTAAGTTGCATGTGCCACATTACGCGCCCAAGCGGTTCACCCCACCAAATCGACCCGTCGGCTCAAGCTGGGTCGCTCTGGGCGAGCAGGAGGACTTCATGCCTTTCGACGGATCGCTCGAGCGACTTCCAAACGCAACTCACAGGGGCGTTGTCTAACTGGGCATGTCCGCATTTGGGAGTGTTTGGGATTCTCTTTAACAAGATTTCAGAATTGGTTTATGAAAGAAAGAGGCTGTAAGAGCTGGTGTTGATACGTTTAGGGGGTGGTCATTGTCGTTGTGGAAGGAAACTAGGTCTTTACCCGTTTGACTGCGGTGATATAGCACCAGTACCACCAGGCCCCAATTGGTCCCTGAGATCGCTGAAGAAGATCTACCACCTTGCCTTCTGAATCGACGACTTGAGAACGTGAGTTTATATGCCATGAATTAGACTTGTACCGAGCGTACCCACCACTGAGATGGTTGTGCTGTCTTGCTCCAGGCAACACTCCTCAGGGCCCCAGTTCCGCTTCGCCCGAGCCGAACACCGTAATCATATAGAAAGCTGTGTCAAATGGCCAAGATCTCTCCCATAATTTCCAACTGATCTTCTTCGCGCCATAGCCGGACACAATATGTGTCATTTCCGCCATTCTGCGGCAAGCCTCAGCTTATGATCCTGGAGTAGAGGCGTGATGGAGTAGATAGCGATGGCACGATTTTAGGCGAGGGGAGGATTGACCAACTGATGCGATGATACTGAAGGCAGAGATGTCAGCTTATTACAGAGGCTTTTGTGGTCTTGACTGCGGCCTTCTTGGATCAGGTCCCAGCCAGATGGGTATTCAGACACCCGACAGCACAACAAGAGCACAGGATTTCATGTCAGCAGCCCGATAGAGAATTGAACAAGTTAAACCAATTGGATATTCTCTGTTTCTCGAAAAGATCATAGCGAACGCTGCCCTCGGACTTTCAAATCAACAGAATACTGAACGACAGATCTCGTTAAGCTGACTTCGATTCTATTCTAATTCATCGCATTGTGAATCATCGCAGTGTGATCCTCTCTCTCCCTCTCCCGTGGGCAGTTACCTGCCTCGGCAATCGTAGACCATCTCATCACATGGTCACGCAATTACGATCATCAGACCTAGACGAAGGCCCGTTACGCCGTCGCCGAGGAGGTGAACGTTGACGAGCAGGATGTGATGAATAATCGTTGCGACCAGCAGGGTAAATAACAGTCTCCATAGCGTCAGACAACCGGTTGCTCAGGCGCGCCTCTCTCCAAATCTCTGCATCTTCCCTCTCTAGCTGTTTTCGTTGCTCCTCCTTCAATTTAGCATCGAGATAATTGTTCCACGTCAAAGTGTACTCCTCCAAAAGGTTGCAGAGAGTTGCGTACGAGTTATTGTAGGGTCCTTGATCTGTCACCTCGTGATATCGACGTAGCTGTGCTTCTGCATCCCTTCTAATTGTGTCAGTCTCCGCGTCCGACAATTTTCCATAGTACTCCCAGTCACTCCGTTTAGTTTTGAAAGCCGAGTACAGATTGGTGGCGGAGTCGAGTCTATCACCATTGACTCCGTACGCGTTGTCACAGGTGGCACAGAAAAGGTCTAGGCCATGGTTGACCTCTGCCCGCCAGCGGCAATCTTCTGCATCACAGTAGCTCTCTTCTGGGTTTCGACGGGAGTGCTTCATAGCGAGCCTGGCGTCCCTACATGGCTCTATTTTCCTGTGTTCATACCACTCGTTAGACGATCTGGTGCGGACCGGGTGTTTGCACATTTCATGTGCCTCGTAACTGTTACATGTAGAAAATTCTTGGTTAACATAACCACTAGAACGTACCCAGCTTTGAATACAATAGGAAAATAAGAGAAAGTGTAAGAAAAGGCATCAGTGGTTTCTCTTACATCAAGAAACACATGGTCACGAGTTGAGATTTCGAAAGTGGCACACAAGATGGCTCTTGGTGCTTTTCGCCTGTTCAGATGTCGTTTTCTTGAAATGTGATGTTGGCTTCGAGGTGTTGTAGGTTTGGTAGAAAAGTCTGGCTTGCAAAAGCTTATCCTATCCTACGAATTTCTATTGAAGCCCAGGGGACTTTAAATAGTAGAGGCGATACGAAAAGCAGAGCGCGGGTAGTGAATTGTTCGACAGTCATGATAACTCAACATGTCGATGCAGTGGTGAATGATAGCTTACTGTGACTTGAGAGTAGTATACAGTCTACTGAAATGTAGAGGAGAGTGATACAACAGGGTTTGTATGCTAGTATTCTTGAGTGACATAAGGCGAGACCGCGTTCTCACTCACTCATTCATCTGAACAAGGCAAATAATCTCTTATACAAGGACCGATCTGATCCACGGGTCTCAAAGCCTGATGCTGAAAGACTACGCTCATCGGAGAAGCCAGGAAAGCTTTCATCAAATCGATAATGGAGATGGCTCCTGGTCTGAGACTGCTTTCCTGTAGCATAGTAGAGCAGTGTGAATATTTGAAATATGAGTTGCAGCTTCCTGGTTGGTGTTGCAGTTCGTACGCATTAGCATGTTGCGTGACCGAGACTGGCCGAAATCATGGCATGAGCTTCACATTCATCTACGAGCTTTGGGTCACTCTGGCAAAAGTGAATCGATATAATTAGACATTTATCTTTCATTACTACGAATAAGTCGCACTGCTATCTACATTATTGTGTACCATCGACTGTATTATCGAGACAACTCTTTGCTCCAGGGTCTATGCTGAACACCTACGAGTAAGAGCCACTCTGTCCCTCCACCACAAATCAACCGCAGCATTCCGTACTGAGTAATCGATCAGCTTTCCTGTCCCAGGCTGTAGGGCCTCTGTAAAGTTGAAGTCGTCCGAAATGCTGCTGAAGCCCCCAAAACTCGATCTAACCATCACATCATTTAGAAGCCCCTCCATGTTGAATGTGAAATCACCACCAGGCGAGATCTCGCCCGAGACTGGGTCAGTCACGGACGTGTACTCCTGCCAGGCAACGTCTGTGCTCACACCCAGCTGTTTGGCGATGGCTCTCACTGAGCAGTTTGCGTTGGCAGGGTTGAGCAGGTATCTGTTGGCGGCATACATGGATGCTAAAAAGCGGGCGAGGAGGGCAGACTCGGTTTTGTTGGATAGAGATGACTCCCGGACTGTGAATGCGGAAGAGGTGATGGGGGCGACGTAATCGGCGACGCGTGCCAGAACGTTTGGTGCTTCTCCGGTCGGCAGGGACTGGCTCTCGACCGTGAAAGGGTAGTTCAAGATGGTCGCATACACCGCAGTGCCATTGGGCAGGGTGCCATTAAGGAGGTCAGCATAGCGGGTGCTGGTACCACCGACGGTCTGGGTGGAGCATGATGTCAGCAAGCGTTACAGCTGTGCGCTTATTTCGACTGACCATGAAAGAGAAGTCCCCATTGGCGAGTGTCAAGCCAGCCTTTGAGAGGACATATTGTAGCAGGTAAGAGTATCCACTCAAGGGTGAGTCAACAATGATGGGTTTGCCTTTCAACTGAGATATATCGGTGATGGACGGAACAGAAGCGATCACCAAGTCCGGGCCCTGGTCAAGTTGCCCTAGAACTGTGACGTTCTGGTTTTGGTTGAACCGATAGTTCAGAGCATTGTCGACAGTGGCAGTGAGAATGTCATACTGCCCGTTCAAGATTGAGTTGAAGGCATCCGTGCTGCTGGCGACTTGATTGAAGACAACGTTGAGGCCATTGGCTGTGAAAAATCCAAGCTGATTCGCAACCGAATAAGTCGCGGTTGGAAGGCTGAGGCTTCAGTCAGTACCTGCAAACTTGCTTTTCGCAGCACGGAAAAAGCCGACGGGGACATACAAAGCTCCGTATTGAACAGTCCGCAACGCCGAAGCCGCGGTAGCGAGGAGCGAAACCGGGAAGGCGGAAAGCTTCATTGTCGCAACCACAGTCTGTCTGCCGGGGCAAAATAGATGTTTGTCGAACACAGAACACTATGGTGTCCGGTCACAAATGGCTTCCTTTAGGATACCTTAACATTTTTGGTCAAATGTCCCTTAAAAGCACGATACATGCAGAAGGCGTTGAACCGCGGCATCAGATTAACAGGGGTAATGCGAGCGATGTCACTCAAAACGGAGTCAATTACGCGCTCCCCTTCGAGTGGCTAGACTCGCTCTTGTTCTGTCTGAGATATGAGTGTGGCAACCCAGGCATGCTCGATTGCCAGGGCAAATGGGATTTTGAAAGCGGAGCCTGCGGTAGGCGAGATTGTGTCGAGATCAAAATCTAGAACATTCATGGCTACCGAGGCCGCGAGGAGGAATAAAGTCGCTATCCTCTCCCAGCATTCATGGCCGTCGTGGAGGAGCCAAAGTCGTCACCCCCTCCCAGGATCGCAGCCCGTTCGGAACTCTTTCCGCAGAGTAATACCCTTAATTTTGAAGCTTTTATGGGCTAATCCAGCGGGAAAAGCACGGCCATGGTGGAAGGATTCAAGCCCCCGCTAAAGTTCCCTCTATCCGGCGCCATCAACTCCACTACGAACCCGGGTCTCTCAACGGCTAAGGATAAGTCAGACCAGGTTCAACGTTGCTTTGTCAATGCTTTCAAATTTGATAACATCAAATCCTTCTCAACTGCTTTCCTTGGTTGTGATTGGATTCCATGTCTCCATAAATCCGGGCCGTGGGGATGTAAAAGTCCATCAAGATGTGACTTATCATAAAGGCACCAGTCTCGAGCGTGGGATGATATCTCATTACGGGTGGACCCCTGATCCTTACCTCGGCCACTAGAATGCTTAATCTTCAGGGATCTTCAATAGCGTTCGTCAACGACAAGCTTCAGCCCTCCCAGGAGGATGGTAGAGCGGGGGGTCTGCTTCCTAGTCGGGGCAAGTGCATCCTGCAACATTCCCAGGACCAAGGCATTGAAACAGGTAGTCGAACCTTGGAGATCGGCGAAGCAGTTGGGGGTCACATCTCGGACAGACTGCGTCTGAAGGAGGATGCTGAGCGGTGGAAGAAGTCGTGTAGGATATCAAGACCACGTGCGGATAGTACGAAGGCAGGGGAGGGCCCTTTAGCCCCTAGGCTAATTCGCGATGACTCGTTCGAGGATTCCACCCTTGATAGCCCTAGCAAGGGGACGTATGAGGAACTGGGAATGTTGGGCTCTGTCCAATGTGCCTGTGGTTCTGCTGCAGACGATGTTTATGATGGAGACAGGAGAACATCGAGCTAATGTAAACACGGCGGCATTGGCGTCTTCGGGTCCTTGGTGTGAGAGTCGCTAGTTCTAGGCTTTTTAGGCGTTTTCCTCCGTCAGGTCCCACTCGCCTCAAGAAATGTGATATATGATCGATGAAGGGCAGCTAGGTATGACCTCTAGGGAGCTCGCCACTTCGTAGTTCCTGCGAGTTTCACTGTCTCCCGATGCAGGGGCTAATTTCTGCAGGTTAAAGGTGAAGGGTGATACATCCGTACTGATGTCCGCAACGGTGAACTTAGAAATGTGGCCCCTGGACACAGAATCTGCACATGTGGCCGGGCTGCGTATGCCCTAGACACTAGACTCTGGGAAACATATTACCCGCTTCTCCCGCTGTTGGCTCCTCGGAGGGACCCGACTTTGATACTAACTTGGCCTACTCTCTTTGAAATTCACAATGACGCTCTTCGTCGGTTGGAAGCGAGATGCTATTGACGATGGCGTCTCAAATCCAAGGGGCGAGATCAACGCCATTCTTTCTATTGCGTTCGCCTGCCTCTCATTCGTCTTGGTCTCGCTGAGGCTTCTTGTAAGGTGCATTGTCAATAAATTGGCGGGGCCCGACGATTACCTGATCGTCGGATCAATGGTCAGTGTGAACCTCCAAGCGCGTCTGTGCATAGACTGATCGACTGTTTAGATACTGGCCATTGGTTTAGCTGTGACTTATAATGAAGGTCTGTACATACTGGGCATGGCAATTGCGGACGTGCAAATCATTATTTAGCCTCTTCAAATATCTGACAGCCGTCTAGAAGCAAAGAATGGGTTTGGCCTTCACACTACACAAGTCGATTTGCGACATAAGACTGAGGCATTTAAGGCAAGTGGAGCTATTCGTGAGAAGTCACTCTCCAGTGAAGCTGACCTGTACAGTGGTTCTTCGCAGCCCAGCTTATCTACAAAGTCGCCACTTGCTTGACGAAGCTGTCCATTCTCGCGCTTTATCTGCGAATATTCCCAGACCGAAAGTTTCGAATATCCACATGGGTCGTTGGAGCCATCGTTATCGCATACACTTTGGCGGCTTGCCTTGTCACAGTATTCTCGTGTAATCCAATTCATAAGGCCTGGGACAAGAAAGTTGATGGAAAATGCGTCGACATAATCCAAGTGTGGTATTGTACGTTGTTCCCGTATGCCCTCGTCTTGATTTTGTGGTCCTATCAACAACGTATTGACCTGCTTTTACGTCAGCTACTTCAATTATGATCATCATAACTGATGTGATGATCATATTACTTCCTCTGAACCAGATCCGGCATCTCCAACTGCCCTTTGTCCGGAAGCTACTGCTCTCAGGGGTCTTCAGTCTAGGCATATTCGTGATTGTGTGTACAATTGTTCGAATGTGCACTGTCTCGCCTAAGACCACAGCTCAAGATCAAATTTGTAAGCAGCCATCTACCCTCACTCTTGCAACATGCAATATTGACAAACGCAACAGACTATCAAGCAACGTCGAATAGCTGGACTTTCCTCGAAGTAAACGTCGGTATCATATGTGCTTGTGAGTCAAAGAAGATTCCAAATGATTCTTTGCCAAATTGTTCCAGATAATCAATACATTCACCCCCTCATCAACCGCTCTATCTTGTTATTACAGGGGCCGTAACTTGAGACAATACTGATCTACCAATAATCAGGTCTCCCTGTCCTCAGAATGCCCATGAGGAAGCTCTTACACCCCTTCAGGACCCAGCGAACCACGGTTACAGGCACCCGAACAAACGACCACCAGCTCAGGACGATCGGCCAGGTGCCTTCCCGAGGGACAAACAAAAGTATGCGACACGACGATGACAGTTTTGAGGAGCTCATCTTGCAAAACAATCCTAAAGAGCACGGAAAACTGAGTGGTGCATGACATTTTGTATATTATATGGTATGATACGGAACATGCTTCTTTATGAGCACTTGATTTCTCTGCGTAGCCGTTTAAAACTTGAATCTCGATTTTTCATGAGGTCAATGGACTTGTGATCACAACGTCTACCACTGGTCACCGCCATTATTCCAGTATTTTTCCTTCATATCATTCCACTTCAGCGCTCGTGTTCCAGCTGGACGACATCCGATGTGGTTGGATGCCACCCCAGATCAGACAGTGGAGTTCGTGTCTGAAAGCATTTCCGGTGTGTGTCTCATTAGTGTCGATTTCTTCAAATATGGATGGCCAGCCATTTCGGGTTCAGGGCCTTTTCAACTTCTACAGGATGTCTCTTACAGGGTACCCAATAGGAACGCTGGCTATGAGTCCGAGGTGCTTGGGAACCGTCTGAAGTGTTTGAAGATTTTGCTTGGACAGCGACGCCAGTTGCCAATTTGTCTACGCCAATCTCCGCATCTACATAGATTAAAGTAACTGCGGAACAGCCAGCCACCCATTCACAGGGCAAGATTATCCTACACAGGAAAAGGGCTTCTCTGGGAAGTTTGCCCTGCCACAAGTTGCGAACAGCATATCATGGTTAAGTAAGAATTGACAATTTGTTCCCCTTATGATTCAGAACTGGAGACAATATTGACAGGAGATGAGATCAAGTTACCCAACTTAACAATGCTTTCCATGAAGTTAGTGAAGTTGCTTCATGAAGGGCCAGAGGTAATCAGGAAGAAGTTCGATACCAATTTCTCCAGGTCAATTGACACCAGCAACAAGTACTACAGCGATGACTCTATCCACAGCAGAAATCAACAAGTCATCCCGATCGTCACAAACGAAAGCAACGCTGACAGCCCCAGGGCTGATCCCAAGACACGCATCCCAACTATCACACTCAACGACAATGACGTGCCTCTAATACCATCCTACTCTACAAACTCTGACACCTACGTCGACATACCAGACAGTATCCCATTGCTGGACCTCCATCCCCTCAGGGCAAACCCGATAGCCTGGGCGACACCCATCTACACCCAAGCCAACATACAGGTCCAGAAGCACTCAGAGACACGAGCCACTTGCATGAAACCCCCTACTTTTCGAGTAATAATAGTCGGTGGCGGCCCCAATGGCCTAGCCTTAGCCCACGCCCTCCATCTGGCCGGAATCGACTACACCCTCCTGGAGCGCTCGCCCACCATCCTCACCGATGATGGCACCCCTCTCGCCTTGTGGCCAAACTCGGTGCGCATCCTAGACCAGCTGGGCCTCCTCAATGAGGCGTGGAAGCACGCAGTTGACATGCGCATCAAGCACAAACACCGAGCGGACGGATCTCTGCGCGACTCCAGCGACGTATTCGTGCGTGTTGAGGAGAAACACGGTCACCCATGGATGCTGCTCGACCGCGCCACGCTGCTGCGGATGATGTGGGAGGCACTGCCGGAGAGGGAAGAGCGGATTCACACAGGGAGGGAGGTGGTCTCTGTCGAGACGTATGCGATGGGTGTGCGTGTAACTTGTGCGGATGGGGGCGTCGAAGAGGGCTCGATTGTTGCTGGGTGCGATGGGGTGCACAGCCTTGTCCGGGAGGCTGTGCTTGACCTGCGCGCGGCGAAGAAGAAAATTGCGAATAGGCTCAGCCTCATGAGCCACGGCAGCGGTGGGAGCAATGGTGGCAAGGTGGACAGTCCCATGATGGCGAAGTACTACAGTCTGATCGGGTCGGTCTCCTTGATGGACGGGCTCGAGCCTGGTACCTGTTACGAGACGAGGAGCGATCCTGAGGGCAAGACGTTCCAGATTCTTGCGGGTGAGGACACGGCGTAAGTTACACCACAAAAGACGCATGAACTATGTTTGATGTTATCATGGCATGCATCAGACACAACGCAAACTGCTATATCTCGATCTTCTCAACCTGAGTCAACTAACTCAAGAGCTACAGGTACTTCCTCGTCTTCATCCGGCTGGACAAGCCCACCTGCGATCGGACAGCCTACACAGACCAAGACGCAGAGCAGCTCGCCACCGCCCTCGCAGAGCACCCAGTAACAGACAAGATCAAGTTCGGCAACCTATGGCGTGTAAAGCGGAGTGGCAAGATGTTGAAATTCCACGAAGGCCTTATAGAAAAGTGGTATCACCAGCGGATAGTGCTGGTAGGCGACGCAGCGCACAGTCCGCGACCACACATAGGCCTCGGGGTCAACACAGGTTGGCAGGGCGTGGCGGAGCTGACGAACGGTGTACGGCGACTCCTGCTCAGGACCGAGGGCGGCTACAGCCCAGGCACGGCCAGCATCAAGCGAGTGTTCAGGGAGTACCAGGAGCGACGCGAGGACCTGGCCAGGAGCGCGGTGCAGCTGTCGGCGCTGTACGCGCGGGCGGTCGCCGACCGGGGCTTGCGGTCCAGGTTCTACGACTGGGCCGTGCCGGCCATCGCTGGGGACATTGTCAGGTCGGGGATCATTCTGGACTTTGTGGACGAGGAGAACTATAGGGAGGGCAGAGAGAAGTGGACACACCCACGGCGCAGGGTTGGTGTTGCTTCTACTGATGAGGCTGAGGAGCGTATGGGGCGACTTGCATGGGTGTATCCAGGTATCCCGATCAGTATCAGGGCTACCTGATCATAATTCTTCGATGTTATACTAGGGCTGACGCGATTTGGAAGACGCATAGGAAGAAGGGTCTACATTTGCATGAGGATATCAAGAGCGATGGAAGGCGCTTAATAGTGACTGGCAGCTAAGTACTGCACTGCACCACCTCGAGTCGTAGAGCCTTGCAGAGATGACATTCCTCCACAGCTACTAGGAAACAAGCATACACAGGAGAACAGGACACCATCAATTGACTGGGCCTTTCTTCGAAGAGACGTCAGACCTCGTCGAGCGCGGGTTGTGTGGCTTACTCATGGCACAAGCCTTCCACTTCAGCTTGCGCCCATCACTTCTGACATGTCAATCGACAATCACCAGTTAGCTGCGATCGCTTAGAAGCACAGCCAACAGAAAATGACACCGATGACGTTGGAGTGGCCAAGATATGGCCTGTCAGCTAAGCTACCTAGTCTGCAAGATCATCAAAGCAAGCAAGAAAGAGACAAAGTGAGGATCTGAAAGCGGCCCAGATGGGGGTCCGCCTTAGCCAATGAGCGGGCAGGGCTGGACAACATGGTGCAGTCGACAGGCCCAGCGACTCTGGCCGAGATGACTCGCATTTCTGGGTGCAGACGTCAGGATGAGGGATGCTCCTCCTATTTGTTCCCGTGCAACCACCTCAGGATCGCCCTTTGGGATGTTGGGACGAACCCGGAGCATTGTGTTTCTCTGGTGAAATGAAACGTTGGTGTATCCGGTGTGCCGTGTGGCCGCGCGCCGTGTGCATTGGGCGTTGGGGGGAGGGCTTTGGGGGGGGGCATTGGGCGTGTGAAATGATTGCCATTTCGCAAGACTGACCGACTGACAAAGCAGGCGCTTGTCAGGTGCACCGATGCGGTGCTCATATCCGGGTGGGCGGGCGCCGTTTATGGTTATCTGTGGGAAGCATGAGGTGGTGCAATTTTGAGTGCGAGTGCAATTTTAAAGGGGAGGAGATGGATTGGGAAGAATTAGAGTTGATTGCTTGAAAAGTGGCCTCGCATTGGGTGCGTAAGCGAACGGATAACTCAGATGAGGAACCCGGGAACCCGGGACCCCACAGCGGCGGCATGTCACCCTTGACTGCCATGTGTCAATGGGCATGGGTGTGAGTTGTTGATGTGGATATGGGAAATGGATTTGGATGTGGATTTGGGTTTGAGATGTGGATGTGGGTGTGGATGTGAGAGGAATGTGATTGGGAGTGAGGCGGGTGAGATTTGAGGGACTGGATGTGAGGCTCGTCACGAGAGCCAAATCCAATCCAGAATGAGTGAAGCCCCAAGAGAGAGGATGTTGTGGAAATGACTGCAAAATTCCTCAGTCGTCAAGTCATAGTCTAGTTAGCTATAGGACGGGCTGGACGGGCGCTGTATACGAGAACAATTTTGATTAAATTGCCGTCAGGCTGTCACGCGTGCATTGGGTCGGCTGTCAACCGAAGGGCTAGGCCTGGGCTGGCTGGGCTGGCTGGCTGGACATGGCTTTGGTCAAGGCTGGGCCCTGGCAGGGCGGCAGGGCGGCAGGGCGGGAACAACAGGCTATTTGGAGCGTGATGTGACGTGACGGGTCACAGTCTTGTGTGCGCGTGTGCCTGTGTGTGTGCATTGTAATTTCTCATGGTGTTTTGCCAGATATGGGTCTGATCGAGAGGCAGCAATTTGGTGAGACAGGAATGGAAACCCAGGGGCATGAGAATAGCTGCGACTGCTGTCTGTTCCCCAGTTTTGCATTGGCTTGGAGTGAGACATGTGAGACGGGTGACGGGTACTTGCCGTGCGGTCAGGCGGTTAGAGATGTCTGAGGAGGGAGGAGTCTCAGGCAGTTTGGACTGCCGTCGCACAGAGGTTGAAATTAGAGAAATGAAGTGATTAAACCCAACCACAGATCAATTTCCATGTTAGCAGACCGAAGACGAAGACGAAGACAAAGACATTTGAGTAGATGCCTTGGTAGATACGGCGAAGGCGACCCCCACCAGTAACATGGCCAAATGCCAAATCAGCACTGCATGTGCGAGATAGCCATGATAGCTCTGATAGCGCGTTCTGGAGACCAATCAGCCAGTAGCCGGGTCGTCTTTCTCATGCAAGACATTCCAACAGAGCGGAAGTTAAGTGCTAGTGTGAATGAGTGAGTGTGTCTGTGTGTGTGCTGTGTAATGTAGCAGTGTAGGTACATTTACTATACTAAATATATGCACGAAGGGCCAGGTACATGTGGCAGCAGCACCACCACCACGACCAAACAGCAGGCACGAAGGCACGAAGCGAAGGCACGACGGTAGTAGCCAAAGGTTAGCGTTTGGGTCCATTCCCTGTCTGGGAGCCTGGCCTGCCTGGCAAAACGTTACGTTCAAGTCCCGCCGCACACAAGGCAAGGTCCACCCTCCCTGCTCCCGCACCCTGCACCTGCACCTGCACCTCCCCTTCCTCCTTCCACAACGCTTCACTCTCGCCCAACACTCCCTCACCCAACAACACCTCCCTGCCGCACTTCACTTTGCACTCCACTCGAATGCATCTTCCTGGACTTTTCCCTCCTCGTCACGCCTGAGATGCCTGCATCGACGACGACAATAATCACACTTACAACACCAACACCACCAACAACAACAACGACCAGCTGATCAGAACAGAGCGACATACTCATCATCACCACTGCTCCTCTCTCTCTCTGTGTATGTGTGTGCCTGCACTGGAGTTTATTCCATTGCAACTCATTTATTGCACAGGGACTCGGACCCTTCCATCGCCGTGTCCGGCCGGCCCACCCTCTCGGGTCACCACCAGTTCCCACTTTCTTACTCGTCCAGTCGCCCAGCCCCGACTTCCGAGTCCAAGTCCCCAAATTCCCAAGTCCCACGGGCGCGAGGGCCACCACGCTGCACTACACGCTGCACTACGTCTGAGCTCGCTCTGGTTGCCACCTGGGTCCTGTCACGTTGCTCGCTTATTAGTACATTAGTACGGCCCAGTCTGTGCAAGCAAAAAGGCGAGCTTGGCTGCTGCTTGCTTGCGCTGCTTGTCATTGTTGTCGCGGTGGTCGTCGTCATAAATTCCTACCAAACATATCATAGCCCGGCGCCAACACGCACGCACATACGCACCTCTCGGCTCACTGTAAGCTCTCGTCCTGTTCGGGTTGCATCTTTCTCTGCTACCTGTTGAGCTTCTGAACTGCCTGCATGGAGTCTTGAATCGTGGGCCTGCGTCCATATGCACGCCCATAATCATGCGCCAGTCCCGATGCCTGTCTCGCCCGCTCACACAACCTCTGACTGGCTTGCCGCTAGGGCGATGCAGTGTCACTCACTCTCACTGATACGGTCCTCCATCTGACATAACCCTCTCTCTCTGCGTAGGACCCCCCTCGCTCGCACCCACTCCCTCTCACACTCGCCCTCCTCCTCCTCCGCCCGCGGACCCGACCCGACTCGACTCAACACGACACGACACCTCACCTCCAGAGCCATGTCGCCGAGGGATCCTCAGCCCCTGCACCCTGACTCCGGAGCCGCTTCTTCAATCCACGTCGATCCCAAGGCCCAGAACCATGTCTTCTCTCGACCTCAACTTCCCACCACTGGAGACTCCCGCTCCTTGACCGCGCCTTCGGCAACAGACGCCGCCGCCACCCATGAATTTAAACTTCGAAACAACCGCAGCGCGATGCTGAACTCGGACATCGACCCCATCAACTTCCCCTCAGAACCTTACGGCGACTCGTCTGCCTTTTCCATCCAAGGCTTAACCACCTCCAGCCCACCAGAAAACCAGTCAAAATCCTTCTCTTTCTTCCCGACCGTCAATTTGCCCTCCGGAGACTCGGGTCCACCACCGGTCGACTCGGATTTTCAACACCAACTCGACCGCCCACCCTCGCCCGGTTCCACCAACCCACTTCGAATACATACCGACCTCCACTCGACTTTTGTATCCAGGGCCGACTCAACTCACCGCGGCCCGGAGAGGTCGAACCCGACTTCCAACTTGCCCGTCTCTCGCAAGTCGTCTCCGCCCGGCCTGAAACCGGTATCACGGACTCCAAGCTTCAAGTCTGCCGCCTTCGGCCGTGGCTTTGGTTCTGCCACGAGCTCTAGAGTCTCGAGCCCCGTCATAACCGCTATGGGCGATCTGACGCCACTCCCATCCCCATTACTCTCCGGCGACTCGCCCGGCCCTTGGAAGCGCCTCGGCGCCCGACCTCCCTCGAGGGAACTCCAGCCACTGCCTACGATAATGGCCGAGTCAGTATTGGTCACCAGAAATGGCGAGTCAATAGCTGCCGCCATGGCACACCAGTCCAAACGAAAGGCTCTTACAGGGACGGAAAAGACTTCTGGGGAAGATTCGGGTAGCAACTCAGAAAAAGATGCCTCAAGCAAGGTCAAAGTACACACACGCAACAGGAGCGTTAGCGAATACCATCCAGACGCCCTGAACATTCCAAAGCGCATGGTTAGCGTCTCCGGATCTCATGTGTCTAACCCAGGCAACACCTCAATGCGCCGAGAAGCCCACCTCTCAGAAGCCCGGGGGTTGACGCCAATAGAGAAACCCCCAAGCCCGCCGCCGAGCGAATCCTCCATTACAACTGCCGATACTTCTGCAACGCCACTCAAGGAGACCCCGCGATATGAGTACTTCGATGCTCAGGGGAGAAAGGATGGCAAGCTTCGGAGATGGAGGGCTGTCAAGTCACTGGGCCAGGGCACATTCAGCCGAGTTGTGTTGGCGACAAGCCAATTGGCTGCATCAGAAGAGGAACTAGAACTGGAGGGCAAGGTAGACACAGGCCTGTTGACACCTGAACCACCTTCAAGTCTTGACCGAAAGTCACTGGTCGCTGTCAAGGTCTGCGAACACGGCCCCAAAGGCGGCGCTTCTGAGGATCGGGTCGAGATGAGCTTGAAACGTGAACTTGAAATCATGCAGAGCATACATCACCCATGTCTGGTGGACCTCAAAGCCTTCAGCATCGAGCCGACCCGTGCTATCCTGGTCCTTAGCTACTGTATCGGCGGCGATCTATTCGACGTAGCTACACGACATCGAGAGCTTCTCGTGCCCTCGCTCCTCCGGCGCATTTTTTCCGAACTCGTCGTCGCAGTTCGCTACCTTCACGAAAGGCACATCGTACATCGTGACATCAAGCTCGAGAACGTCCTCGTCAACCTCACCCCACAGGAGCTTTCCGACCGGACCGTCGACTGGCAGAACTACCCGTACAGCGTGATTACATTGACCGATCTTGGCTTGTCCCGGAGAGTCGCGGATGACGAAAAGCTCACTACCCGCTGTGGCAGTGAGGACTACGCCGCCCCAGAGGTCATAATGGGCCTACAGTATAACGGTCACGCCACGGATGCATGGTCATTAGGTGTACTGCTCTACGCTCTGCTCGAGAGCAGGCTGCCATTCGACCCACCACCCGGAATGAGCGACGCGCTCCGCATGCGCAGTCGGACCAGTCATCGCATCGCCCGCGTGGAGTGGCAGTGGATCAGATATGCTGGCGGTGACGGCGACCATGATGGCGATATCCAGAAGTTCGAGAAGGAGGGACTGTTGGGGGCGATGGAGGTCACCGAGGGCTTGCTACAACGATCCAGGAGTCGATGGTCGCTCGAGAAGGTGGCGGAGATGCCGTGGGTGAAGGCAGGCATTTCTGTCGAGGGCGGCATAAAGTTCAGGGAGGAAAAGGAGGGCAAGATCGTATGACATTTGTGAAGACTTTCTATCCCTTGGATCGCGGGGCGTGAGAGGCCGCGCCAGCCCCCGAATCCGCTTTTTTCGGTCACTTCCGCATCGGCTACGGCGCTCGGAACAAACATTTGCAGCTGTCCACGGGACAAAGATTCGACGATTCAACGACGGACGGTACAAGAGAGGCAGGGATTAGGCCGTTATTTACAGGAAGAGCAAGAGAGAGGGATGGCAAGCTTACCCACCTTCGTTTCTCCCCCCATGTGTTGCTTCTTAGACCTTTTTTGAATTAGATATCAGAATAGGCGGGGAAGATGCTATCTAAGATATCGAGATACCTGAATGGGGTTTCCGAGTGTATTCATTATATTACCTGTCCATGTGCTTTCACTGTCACATATTTAAGGCACTTTGGATTAGGATGGGAAGATTGGTGTGTTTATCTGGCCAAGCGATGGTGTTGGCGTTCGAGATGCAGAGTTGGCTGTCTTAGGTCTATTTTCATGAAGGCATTTTGGTCGTGTGTTTTGCTATTTGATGTTCGTGCCACTGTGATGACCGACGATCATTCATTGTTGTTGGCAGCTGCTAGCATTTGCCATTTTGCAGCCATTATCATACAATTCGAACCCATCCGTCGCACTATGACAATGTCATGAATTTCCTTCCCATTTGCGTTGCAACCTTACGCCGTGGCAGTCAAGATACAATGCTTGTCTGAGCTGTCAACCCCTAGGACCACAGAGGTCTCGCGGGCGGGAAGACGACACTAGGATCGCCGCGACCGTTCTGAGCCTCCAAGTCGATACTTTTTCTGTCATTGGTGCTGTTCTTCTCCCGTTGTTGTTGCTGCTGCTGCTGCTCTGATGGCTCCTCCCTGGCCCGGGGGCTGGAATAGAGACATCTCTCCATCCAGTCCTTGTAGAAACCCAGATAGAGAATGGTGGCTACCACCAGGATGGCTAGGAGGCAGGGGATCAGGACTGCGACGAGCGTGGCTGTTGCGTCGTCCATGTATGCCGCGGTGCTTTGGCTTGAATCGGGTGACACTAAGCTAGACGGTGCGGTCGTGGAGATATTCCTTTTCTACTGCGCCTAGTGGTGATCCCCAACCTGCTTCTCCGCTGGCGATGGTTGTGATGGACTAAGTACTTCCACTATTTGTGAGTCGTGTTTGTGACACTTTTTCTTTCGGCAGAGGATCAAGTGTCTTATTTAAATCTACTCGTTGATATGACGCAAGATTGTTTGAGATTTGGAAACCACAGCATATCAAACACTACATCGCGATGTGCTTGTGACGGCCAAACATTACCATTGCGTGTCAGTAAGGACAGGCTTGCCGTGATTGATTGAAATCTTGTTTGCCCGAAGAACGCATTAAAGCGTTTAGGAAGGTCTACCTGGGATTGCAAGACAAGCCTCTGCTTGGATTTGATATATACCAATCTACGACATGGTCAATTCAGACAGTAGCGTATCCATATGAATAGCCTGTATTTTTTTCGCGACGTCAATAATCTCGGCTCTATCGGGACATGATTGACTTCTCAATTTACAGATACCCTCCTAGACAAGCTCGAACAGTTCAATCGTTTTCCAACAGCTAACTCCCGGCATTTGGGGGGAAATCCATCGCCTGTCAACAGCAACTTCAAAACAGCCGATCACGTCGAGGCTCAGATACTCATCAACCTATCCACTTATTTCTCCGATCACTCCCTCGCTCTTCATCTCAGTAAATTCCAAAAGAGAACTTTTTTTTAAAAAAAAAAAAAAAAAAAAAGCACGCTATCATAACCATCACAACGTAGTCCAACTTGACTTCTCTTCACTTCAGCTAATTCCACAAAACTAAGTCTTCGCTGCTAAACTCTCATGCTGAATTTTATCTAGGCTGCGCTTCCAGAACGTCCCTCAGGTGACGTCTGAAGCGGCTTTTTGTTGGTCTTCAGACTTGCTCTCTGGGGCTGCTATATTTTTTGGTGCTGATGTCCGTTTCGCTTCGGCGAGTTCCTCCCGGAGTATCTTCCACTCGATTAGCCACTGCTTCTTTGACATATTTGTGCCTTTTGCAGTAAGCATTGCTTGAACCTCGGCCAATTTTGATTCTAGGTCTTCGATGGAAGTCATGGTGGCGACTGAAACTTGAGCAATATTTAGAGCGGCGCGAGTGGGCTTGGGCAAAATCTTGTGAATTAATTCAGCGCGTACGGGTAGACTAAGATGGAACTCAATATGTCACACAGTGCTCGAATTCTTTTATATTAATAATGGCCGCTGGGAAACTAATGACGCTCTTGAGAGAACAATGCCGCACATCTCTACCGTCGCCCGTGAACACAGGCGAATACAACGGATGCTTGGCGCTGCAAGGGTGAGTCAACTCGAGTCACAATTGCAGCATCTGCCTGGATGCTGCATTGAGGCTATGGTCATTGTCACCATCAGATTGCATCAGCCACAGCTGTGCCGCAATCACAGGAACTGTATCAAGAATAAAGAAGAAAAGAGATGTGCATGGCCATTGGCCCGTAGTCCTGTGTCATTTGACTCACTTTTCATCCTCGATATGTACCAAGCACAAATCGGGCAGGTAGAAAAACGGCCGGCAGGAATGGAATTCCCCATAGCCCGTCGCGCGAAGGAGCCGCAGCGTGTCAGCTGCGGGGACGCTCGATAAGGCGCGTCTGAACGCCGTCTTTCCGAGGTCAAGGGGGAATGGAAAATTTTCACAACAATGAGCGAGCTGAGAGCCGGGGACTGGTCGATGGTGCTAAACACATTCCTGTCCACCTCGGGTTCGTCAGAACAGCCTCAGAGAATCCAAGATGGCTGACGCTCAAAACATTGTCTACCGTGGGAACTGCCACTGCGGTCGTTATCGATACGAGCTAAGCCTGCCTGGCGAGATTGGGTCGGCTACTTCTTGTACGTGCAGCGTCTGCCTCAAGAAAGGCTACCTATGGTTGGCTCCGCCCGAGGGCAGTTTTCGGGTCGTTAAAGATGATGGTAATCTAGAGGAATACACCTCGAAGTCGCTACGTGATAAGGTATGAGGCTGAAGCCCAGAACTACACTGACTTATGCTGATACTTCTGGATACCAGTTCTGCAACCATTGCGGTACTGGAGTAATTGGACAGCACACTGCTGGACCATTGCGTGGCCAATTTGCCGTGAATGTGCGGGCCATTCAAGGGGTCAATCCGTATAATATCAAGTAAGGCAGCTGGGGAATGAAGTGGCAGTGTCTTGTTACTACTCATAATGTTGAGCCTGACTAAGGCCTTTTCTGCAGGATCGCGGCGGTCGAGACAGGAGACGAAGAGCCTGAGGCTCAACAGCTCGAAAAGACTGAGCCAACGGCACACCAAGTATTCTCCTGCCATTGTGGCAACGTCAAGGCTGAGCTTCTAGTTCGCATTCAGGACCAGGAAGTCAAAGAGGACAATTGCAGTTCCTGTGTCAGGGTAGGCCTGCCATCCTTCCCAGCTCGAGACCATTCCTCAGTCGTTTCTGACACTGATGTCTATGTGGACAGAATGCCTACATCGGAGTCTACCCAACCAAGGACCAAGTCAGAATCCTTGGCCGGGAACATGGCTTTGAGTATGCCGGTCTGAAGGCTGACCTCGGAGGGCCAAAGATGGGTGGTACAGTGCACTGCAAGACATGCGGAGTCTTCGTTTTCACCAACATCTACGGACCGCCCATCACTGTCTTCGACAGGTTGCCCCCGGAAAGGAAGGCGTACGCTCTGGAGGTGTATCACAAAAACATGAGCCTCCAGCCGCTCAACGTGAGAGCCATTGAGGGCTTCCAGTTGCTATCTAAGGCTATAGACATCGCACAGTCAGACGAGGGCACAGATGGGTATTCTCAGCTGCTGGAGCCTTGGGAGGGTGCTTCGGATGCCGAGTAATGGCGCCAAATATCCATCTGAAGAGACACGCACATATGTGGCCATCAGCACGAATGTTTAACAGAGCAGGACTACAGAATTCCACTTGAGATTCCCAGTTCGTTCGTCTCGCATCGGCCCTTGATAGTGCCGGCGTATTAGCAGTACTGATTTACTGTAAAATAACCTACCCTGCCTGGTGCTTTGGGATTAATGGCCGTGTGATACCCTACCTAGGCACTATGGAATTACCTACCTTGGGTTAACCCGTTATAGAATAACAATAAGCTACCGTAGGATGTCCTCTTCTAGGATGACATGTTGTAGGATAATGTACTATGAGATAAAAGGATAGGCTACTGTGCGATACTTATTGTGTGGTAACATATTTTGTGATAGACTGCGAGTAGACAAACTTGGAAATTGTCTTCATCCAACGGTCACAGGCTACGTATTACATTGAGTCCTTCAAATGAAAGGTTTCGTTTTCCTGGAAATACATTTAAATTGTCTCCACATAAGCAATAATGAATAAACATGCTGGCATACAGAAATTAATGCAGCGATGTATAAATCTCCTAAATTCAAGTGGCCGTGAGTATCAAGATTATTTCACTAACTAGATAGTGTGTTGGCCAGGCTATAGTCGAACGCGAAAGCTGCTTGAAATGGAGGACAATTAAATAGAACTCGTCCACATGGCTCTGTCTTCTTAAATCTTATCTATCTTCACATACGATCTCGACTGTTTCGTCTGCCTTTACTCACGAAAACAACACCAGTGTCTTCAATGACAGACGATAAAAAAAACTTGGGGTTGGGTCTCTTTGTACGAAGATGCCCGGCATAAGATTCTAGAAGCTTTACTACAGGATGGTTGCAGATTGGCTCGCTTCGCCACAGTATCAAAAGAGTGGCAGAAAATTATTGAGAAGCACAATTTCATGCGGATCAAACTGACAAGCTCACGCCTCCCCGATTTTGGCTCGATCATTCATCGCAATCGGACTTTCAATGGTACATCCCGCCCAGATTTTCAATCTACAGACTTTTTGAGGAAATTTGAGCGAAGAACCGTTTGAGAGTGCCGATCTGGAAAGGCAATGGTGGCGACAACTGCCATCAGTCCCAGCAGTGACAGGTCTACTTCTCCGCCAGCAGAATCGTCGACAATGGAAGCCACCTGCACTTGCAGAGATGTTTGCCCGCTTTCACAGACTCCAAGAGATCCACTACGAGCCTTGGAGGGAATGGTATAATGATCAGCAGAAAGGGACGGACTCTCGTAAGTATTCCTGCGCTCGTTGATTACTCGATCTCATTACTGTGTCTCGTTGAACACTGAATACGTACTAATCAATAACTCCGGCACAGACAACCGAGGTCTCATCGAGTCGTTTGCTTCCAATCAGTTACGGAAGCTCGTCCTCTTTGAAATATCAATCAGGTGTACTCATATAAATTCAGATCTATATTTTCCGAACCCATTCGAACCCCGGATCCTGCTGTGAGCCGGGCGGCCGCCAAAGCCAGTCTCGGACTTCACTACCTTTCAGTTTCGTTCATGGTGGACGCCAATTCATTTTTCTAGGCTCGTCAGCCCTCCTGGGAGTGGCCCAACTTAACTTCGCTTGCGCTTACTTCCGGGCTTCTCGCACCCGAGAAGAGCTCGGAAGCAATCAATAACATGATCCGAGCAGCGGCGGATGCGGCCATGATGATGCCGGAGCTTGAGACAATGGAGATATGGAACGGACGGAAGGGATTGGCTGCTCTTTTCAAGTACAAGTCAATCAAGCGTGGGGAGCGTACCGCCGTCATCACTTGGAGGGGCACGTGGGAACTCACCCTGCAGCCTGATGTGATCCAAGCCTGGGAGGCTGTTATACGCAGGCATTGTCGCGGGGAGTTCTATGCCGTTACGGAGCTTCTGGACTCCAGGACTGTGAAGTCTGTTGGTGATTCAATTCATGATTTGAGGCTTTCAGCGCAAGTGATTAGGCCTGTTTCGTTGATACAGATTCGGGTGGAGAACGAGATCACGAGATCAGGAATGGAGATTGTATTGAGCAACTTGTAAAACAGCACCGAGGCACAGAAGGACCACTAGGGGCACAAGAACAACACGGGCTACGAGGGTAATTGTCTTCGAAGGACCGCACCGCTAGGGTGCTCTGGCAGTTGCATGTGGGATGACCTCCTGTGGGATAATCTTCTGTAGAAACCCTCCTGTGGGACATGTTCCTGTTAGACCTTCTAGACAAGAAATTAATTAGGCCATTGGAGGCTATGCAGTGACATTTCGCGATCTTTGAGAATGTAGCGGTTTTGTCGCAACACTGTACATGATGCTACGGTTTTGTCGCAACACTGTACATGATGCTATGTCCCCGCCTCCTAATAAGATCACTACACAAATATGAAGTTGTCAGATTTCCTTGCCTACTTGCGTGTCTTTTTTGGTTTGAGACTGCAAGATGAAGAAGCCTATTCAAGATGGAGAGTGTATCATTCTTTCCAATTGCTCCTCAGCTACCATTGCTCTAAAGCAGTTACGAGGACACCTTGGTCTTAGAATAGTCAGCTCGTCAGTCTCTTGACCTTATGAATGATGGTGGCGTCCCCATTCTCAGTCTTAAAGAGTACGCTGGTCGGGTGAATCGCCGGAATTACAAATTTCCGGTCCTTTCCAGGGGGACTTGTCAGATAGAGTAATTGTTCGTTTTCTTCTTCTGACGCTCCACAGATTCTACTTAGATTAAGGGCTTTTGAAATTTGATCAGTGCTAATTTCCAGTTTGACCGCAACGAACGCCACCAGATTCAGACACGTCACAAAGAAACGCATCGCCAAATATCTTGAACCCAACAGAACACTCAATCAATACGAGCAAATCCCGTATTTGACTACGGAAGTCCATGGATCCGCTGTTTCGTAGCCCTCGGGACAGAAGCAGGTGGGCAAGGATGACTGGCTTGGTGCCACAACCAACTTAGAATGTTTCATGAACAAGGCAGAAAGGGGCAGAATGCCGCACATGTGGTCATTGCGACTTTTGATGTCTATTCTTAAGCAGTACTCATGGACCCTGCTCCATCAATTTACAGACTTGAATCTGAGACCAAATTGCTTACTGCACACCAGACAAAGATTTTAAGAATGCTACTGCAAGTCTGTACCCCACCTAAAGGATTTCCACTCTCATCTTTCATCTTCATCCTTCATTCTCATTCCCAACACCTCTCGAACGACCTTCTGCCACTGAGGCATGGCGGCGTTGTCTTGTTCAACCTTCCGCACTTTCACCACTCTGCTAGAGACATTCTCGGAATCAGTCGATCGCTTTCTCTTCACCCTGCTTTCGTGAACGACCTCGCGAAGTAGGCCTCCTAAAGTTGTGACATAGACCGAATCATACACGGCTGGTGTGATAGGAAGTTCGAGACCTTTTTGTTTCATCACCTCCTCCAATCGTCGAAATTTCTTGAAGCACCAGTGGTCGTCGATTCCCAGCTTTTCCAATGCGGAGCACGCTCCACGAAAAAGGAGCCATGAATGCTCATACTTCTTTGATTTCCAAAGCAGATAAGCGCGCTGGCAGATAGCATCTAACGATTCTTGGGATTCAGAGCCTATTGTCATCTCCAAACCCTCAATTGCCCTTCTCATCATATCATCGGCCTCCTGGTACCGTCCAGGAGACTCGGCGATCGTGTAAGCCAGAGATAGTAGGCTGCGGTATTTGTTTACACTGGCCACGTCAGAAGTTTGTTCATGAGCCCGTAGGACTTCTCTCTTCAGGATCTCGGCATCTGAAAGCTTTCCATCGTCGTGGAAAACAGCAGCTAGATTCGATTTGCAGGTCAGAGCGTCTGGATGATCGGGGTCTCCACGATGTTCGAATTCTGCTAGGACCTTGACGTACAGTTCCTCCGCTTGCTTGTATTTTGCCTGATACCGAAAGCACATTGCGATGTTGATTTGAGGAATGAGGTTGTAGGGGTGTTGACCTCCGAGCTGCGCCTCAAATCCTTCCAATGCAGTACGGAAGTTTGCCTCCGCCGTTTGGTAGTCACCGAGCGCAAGCTGAACCTTTGCCAATTCGTTGAAGGTGGTAATCGTGTCTATATGATTAATGCCGAGGATAGATTTTCGAGACTCAAGTACACGTTGTTGGGATTTCATAGAAGCGGTGTATTGACCCCGATGGTAATATACGTTTCCCAATGTTCGCAAACTCGAAAGTGTGTCGGGGTGGGTCTTTCCAAGAATTTCTTGACGCCTCTCGTATGCCAAAGCCGCAAAATGATTTGCCTCTACCAATTGATCCTGTTTTGTTAACGCATCGGCCAGGCTCGCCATCGTTTCCAGTGTCTCTGGATGGGTCAGACCTATGGCTTCCTCCCTCAACTCAAGCGCTGCTTTCAATAATTCAGTGGCATCACAGTGTTTGCCCTCACGGAAGAGAACATCCGCATGATTTTTTATGACCTCTGCCGTGAACACAATATCTCGGTCTTCAGAGTCAAGAGAACACATCTCCTCCAGCAGGCTTTGATTGATGTTGTGTGCGCTTTGGTAATCACCCGTGCCTTGTTGCGCCAGAGCCAGCTGAGCCTTGGCCCGCCACGTCTTGATATGGTTGTCTCCAAGGCATCTAGTCCTACCCCTGACAAGCTTCTCTGCGTTTTCCATAGCCTCCATGTAGCGGCCCTGCCTCTCCTGAGCTGACACAAGTCCATCAAGAGAATTGCAAATCTCCGAATCATTTCTGAAGAACCATGACTTCGCTTTCAACGATTCGAGAGCTTTTTGATACAGTGACTCGGCCATAGTGAAGTTGCCAAAATCGAAGGCAGCCCGGGCGAATTTGGCGGAGACAGCCGCAGTGATCTCAATCTTCATAGTTTCATCCTTAGGTTCCACGAAACATCGCACATGTGGGTATAACTTCCTTCTCATTTCGTATTGTTCGGCTGCATCTCCAGTCTCAATGACCCTTTCCAGTGCTGCCATCGCCGTCTGTCGCCCCCATCGCCGTGCTGTATGACTAACAGAATCTGACTCGTAACGTGCCCAAGACTGCACGAGGGAGTGCATAGATACGCATTCTTCTTGCAGTCTAACAAGGGAGTAGCAAGACAACTTGACAATTGCCTCATCCACCATCTTTGTGTATTGCTTCATGCATTGCTTCGTGCACCGAGAATGATCAACAAATGTCGAGAAGTTGGGCCTGAAGAAGATCGAAGAAAACGGCTTTGAGTATAAGAGGTGTAGGCCTGTTTGCGTCATCCAGGCACCATCAGTCGACGCTGTTACCGCTGCACTATGGATGAGGAACTTCGGGATTTCTTTATGATCATAATGAGTGCATACATTGAGAATGTCCTTGGCCGCTTCCGCTACGTTTCTGTCTTGGGTTTGCATCATACGAAGGGAGGTCCTCCACGTTGCGAAGACTGAAAATCCATAAGAGTCTGCGCCCTGATTCGGGTAGGATGTCAAGAGCTCCTTGTGGTTCCGGTCGTATTCCTGCGAGTATGCTCGTATGGAGAAATCGTTCTGTTGTATGGCAGCGCCGGCATGAACGATAGCCAAGGGTAGTCGGTTCAGCTTATTAACTAGTTCTTTAGCCTCTGAATAATTTTGCTCTGAATCGCCCTTTCTAGCAGCCTTTAAAAGAAGTTTAATGCTACCGTCAATATCCATGTCGTCCATACGCAATTCCATATTTTCCGTTGCATATGTACGATGTTGAGGGTTGCGACTCGTTACTAAAATCGATCCATGATCTCCCGGTGGTAAATAGTCGGAAAGGTCTACTGACGCGTCGTCTGCATTGTCAATGACCAGAAGCCAATTTTCCGTGGACTCGAGCAATGCCTTCCCAGCCTCTTGGCTTTTTTCCAGCCCACTCAGCCCTGCAATTTCGGAGTATGACTGGCGTACGGAGTCCTTATTTTCGGCACTCAACCAGAACCTGGCCCCGAACCTGCAATAATACTGAGTATTTCTGCGCGAGAAAGTTGTCAGTCAAGTGAGTTGCATACTTACGTGTTCTTGTGAAGCTCCGCAAATTTCAAAGCCACCTGAGTCTTCCCTGACCCACCAAGGCCAAACAATATGAAGACAGCACGCATCCTGTTGTGGACTTTGCAATTTGGCGTACGCACTAGGCAGTCTTGAAGACGCACCAGAAGTGACTCCCGCCCAGTAAACTTGTGGCTTGCTGATCGTGGTATATTGGAGAGTTTGCCTAAGAATGGTTTCAGCGCTAGAGAACTTTCGTGTGCTTGTGACGACCGGTTTACCTTCCCAGTATCTCCCATTGGATATTTGGTTAAAGGTCTGGTTGATAACACTATGCGATGCCTTAGCAAATGTCTTTGGAATCCCTGAGTGCGGCAAGAAAGCAGATACTCACGGTTCATTGATTGACACAGCTTGAATACCAATCTTGGATTCACCGCTCAATTCATTGTGGAAATTCTCCATCTTCGCGCGACTCAGTGACGGGGCCCAGGACTAGTAGATTTGCATAATGATGTTCGATCTCAAAACGACTCTTCGCCGAGGCATGAAGGCGCTGGCGCTCCATTATTGAAATCAAGGCACTGCTGCCTTCTGTAATTCCAGGCGATTCTCGTAGTGTATCAGTACGGTAACTCACTGCCACACTCGTAGATGTCAGGTGGGTGCTCGCTTACTGAAGGCGACATCAAATCCAACGCCAACTGCTGAATTATGAGCCAAATCGTTCAGCCTGCATAATTTCCAGCCATAATCGCGCAGCCTGCATATTTGTAGGCCATGAGAACGCAGCCTGCATATTCTCAGCCAGAAGCTCGTATCACAGCTTTCGTGGTGTTGTGGCACTCTTGTATAACCATGCATTGAAGAAATGCCTCATTCTTGTCATTTCAGCCGATTGGTGATGACTGCAGATGCACTCACTGGATCTAGCAGAATGAACAGTCTTGAGGTGACGCATCGGACGAATTTCCACCCGTGAATGTCTATGGCGGCCCTTTTGTCTGCCTTTTGATGAATATGAACTTGCCCCGGACAAGTGAAATCTTCAAATACTTGTCTCATACATCACTCTGATAATTTCTTTCATCCAGTGCCTCTGCATAGATAGATCGAGATGGAATCTCTTGGACTCGCCTTTAGCGCTGCTGGAGCCTTGACCCAGGTACTCGAATGCTTCGAGTATGTCTATGTAGCTCGGAATTTCGGCAACGACTACCAGATCTACCAATTGAAGCTTGACAATGCAAGGCTTCGACTGTCCAGGTGGGGCTCATCGGTGGATCTGAAATCAGCACCCAAGCAAGAGCAGGACCAAGCCATACGAGCGTTGCAGAAGATCTATGATCTCTTCACGAAGACCGAGGAGCTTTCAGACGAGTTCGCAAAGAAGAATCACAAGCAAAAATACTACGCCGGGTCCCAGGAGCCACCTGAATCGAACCGGCTCGACAAGATTACAGAAGCTTTGCATGAGAAGATGCGCGACCTGTCTCTCTTACGCGAGCGTCAACCCTCCAAATCGACCCTCAAGAAATCCAAATGGGCTATATACTCCAAAGAACACATGGCTAGCCTGACTGAAAATCTCACAACCCTCACCACCGAGCTTGTCGAGCTCTTCCCAAATGCCAGGGAGGAGCAGAAAAAGCTGTGCGAAATTGAGATGCTGGGCTTTCTTGACAACATCCGCGTTCTGAGAGAAGCCATTGGGGAACAAGATGGCATCCTTGCAGAAGAGTTGAAGAGGATTTTGGAGCCAAGAGTAAGAATGATTTCAAAATCCGTGTGATACTCAGTTCCGCAGACTCTAATTACCCTCCCAGGAGCGAAGCATCAAGTTCCAAAACAATCTGAAGGACAATGCAAAAATAGGTGCCATGATGGATACAAATGCGGGGAAAATAGATCAAAAGTTTTGATAGCCTTAGTTACGATTCTTCACATCAATTATTGCTTCTCAAGTGGTTTTATCCTGAGACTTGACCAACAGTGGATGGTCTATTGAGCAATTCTAAATCGGCCTTTCAAAGCTTTGGGGTCCCAGCTACCATGAGAATAGTTTCACACCTTCTATAACACTCTCGTTAGATTCGTCAGCATTAGTTTCCCTTTGGATGAGGATCTCCACTCATTGATAACTGTGGGTAGCTGTTCCTCCCCGACTGTGTGATGGCGGGGTAGGCACACACTTCCCACACTTGTCGCCTGAACAAGTACGGAAATGCAGCTGACCTGGAAAAGTTAGTGTGTGCTTTTCCAGCACACACACTAACTTTTCCAGCATCGTGTGCGACCCTACTTTGGTTACCAGTCCAACGTACCTTATTCGGACAGTAAACACAACGACATTCTCTTATATCTTGTACCAATCTCGGTCATAAGTTGCTTTATATCACTCGCATACAATTCTTTATTGATTCCGACTTTTGACAATTTACGCCTAGAACAAAAAGACAAACACCCGTGGAACATCTTCCAAATATCAAAAGACTCCGGAAACCGTTGAGTCGTGGGTTCCCAGGAGATTTTCCATCGTCGCAGAACAATAACTTCGATGTACAATAGGGAGGTTATCAACCGATTCCACTCCTGAAAACATCATGGCCAAACCTAATGATACCATAGCCATCATTATCGTCATATTGGTGATAATCCTTGCGGCTATTGGGGCTTGCATCTGTGGACTGGTACGAACAGTGCGAAAAGATGTGAGCTGCTCATCTTATGGTCCACCATCCAGCTCAACGTCATCAATACGCCAAGACCCAGGTCGCCGTCGAGGCGCTGACGGTCTCCATGGCCCTCGGGGTTTCCTGGGCCTTTACCATTTCCGGCGCCATGTCGATCTCCCGCGCCGTAAGAATTTGCGATTCCCGAGGGATCTTAGGCCAGGTAGGCAAGACGTGCCAACAACGGTCCCTGATAGGCCAAGAAATCCACCTTCGAACACTCCATCATAACACGACAAATCATCCAGCTTATTATCCGCGACCTGATCTCGCTCATGTCAAAGATTTATAAAACGTCCCGCCACACAGTCTTTGTCAACGAGAGCTCCGATTTGCTTGGGTCCAACCCGGTCATATAAGCCGGGCCAGGCAGGTTAGTGGGCATGAAAGCATGAACACGGTCCTCAAAGGCTAGTTTGAGGAAGGTTTTGGGGCGTCATAGGCATGGAGCCATCAATATTTCAATGAGGTGCGACTCTTTTGAGTGTATTTGAAGCTGCTGGAGCTTGTTGATCGATGCGTGGCCGTGCTTATGAGTGAATATTTGGCTCAATGACGGCTGCGGGTGACATTCATTATTTGTTGATAGATCCATCGTTGGCCTGTAAATAGGGAGCATTGCAACCTTGCGTCATGTAGAAAAGCATGGGGCACTTGGGGTGCTGCTGAAGCAGAAGAGTCCTCGAAGGCAATGTGACCAGCTATTGGAGATGGATGTCGGAAAGTTATTCCGCGTGATACTTACTCAATATCCTCGTTACGTCGGTCAGTGACTTGACACATGCCCGAGTCCTGATGAGCTGCCTTCAAGGAACGCATGTGCGGCGAGTGGAATTTTTAATATATATATTTTTGGTTACTAATGGCATATAATGGATGAAGGGGGTATATGTGGTGGATTAATTGAGAGCAGAGTATTGAGCTGAGACAAGGCATCCTTTCTTGAGATTCCAAACTAAGGCTTGTCAATAGCCGGAACCCAAATACATTTCCAAACGACCTTATCTACGGCGGACCGGACCATCTGCTTGCACCAAGACATGTCGCCATCAATCGTACAGAAGCTGCGGCTTCTTCAACGATGTTCGATAGCATGTCCTGATCTCGATCACAAATACCAAACGGAGGACGGAATCCATGAGCACCCAGGGTATGAAGACTCTCTTGCTCACAGCGTAATTATCCGTCTTCCCTTGGCCTTGTGAAGGCCCCCCCCCCCCTTTTCAGCACCACACGACAAGTGGGTCGAGTGACTTGTCCTGATCACAATCTTCCCGGCCATCCCCTTGAGTAAGTCAGCAAACGCAGTGACTGTTCCTTCCTTTTTCCTGCTCCCGCAACTTCTATTTCAAAGAGGCTTCTTAGAAGCTTTCTCAGTCACCAAACACAAATGCATATCACAAGTGCGCATCACCAAAATTTCTGAAATCTGATACAACACTCAATGAAGATGAACCATATCAATATTTTCACAAAAGGCGCCTTAGATCGGACCACGCAGTCCAGTATTATGCCAGATATTGCTCTAGGAGGTAAACGAATTTTGTCCATCTAAGATGCCTGCAGAAATTTTAACATAAGTCTACACAGACACGGGCCCGAAGAATGACAATGACGACCTCCTTGCTGCAAAGAAAGCAAGCTCAACCGCCATGCAAACCGACGCCTCGGCGAGAACCTTCCACCGATTCGGCGATCTGCCCCCAGAAATTCGAGCCAAGATCTGGGCAATGGCCTGGCCTATGCGCGCGGCTATCCCGTACATAAGCAAGCCTGCGCCTAAGTTCAACTGTAAAGGCCGTCGACCCTGCGAGTGTTGCCACGGGTGCAACTTTTTACCACCCCTTCGTGCTCCCACGATCATGCAAGCTTGCCGCGAGGCACAAATCGAAACACAGAAAATTTCGAGGCCACTGACTGTGTGGGCGGATGAAACACACCTATTGTCCAGGCTGAGGCCCAGCTGGACCAACGCTCAGCTAGATGACTTTGCTCAAAATGTTGTCTTCAGGGATGAGATGGTCCGCACGAAGTTTTGGTTCAATAAAAATACCGATGTAATATTCTTCAACGGGGAGTCCATAACTCGTCTGTCGATTGTTTCTGGCCCATTCAATTACGATGACGTCTTCCAGGCAGCTCTCGACCCTGCCACTACCTTTCTCCTTCATGTAAATATCCTTGATGCATGGATGGAGCCCGAAGATGGATTTCGTTTTCTGCAAAATGGACTCCGGTCTCTCTACGATCGATACCTCAAAACCAGAGACCACATCTATATCTGTGTTGGTGGGTTGCCGATCCTTTTGTACACCGACGAGGGACGGCGCAGGGCCGTTCGTGAAGGTCTGTTCTCCGGCGACGATGAAGAGCTCCGGTTTGTTCCCGTCAATGACAAGGCACTGATCAAGAAGTACGAGGCCTCGCGGCATGATTGTCACCGGCACATTAGGCCGTCAAACAGACTCGACTTGTCTGACAATCTCTGGCATGACGAAAACAATATATGCCAAGCCAGGAGAAAGGCTAAATCATGGTCTGATCGGTGGATATCAAATCGACTAGTTCCTTCCAGGGAGAATCTTTCGGATGCACAGCTGGTCATGCTCCAGATAGCTGACTTCTTGATGTGGGATAAAGGACTTGGCTACGGCAAGGGTGAAGAGATCATGGAGCTGGACGGTCGTCTCAAGAAGGACCACCCACTAGTCCAGGAGCATCAGTTCAGGCTGCCGGAGTTCACTCCAGTACTCGTCTTTGAGACGATGACACAAGAAATGGGCGACTGCAGCATCATGCTAGACCGGCTACCCAGTATGCGTCCCAAATACCCCGAAGAGGATTCGTCGCGCGCAAGACTCTTCTTGCGTCGCTGGTGGCTGCGTCGCTGTTGGGATCCTCTAATGGAGCTATGGTCAAGATTCCGCTGATATTCAGCTGACCCCCCCCCCCCCCCCGGGGTGCTCTCTTGAACAGGGAAAGCAGAAGGTATTATCCTTGAGATATACCTCGAAAGACACATGCATGCTATGAGATCTTCTCGTAGTCTATGGAGGCGAGAAGTGATCATTTGCAGACGGCAAAATCATTCTTCATAGAAGTGAGCATCGCTACTGTATAAACATGTCTAACCTTCAATTTTGGTCGCTTGAGATGAATCAATTCCGCTAGGCCCTGTCTGAAAATGAATGAATTATTCCTGCTCTTGAATTTCTCTCACATCATCTCCTTCCAAGATTCTTGCATTAGAAATTCTGAGACTACGGAATCGCTCAATTAAGACATCTCCGACTTCAAATACGCACACGGGCGTGTACAAAGGCAGCCTGATTTGGAACTCCTTCACAAACGGATGTCCATGCTTGAGGCTCCCGTCACGCCGGAGGATTCTTCCTCCTTGACGAGGACCCGCCCCATGACACTCCAGTGCAAAGTCCGCGATATGCACCTGAAACAGTTGCGCATCGGTCAGCTCTACCCTGAAGTTGGGCAACCGCGTGGCGACAGACCACGCGAGTGTGTTTTGAGCACGCCTGAACCGCCACACATTGTTCATCACAGCAACCATGAAGATGATGATGATGACGATGACCGATTCTGTCCTTTCATGCCGGCGGCGGTGGCTGCTATACTCCAGCAGCTCAAGGTACCTCACCAGTTTCTTTTTGTCATTCACATCGACGAGTCGGCTCTCCGCCTCGTAGCCAGCAAATAATTTCCGTTCGTAAGCTATCTTCCGCCCTTGAGCCGTCAAAGTAAGAAACATGTACCACACGCGGATGTACACATGCATCCTTGGCCTGAGATAATTCCAATACACCAAGTTGAGCATCGCTGCCCCTTCCCTGGGGTCTAGGTAACAGTCCAGCATGTTTGCATCGACCATGATCGCCTTCCGTGGGTCAAGGGCGGCGGTCAAGGGATCGTCACCCCTGAACGGGCCAGCGAGCGATATCACGCGCTTGAGGCTGCGATGGTGCAGCCAGAACAAGTCGGTCTCGCGGTTGTACCAGAAAGCGCGCCGGTGGCGCAAGAGCCGCAACAGCTGCCCGTTGGCCGGCATCCTGGTCCAGACCGTCACCGTCTTCGCCGTCGATCTCTGGATGCAGCTCTGGATCAGGTGGCTCACCAGAGACAGCGACGCGGGACGGCTTGTCGGGACGTTCAACATCGGTATGCACCCGAGGCATGAGAATATTCCTGGATCCACCGTGCATGACCTCACCAGGCGCGTGGGCCAGGCCCTTTCCAAGATGTCCAATTTTAATTCGTATGGTAAGTCTGGAAATAGGTGGAATTCTTTTTTCGCCGTCGTAATGCAAGATTTGTCCTTGGTAGCTTCGTCGTGGAGGTCGGCATGGTTGAGGTTGTAATCGTCCAAGTAGATTTTGAACAAGCAGTCCTCGCACAATAACGGTTCTTCCGCACAATCACAGACTGGAGGGGAATTTCGAGTCGATAGTTCCTCAAATTCGATGACATATGATGTATTGTTGCGTGCGGTGGGTACTTTCTCGAACACTTCGGAACCAAAAAAGCTGTCCTCGAGCAACAGGTCATAGCTTCGGAGTTCATGGCCTGACTGCGTCGGGTATTTCTCAAGGGAATAGAGCTCATCGTTTGTTGAGAAAACGCGACAACGGGATGAGTGATTTTCTGGTATGGAGGGGTCGACTTCATTCAAGGATCCATTCATTGATATAGACAAAACTTGTAAGAATAGGTACAGGCCAGTGATTATGAAATAAGCCCGACGATAGTTGGATGGGGCCATGCGTTTGGAGAGGCCAGTATTCTTTGCAAGCATGATGTTCACTACCAAGTAGTGTTGTTTGATATTGGTATTTCGATAGATGGCGATAATACGGAATTACCATTAACAGCAGTTACTGAGACCAGGATTTGCTTTCAATTATTATAGATACTGAGAAGATTAGGACAGAGTTCGGTGGAAAGTCTTTTTTTTAAATTAGTGTCGGCACCACTCCTCATACCTGTCACCGGGAGCTATCTCCCCCATAGTCAATCGTAGGGTGAGTCCACGTTCCCATTCCCCACAAGAGGCTTTGTAGAGGAGGGCCTTTACTGTCAGCGCAGCCCCGAGCATGCTGATAATAGACCGATAAGGGCGTAGACGGTACGCCAGAGCAGTCAGCAGATTAGCAAACGTTCAGAGCAAAAATGTCAGGAGGACTTGACCCCAATTTCAGATATGGCTCGACAAAGAGAATATTGTAATCTGTTTTTGTGTGTGTTCTGTCTTGATTTGGGAGAGGCGGATCAACTGCGACGTCTTCCCGAGACATATCAGCCACGCAACTTCCTCTCACCCAGTGAAGCTCCCCCTGGATCAAACGGAGAGGGCTTGAAAAGTCTAAGATATGAGATAGAGACAAAATTGATCGCCCTCGGCACACCAGAGCCAGATCTTCAAGCCGGGTCAACTACCCGAGCAAGAGCAATTCTACTCACGGGAGATGTTGAACGCGGAGATATTCCCCCGATTCAATGACGAACAACCCGAAATAGGGTGGAGAGCTTATGACAGATGATTGAGGCAGGACATAGGATTCACAAGGTTGTCCTCAACGACTCAGACCGTCCATGGGTGGGGCCACGTTACAAAGGGCCATCACGGCTTTCAAACCTGCGTCACAACTCTCAGCACACATATCAGCCATAGTTTGGGAAAGCGTCCTCATTTGCTTCTAAAACCACAGCATTGAGACTGGATTGAAGAAGTACTCTGGGTGTTGGCTGGGTCACGTGTTCGAATACGATGCGCGTTTGGGGATGTTGGTGTTGATTTGTGTGTGTCGTTTTTTACTTAGCCACAGGAAGCAGCCGAAGGCTGCATCCCTCCAAGGCCTACTTATGGGTGTAGGCCCAACTGACCAATCTGCCCACTACAAATGCTGATGCTACTTTTCCCGCACTGGGAGAACAGCTTGATTTATATATCTATCAACAGGAGTGCGTTGCACGTGACTTCTTTAGTTCGATTAAAAAGAGCCGGTGGATTCATTCGGACAAACGATCGATTTCTAAATATTGAATGGCCTCTGACTTAAGAATCCACAATTCATCCATTCACGGAGCAAAGAGAGGGAAGCCGACTAGAGTATGTATCTTCAAAACGTGAAATTCATTATCGTCTACTAGGATTGTGCTGAAAAGACAATCCTTTTTCTCTCTTTGAGATACTACTACAGTACATCCAGGCTGAAGGACGATATTACCGCTCGTGTAGCGACCTGCGAATATGAGGTGTCAAAACCCGAAGAGACCCGTGCCAAACTCCTGTAACCACTTTTATGCGATCGCCAATCCTGCATTTCCCAATTGCCCATGCCGTGATCGAAGAATTTAGTCGACCTCCTCCATGGCGCTGTCGCCAGTCTCAGCGGCAGGCGTAGAGTCAGATGCGGTAGGAGCATCGGCGGCGGCCTCAGGCTCCTCATCCAGGTTCAGACCCAGAGACACCAGCTTGTGGATACGCTCGGCGAAGCCGGCGGGCTCATCAATGGTGAAGCCAGAGACAAGCAGGGAGGTCTCGAACAGCAGCTGGACGATGGACTTGACGGTCTTGTCGTTCTCACCATCGGCCTCGACCTTCTTCTTGAGCTCCTTGACGATCGGGCTCTTAGGAGAGATCTCGAAGGTCTTCTTGGAAGACATGTAGCTGGACATGGAGGTGTCACGGAGGGCCTGAGCCTTCATGATACGCTCCATGTTGGCAGACCAGCCGAACTGACCAGTGCGGATGGCGCAAGGAGAGCCAACAAGCTTGTGGGAGACGACGACCTTCTCGACCTTGTCGCCGAGCACGTTCTTGAGAGCCTTGGTCAGGTCCTCGTACTCCTTCTCCTCCTCCTCACGCTGCTTCTTCTCCTCCTCGGTCTCCTCGAGCTCGAAGTCCTTGGTAATGTCAACCAGCTTCTTGCCCTCGAACTCCTTCAGCTGGGTCATGGCGTACTCGTCGATAGGGTCAACCAGGAACAGGACCTCGAAGTCCTTCGCCTTGAGAGCGTCAAGGAAGGGAGACTTGGCAACAGCGGCGAGAGACTCGCCGGTGATGTAGTACATGTTCTTCTGGTGCTCAGGCATGCGAGTGACGTAGTCGGCCAGAGAGGTCTGCTCATCACCAGACTTGGTGGAGTTGAAGCGCAGAAGCTTGGCCAGGATCTGGCGGTTCTGGGAGTCCTCGTGGATACCGAGCTTCAGGTTCTTGGAGAAGGCAGTGTAGAACTTGTCGAACTGCTCCTTGTCCTCAGCGATCTCCTGGAAGAGCTCGAGGGCCTTCTTGACAATGTTCTTCTTAATGACCTTCATGATCTTATTCTGCTGGAGGGTCTCACGAGACAGGTTGAGGGGCAGATCCTCAGAGTCGACAACACCCTTGACGAAGCTGAGCCACTCGGGAATGAGCTCGGTGGCATCGTCAGTGATGAAGACACGACGGACGTAGAGCTTGATGTTGTTCTTGGTCTTCTTGGTCTCAAAGAGATCGAAGGGAGCGCGCTTGGGCACGAAGAGGATGGCGCGGAACTCAAGCTGACCCTCGACAGAGAAGTGCTTGACGGCCAGGTGGTCCTCCCAGTCGTTGGACAGCGACTTGTAGAAGGCAGCGTACTCCTCCTGGGTGATGTCGGTAGGGTTGCGAGTCCAGATGGGCTTCTGCTTGTTCAGCTCCTCCTCCTCGATCTTGGTCTCCTTGATCTTCTTGGTCTTAGGCTTCTTCTCCTTGTCCTCCTCCTCGTCGTCAACCTCCTCGATCTTGGGCTTCTTGTCATCACCCTCCTCGGTGGTCTCGGTGGCCTCCTCATCAGGGACCTCCTTCTCCTCCTCCTTGGTGACGTGGAGGTAGATGGGGTAGGAGATGAACTCGGAGTGCTTCTTGATGACCTCCTTGATCTTGGACTCGTTGAGGTAGTCAACCTGCTCATCCTTCAGGTGGAGGATGATCTTGGTACCACGGCCAAGCTGCTCGCCCTCAGTGTCGGTGGAGATGGTGAAGGTACCACCGGCGCTGGACTCCCAGACGTACTGCTCGTCATCGTTGTTCTTGGACACAACAGTGACGCGGTCTGCCACGAGGTAGGCAGAGTAGAAACCAACACCGAACTGACCAATCATGGAGATATCGGCACCTGCGGTCAGGGCCTCCATGAACTGCTTTGTGCCGGAGCGGGCAATTGTGCCGAGGTTGTTGACGAGGTCCTGCTCGCAGGTTAGTACACTGTGATTACAACACGATTTCAGGTTGGAGAGTTGGTACTTACAGCCTTGGTCATGCCGATACCAGTGTCGCGGATGGTCAGGGTCTTGTTCTCCTTGTCGGGGATGATGTCGACACGGAGGTCCTTGCCCGAGTCCAGCTTGCTGGGGTCGGACAAGGCCTCGTATCGAATCTTGTCAAGAGCATCTGATGCGTTGGAGACAAGTTCTCGCAGGAAGATCTCCTTGTTTGAGTAGACGGTGTTGATGATCAGCGAGAGCAGCTGAGAAATCTCAGCCTGGAACTCGAAGGTTTCGCCAGACATCTTGGAGGTTTCGTAACGTCGTCAATTACTGAAGGATCAACAGTCAGCAAAGTTGAAATTTGTTGTTGCGAGTCAAACAAAGCAGCTCTGCGCATTGCAATGCGGTGCGGCAGTGTGGATAGAGCGATGATGAGGGCGGGTGTTTGGTGGAGGTCACTGTGGAAACAAGCAGTGCAAACGGAAGCCTTGTTTGCTAGCAAGCGCTTTGCTTCCTGCAATTGAGCGTCGCCACAGATGAATTCAAGCAGAAAGATGCAGCGCGGGTGTGTTTCCAGTCCAGAACCTTGCGCCGCAATCTCAAGCTTGAAACCATCTGCACCAGACTAGAAGCTGGAGAGAGCTCGCTCAGGCGCAGGGCAGGCTGAGGCGGGGGGGGGGGGGGGGGGAAGGTGAAGCTGATTCATGTGGTGGTGGGGCCTGGGTTTAGGTCTGCTTACCTTTGGGTATCACTGAAAGCGAAGGGGAAAGAAAACTTTGTGGAATCGAATCTTGCGATGCGATGTCTGAGAGGGAAGGGAGAATGGGGATTTCTGCAGTTGATGAAGATGGGAAGTGGTGAGAATTTGTGAGGTTGGGAAGAAAGAGGTTGGCGTTGCAGAGCAGCAGGCAGAGGGGAGCTCAAATACGTACATCGAGGCTTTGCCCATGGAAATTCTAAGAGTTTCTACGGCGCCTTTCCCGTTTTGATTGGCCCGACAGGGGTGGTGCAGACCCACTGGCTCTGGCTCTGGAGGGGGACCCTGCAAATGCAAAAATATCGATGGATCTTTCTCGCCGCAGCCGTCCAACCTGCACAGATCAGAAATCCGAAAGAGGGGCCAAGATCGGATCTGGAAGGAGGTCTATTCCTGATTCGAGATCTGCGGAAGCATCTGTCGGCGTCGTGGAAATATCTGGGGCGTGATGGACTCTGCTGGACACGTCCAGAAGCTACCCGTTTGCGTTCACGGCCCTGCTGTGCTCCAGCGGCAGCCTCACCTGCACTCACTGTAGCTATCTCGGGGTCAGGGGCCGCAATTCGGTCCGTGCCACCTTGCCTCTGCCTAGCAACCGCCCGCCTCGGAAAATGAGGCTGAAAGCTTCATCCGGCAGGCAGACCACATCCATCTACGGTATCTATCAGCCATCATTAAGTGCTGCCGTCGTTGTCGTCGTCGTCTCGTCTGCACTTCACCCTGTAGCCACAGCCACACACCGTCGCCGAAGTTCTTGCGTTTCATTCTGCAAGGCTCGTCTTTGGACCGTATGCGTGCCTAGTCAGACAGGCACTTAGACCCATCTGGGGAGTTGGGCAAAAGCTTACTTGCATGTACCACTAGGCTGATTCATAGGCAAATTCGCGCCACTTGATTTGTTGAATTTCCACAAGACTCAGCCAGAGAGCTGTTGCCTGTCGAGCCACAGAAATTTAATCTGCAGTGCTACCTCACACTGGGCTGTGATGTTGCTAGCTAGAATCTTACTATACTGCCCTGTGTTCACCTACTGCCCCGTGGGTTCGCAGATGCAAGTGTAACTCATAACATCCAATTGAGTTGTCAGAACTGACCCCCCCGAAGTACTGTGCTGCCTGCAAGGGCGAATGCCAACAGTAACCCCACAATTCAAATGCTACTAACCCCCAGCCCACTCAGCCTTGCTCTTTCAATTGCCTATCCAGAACATTCTATGTGGGCAGAAGTCAACACATGCTACCCACTTGCTCTGTGATAATCTCGTCATGAGCATGTGTGGCCGAAAGTGGAGTCCAACGGGTCCCGCGCAGGGTGTCCGGTTCCATTAGTTGGGCGGCGCTGGGACAAGAAAAATTGAGAAGACAACGCGCGGTCTTGGTTGTATAGTACTCGAATAAGAGTGTGATCAGGTATTTTATTGTTCATCTTTATAGCTTCCTGTGGACATGCCCATAGGCAATGAAACTCGCTAGGCTAGCCGAGATCATATTGCCTTGTCAAAGCCTGTGCTTTCTTCGCTACTCTTACTTTCCTGTCTATCGAAGGCACTACGCCCCAGCTCAGGACTGCCTCTGCTAGCCTTGCTCACGGATGCAGCATTCGCACGTGTTAACCATAGCTCACTGGGTCGCCTTCCTCCCTAGTATGAAGTCGTCGAGTCGCAGACCGAATCTCGTTCCCAACAGTCTTCAATCCTGTAATAACAGGTACCCCTTCGATGGCAACGTGTCGGTGACTGCTATGAAGCATGTGGCCTGCATCCCAGGTTCCATATCCTTTGGCGGAGATCAGTCTCTTCTGTGTTGTCTCACACTCAAATAGACATTCATCAACTTTCGTCGTGGGTCTTGTGACCTGCCGCGAGGAGAGCTTCTCATGGGGCGCCGGCCGGCCTGCAGGGATGACTTGCTGTCTCCGCGAGGCAGTTCGAGGGCCTGGTCGTTCTGACCACATGACTATCAGGCTTGAGGCATTGCCTGCAGTTGAAGGCATATCCCACGCCATTCTTTCTGGATTTGACGAGACCTGACAAGGTCAAGGCCTCTGCCGTAGTTGATAATAAAAAGGATTCCAATCCGCATGGCTTTCAGTCGCCACTTATCTTTGCGTGCCTGAAGTATTTCATGCCCACCCACGCGATAACCACCCAGACCCATGCCATCACACACGTCAGGATGATCAAGGCCGGATAGTAGCCTGTGATGGGCAGCGTCGGGTCGTCCTCCAGCTCGGGGGGCGCATACGGCGTCGTGCCGACGTCCCACGCCCAGCTCCAGATGCTGAAGCAAGAGCCCATGCCTATTACAAACACCACCCAGGTGACGACTAGGATCACCCATCCCCACCATTCCGTCTCCGAGTAGTCCCAGTCGTCATCAGTGGGCAGCAGAGGCGTAGATGCCAGCCCGGACAGACTCAGAGGCGACCTGGCCCGGCTGATCGTCCGCCGGCGCGGCAGCGAGCCAAAGTAGCCATCGGACCCGGAGCTCAGGCTCGCCAGCTCGGGGCCTTTCCTGCTGCCCGCGTTCCTCCCCATATGCAGCACGTCCTCGTCATCCGTCGTCGTGTAGCTCATCGTGGGGCTCGTGGGCGTGGGCTCGTCGACCTCGACCTTAGGCTTGGGCAGGGCCGCGGCAGCCCCGGACGCAGTGCTGTCGCGCAGCATGTTTGTCGCGGCAGCCACGGCCGGCGCGTTGCGGCTCGCGTACCCGTCCATCGAGGGCCGGGGCGTGATGTCCGAGATGCCGAGGCCGAAGGCGCCGCCTTCCTCTGTGGGTGTGCTCATGCTGTATGTCTCTGCCTGCTTGACGTCGATGCTTAGGCTGGCGCGGTGGGCCTCGCGCCGCTCGCGCTGGGCGCCGCGCCCGAGGAGGGCGACTTTTCGGAGGGACCCGCGGCGGCGCCTCGTCTTCTGCTGCTGCAGTGCGGTCGCGATGGAGGAGGGGGCCCGCGGTGTGGGCATGTAGATGGTGGAGGCCGGGGATCGGTTCTCCTTCTCGCGCTGGTGGGTTGGGTCGTCGAGCTCGTTGTGTTCGGAGGAGTGGGCGCGCATGAAGGAGAGTTTGGAGAGGAGGCCGCCGCCAGAGGACATGCGTCTGTGGCCGGGGCGGTTTGGATCTGTGGCACCAGCACCTTGGTGGGTGTCTTGGGTCGAAGGTAGCGGCTCCATGATGGATCGATCGGGAGCGGCACAGGCGATAGGCGATCCGCCCGAGCCAGGCAGACTGGCAGACTGCTTCACAGGCCACAGACCACAGGCGGGCTGATGTCAGATGTCAGATGTCAGATAAGATGAGGTCAAGAAAGAGAGAGAGAAGCTTCCGCCCCACATGTTTGGAATTGGAACATGTGAAATCCGAGCAGTGGTCAATTATGGCGGAGGAAGACGAAAATGCCTGGGGCATGTGCAGTTACAGTAGTCGGCAGCATGGTAATCTCGAGCGTATGATGGGGTGTGGCCTAGATGAAATCCGCAACCAGAGAAATCAGCGATCCAATGCGACTCTGTGTATCCGCACCTGTCCGCACCTAGTCTACCTACAGTAACAGTAGTCAGCTACTGTACCTAGCAGGTCCTAGCTACTGCAAATAGACTACACAGACTACTGAACTAAGACTAGAACCTTGAGTGCCTGCCGAGAGGACCTATCAGACCTGTCAGGACCCCTGACTTAGCGGCCCTTTTCCCCTGAACCCTTGCTCCTGGCCACCAGCAGCAGCGGAATTGAAGTCAATGCACCCAGGCCAGGGAGGCATCATCATGCCAGTGCGTGCCCGCTTCGCACTGCACGGGGGGCGGGCGCGATGGCCTCGACGTCGAGCCGTCCCTGTCTCGGTCAGGCCTCGTGGTCTCCTCATGAGACCTGTGAGGCTCTTTCCTGCGATACACGAATCTTCACCACTTCAATTGATGATTTCTTCAACACATCGTCATCAGCTCCCGTCACCGTCACCGGACAAGCATATCTGCAGATCGCCGCCCATAGTTGCAATGCGCTAGACTGAATCCAGCAGTTGGGCTGCTTCTTCCAAGGCCCACTATCCCCAGACCGATCGCGAGCGCGACCGCCATCAAAGAGATAGATCCTCCGTGTGCCTCCCCTCCTCTCTGTGCCGTCTTCCCGTCCGAGAAAGGCACATGGCGTCTGGCCTGCCGCCAGACTTCCCTCCACCATCCCCGACTCCTCCCCTTCTCGTCGAGCCGCCCCCTGAGGACGAAGTCGTCGACCTCGACCTCGCCCTCGACAGCGACTTCGACGTCGACCGCCCCGCTTCGCGTGCCAGCGCCACCAGCAGCATCGGCAATTGGAATGACATAGGCGGCTTGCTGCTCTCACCGAACAGCGCCTCCCTCCTCAGCCCCGACACGCCACGAAGCATCCGGCGCCCAGCCAGCAGCATGTCGACCGAATCAGCCCTCTCTGAGAATGGCCTCGTCCCAGCCGCCCCGGCCCCAGGGCCCTTCAACTTCCAGACTCAGTCCATGTCCACCTCGCCAGTGAGGTCGGTACGTTTGTCCCAACCCATGATACACCAAAGATGCGCAGAATGAGCTTGACTGACATTGACTATGACGACCAGAACATCGGTCAGCGCCGTGGCCACAGGTACAAACACTCCTCCATAAGCACCCAGCACCAGATCTTTCAGGAGCCACCACCGCGACCGCCGCCCGTCCTCCCCGCCTCCCTCCCCGTGCCGACGCTCAAGGAAGCATGGGGCTCGATGCATAAGGACCAGCGGGTCCGGCTGTACTGGAGTCTCTGCCACGCCTGCGTGGCCGGCTACGTTTTCTTCAGCGCGGGAGGGTCCTTAGCCATGACGGCGCTCTCGCACCTGGTCTTCTTCGATGTTGGGTCCGCCGCCATCTGCGTGTGCGTCGACGTGCTGGGCAACTTCGAGGTGTGGCGGCGCAGCTCCATCCGGCACCCCTTCGGCCTGCAGCGCGTCGAGGTGCTGGCCGGCTTCGCCATGAGCGTCTTCCTTGTCTTCGGCGGCTTCGACCTGCTGAGCCACAACTTCAAGCACGTCCTCGAGAGCGTGGGCTCGCACGCGCCGCACCACCCCCACGGCCACGGCCACGGTCATGGCGGGGACGAGGGCGCTGTTAGTGCCGGCGCGGTCGACGTGGCCACCCTCGCCGCCGTCCTGAGCACCCTTGTATCGGCGTACGGCCTCAAGAACCACGCTCGCATCCGCCGCGTCATGCGGCCCAGCTATTTCGCGTCCTTCCTGCCCGAGATCCTCGCCAACCCCTTCCACTCCCTCACGCTCTTCTTCAGCTTCCTCATGCTGATGCTGCCCCTGCTGCCGATGGGGTCCTTCGCCTGGCTCGACAAGCTCATCTGCGTCGCCATCGCCGTGTCCATGTTCGTGCTCGGCATGCGCCTCGCGGTGGCCCAGGGCCTGATGCTGCTCATGTCGTACAGCGGGCGGCAGCACAAATCCTCCATCAGCACCTCATCCTCAGCGGTGGCGGCGACATTCGGCGTCAGCGGCGCCAAGCATGGCGGCAACAGCGACGCCGACGATGTGGTGCGCGAGATCGAGTCGGAGCCCAACGTGTCGCGCGTCGACGAGGCCCAGTTCTGGCAGGTCCACTACGGCCTGTGCATGGCCACGCTCAAGCTGTGCGTCGCCCGCGGCTGCGACGACGCCGCCCTGAGCCTGCTGCGCCAGCGCGTCGGCCGCATCGTACAGAACAGGCTGGGCGAGGGGTACGGCAAGGGAGGGGCGCTCAGGTGGGAGGTTACGTTACAAACGAGTACCGATGCGACCTGAGGGGAACGGTCTTTCTTTCTCCTCTTCTTTTTTTGGTAGATCGGGTAGATGTATACAAGATCTGATTATGAATCAAAATCGTTCGCCATAGACCAATTTCACACTGAATGAAGACCACGGTAACGAAATGTATTTGCGAGTGCGACTTTGGAAGCGAGGAGTATGTAGACTATTTCATGCGTGACACAATAAAATAAGGCGAGGAGGATAGTCCTTGTATGTTCTATACGTAAACCAGCAAGCCTAAACGACCACGCCACACGACCTTGAGGTTGAATATCTTTCTTTGCTCGCAGCTTTAATTGTATACATATGTGTAAGTAATAAGCTGGGTGGGAGGGGATCTCAAAACAATCCAATCAATGAACGACGACCGGCCACACAGAAACTCCTGCCTGCAACACCCCACTGCTGTGATGAGATGTATATATATCATAAGTCATGGCACCCAACGAAACCAACACCAGGCGCTCCTCTTCCGGGGCGGACCAGGCAGGCCTGCTCAGGATTGAATATGTGATCAATCAATCAATCAATCAGCCACTCACTCACTACTTCAGAACAGGCCCCACCGCCCGCCCTTCTCCTTCCTCCCCTCGCGGTCCGCCTTGGCCGACCCCCTCGGGGCCTCGAGCTGGCGCAGGCTCTCCATCTTGTCGAGGACGAGCTCGAGCAGCTCCTTGCGGCGGATGACCTCGAGGTGGCGCTTGATCTTGGGGTCCTCCTTGGCGAAGCGCTCGATCTGGTCGTCGGACAGGTGGCGGCCGAGGCGCGCGTCGAGCTCGCGCGGGAAGTTGTAGTAGAACTCGGACAGCAGCTCGACGTTGAGGAACAGCACCGCCGTTTGCGCGAGCTTGGTCGCCGCCGCGTCCAGGAACACCTCCGGGCAGTAGTACTTGTTGTTCGGGTCCTTGCACTGCCGCGACTTGACCGCCAGCAGCCGCATGTTGATGATGTCTGCGCGGTCGCGCAGGAACACTGCCTCGCGGCCTGTACATAATGTGTCAGCTTGTATGAGTTTGCAGGACGAAATGTGGTGCGCAGTCGACTTACCCTTCTCCAGCAGCGCGGCGCTGAATCCGCCCGCGCCAATCCTCCCGTCGCCCTCAACGATGATATCTCCCTTCCGGCATTTGTCAACAAAACCCATCACCTCCTTCATCTTCCTCCGCCCGCCAACCGCCTTCTCCAGGTTCGTCAGGGCGCTCTGGCACGCGTCCAGCTCACCCTTGAGCACGCCTCCAACGTGCTCCCGGCCGACGTTCCACTCCCTGTCCTCGACGTCGATCTCGAACTTGTAAGGCTTAATACAGTTCTCCACCTGATCACTTGTGCTGTAAAATCTCTCGTTCAGGATGCTTGACGCGGCATTGGTGATTGCCTCACGCGCAAAGGGGTGGTTGGCGAATGTCGATTGTGCAATCAGCTGCTCGATGTGCTGCTGGATTGTCGTGGCCACCGCACTCGTAGCCAGACGACCCACTCCCAGCTTCGTCAGTGACGCAGTGGAGGCGTCGAGCTGGCGGTGCCAGTAGGGGTTGTTAGGATCGGCTTTGGGCAGATCTGCGAGGGAGTCGACCTCTGGAGGTGGTTGGGAAAGGTCGGTGATGGGCTTGTTCCAGTAGCGGAGAGCAAGCAGGTCTAGTACGCGCTGGTCGAGCTCCTTCTTCAATATCTCTTTCATTTGCGGACGGCCGAATTCCTCGGTGAACTGCTTGAAAGAGTGCTTGAAGGCATCGAGACTCTCGGCTAGGTACGACTCTGCCGACAGCGGTCGGTCATTGTACTGAACCTTGAACTCATAGGTGGCCTCTTCGAGCTCCTGTTTTATAGCGTCGTGTGTGCTTTGCAGGCTGGCAGACATGGTCTGCTCAAGGACGTGCATCAACTTCTTGCGCAGCGTCAGCGTGCCGACACTGAGGCCAGCGTCGGGTCCAAACTCTAAAGGATGTGATGAGAAGAAGGCATTTTCGTTCTTGGCAATAGTGGCAGTGAGATTGCTGCCCATCCCCTTGTTGAACAATGTCTTCACGCCAGGTGCTCGAGAGACGACCCCGACGTATCCAAGCCTGAGGGGATACTGCTTGTCTGACAATATGGACGCGCCCCTTATTGGGTCGACCAGGTCCATCTTAGTGACAACACCGATTGTCCTCTCGCCCCTTGGGTCTACCCTCCTGCTTGCCCTCAACGCTGTGGAGTTGGCCAAGTCAACATCTGCCGCAGATATTGCGAGAATCACATTTGGCGCTTGAATGTATTTGTCGCATAGTTCTGCAATCTTCGACTTGAGTTCCAGAGGCTGGTTTTGGCCGACGACCTGGATATAGCCCGGCAGGTCGATCAAAGACAGATCTGGCACACTGGGAGAGTAGATGCTCAGCCTGATGGGATCGTCGGAAACACATTCACTGTCCGGAACAGCCAGGTTGAGATCGGTCAGTGTCCTCTGCACGGAGGAGAAGTCGGATGTCTTCAGGCCTAGATCCGGGAACTCGCCGTACTCGGATTTTGACTCGGGGGTGTTGATCAAAGTGAGCTCGATCGGCCGTCTTGTGACCATGTTTGAGCCCTTGGGGAGGAACTCATGCCCCACGATAGCCTCCAAAACCGAACTCTTTCCTGAAGATTGCGACCCGATGACAACAATAGACGGCAGTGTGAGGGCGCTGGACTGGCCGACATTTGAGAGAATATTCCGGATCTCGATCATCTTCTTGGTGAGTACCATCATCTGGTCGTCGTTGGCGGCTTCTTCTCCATCCCGCTCGTCGTCCACAATCTGAGTCCACGCGCCTGCTGCCGCAGCACCAGTCATGACCTTTCCAGACCTGCTGTGTTTCGGCGGCTCGTCTCCTGGGTCTGGCCCTTTTCCACTGGTGCCTATGTCTTCCTGTAATCGAAGTACCTTCTGCATCCACTCTGGGAGCTCGACCGACTCTTTAGTGTTGTCCCATCCCCTTCCAATTTGGCCCGCTATGTCCTTCGCCCCACCGAAGAAATCTGAAGCGGTATCCATCGCGGTCGACTTCATGTTCCTGTACATCTCCGACGCCGAGTTGCTGACCTCTGCAACCAAGTTAGCACCCAGTCCCCAAGCCCTGGGACACATGACCATTCTTACGTATTGCCTGGTACTGCACCCACGCGACTCCGCCTATCATCAACCCTCCAAACATGGCGGGTATCCTGACGAACTTGACCAGCAGCCTGGGCAGGAACCTCGCGAAGGAGGCGTTGCGCACGATGACCGCATTGTGGAAGGCACTGCCCGGGGGCCACATGCGCTGTCTCGTCGCGTGGATGGCTGCATCGGCGCGTTGAAGGCCTCCGGTGGGGAGTCGGAAGCGGTGGTAGTGGCGGACGGCGGCTTCAGGGAGATTGGCGGCGGCGCGGCGCGTGGTAAGGGGCAGTATCCCCGCTGCCAGGAGCCGTCCACTCATGGTGGTGGCGGTTGAAGAGGACGCAGGTTGGTTGGAGATGGCATATAAAGCTGGAGGGCTCTGGAGGTCTGGGGAGGCTGGTCTACTTTGTCGTCTGGGGGGGAAACGAGCAGTGTTGTGTAGGAGTTGTAAAGTTGTTGCATGAAGAGAGCAGCTTGAAGTGCGGTCAGTCACAAAGTGGCGTGGAGCTACCCGTGTGGTTCATGCTGCACGCTGCACAGTGGGTAACTGTCGGCTGGAGGGGTTGACCACGCGGGTGAGCGGCGTTAGGGATATCATGCCTCAAAATACACATTTGTCACGGAGAATTAGCTCAGTGGCTAGAGCATAAGATTGCAATTTGCAAGTAATCTTGGGGTCCCGTGTTCGATCCACGGATTCTCCTCTTTTTGCTGTTGGTCTTGATCCTCTTTTGGCTGACTCCGCCTCTTACGGGATAGTCTATAGTCTTGCATGGACCCCAAATGTTCACGCATGACTTGCCCAGTACAGTGCATGGAACTCATTAATGGTATTCATTCCTGAAAGAGAGCCTTCCATAGCAGAATTTCTGATTGAGTGCTCTCCTATGGGTTATAAGATAACTTACAGGGAACCCTTCTGTAGGATAGTCTCTTATGGCATAACCTCTTATAGAATAACCTCCTATTGGGTAGTTTCTTACTGTATGACATTCTATGGGATAACCTCTTCCAGGATCAACTTTTGTAGGATTGTCACGAGAGGGATTCAGAGACAAAAGCAGCTGTCCTCAATACGTCAATTGAAGTTAAGTCGGCGCTACCTTCTATCAAAAGGGAAGCCCTGGGGGCCGTGGGGTCCGAAGTAAATAAAGGCCCAGAGGGCTGCGGGCGCTTATGTAAGCAATTGCCTGCCGGCTACGCTTCACTCCCGTACGCACCCTCTCAAGGATAACTTTCTGTGGGATATCTTCCAGCATTCTATGGGATGAAATGCTATGAAATGACTTCCTATAGGTGAGCCATGCTGTGTCTGGTGAGACCTTCGCCGCTACGAATGACTCGTTGGTCGAGGTTATAATGCTTTCGGGCAATGAGGGCCGGAGGCTTAGGGAAGAGAGTACACCTTTTTTTTTTTTCTTAAAAAAAAAAAAAAAAAAAAAAAAAAAAAAAAAAAAAATAAATAAAAAAAAAAAAAAAAAAAAAAAAAAAAAAAAAAAAAAAAAAAAAAAAAAAAAAAAAAAAAAAAAAAAAAAAA